GGTCTCAAAAGTATCACACTCTGCAAGGGCTTCTTCTAATCCTGTCATGTTGTTGAGCTGTTGGGGTTGATAAAATGGGGTGCAAAATGCATTTGGCGCATCTGGTGATGGCGCGCATGTGCTGACTAACTACGGTACGAGACGGTGCTAACCACATCTGGATGCTAGCTTGGTTCCAGCCTCGCACTCCTACGCCCTTCCTTTCCGTGACTCCAACTACACCACAATGAAGATGCAGCACGTTGTCATCCCGCCCCTTCCCCTTTCTTATACGACGAATATTGCGGCCGTTGGATGCGACGTACGGGAGCATTTTCCTGATCTAGCCATGAACGGAAAGGTCGCTGGCTGATACCTGGCATTTGGTGCCCTCTATCAGGCCTCCATCGCTGATTGTGTCGTAGCTGAGTCAAACCACCATGGTTGTTGGACGCATTAAAGAGAAGAGCGGTCGCCTCAATCATGTCTACATCATCGTGCTCAATTCAGCAGCTCTTGTTGGCAACCTTACAATATTCGGCTCGTCCTATTTGAACAACAGTTGATCCCAAAGACCTTCCCGCGTATCTGATACAGTCCTCTAATGATCTACTATTACGACCACACCATTACATCCTCGCAACTACCTCCACAAATCGAGCGGCGATCCCATCATGGCAAACTGGAAAGTTGCCCCTTCGAATTCAGAGGAGAGCAAAATTGAGTACACCCCGTTCCTAGAATGCCGCAAATACTTTGCAGTCGACGATTCTGGATCGACAGCAGGCGCTGTGCTCCGTCAAGAGCGTGCTTTTGTCGATGCGTTCCAGGAAAGCCATGCCAATGTGGCTGACGTGATGTCTCTATGGGGCTCGAAATGCGATAACCCTACAACTCGGTTCAATGTTGTAGACTGGCGTTCGAGTCATGGTGGCACCTATCCTAGCGATATCCTCAAGAACTCCGCAGCTTTGAGTACCATCAGGAAAGCGGACGCATGGTTTTTGCTCACAGATGGAGAGATTTATGACGGCGATGTCCACCGACTCGCCGACCTAGCTTACGACGCTGAAATTCTCAACGTGCCACTCGTGTTTCCCATCACCGGTTCACGCGGCAGCTCACCCGGAACAGCCAACATCAGTGTCGGCATTTCCTTCTTCGCCAGCTCTCACGACACCTTGATCCTCTTCAAGGACGTACAGACAGGCAAGATATACGTCATCGCCGGGAAGGGATGTTTCACAGAGTTGGGTGGATCTGCAGCGGCACAGGACCTGACCAGTTGGAATGACTTGCTAGTTTTTGCAAGTGAAGTCGCATTCTTCTCGCATTGTCAAAAGAGCCACATCAAGGTTGCCAAGTCATATTCGCGAGCAAAAAGCACAGGAGGGATCAGCCTTGGTTCGGTTTGGGAGGAGCAGCATGCTAGCCCCGTGAAGGTGGACCTCGATGCCCTTCTTAGTTCCAGATTCCTGTCAGATGCTGATGCTCTAAACCTCTTGGCCGACAAGGCCTTCGACGCCCTTGCTATTGCCTGCAAGACTCGAAGACGCGTCCCCGAACTATGAGCATTCGTTCAAGTACAGAAAGTCGAGCAAGTGGCACCGAAACTCGAAGACCGAAATGGCGCGGCAGCTGTCATTGCTAGAATGGCAGATACGACAAACAGTGATGAAGACCGTAAGAACCTCCAGGAACAGCTACGGGAAGCTCATGCTGGGAATCGCCGAGACTACCAGAAGATGATCGCCGATTTTTCAGGGTCAGCGGCCGAGCAGACCTTGAGTAAACGTAATCAGCTTGTGGATGCAGCTCTCAGGTCACTCGCATCTATTGAGGCTGCCAGCTACAACGCAGATATTATCGGTCGCAGGAGCAACAGGGCTCGGCGCGCTGAAGTCATCGACTCCACTTCCACGATTGACACAGCCAAGCTAGATCTGGAAGTACCCTCGTGCAAAGGCTACTGTCTTGTCTGCTGTGGCGATCAGGAGATCATGTCTATATGCTTCAAAGAGGCCAATCCTGAAAACAAAGAGGATAACACAAGCGACTTTGCACTCAACTTTCCACTAGCTGCCGGAGCTTCTGAGAAGAACATCGATCTGGTCTCGAGTCAGAACGTATGCTTCCAATGCGCACTACTTGGACCTAACGGCACGTCTATCTACAAGGAACGGTTGACAGCCATCATTCCCACTGTGCAGTACGACGGAAGCAACAAGAAGTACATCAACGATCAGCTCTATTCGGCCTTGACTGCACGATTAGCCACTAGTGCTGCAGGAATCGCACAACTGTTCATGTCTATACTCCAGAACGTCATGCAGACGAAGTCATGGGCAGGAGCCGGAGTGAATGCTTCGCAAACATCTGTTGATGAGCAGCATGAAGCTACCCAGCGCCGTAAGTCGTTCCAGTGGATGCTAAATCAGCTCGTCCAGAACACCTACACTCGCGAGACCTTCAATGAGACCGGAGAATGGGTCAAGTTCCAGCAAGCACTGTCGTGGGTCACGAGGGACTTCAAGAACCATGGACTCGCAAGCTTTGCCGTCACCTATCCCGTAGCAGGCTTCAACAGCCTACTAGCCCTTGGCCAGCATACAGGTGCATTCTCGAATGACACTGTTAGTCGGTTGCAGTCCGCGAGAATGCTGCACTCGATTGTTGCGAAGTATCTTGCTGACCTCCAGGTCTATCTTCAGCGGGGATCAGGCAACACGGGAACTAATCGTGAGCGCTGGAAGCAGAAGTACCTGGAGACCATCTACCGCGACTTCAACGGTCCGTTGGTGCCCGTGGATCGTGGCGACGCTTCCGTGGTTGATGATGTCGAAAGCTTCAAGCAGCGCCTGTCCGTATGCGTGGCAAAAGCACCCAGTATAAATGACAAGGCTGTCATGCACAGGATTCAGATCCTGCTCTTCTGGCTTCTCTTCACCCAACGCGGCCACTGCACAGCCCAAACCTTCTTCACCCGCATCAGCCACGACGAGCACCTCGCCCCAGCAGTCCTGGACCTAAACCTCTCCGTTCCTCCCTCCGAGCATCAGAACATCCTCCGATCCATCTTTGCCAAGCACGACGCAGCCCTCATCAACCCCGTCCAGGCAGCGTCGCACAACACACTCATCCCCTTCGCCAACCCCTTCGGCGCTTCTGTCCTCCGGTGCGGCGTCCCCAGCTGCGCGCAGCCCTTCTGCGACATCATAGCTCTGCGCCCTCAGGTGATTGTTCCCGAAATCGTTGAAGCGATCCGACGAGCTCGCACAAAGCATCTCATAGACGTCTTTGGCATCCTTGGACGCTTCGAGCGCTGCGACACAGGACTGCCTGAGCGTACAGCGGCAGGTCGACCACCCACATCTATCCACACGAACATGCACATCAGCATTGTTCGGGAGTGGGTTGAGCGGACGCAAGATGCACGAAGGGCCATTGTGAAGGGAGGAGAAGCGCGTACGGAGTTCGTTAAGGATGTGCGCAAGCGGCTTTGTGTGGAGGGCCGAGGCAACATTTTCAATGCGCAGATTGCGAGGAATATTGAGGAGCTGTTACCGAGTTTCTTCGAGGCACTTACGGCGGCATTGAGGGGGGAGGGGAAGAGTGGTGAGGATGTTGCGTGTTATCAGCACAATTTTGAGGGAAATAGGTTGCAGGGCAAGATCATCTGGGAGTTGATCAAGGAGCTGGATCACGGGAAATTGCCTTGAAATTCCCGTCTTGTACGTCATACTGATAGTTCAATACAATTGCACATGCACTTCCTCAAGGTATGGGCAATAGTGATTGGAGTATGAACATGCGTAATTCTGTATATACGTATGTATCCAAATACGTCATACCATACTACGCCATGGGCGTGTATCCAGATGTCGCACAAAAATGAAAAGTCTTGTCGTGGCCATCTCCAACTGGAGGCTAACAATTAAGTAGATGCAAACATGCTTCCCAAAGTAACGCCGTCATATGCTTATAGCCTGTACCCAGTCATGCAATAACAAAAGAAAATGTACGATCTCTAATTAAGATTCTAGGTCTAGGCGCTGGAGGCCACGAGGGCAAAAGTGGTGGCGATCATGGCGCACACAGCAGTGAAGGCGGTGGGAGTGTTGCGGAGACCAGCGTTACTTTTCCTCGCTGTACTGCCATCACTCTTCAGGACTGCGGTGCTGCCTATTTGCCAGCCGATGTTGGCTACAACGGCTTGCGAGTCGCGAACGGGGATGGCGGCCTTGCCAGAGCCGTCGAGGGTGATAGTGTGAACTGTGCTGTCGACAACGCTCGACTCGCCGGTAGTGTCAGAGTAGGTCATGCCGTTCCAGGTGGCTCCAGTTTGGGAGTCGGCACCGTCAGCGGTCAGGTAGGAGAGGTAGACGTCTTTGTTGGCGTTGGAAGAACCAAAGTTGACGTTGAATGTGAAGCTGCCCTTGTCGGACTGAGACTCGTTGGCTTGCTTACCATTGAGCATAATGACAGCTTGCAGGTTATCGTGGGCGTACATAGAGTAAGCGCGAATGCGGCCATCGTACGAAGAACCAACATTACTGGTGCTCATACTGGCGATCTGAGTGGTTCCGTTGCCGTTGCCGACGATCTGAGCCATAGCGGCGTGGGCGTAGTAAAGTGTTCGAACGAAAGGATCACGGCCGTACAGGGTGATAGGTTGCCACGCGCTAGCATTGGAGTTATCGGTCATGTGCATCTGCACGGAAGAGATGTCGAGGGAGGCGGCGTAGAGGAAGAAGTTGAGGGTCCAGAGAGAGGCACCGAAGGCGTCAGAAACACCAGGCATACCAATGGGTCCAATGGAACTCATCTCACGCAAGACGTACGGCAGGCCGGTCTTGAGGCCAATCTTGACCTGCTTCTCCCAGTACGCGAATTGAGTATTAGTTTGGTCGAATTGCATAAGGTCATTAAGAGTGATGGGTGTCTTTGTAACGCCAATGACTGCTAAAGATTAGCGTGTCTTCTCGTGTAACAATCGTACAGAACGACTCACAATAGAAGTAGTCGTGCTGATTCCATACAGTCACGTAGTTGTCGCCGTTCCTGCCCTCCATCATGCCATCGCTGACCAATTGTGAGATTTCGAAGGTCGTGCCAATGGTGGAGGCGGTCGCAGGGGGCTCGAAAAAAGACGACGGCAGGCCCGCTGGCTGCAGCACACGGGTGTAGACGGCTTCGGCGCGGTCGAGGAACTGTGTTGTGTATACCTGCCCATTCCAGGGTGCAGTACGGAAGGTGTTCTGTAGCCACAGGTCGGGCTCGTTCCCAACCTCGAACGAGTACAGCTTGACGTTGGTCATGCCAGAGACGGCACCCTGGGCAGCAGCCACAATGCGGTCCTCCCAATCGTCCTCCATGTACGCCAGATTGAGGCCATATGTGACGGGTGTATCCTTGGGGAAGCGGTTCAAGGCCTCGAAATACCCAGGTCCGATGATCATCGAGTCGGCGGCAACGTTGCCCTGCGCCGTCGAGCTAGGGTTCTTCTCCCACGCAATGTCTGTGTAGTTTGATTCGTATAACATGTAATCTTGTGTGTTGCCTCCTAACCGAATGTGTGGCGGCGCGCCCGAGTAGTCTGCGAGGTTCTGTAGGAGCTTTATTGACAATTGGTTGGGTGTGTCGCCGCCGGTGAAGGAGAAAAGGTTCGAGGGCTCAATGCCGAACCCTGCAAACGACGCATCGAGGTACTCTGAGGCGCCATCGGGAGCACTGGACGAGGGCGACAGCGATATCGATGATTGAGCGAGGACGAGTTGTAATAGCGAGAGGAGCGGCAGGGCAATGTTGCCCAGGCCGGCGACGGCAGATAACGAAGGCACCATGGCAGCTGTCTTTTAGAATGTGGGCAAACAGCTACCGTAAATAACAACTGCTAAAACCCGAGGAAAAAGGAAACCGGCACAGGAACAAGCGACAGGACTGTTTTTGTTTGCAGCGAGCGGACGGGGAGAGAAAGGGAAAGTCTAATAATGAAGCACCCAGGTGCACCATCGGCAGGCTAGCAGTATCACCCGCTGGAAGTGACGCATGGCGCCTGCTTGGGCCGTTGCATGTTTGTTGAGTGGAAGCTGCGGAAGACCTCGGCGGCTCCACTTGCCCGTGGACAACGTCATGACAGTTTGAGCGCTGAGCAAAACCACTCGTGACGGCCATTGACTGGTGCGCGCATACTGAAACACGTATCTCTCAAGGGGATCACCATGGGGGAACAGGCAACGCGTCAGCTCCATGTGGGCATCGTCAGATCGAACGACAGCGAATAAAGGCAGAACGAACGTGCACGGGCATCTAATTACGGTAACGCAGATCTTTAGGCATATTTAAAGCTTGATTGAGACCTTACGCATGGGTCAGATATTGGTCCTGCCGCCATTGTCTCTGCCCGTGACTCTTTGTTCTCAAATATCTTGACGCCCTGAAAGATTGCTTCGACGACAAACAACCATCTTTGTTCAAAAGTCAACGATGATGGAAGGAGTAGAGGCAAACACGTATTGGCCGTACTGCTTAAGCTAGGCGAAGCGGCAGCTCTTGTTTTATTGCCTAGATCCGCGGCGAAAATAGTAGGCCTGAAAAGCTTGATTTCGACTCTCAGCGCATCACTTTCCCCGCAGCATCACTTTTGACAAATGCGCTCCACTGTTGGATGGAGAACAAAAGCTAGAGCTGTCATTCACAGTCTGGGCCCATCGCCAGCCTCGCACACCGTATCTGATGTTCTTATCAGCCCCCCTGCCACATCATCAAGAGGAACATCGACATCAACAGCACCCATCACAACATCATTCAGTCTCCCCAGCTGTGATCTCCAGCGCAGTCCTGCATATGCAAGAGGATCATCTGCTCGACCTTCCGCTATCCGCGTGCCAAGCCTGAAACCCCGGTTGTTGAAGGACTGCCGCGGACCACGCGGAAGGCAGACCTGCTTGCTGCAACACCATGATCTCACTTGAAGGCGATGTTCCTTTTCGATCATACGGTATGACAGGACCCTGCATATAACAGACTAGAGCACACCGTCACCCAGCCATCTGGATTTCTATGTGACGTGAGGGTGGAGGAGTCCAAGTCTCCACTACCTGCAGCTCAGCCACGCAATTGTCACTTGTTGCAAGACGTGGCATGCCCCCTTTCATTGCAGCGCAATAGCGTTGAAACATGCAGCTGGCGGTCGTTATCACGAATTGTGGACTTCTGGAACAGCGAGTGATATTGACGTCATAATTTGATAAGCACAATGAGCTGGCAGTCTGGTTCTCTGCTGAAAGACACAACAACACGCAAGACGAAAACGAGGTGTCGCAACTTTTTTCCACTGATCAGCAGGAGCGGAGCATCAGCGCCGACAACACCGTCGAATTCGGGCCTTTCACTATTTTGAGTTCAGCCGCACCGGCACGTTTTGCTGGTGGCTTGGCTGAAGTTCGTCAGCCTCAATATTGGCCAAGACATCTTCTGCATGCGCACAACATCTGTTGTGAACGATCTGGAAGCTGACCGGCTTTCAAAGGCTTGCTAGATAAGTACTATTCCGTGTTATGAGACTATTTTCATACAATCGCAACCCCTCTGCGATCTGTCCACAAAAAAATGTCCAAAACACAGGCGTACAACGGCAACTTACTAACACTTGGGCCTGAGCCCTCACCATCCCCAATACTATGACTGAACTCAACCTCTTGTAACTAAATCTTTGCATTACCAGAGAGCTACTGCTTCTCTCGTCTTCCATAGTCTTAGAGTCACATAAGACGTTAAACCAATCAATCAATGGCAACTTACTCCAACGACGCTCAAAAGTGAGGGCTTCGGTCACAGGCAACCGGTTGGCTCCTGCAACGACAGGTTAAACAGGCAGTTTCTGTTGACTGGTCACATTCTTTGCTGGCTACTCAGGTACGCGCGGTTCGAACTGTCGCCGAGCGAGACTAAAGCTTCGTTTTCCAAGGCTTCATTTACAACGACCTGCCTCAACCTAAACACTCACAGGGTTGAAGTGCATTGTGTCGCCTCGCTGGATGTTCTTCATAAAAGCTACCGTTGCAGGTACCTTGTAAAGTTACACCACCATCTGGATTGGGTTGAAAGCACGGAATCTCATCAAGAAATCAGCTCCACTGCAGCGTCGAACAGAAGGAATCATCCGGTTGACTGTAGCGACTCGATTTTTCTGATGTCAGCCAAGATCACGCGTGCATCGTTGAGGGCTACTAGGATATCGCGAACATGGTAGTTTCGTGAGCTATGCAGCTTCCTCGACTCGGCAGTGCCATCAAGTCATGATAATCAAGGTGGTCAAGGTTTGGTTTGCCCAAATTCTCACTGTCTACGACCACATGTGCAGATGCAAGACTTTGCGTCAGAAAACGGCCACAACAGTAGACCAGGCTGCAGCGGATAGCATAACGTATCAGGTATCTCCTCTCTTTGGACCGGTCACCGTGTCCGGGGAGCTGTTGAGATGAGCTCGAAACACATCTATTATCGATTGTCGATGTTAGGCAGACCAACGTCGACCATCAAAGGCACCCAAGGGTATGTCTTCGGATTTGTCCATAGTGATCGCCGGCTCTGAGGTTGGATCTCCGTGTGTGCTCGGAATGCCAAACAGCGCCGATATCAATACGAGAGCTGTCGCAACCCAGCCGCTCTACTGATCGACTGCATACAATGTCTGCCTGTAGGTAAATCTGGTGGGTGCAGGAGGTATATCTCGTTGTACACAATAGCTACGGCACCGATGATCGGACTCCCATAAGCGATGAGTGGCCTAAAGAAACTCCAGTGTGGTTTGTGCAAGTAGCCTGATTGCGCTCGCATTTGCAATAGCTCCTGATGCATTACTTTCCGTCTTGCAAAAGGTGTATCATCAGAGGCTTCTGAAAAGCATGAGCAAAGACCGAAAATGCCGGCGACCAAGGTCAAGATGCCTACGAGTTCCATGCGTACGTACAATCCATCGAAGATGCGGCTCATGCTCGCTTTCACCACCTCCTCGTGGCTGCCGAATATCTGCTTTGACTCGAAACAAGATGGCGTACAGTTGAGCCGTTCTTGCAAATCCGGTATCTGCGGAGGAGTAGAAGTCAATGTGGCATTCGTGCCGAGGTTCACGCAAGGGTAGGAGACCTCGTAGGTGCGTGAGAGATTCACCCAGGAGCAGATGGTGCCACTCGAGACTAACGATACCCCAGCATTGAAATATTGGTCTCGCCTTGAATTTTCGCAGCACAGCGGACCACTGCATGAACCACGAAAGTAGTGTTGTTGTAGTCCCGAGTATAGCCCAGGTGCTGACGACGTCCTGTATCGAAAACCGCGCGGTGCTTCGCGGTGAGGCACGCCAAAGCGATGGTGTGGATAGCAGTGACTCCAGAAGATACCATGACTGCGCCGGCAGCACCCTTCACCAACAGTGTCTTGTGTCGATAGTAAACCACCAATAGGAGTACCGCATAGATGTTGGTTCGTTGGAGAAGACCGTAAGAACCGCCGAGGGGAAATATGCAGGCTTCAGCGCCCTTCATCCCCTGCCGTGAATGGTGAAGCATCACAAGCTTCTCTTTACTCAGGTAGCACCACATTGGCGCTCTGAGGCTGAGCCATGCGCTGTTCTTTGTCCGCAAATGACGACAAAACATCCAGATTGCCATACAGCTCCGCACGTTGGTGGTCGCTCTGTAGGCAGGAGCTCCTTGATGTGCTGTTGAGGTTCTACTTAGGTAGGTAGCAAAGATGGCAGATTGCAGGGATTAAGGCGTTTGATGCAAAAACCGAGTTGGTCGCATCCCTGGTGATAGAGAGTCTGTGCTGCGCGATTCCTCCTTACCTGAATGTGGACTTGAGTACCCCCGGGTACCAGTAGTTGCGGCTCACAAGGAAGGCGCTGTTGCCTGCGGAACTCAAAGCGCATCTATTAGAGTGATCATACAACAGCCATCGCGTACGGAAAGTACCATTCTGAAGACTCTGGTGGAAGGTGCCGACACGGCTACTGCAGCGAATCGCATGCTCAGCCTTAGAGAGTCAAACACGTATGAACACCAGCTCTTTCTGATTTGGCAACTCTGCAGAGTCGCGATGCCCTTTGTAGGTCGCCTGGGCGTTGTTGATGCCTCTGACAATCCAGAGTAGTCAACTTCGATATTCGAATAGTCTGACCGAAGGACACAAGGTATGAATCTTCCCCTCAAATTTGCATCGTGAGGGCTCGTTGAGCAGTGCTGCGGCGGAGAAGAACGTTCTGAGTATGGAGTCGAAGAGCGAGTTATATCCTGACACCAAACACGACTATTTGCACCTTCTGATGTATGCTCAGTGTCACCCTCCGTCCGTCCTCTGCTTGCTCCACCGTCCCAGAATACCTGCAACATCGTGATAAAACCCGAGACGAACCACATCGATTGTGGAAGACGAGACTGTGACAAAAAGCTTGTTTAAGCTTGTTATGTAAGGTCGTGTTTCAGAGGTATCGTGAGGTGCACTGCTACGCGAGACTTCAGACGCTGTGAGTACCATCGCACCCGGCCGGGCTACTGACGAGGGTATTAGCTCCGGTGAGCGTGACGCTCGCAAGGACCTTTGAAAAGCCAATAGTAGTTGAGGTGGACCAGACCTAGTGATCTTCAAAGAGGAACATGCCCCTAATAAGCTAATGCACAAGCATACTGCACCGTGGAATTCACATCAACATCAGAGCAAAGACACGATGATATGATGTGATGTGATATTATTAAAGTAGTAAGAGTAAATGGGTATCTGCAAGAAATTTTTCTGTCAACCAAGGTGTCTCCTCTCCCTTCCTCATCTGTCACCCGTTTTCGTGGTCCCACAGAACCTTCCTTTGTCGGTAATGATTCCCTCATCCTCCACAATCGCGATCTTTTGTGACCCCGCACTTCGACTCGTCGATAACGTGCTTCACCAGGCTGATTGTTAGTTGCTTCTGTTTGCGATACCCCTCATTATTGGGACTCTGTACTTTTGGTAGACTTTGTCAAATGATGTCAGCCTCAAAGGGCTCGGCTTCAACGCTCGTCTCGAGTTGCTAGCGTTGTCCCAGTACTCCGGTGCATTGTTGTACAACAATGGTTGATAAGTTTTTGATTGTTTGCTCCGATGCTTTCAGTTGCGTGCCCCGCAATTGTAACGTGCTCATTCTGTGTCTTCGACGGACGAAGCAGATGAGATGCTGGGGGAGCGAAAGGAGTCGCGGACGTGCGAGGGTGCGGTCTCCATGGTCTCGCTCGATGATTGAGAAACTGTGGAAGAGAAGGCAATGATGTCTTCAGCCTCGACTTCCTCGAGAGGAATGCGGAGCATCTGGCGGCCAACAAGGTTGGGAATGTAGACGTATTGGGTTGCTGGGGAAGACATTCTGAACATTCGATGTGTAGTGGGTTGATGTCGAGTGATGGTATGTAGATATAGTGTCAATATATGGTATTGATCAAATTGGGATGTCTGTGATATGTACTGAACGTCTTCAGGTGGGGATCAGCCTCATACATATACTCTCGCTCCAGGCCTCAGAATCCCATCTCCATGCACCATCGCAAACGCCTATCCCCACCCCTACCGCTCCCAAGAAAGCCAAAACCCTAACCCCATCGCACCAACCCAGTCTAAGCCCGATGCAAAATCCACCCCTGCACTCCCACCCAATGAGGCCACGCAACGATCGCCACAAGCTGACTTCGCTATCTCCGCCGGGTGAGCCGCCGCGCTGATTCGCGCTCCGAGAGCCAGAACGCGTGGCGAACAGTCACGCCAGCTCCGTCCTGTCCGACCATCGCGCGCGGCGATAACTTGTGCAGGCTTGTCTGATGCGCCCGATGTGACGAGATGCGGGGCCGCCAGTCGCCAACCAAGAGGCTTTCAGGGCAATTTTACCCTGGCAGCGGAGCGGCCAAGCGCTCGCCTATCCAACGACGAGACCGAATGCCTGGCCAAGAGAGCAAGTGTGTGTGAAGAGCGGAGTCTAGACTCCATCGTCATTCCCAATGGTGGGCTGTTGAGCATGGGTGACACATGGTGTTGAGGCAGGACTGCAGTTTGGCGTGTCGGTGTTTACGAGGCGCCGATGCGTTTCGTGCTTATTTATTAATACTCTCGTCCGCATGGACTATTGAAATCGGGGATAACATCGCACCGAATGAGTCACGGAGTCACGACAGTGTGATGACTGAGGCACGAGGTGTTAATTACACAAAAGTGCAACCTCGACCGCCGACAGTGATTACGATCAGTGTTCGCAAGCAGCACGGTTCTCAATGGTGGTTCACAATGACGAAACCGCGGGGCTGGCACAACGGTTCGTTGCTGGGCATTTCTGGGCATCCCCGAAAAAGCGACCGAAGATTCTGGTTTTTTTGCTGTACCAACATCAAGCATCCTGGACATCCAATTGGGAATCTGAATGATGGGCAGTAAGCGGCGTTCATTGAGGTTGAACTGAACATTTCAGAAGGTTGCAATATGCTGTTGCCAGAGATACCAAACAATTCTCTTGTCGTCAGCACAGCAGAACCTGGGGAAACCTTCAAAAGCCACGTCAAGCCCACGCAGCAAAGGTTCATCAGGACACTAACCGTAGCCCGGACATAAAGTTCGAGAATCGCTATTGAGCCCAGTCGCAACCAGCCCGACCTTGGAAACTCATTCCTATTCGATCCATTCTGGCCCTCTCCGAGGGTTATTACCTAACCACCAAGAGATAGTGCAGCTGATGGCGGAAACCCTTGGTCCCAAGCATTCCGCTCGCTCAGAACCTGAGCGTCAAGAGACCGCGTGGTGGAACGACCAAGCTCTGAACCTGGAAGGTCCAAGATCATGCACCTGTGGCCCAAGAAGCGCCAATGCACCCCAGGATCGCGGCAGTGACGGTTGGGTTTGGCAGCCTCAACACCAGTTTCGGTCAGCTCCGTGCACTGTGGCCTTCGTGCTGCTCGATCAGAGCTTCACCAAGACTGCTGTAAGTTCGCGCGTATAACTGACTATTAGGGGTGCATATATGGACTCTTAGCTGAAGTCATCCCGGACAATAACCCTCCTTGCTTCGGAATTATTCCTATTGCTCTTCCAGCCCCGACCAATCCTCTCCATAGTCCTATCTTCGTCTTTGCCAGGCCACATAATCTCCCCACGATACACAGCGCGAACACAGAAGAACGCAGTGACGAACCACATGATGACAAGTATGATCGTCAAAGCGCTGGCAATGCCATTCAATGCTTCGCTGTTAAGAACTTTGCCGGCTTGAATGGTGGCAAGGGTCAGGCCGGCGTTTGGGAAGATGAACGCCCACCAATTTAAAGAGAAGGACATTTTGCGGACCCCAGCTAGAACAGCGACAGTAGTAATGAAGAAGAACCAGTAGGCAAAGAGGATAACGAAGAGACCGGACATGATGCCGAAGATGCGTACTATGTCGCCGTCGCGTGATGGGCTATCCGTCCAGTAGTTTGCGCCGATGAAGGTGGGTGCTTGGTTGGCCAGAGAGATCAATCCTGCCGCAGTGTAGCCTGCACATCATCAGTGCCCTTCGTTTTGTTCTTCTAAAACTTCGGAGAACTCACCTGCTGGACCCACTGAAACGTACATTCCAGGACGCGTTGCGGGTGATGGGAGATGGCCAGTCATCAATCGCTGCATATATATGGCGTACATGAGGAACGACACGACCCAAGCAACGCCTTGCAACAGTACTCCTCCAATAAAAATGTTCCAGCTGGGCCCTTTTGGTTGAGCAGGCAATATGGTGCCTGCCAGCGTTCCGACCACCAGTAGCGGATAAATAGGGAAAATCCAAGCTGGCACCGCATCCGTCACATTGAGACGCTCGAGACGGAAAAACATGGAGTACTGAAAGACACCGATGATGAATGCGATGCTGCAGTATATCCAAAAACAGACTTCGAGTGCCTTTGGGAACCAAGGCCCGGTGTCCGCGTTGCCGTAGATATATGCGCAGTTGAGTATCAGAGCTACTGACACCCAGTACGTGCCGTGGAATAGCCCTTCGACGGGATGATGCAGCGATGCGAGGAGTTTGCGTGGAATAAGGATGAAGCGCGTTATCATCAGAGCGTTGAACAAGAGGAAGAGAACGATGTCGACGACGAAGACGACTTTCCCGATAGCCTGCAGTCCGGTGAACGTGTTAGGAGTGTTCCCTAACACGACGGCAAGGGCTCCTGTGGACATTGTTGCTGCGAACCATGGCCTGTCTGACATCAATAATGGCATTCACAGTTTCAATACCTTTGGACCCACCATGTGAAATGAGCAATACGGTCTCGTAGACCAACGAACTCAGGTGGGTTATCCTTCTCATCTTCTGCTCCATAGTCGATACGCTTCTTCTCACGGAAACGCATGTTGTTGTTGATCTTGGTGTAGCGCTCGACTGAGCAATGTCCTCACTTCAGCCAAATGGTCTTCGAAGGACACTAAGAGCCTTCTTGATGGTTCACACCTCTTTCGTCATCCCGCAGAGTAGTTGGCACGCGTGGAAGTCCAGGCGGGCTTAACCGTAGCCGAGTTCCGGACACAAGGTTCAAGAAACGTTGTTGAAAGTCTAAACGCTGTCGAGCTAAAAATTCACAGTGCAGGGCCTTCTCATGGCGTTGAGAGTTGTGACGTATCACGAAGAGGCGCTCACCTCTTGAGCCCAGGCAAATGTTGATGGCTTTGCAGCAGTCGTTTTGATCTTCCAGGGTGGAGCTGGTGTTGCAACCCTAGATCACTGGCTGGTGCTTGCCGACTAGGTTTTTAGCCCGCCATGACGTCAGTTGTCTCAAATCTGCATGATGCCTCACCCTGGAGGGCGCCAACACATGGTCATCCCCATCCCATGCTCGCTAACAGCGGCTGCGCTACCAGGCCACATGTAGTGCTCAAAGTTGAGGATCGTTGAGCAGACCCCTACCTCTCATAGCGGACCCTGGAGGTCTTTACTACCTCAACACTCAAAGGAAGAGTTCGACGTTGTGGTAAATTGCTTGGGTCTGGCTTTTCTCGCTGTTGCCAAAGCGAGGTGATCTTGAAACTCCTGGGAGCAGGATTCTAGGAGTCTAGTATGCATAGAGATGTATGAAAGACGATATTGGAGCGAGGCTGTAGACTGGGGTATCCCATCATTGGAGGAGCAGTCTGGAGGTACTTAGACTATTGGCACCACGGAGGTAGATAAGGGTATCTTGTCAATAAGTGCAACTATCACACGGCTATATCGGCTTGCTCTTCGCCTTGACGCGTGCAGCCAGCTTCTTGATATCCACATCACCACTTTCGTCGACCTTCTTCGACTTCTTAGGCTGTCTCTCAGGCTCGTCGCCTTCTCTCCCCTGCTTCCTCTTCTTACGGCCCTCTTCAAGCAGAGCCTTCATACCAGATGTCTCCTTGAACCTTGGATTTGTTGGATCGATAGCAAATTCGTGGCTCTCGTACAGCTTCGCAAAACGAGGATCACTTGTATCGATCTTGAAGTTGTCCTCCACGATCGGAGTATTTCTCTTGCCCTTTTTGCCTTTCTTCTTCGCCTTTTCAGCCTTCTCGATCTCATTCATGTTGAAGTGCCGGATCTTGTTGTCCTCGTCGTCAGCCATGAGCAGCTCAAGCTTAGCACGTTCCGCTGCATTGACGGCCTCTTCTGCTTCCTTCTCTTCGCGCTTCTTCGCTCGCTTCGACCTGTTCTCTGCCTTCCGTTCTGCCTTCTCGACGTCTTCGCCGTCAGAGGCGAAAAAGGGGTCGTTGAACGGATCGTCGCCTGCCGCGGCTGTTGCAACTTCCTCAACTTCAGCGTCAGGGTCACGTCCCTCTCTCTTCGCCTTCATCCTCTCTTTGCGCTTAGCTTTCCTCTCCTTCTCCTTGCGGATGTGCTTCTCGATCGTAGTCTCGTTGAGCGGGATCTCGTTCTCAAAGACCGAGCCACCCTTGCCCTCGCCCAATAAACCTCCAGAAAAGGTAATCTGCATCTCTCCGTCAGGCTTGGGGAAGTCACGGTCCCGTTTCGAAGAAGACTTTGTCTTTGACTTCGACGATTTGCTGGGAGCCTCAAGACCTAGAGCTGCTCGTAGGCTGGCAGCCTTGTCCGTCTTAGCTACCTCCTCTTCATCCTCAGACGATTCTGAGTCGCTACCGAGGTATGCTTTAAGCTCATTCTCGTCAATCTCTTTCCTTGAGAATGCGCGCTTCTGTACTTCCTTCCGTGTTGTGTCCTCGGCATCCCAAGTCAGCTTGACTTTCGAGTGCGTGAGTGCATCTGTGGTGAACTCATTTGGCTTGTAGCCGTCCGGCAGCTTTGTGCATTCGTCATTGGGATCCTGGTCGAACTCGGTGCCATCTGGTACGAATCGGAGGTCGAAGAAGTTGGCACTGGTCAAGTACTCCCGCCCGTCTAGGTTGTCATAGATAGACTTGGCCACGGTCGCCGAGGAGCAGGTAATGACTGCGTAGTAGTAGCGCAAACGATCGAGTTGATAGCTTCGCAACTTCGTCGAGTCGAATTCTTCGCCGTTTTCGCCTTGCTGCAAGTCCTCAACTTGTTCGTCGTCTTCGACATCGGACGCATCCGAATCGTCGTTTAGTGTTGTGATGCTATCTTCGTTCTTGTTCGCGGTGGATGCGAAAATTTCTCGTGGCGGTCCTTCGATCTCCTCACGCTGCATGCGCTCCATGCCGAACTCACTGGGATAGATGACCACATTCATAATGCGCCCGTCTGCTGGTACAAATGAGTTTGCGACAGCCATTATATCGCTCGCACGAATGTTGTCCCAGTCCATATTGACTGCCGCTAACCGCGAAGAAATTTCTCCAGTAGGCACCTCATTGTCGTCACCAGCTAACTCCACTTGCTCCTCAACCTCCTCCTCTTCCTCGTCACTAGAACTCTCATCCGATGAACTCTCGAGTCCACCGTCGCGAATAGGGTCGTATCCCTCTTTTTGCACTCTCTCCAGCTCCTTCAATACTGACTTGTCCCGCTTCTCAGCCTGAAGGTTTTCAGGTTCCTCATCGTCACTCTCTTCGTACTGCCTCTCAAGAGCCTTCTTCCCAGCATCCTTGGAGATCTTTCGACCATATTTGTCTACCGTCGCCTTATTGTAGAAGTCTGGGTCGCTCCGTAGCCGCGAGAATCGAGGATCGAGCTTGGTCTTAGTGTGCTTCTTCGACGGGAGCCTGAATCGAGCGTCGCTCTCGAAGTTGGCAAAGCGAGAGTCGCCTGAGCCTGCAGGCTTTGAAGGCTTCGCAGACTTCTCGGCTTTTGCGCTCTTCACGGGAATGGTTTGTCGCTTGGGGAGTGGCATTATGGCGGTGGTGGAGGCGGGAGGTCTTCAGTGAATCTTGTGTAAGGAAAGCGCGACACAAAAAGTTCGAAATTCTGCCATTGGCGGTAGCGAGCGGAGCTACAGCGATTATTATTGGTTCAGATGCGACAGGGTTTGACGGAAGCCTGGATCTTTTTGCGGGAAGGGAGCGGGGGTGTAAACGAGAATCAAGGCCTCACATCATGGACACGCGACTGGCTTTGGGAGGCAACAACTCTCTCAACAACACCTCAATCTTTAAAACACACCGAAGACCTCCTCGTGAATAAATAGAGCCTTGCACAAGACTTTTGAATTGCATCAATGCCTTACCCTAGGGTCCTCACGTACGTTCTCGCGTCTGTCGGGAGCTTTTGTCCGCTTTAGGAAGACTAACTTGCCTCCACAGTCCACGCACTTTCACTCTCATCACAGCGATGTCGCTTGGTGGAGGTTACTTGATGATCAAGTCAAAATCGTTGGCGGAGAAGCAGAGGGAGAGAGCTGCTGGTGATTACAGTGTGACGGTGGACAGATCAGGTACATGGTACTTCATGAGGCCCTGTTGGTCAACGGCCACGGCCTGTCGTTGTGGCAATGCTGACTCTTACTCCAGGCGGTGGCATTTGAATGATAAGCAATGTTACGGCTTACGATCATATCACGCGAATAATTTGAACGGATTCGAGCAAGTTCACACAGAAACTCCGTTGCTGTTGGTGATCATTCTGTACACAACGTTGACAGTATAGTGCCCTAATGCCTGCATTGAACAAGTCTCAACTTCATGTATGCTTTCGGAAGAGCACAATCGTGTCAGAGATCTTCCAACCAGAGCTTTCGTGATTCTTGAAGCTCAAGATCTAATCCTGGGAGTGGCTTACTCAGTTCAGTTAGCCCTTGCACAGCTCACCTTGAAACGCTGCGGCCTACGCGAAATCACTAAGAATAGACCACAGATCCACAGCCTCACCACCAACCAAACACTCCACTCAACGTTCGAGGTATTCGGTACCATGACTTGGATACCGTTCATGTTGTCTACACTCGACGGGGCAGCGGAAGAATCTTGTGCCTTTTACACTTGACACTCTAAGCACCTGGACAAGCGCCTCAGCCTCCCAGCCGCAAGCATTTACACCGCACTTGTCAGCTGTCATCCACTTCAGCTCAGACCAATCGGAGGAGCCACCTCCCGTACGAAGTAACGAAATATGAGTGTGAACATGCTGCTAAGCCTCGCAATGCGCTGTGTGCTTATAATACGACGATGCGCCAGCTTTGAAGAGACTTCGACACCCGGATAACAACAGCATTGTGCACGCCACCGGCATCGCAAACCCATGACGATTCTACCTCGACCTCAACAGCACTTAGACAGTCTCTAGACAGCGGCCGTGAGGCTTTCGCTATTTCATACCGCCTCTGTCATACTAGCGGGCAAGCATCTTGATCTTGCTTACCAATATGGCGAAGTCTGCTAGTTACTACAACGTGGATGATTTCAACGCCTATAAGAGGAAGCAAGGGAAATGCCTGCCACCAAGGGTCAACGTTCTAGCGGCTGCAAACCATATTCAGGCGCTCTTTGATGCTAAGAAATTCACATGGGGCTTTATGGGCGGGTTGTCGATGCTGTGTCTGGGATACAAACGCGAGATGCCTGACCTCCACATCGCTTACGATGACAAGGACTTCGAGCGACTCAAGTCCAAACTAGAATCTGACCAGCGGTATGCTTCGTCTGCTCGCATTTGTTCACAGCTGCTGATGACTCAGGGTTCGGTTGCCAACAGGCGTGAATCCACTTCTTCCATTCAAGATACTTGTCTGGACTGGTCCAGAGTACAAGGATCAAGGTTGTACGATAAATTCAAGTATCGAGCTGAATCTGGCACCTTCAGGTCTGTTGTTAACCATAGCCATATTCTAGTCCAACATTGACAGGTTCCAGGCTCGTGTGGTACTCCAACAGTTGGTGCCCTTATCAGAAATCTGATCCTGGTGGGCTTGAAAACATCCGGTGGTCAGCAGATGACATTTAAGAGTCTGAACATACGGTATTTGATGGCTTCCATGCTAGCTTACTGCAAGGCTCTTGACCTCTTATGGGATCCCAGGAAGGACATCCTGTACCTCTGCAAGAGCGATACTGTGGAGGTGCAACGAATTCGCTCACAGCTCAACACTCAAGAAGTAAAAGAGCTGTTTCTAGGCACCTCATTCTTTTCTCGACTACCTACAGAGGACCAACGCCTGTGTTATCGAACACTTCTAGACACCGAACCGCCACCGATCATGGCTATAACGCCGCCAGCACCGCAGATCCCGAAACCCGTCCGCCAGGAACTGCGAGTGTCAGAGAAAGACAGTGATACAAAGGCCCCTCGCTCACGATACAGAAACGCCAGCGGACAGAGAAGTAGCAGCAGTGGCAAATCGGATCATCAAGCAACTCAAATCGAACGACTACAATCGATGGATCACCTCCAGGACCTGAGACGATTGCCTCACATAGAGGGAATTCAGTGTGTGAATTTTGCAAAGCCTCAATCAGTCTCAGCGGTGGCTGCTACCAGAAGAGCACGCAAGTCCATGCCGAATCTGATGGCTGCTCACAACACAGCACCTGTTTCACACGTTAGCGCTCAAGATGCCAGAAAGACTACAAACGAGCTACAGCAGCATCACGAAATGCCTCATGTCACTCATGCGCCAAGCCAACCATCTTCGACCAGCTCACAACAAGCCCACACGAGCTCGCAACTTAAGTATGGAGGCGGTTTCAAGCCTGAATGCATCAGAGCAAAAAATGACACCCAAGATACCAATGAAGGTTTTTCGCTGGGTCAGAGGACTCTTACAAATCGTACAGATTCTACCAGAACAGACTCGACAGGAACGCCAATCCAGGGGATACAATCTCAGAAGGGAAGTCTCCATGTTGTGCGTCCTCAAGGAGAGGAAGTACCTTGCCAGCAGTACTTTCAAGGAGAGAGTGCCCCGCCGCGTGGAAGGCTCCATTTGGTCGGCCCTGAAGGAATACATGGCGGCCTTGAGAAGCCTCAACATACCATACAGCCGCAAGCTCAACATCAGAGACACCACCAGTATGCTCCTCCGCCCCAAACAGAAGCAGCTTTTGTCTTCGAGCTTGACGCGACGGCACCATCACAACCTGCTTTCACCGCCGAACTACCAGCCAATTCCATCGTGCCATCACCTGTAGAGCAACGCACATCTCAAGATCATGCGGCTTCGAATGGCCAGGCTGCTATCAGACCGCCTAACCCGCGCACAATGTCCGCACCTCTCGGGCTCGAATCACTTCCGGCCAGTCTAGTGGCTGGCGGACCAGGCATACATGTCCATCGTCAGTCACTTAGCCATCCTGAGACCTCATATGAGCCAATGCTCGATTTCTCTACACGTCAAACGAACGCTTACAGGTACTCTTCCTACGCATTTCCGCAATCTACGAACTCCGATAGTCTGCATGCCTCGTCAGAAGAGGCTACCGCATCAACGTACAAAGCGTACCGTCCATTTGTAGTAACAGACGAGCTCAGCAGAACTGACTCTGTGAGTTCCGTGTATGGGCCAGGACACAAACGCAATACGTCAAACGATTCGACCGCGTCGCATGACTCGAGTAAGCTTGCAAAAGAGTACCAGGGACTGCTGAACTTTGAGGAGGGTTACGGAAGCGATTGAGGGCTCTTCTGAGGTGGATCCTGTATCGCAGAGTTGAGTCCTGGTCCATCTAGTAAAAGGTCACCCCAGACGGGATTTAATCATGAAAACTGAATCGTCGAAAGCTACAAGTGAGAAAAGCGTAGAAAGACCGAAACCGAGAACGGCATGCAGCACATGCACGTTGCTGACCACTAGCGAGCTGCTCCTTCCATACCCATGCCTACGCCTGCCAAATCAACATGAATTAACAATTGATACACATCCAATTCTTATCTCCTCCGAGCATCTGTCCATTGTGCAAACACCGCAACCTTGCTATCAAGACGTGGTCTGCTACAAATTGCACGCCACCGGCAGCGGAACCTCGGACCTAAGATGCTAACGCCGCAGCTTCCGCACATGCGTCACTTTGAGGAGCGTCTCCGTTGCCCGACATTCGTCGGCGACAGCAACTTCGAGAAGTGCCCAACGGACGAAGAATGGACCCCGATGGCCCGCTAGACGTCATGAGCACGCCAGATCGCTGGAAAGAGCTGGGAGCGTATAAGAGGAAGCGGCACCCGCCTTAACGTTGCCGTCAACTGCAAGCTTCTCGAGCTTAAGAAAAACACTTCACCAAACATCCCCAAAAACCAATTGAGCAACCAAAATGCCTTCTCCTTTCGGCGATGTTCCGGTAGCGAAGTCGCTGCTCGACTTCCAGCGCGTCCTCTCCCCAACCGCCGGTGTCCGCGTCTCACCGCTTTGTCTCGGAGCGATGAACTTCGGTGATGCATGGAGTGACGCGATGGGCAAGTGCGATAAGAAGACTGTCTTTGAGATCTTGGACTTCTTCTACGACCAGGGCGGCAACTTCATCGACACGTACGCATCACAGCCCAAGCTAGGAGGTCGTCAGTGGACTAACACAATTGCAGTGCCAACAACTACCAGAACGAGGAGTCCGAGACCTGGATCGGCGAGTGGATGCAAGAGCGCGGTCGCCGTGCTGAGATTGTTCTGGCTACAAAGTTCACAACTCTTTACCCAGACCCGAAAACTAGGCCCCGTCAAGCTGCCAACTTCTCCGGTAATTCGACAAAGTCGCTCCACCTCTCGCTTGAGGCGTCCCTCAAGAAGCTCCAGACCGACTACATCGACTTGCTCTACGTCCACTGGTGGGACTTCACCACAAGCATTCCTGAGCTGATGCAATCGCTTAACCACATGGTGCAGAGAGGCAAGGTACTATACCTTGGTGTGAGTGACACACCCGCGTGGGTTGTCAGCAAAGCCAACCAATGTAAGCCCTCAATTTCTCCCCACTCACCATCATCAACGCAACTAACAATGTGTAGACGCCCGCGACCACGGCCTCCGCCCCTTCTCCGTGTACCAAGGTCGCTGGTCGGCCGCGGAACGCGACTTCGAGCGCGAAATCATCCCCATGGCGCGCGACGAGGGCATGGCACTGTGTCCCTGGGGCGCTCTGGGCGGTGGAAACTTTACCACTAAGGAGAAGCGCGAGAACAATGAGCAAGGCCGCAATTTTGGCCCTGCGTCCGACAAGCACATCAAGGTGTCCGAGAAGCTTGAGGCTGTTGCGAAGAGCAAGAACACGGCTATCACATCGATTGCGCTTGCTTACGTACGAAGTAAATATCCGTACGTTTATCCCATCGTCGGTAAGTTGTTCAAAATACGCCCATATGCGTTGCCCTATACTTATCCCATTGTAGGCGGTCGTAAGATTGAGCACTTGAAGGGCAATATCGAGGCGCTTGGTATTGAGTTGGGTGCGCAGGAGATCGAGGAGATCGACTCGGCGGTCGATTTCGAGGTCGGCTTCCCGATGAACTTCCTCTTCGAGTTCGGTGGAAGCAAGTACAACACCAACAAGACCAGCGCAGATGTTGGACTGCTGGCGTATGCTGGCAACCTGGAGGTGCCGCCGCATCAGCAGCCGGTTAAGCCGCATGGACTGCAGGGGTATGGGAGGAACCAGTAGGGGAAGCGTGGACGAGCATAGATAGAAGTTCAAGATGGTGTTATTATGAAGAATGATAGCAATCCTTCTACACTCGCTGTCCTAGTATCGATGCTGTTGCCGCTGTTGCCGCTGTTGCCGCTGTTGCTGCTGTTGCTGCTGTTGCTGCTGATGCAACTGCTGTGGGATGCCTGAGTCCGTACGCTTCACCACTACTCGCCCATCTAGTCGGGCAGTCACAAGCCCAGTGTATCAAGCGAACCAGTCTTTCAAGTCCCACCCACACACGCGGTGCGTATTCGCCATCCTCGATACGCCGCGCATATTCGACACTAAACGGTACAGATCTTGCCGTAGAACTCTACTCCCACTTCGTCCCCCTGAGCCTCTGCATCAAATACTCCACCTCGACCTCTTTCGTCAGCGGAATAACCCAGTCCTTATACATCGCCACAACCGCGTCCGCATTAACCTTGCTCACCCCATCGGCCGCCAAATCGGGATCGGTACCGTACGTCTTCGCCTTGAGCCGCAGTCTCTCCAGCACCTTTTTCTCCACTGCAGCGTTTGTGATCGCGTCGTCTATCCCCTGGCGGTCTTCGGCTTTGATCAGAGCAGCGAATCGCTCAGGTTCTTTCTGAAATTTGGCTTCGGCTACGAATTTCCCGAAGTGTATGCGCCGGCTGAGGGCTTGCAGACACAGCACGTCGCAGGTCCCGGCGCTGCCGTAGTTCTCCTGGCTCTCCCCCCTATCGCCGCCGGCCTTCTGCAAACACGCAGCGGGGAGGATGTGCTGGGTGTAGCAGTCCTTCAGCTTGCTGTTTACGTTTACCTCGTTCTCGTGCAGGATCTTCGGGTAGTGCAGAGGCTTGAGAATGGGCTCTTGCAGCACGTCCGGGAAGAAGGGGTACTCGTCGGGAGAGTTGTAGCGGCGCACGAGCGACTGTAGGCGTTCTTGTTCGCGCAGCATCCAGTCGAGGAAGGAGAGCGAGGGGTCGCCGATGTCGACAGCGCCGGGGACGTAGATAGTGGCGTTGAGGGGGAACTGGACGCGCTCGATCAGGTGGAAGGTGATTGTGTCTTCGAGCCGGCTGCGCCGTGTCAGTGAGTGTTTGCAAGTGGAGCGTGGGGGGAGAAGGACATGAGCTGGAAGCGGATGTTGGCGAGGTCGAGCGCCTTGGAGGCGTCGGAGAGGTCAATTGCTGCGTCCATGGTGCCGAGGTACTATCTGTAGTGACAGTGTTTGTGTGTATACAGAGGATTGAGGGCATGGTGACTGGCGCGCAGCTAAGCATAAGCCCGAGCGAGGTCGGCGCTATGTGAGAGCGCTGGGATGACGCACCTAGGCCGCTCCACTCCCGACCAACGTTGAAGTCTGAGCTCCGCAATCCAAAACGCCTCCCCCCCCCGAGTCTACACACGACCACGCGCAACACCGGCCATCGAGACCCCCACGCACCGCATACGAATACGCGACCATGGCATAAGCGGAAGCCCTCACCACACCAACTCACGTGCGCATCCCTTCACAGCTGCTCGCATGCCACCCTCGGCCCGCCGTGGCTCGCCCGGGCGTGGGAGATCAACAAGCCCGCGGCCCTTGATACCGCCCGAGCACGAGGATGCGAGCCTCATAGACAATCTGCCCGATGTATATGCTCCCCACAGCGACACGACACACAGCGATGCTAACCACGCCAGACGCGCCAGCTGCAAGCCTTTGGCCGCAAAGTCACCGCGACCGCCAGCAGCCTCATAGGCACCGAAGGCGTCGCCCAGCACTACCAAAACGCCCTCGGAGAGCTCCACCGCGAAATCCGACGGCCCATGCTGCAGCGCTCTGTCTTCTCCTTTGCCAACACCACGCCCCGCGAGATTGTGCGCTCGCGAATCTCCGTCCCCGAGATCCAGCAGCGAGCGCTGTCGTACATCCCCGACGAGATCCTGCACAACATCCCCGAGGACACCAGTGAGTTCTCGCTGTTCCAAGGGTTCCAGGCTTCGCTGCCAGATGAGCCGGTCAGGGGCTCGAAGCATGGCAAGCGCAATGCCAGAGGGCAGAGGCTGATTGGGGAGGAGCTTGGCGACGAGGACGCGAGTTTGCCGCCGTCTATGCAGAAGCTGAAGAACCAGAAGCACAGTATGAGCCACCGGCTGGAGATGATGGGCGTGCGGAAACACATGTGTGTGGCTGAGATTCTTGAGATTGACAACAAGATCGCGAATCTGAACACGCTGCGCAAGATGACGCTGGATCGTCTGGCAGGGCTGGAGATTGAGGAGGCTGAGCTTGAACAGGATCTGCTGGGCGTGGACAACAGAATCGAGGACCTGCAGGAGGAGCTGGACGACGCAGCAGCGCTTGCGCCCAAGTCTCCTGAGAGGCCGTCGACTGCAGAAGAAGAGGCGGGAGCAGAGGATAGCTTCATGTCTGAGTCGATCTACAAGAAACTCCCCAGTCCAAAATCGAAGAAGCACGTCAAACGACCGATACGGCGCATATCGATGCCGATTCTACACGAACACCTCGAGCCAGGATCGAAGATCAAGGAGCTACCCGCACACAACGACACCATCACAGCTCTCGACTTTGACGCGCCGTGGGGAACACTGGTCACTGCATCGCTGGACGACACCGTGCGCGTATGGGATCTGAGCGCTGGGCGCTGCATTGGCATGCTCGAGGGCCATCTCTCCTCAGTGCGCTGCCTGCAAGTCGAAGAGAACATTGTCGCAACAGGATCAATGGATGCTACCATCCGCCTCTGGGACCTCAGCAAAGCCGAGTACGCGCCCCTCGACAACCGGATAAACAAGCCCGGCGACGACGACGACGACGACGACGACGGCCTCGCTTTCGAGAACTCTGCGGATGCGCCGCCCGCTCCTCCGCCAACGATTATGCAAGACTGCCCCATGTTCTCCCTCGAATCTCACGTCGATGAAGTCACGGCCCTCCATTTCCGTGGCGACACACTCGTGTCTGGGTCAGCAGATAAGACGCTCCGGCAGTGGGACCTCGTCAAGGGGCGCTGCGTACAGACTCTCGATGTGCTATGGGCTGCCGCGCAAGCATCTGCAACCGACACAACGAACAACGGACAATGGCGCGGGACTGGCCGAGCTATGGATGCATCTGCGGACTTTGTCGGCGCTATCCAGGTCTTCGATGCCGCGCTGGCATGCGGTACCGCGGATGGCATGGTCAGGCTCTGGGATCTGAGGAGTGGGCAGGTGCATCGCAGTCTGGTTGGACACACAGGGCCGGTCACTGCGCTGCAGTTTGACGATGTGCATCTTGTTACTGCGAGTGCGGATAGGAGTATTCGGGTAAGTCACGACCGCCCACCCGTATCATAGCGTACCGTTGCTGACAACACGACAGATCTGGGATCTCCGCACAGGATCCATCTACGACGCCTACGCCTACGACAACGCGGTCACAAGCATGATGTTCGACGCCCGCCGCATTGTCTCCGCTGCCGGCGAAGATGTGGTCAAGGTCTACGACAAGACTGATGGAAGACATTGGAACTGTGGGCCTGGTGCTATGGAGGAGGAGGGTAGGAGGAGTGTTATTGAGAGGGTGAGGATAAAGGACGGATATCTGGTGGAGGGCAGGAAGGATGGCACTGTGGGCGTTTGGTCGTGCTAGTGAGCGTGTAAGAAGAGATGTACATATTGTATGCAAGGCTAGATCTTGAGGCATAGCAAGCGTTGTACTACTAGAATCGATTTGGTCCACCCTGCAATTTTGGCTGCCTCGGATGTCGTATGTCACCTCGCACGCAGGAGCGGCGACCAAGCCAGATGGAAGGTCGCGGAAGAGCTAAACAAGCACACGCGCGTGCCGACACTGAAGTCTGTAGCGTGGAGATTTCCCTGGCAGCTGGATCGCTGTCTGGCTAGCTCCGATCCGAGCGTTGACGTCAGCTTTAGCATCTGCAACATCAACAATTCTACCGCGAGCTTTTTCGCCTTGGAAGAGGACAAGGCTCAAACAACACTCGCTTTGACTCTATCTCCTACGATATGCGTTGAATCTTGCATCTAGCTTTCATCAATTGATACCCTACTATATCCCTTCTGCACCTCTATCCCGCTGCCCGGACAGCTGCACCTCCGGTCGCCGCCATGCTTCCGCGACAAGCTGCATCGCTGTCGCGCGTCTCCAACATCTCCTCCAGAGCCTCGCCGCTGTGCAGACGAGTACCCCAAGCTACACTCTCGCTGAACCGCTCCTTCTTCACAAGCAATGGCAACCCCGAGGCGAAAACAAGACGCGCCCAGCTGCTGGGTTCGGGTGCGCTCAAGAGCTCGCGCCTGAGCAAAGACAACGCCTCCCTCGTCCGCTCGCTCTCGTCCAAGCCGCTCCCCTCGCCAAACTCCCGATTCGCACGTTACGCATGGCGAACAGCAGCATGGCTGGGCACGTTTGTGGCGGTTAGTGGCACCCTCGTTGTCGCCTTCTTCATCTACGATGCCACCACGTACAAAGAAGAGCCGGATGCGGTCGACATCCCCGTCTCAGAGCTGGCCTTGAACCCGCGAAGGGGTGGTCCAAAGAACCTGCCCATCGCCGATCACTTTGTTGACGATGACGATTGTCCGGAGAACAAGGCCGTCAAGCACAAGCCCAAGCTGGTTATCCTGGGCACAGGCTGGGGTAGCGTTGCGCTGCTGAAGACATTGAACCCCGATGAATACCACGTCACTGTCGTCTCGCCCTCAAACACGTTCCTCTTCACACCCATGCTGCCGTCCGCGACTGTCGGCACTCTCGAACTACGGTCTTTGGTTGAGCCGGTCAGGCGCATCGTCAGGAGGGTCCATGGACACTTCCTCAAGGCGAAGGCTGAGGATATCCACTTCTCTGAGAAGCTCATCGAGTGTTCGTCTGTCGGCGCCGATGGCAAGGAGAGCCGTTTCTACGTTCCCTACGACAAGCTGGTCGTTGGTGTTGGCTCCGTCACGAACCCCCACGGCGTGAAGGGTCTTGAGAACTGCCACTTCCTCAAGGATATCAGCGATGCACGATTGATCCGCAACGCTGTCGTCCGAAACCTGGAGACCGCATGTCTGCCCACAACGAGCGATGAGGAGCGCAGGCGGCTGTTGTCATTTGTTGTTTGCGGAGGTGGACCCACTGGTGTTGAGTTTGCGGCTGAGCTGTTCGACATGCTTAACGAGGACCTTTCCAAGCAGTACCCGCGCATCCTGCGCAACGAGATCTCCGTTCACGTCATTCAGTCCCGAAGCCACATCCTCAACACGTACGACGAGGCTCTGTCGCAGTACGCTGAAACTCGCTTTGCGCACGATGCAGTCGACATCCAGACAAACGCTCGCGTGAAGGAGGTTCTACCCGACAGGATCTTGTACTCGCAGAAGGGCGAAGGCGACGATGCGAAGATTGTCACCAAGGAGATCCCCATGGGTTTCTGCCTCTGGTCGACCGGTGTATCGCAGACCGACTTCTGCAAAACCCTTGCCCAGAAGCTCGACGGCCAAAACAACAAGCACGCCCTCGAGACTGACACCCATCTCCGCCTGAACGGCTCGCCTCTCGGCGACGTCTACGCCATCGGCGACTGCGCAACAGTCCAAAACAACGTCTCAGACCACATCGTCAACTTCCTCCGCACCACCGCCTGGGAGAAAGGCAAGGACCCCGAGAAACTCCAAATCTCGTACGCCGACTGGCGCGGCGTCGCCAAGCGCGTCAAGCAGCGCTTCCCCCAAGCCGCAAACCACCTGCGCCGCCTAGATAAGCTCTTCGAGCAGTACGACAAGGACAAGTCTGGCACCCTCGACTTCGGCGAGCTTAGAGAGCTGCTGTTCCAGATCGACTCAAAGCTCACGTCGCTCCCTGCTACGGCGCAGCGCGCCCACCAGCAGGGTCAGTACCTGGGCCGCAAGTTCAACAAGATCGCCCAGGCGGCTCCGGGCATGGCGCTGAATGATATGGACTACGGCGACATCGACGATGCTGTGTACAAGGCGTTTGAGTACAAGCACCTTGGTAGCTTAGCGTACATCGGCAACGCAGCAATCTTCGACTGGAACGGCTATGGATTGAGCGGTGGACTTTTGGCTGTTTACCTCTGGAGGAGTGTGTACTTTGCGCAGTCTGTCAGTCTTAGGACAAGGGTTCTTCTTGCGATGGACTGGACGAAGAGAGCGCTTTTTGGACGTGGTAAGTCGAGCTTCACGCTGAACTTGATGGATGAGTGGTTAACACACGACAGATATGATGAACTTCTAGACCCGGGCGACTTGCATAGACCTTTCCTATTCTTCTATCGCCACAGCGGCGGTACCTTTCTACTAGACGTAGCGTTATTGTATAAATACCGACCCTGTTCAAACAACAAGCCTTTTCGCAGCTACTACAACTACGAGCCCTGCACACCAGCAAAAAGATACAATCGCCCATGCTCGCCAGCAACGCGGTGTTTTATCGCTACCGAGGTCATCACGGGCGCAAAAAGGATAGTTGTTCTCCGCTCCCAGAATCGAACTAGGGACCTTTCGATAACAATGAAGCTATTACAGTCGAACGTGATAAACCAACTACACCAAGCGGAGGAATGCAACCCGAAGGATGCGCTTGTTACTTTGATGTCAATTCAAACATTGGTTTGCAATATAAAGTAAGTCAACACATCACGTCAACAACTGATGAGCAATTGTTGAGGTAACCAGATCACGAGAAGTCGGTGGGGCTGAGATTTGACGGCTGACAGCTGCACAGTCAGAACTAGCGACTCTCTTCCGTAAGCGAGCAGAGATTCCGCGCATCTTCGGGTGCATCCCCCGCTTAGTGTACTTGGTCTATCACGTTCGACTGTAATAGCTTCATTGTTATCGAAAGGTCCCTTAGGCGCGCCGAGATGCGCTCGGCGGCCACATCTACTGTGGCTCCGAACCTCAATGCAAGAGTCGCTGTTGTGTGTGCGTAAATCCCACAAAGTAATGCAGAGGTCTTGATTGAATCCTCGATTCGCTGAGACTTCGCTATGTAGACGCGTTTGAAGTCGTACAACCATCATATCCTTACACACGGCGGAGACCTCGAAGACCCCCCACTCACGATGAACAAAAATCAGGCCAACGACCCGATCAAACCAACCACACCTCCGGCACCCATCAACAGAGCCCTTACGTAGTTCAATTTCTCAAACTTCGTCAACAGTCCCCTAACCTGCTCCTCTTCCTCGTTCGTCGGCTCTCTTCTCGTCTTCTCTTGAGGATCACTCAAATCGCTCCACTGGCTGATATCATACTCGCCGTTCACGCTCTCCTCGGCTGTCCGAGGTTTCGCATTGATGGATTGTCTGTATGAGATAGAGTCGGCACTATGGCTTCCCCCAAGATCCTCATTGCGCTTGATCAAGTCGAAGTTGGTGGGGATCATGAACACGCTTGTGAACATCGCGGTTGAGAAAGAGAGTACACTCGCTGCCAGAAAGAGGCCTGGTTTGCCTTTCACCACATGCGGCAAGACGCTGCTGAGTGTTCGCGCGGAGGCAGGCAGCGCGGCGTAGGCAAGGTATGCAAAGCCCGTGGACGAAAGAATGATCCCCGTTGGCGCTGTGTGTGAGCCGCGGCTGAAGAGCCAACGCAGCATGGGAAGAGAGCGCGATGCGGGTTGGGAGCGCATCAGGGGAATATCGAAGGCGGAGAGTGCGGCTATGCCGCCGGATGTGAAGAGGGCGGTGGATATGCTGAAGATTTGGATGGCTTGGGTTACTGACATTCTCAAGGTCTGTTTGTAGTGCGTCTTTGATTGGTGTGGAAAGTGTCTGTCAATGCTGTTATGGGGTTTGTAGGTGTTAAGATTATGTGGATTTGGTCGCACTTTGTATTGCATGTGATTCGGATCCCGAGCGTCGCGCAGAGTGCGGAAAGTCCGACATTGCGATGTGTGATGTCATGTCGAACTTCAGGCCATCCACTCCCACAACGTGCAACATCGGCACTACAAACTACGATCACCGACTTTGTTGATCAGTCTTCCCGATCTTACTCGGTCCTCTTGTTGACTCTGGGCAGTGCGAACCAGCATACAAGCATAGCCCCATATAACACCAGCGCTACTGGGTGAAGTACCCAAGTTCCTACCGCTTGCGCTAGAATACCTGTGGTAAACGGAGCAACTGCACCTCCAGAGCTGCCTGCAGATCCAATGAATCCGATTGCTGTCGTTTGTAGATAGCGAGGTACGAGGCGTGAAAAGATGGTCTGCGCACATGGGTAGACAGGACCAAGTAAGAGGCCCAGCAGAGAAACAGCAACGGCGTTACCAATAACGTTGGGAATCAGCCATGCCATCAGTTGGAGAGCCATAGTGCCTAGAGTGAGTCCAACCACGTAGTTCTTTTCACCAATCCTTGGTGCAGCGTGTGTCAGAACAAATCGACCGATAGTGATACCAGCCTGCGCGACATTAGCGATACACTTTGTATGAATGAATTCCTCCAACATACCCAGAAACCAGCTGTCACATATCCGACTTTTGCCGGATCTCCATCTCTGTAATTGATAAGGTACGAGATGATCCAGCCCGAGACTGCAACCTCCGCTCCTTGGTATGCAAAGATGAATAGCGCACCAATGATGGTGACCTTGTTCTGCAAAGCAAGCTTCAACTCCTTCATCTTCGATCCAGATTCGGCCGCGGCATTCTGTCGGCTGGCTGTGATTTCGAGGGCAGTAAGGAGTGTGTCAGACGAGTCCTCTTCGTAGTTGTGGAAGGCCCATGCTGCGAAACCGACGCAACAAAACCGTAATCCGAGCAGGAAGAAGTAGAAGCGCGACCAGATCAAGCCTTGCGAGACGATGGCTGTTCCAATGATGGGTGCAATAGTACCACCGACCCCATAGCTACCATGAGCTGCTCCAAGTACGGCGCTTGACGGTTGAATGTTTGCGCAGAACACATTGTTCAGAGCAAGGCTAGTTGCTGCACCGTAGCCTATGAAGAAGAAGCTGTAGAGGAATCAGTGCCGAAAGACAATGTAGGCTGGTCACGTACGCTATGATGACAAGAGGGAATGGAGGAGTGCAGACAAGTATGATATAGGCAGCAATCAAGAAGATTTCGGCGTATATCAGCGTCTTCGCTCGGCCCAGCTTGGCTAACACCCATGTCACCAGAGGTGCAGCAGCTATGAATCCCACAGCATTGCCAACGAAGACAAGGGACATGATTGTATGGGAGTTGTGGTAGTAAGCTTCCATGTATGGAATCAGAGCACCAACGACTGAAGATGGTTAGAAATTCGATGTTCCACGTTATGGGAGAACCGGTACCTTACCAGCATCATTGAGACCATTGCCAAAGTAGATCATACAACAGCATAAGATCCTCCACTTGTTCATCGGCGGATTATTCCAGGTCTGTACTAGGCCGACCGCTTCGTCTTGCCTATGGGCCGGCGGGCAGCTCATCTCAAGCTCATTGGGCGTCTTGGGCGTTTGGGTGCCTGTCTTGGGTTGTTGGTCGAAGTAGGTTCCATGGCTAGCATCTTTGCCAGGTTTGATAGGTTCAAGCTCGATGTCTGGCAGAACTCCAATATGAGGTTGTTTGCCTTGACTCTTCTGGTACGTTGGTGCAGGATTGGTAGGAGCCACGGATTGGATGTCGAACATGCCATGGAGGCTGGAGGATGCCATCTTGCTTTACGTTGGGTTAGTAGATTTACCAAGCCAGAAGTACGCAAGGAGATTTGAAGAAGCTTTAATCAAGGTGCAATGCTCTACGTGCGTAAAGGTCGGTGGGTGGAAATCTACCCAAGGCAAGCAGAAGAGAAGGAACTATAAGCTGAGCGCCTTGGGCAACGGATGCGGGTCCGTTCTGCAAAGGGAAGACCATGATAACCGTGACTAGAAAGAGCGACAGTCACGGGTGTCATCGGGTGTTGTTGCTGATAAATGGATACGCCTGCTAATGCGGAGAGCCGCACTAGTAAAAAGATTCTCTGGCACGCGTATCTACGGTAGAGCGTTCCCCCGACATTCATCCAGTGAGACAGTCATCCATTGTTGCATGCTTACTGTCCGTGAAGATCCTATGGATGAATGAGCTCTCCATGACTGGGTCATTATGCATGCTGCTACACAGCATCGATCATCCACACCTATCTAACACTCAAAGAGGAACCTATCCGACGAACCCTTGACGCTTGAAAATGCAGTACGAGGTAAAGAAGGGCGTCAAATATCTAGAAGGGCTGTGGAAGCGTTTCCCAAACCGTTCGCATAGTGCGAGGTCGGCTGTGGGGAGAATTACCTCCTCGGCCACTACCGAATGCCGGCTTCTTCCCTGCAGAGCCCGTGCCCCTCCAAAATCATTGCGGTTTCTTGATCGGTTTCACGAGTTACACGCGTATAACCACACCGATACATTTTATACCAGCACAACACAGTCACTATGGGCCGCCCAAAACGCCAAGTACTTGCCACGATCGAAGACACGATTACGCCACCTGATGTCCTGCCAGACTCGCATCTCATCGCGCGCATTGTGAAAGCAGAGGGCAAGAATCTCTACAACGCTGAGCTGCCTGGTGGAAAGTCGATTCTCGCAGAGCTCGAGGCCAAGTTCCGCTCGACGGTGTGGATAAAGCGGGGCAGCTATGTCATCGTGGACGCGTCTGCGTTGGCGGATAGAGATAATAAGCTGGACGGAGAGATTGTGAACATAGTGAGGGACGAGAAGGCGTGGAGGAAGATGTCATACTGGTAAGTGTGAATGCTACGACTGGGGTATGTATCGATGTGCTGATTATGCTAGGCCGAAGGAGTTCGTCAAGAAGCCCGCCTACGAGGACAGCGACGAGGAGGAGTCGACGGTTGGGAAGATGCCGCCTTCCGATTCGGACGAAGAGTGAGCTTATTCTGTATGCTCATGGTCCTCTTCGATGATGCCCTTCGTCGCGCCCACGAATTCGTTTCGCGTCCCCCACCATGCGCCGGCTACGGTCACAGCCAGCACTCCAACGACGGTCGCTGAGCTGATCGGTGTACTCGGGTACACATTCCAAGCCCATTCCTGCGCAGCCCAGAGCGCATACTGGATGACGGGGTGGAAACCTGCTTTCCAAAACAGGAAAGGTGTGGTCCATGCAATATACGCGTAAAATTGGTAGTGCAGCGATCTTGCGCACAGCATTCCAATAGCGGTTGCCGTGAGAATAACCGTCATAATGAAGTCAGGCGTTATCCTCTTCGATATGGTGTCCTGGTCTCTGGGTTCCTGGGCGGGCAACACAAGTTTAAGAAAATTGCGAGGTGTGCGTTTAGAAGGCTTGATCCAGCGTGTGTAGGCGAAGAACAGCAGTAGGCCAGCATGAACGGCCAGAAGGCCAATCGCAAATGGCTTCGACAAGAATGTTTCCTCGGAGACGAAGCGCCAATTGACGGTCCATTTGTAGAAGAAGGCTCTGGTGAACTCAAATGCGCGGCCAAAATAGCTGAAGCTCTGCTTCCTGAATGGATATCCAAACAGAACCTGTCACCATTAGATAATGCATTCACCATCTGCATGTTCCAACATACCGAGACTTGGAAGATGATCATTGCTTGCGTAATGGCCTCCCTGCTACCCAGCGCCTGAATCATCAAGATGCCCATAGCCGGCAAGGGCAACAGTAAACTCATCTTGACATTCAGACCCGTGGTGTAGAAGAAACTCCCCAAATGCCACTGATTACGCTGGTAGCAATAAATCGCCGCCCACAGCCCTAGCACTGCAAAGCAATCATTGAAGCATCTCAGCATGAAAATGCTATGCAGCCTCTTACTCAAAATGAGCAGCGGGAAGACATACGGTGGGACCTATCTTGATCAGCTTAATCCCCCCTCTCATAAACAACAGAAGCACATACCTTGGCTTTCCTATAGCATTGGAACACAATCGCCAGAGTAGCGAGGTAGATCAGCGCAAAGATGTATTGTGCTCTTTGGATGTCGCGCCCCTGATCCGTGAGCCGGTACAACTGCTTGTAGATCCAGACATGCGCGCCAGGATATACAAGGGGTCCCGTGCCGCCCACAATCTTCTTATAGTCTCTTTCGCCTTTGAGGTATATCTCGATCTGCTGCATGTATGCTGTCCAGTCGATTTCTGTGTCTATTGAGGCGTCAGTCGTAATCCTTCCAGAACACGTGTTCTCGTGATGGCGCGTACAAGCAACTTTATCAATGATGATACCGCAGAGCGCTGCATCTGCCACCAGGAGTAGAGGCGCTATCCATTTCGTGTTGCTAGGATTATAGGCGATATCGTATGCTTGGCTGAGGAGCGACATGGCGCCGGGAGTTTGGTGGCGTTGATGTTGGGATTAGTAGAGGTCATATAGAGAAAGCTCGATCACGTGTGTAGGTCTCGGGTTTCAAGATTGTAAGCACTCAAACCGGGAACCGTTTCAGACAAAAATGGTTCGGGCGATGCTTGGGCGATTATTTGAGGGTTGTAGTTGGTGGGTGCGGAGTGGGTGCATGTTGGTGTGTTCCGATTATTCTGGGTTGCTTCATAATTGAGGTTGAACTATTGTAAAATCTTCTATGTAATGTCGATAGCCAAATACAAATGCAAGCCGTGCAACAACATAGCCGACAGATACTATCGCCAGTAACGCCAATGAATGCATGGTCATGTCCCGCCAACTTTTCGGGGTATCCTTTTGTACAAGAAAAAATCAACATTGTGCCGTCACGCCTGAAGCTAGTGCTTCTTCTTCTTTTTGCTCTTCTTCCTGTTCCTCTTCTTCTTCTCCTCGGCTTCTCCGTCAGCCTCAGCCTCCGGCGCGGCCGCTAGCATTCTGACGTTACCATACTTCTGGCGGATCTCCTTCTCGAATTCGTCTTTCTCAAGGCGGAACAGAGCCATGGTAGCTCTTGCATCTTCGACTGAGCTATGCGCGCCTGTCTGGATTTCCACACCAAGCAATTTCTGTGTGAGCATCTTCAACCCTGGTGTCCATCCTGCCTTTGTTGCCAATTGACGGAACTTGGAGAACTTGGAGGTGTCGCGAATCAAGCGCTTGTCGTGCTTCAAAATCAAGACATCCAAATCATTCTTCACAGCGTGACCGACGAGTATACGTCCTCCAAGCAGGATCTTGAGATCACTGCGTACCTCTTCGAATGTGCGTGCGACATCTTTGCGCAGGTGCTTCGGTTCGATGCCGGAGACGGCTGTGCGGTAGTCGGTGACTTCAACCTTGGGAGGCATTTGAACGTAGGAGTCGTAGACCTGATGGCCATGATAGTTGACCAATGACACTCTTGCCAATGCTGAGTCGCGGTTGGGCTCTGGGCCTACACCAACCATTTCACAATCAAGTGCGACGTATTTGCCGGGTAGTGCGGTCTCGGAGACACCCTCGTTCTCGATGTCGGGGAAGTCGGGGTGAGGTGTAAGGATGTCGTCGGCGACAGCAGCATCCTTCTCGGATGTGATGAGTGGTGTGCGCTTGAGCTGGGGTGTGGAGACACTACGGGTGAGCGTCTTGACATTGTGCTGCTTGATTGATGCGCCAACAGACGCAGGTTCCTCCATCTTTTGCCGTTTCCTCGATGCAGGAGACTTGTGTGGTGCAGGTTTTTTGGCTTCGTTCAAGTATTGCCGGGATACACTTGTAGACCTGTCGTTGGACTTGAAGGATCGCTTGCGCTTCAATGAGGTCGGCTCTTCGGTGGAGGTCTGAGATTTCGAGGATGTTGCGGGTTTCGAGGCCTGGAGTTGGGCCTGTAGCCTCTTCCAGTTTGAACTGAGCTCTGGTGCCATATCGATGTCACCTGCGCAGCATAGCGGTGTATATGCCGTCCCTTCTCTGGTTGTCAACGTCGATGCCGTTTCAATGCTCGAGTCCCCGCAGGAACTTTTGTTTGAACGGCCGCACTAGCGCACTATTCTGCCGAGGCGGTAAAGCAGGCAACACCGCGACGAAGGGACCGCAACACCATCAACTTCATCACGACATCATCCACCACGACGCGACTCAAACCCCACAGTAATCACCAGGCGTTTGTCGCATTGTTATGGCGCCTCGAGAGAACTCGTATGAGCCCTCCGGCACGCCCGTGCCGGTAGAAACAGGATTTGCCACGCTAGCTCAGCTCAGGTACGTGCGACTCCAGTGCGCCAGGTTTTGAGATGCATACTGATGATTTGTGTTAGGGTTGGAGTGAAAGCATGGGTTGAGAAAGTGAGTCGCAGCGCAGCTGGAGTTCGCGAGGCACGCCGAACGCGTCCCCGTGGAACATCAGAAGAATAGAACATCACAAAAACACGCTGCGCAGAACGCTAACTAACAGCTCATAGGAAGGCGAAAAGCGCAAAGCTGAACTTCTTTCAATTCAGACCCGTCAAGGCCAGACCAAGTTTTATGTGCATTATGAAGACTTCAACAAGCGTCTCGATGAGTGGATCGCAGCAGATCGCATTGATCTGTCACGAGAAGTCGAGTGGCCTGCGCCCGAGAAGACCGACAAGAAGAAGAGCAGTGCCTCTAAGACAGACAAAGCACCTTCCAAGTCGGACCAGAAAACCCTCAAGAGATCACGCAGCAAGCTGGACCGCGAGATATCAGGAACACCTGAATCAACATCCAGCAACATTCCTGGTAAAGCACAGCGACCATCAAAAGCAAGCGGAAAAGAGAACCAGGAAGTACTCGTCACCAGTGAAGTCACAGATGGGACACCTAAGCCGGAAGACGAGGAGATGGACCTGGTGGACGTCCAAGATGCCGCCGCAGCAGCCAAGGCTGTGTCAGACCAGAACTACTCCCGCGAGGACGAGATCGAGAAGCTGCGTACGTCAGGCTCCATGACACAGAATCAGACCGAGATCTCTCGAGTTCGCAACCTGGAGAAGGTGCAGATGGGCAAGTTCGAGATCGAACCGTGGTACTTCTCTCCCTACCCCATTGACTTTGTAGATTCGGACGTCGTCTACATCTGCGAGTTCTGCCTCTCGTACTACGGTGAGCAGACACAGTTCGAACGCCACCGCGCAAAGTGCACGCTTCTGCATCCACCTGGCAATGAGATCTACCGCGACGACTACGTTTCATTCTTCGAGATTGACGGACGGCGGCAACGGACATGGTGTCGAAACCTCTGTCTGCTCTCGAAGCTCTTCCTGGACCATAAGACTCTTTACTACGACGTCGACCCTTTCCTCTTCTACTGCATGTGCACGCGCGACGAGCACGGCTGTCACCTTGTCGGCTACTTCAGTAAAGAGAAGGAATCAGCTGACGGCTATAACGTTGCATGTATCCTCACCTTGCCTCAGTACCAGCGAAAGGGTTTTGGAAAGCTACTTATTGACTTTTCGTATATCCTGTCAAAACGCGAAGGCAAGCTTGGCTCGCCTGAAAAGCCGCTTTCTGATTTGGGTCTTCTGGGTTACCGTGCATACTGGCAAGAGATCATAGTCGACTTGCTTATGGACGGTCGAGTAGAGGCTAACATCGACGACCTCGGCGCAGCAACAGCGATGATGACGAACGACGTTCTGCACACGCTGCAGAACTTGAATATGCTTCGCTACAGCAAGAACCAGCATGTCATTGTCTTGACGGACGCAGTCATCGAGCAGCGCGAGCGCCAGAAAGCGAAAGAGAAGCTGAAGGGCAAGAGGAGCCTCGACCCAGAGCGACTTATCTGGAAGCCTCCGGTCTTCTCTGCTGCCAGTCGTACATGGAATTGGTGATCGTACCTCGACCACACAGGCGTCAGGGAAAGGAGCGAGGAGTCAATGGTTGTTTTGTTATGGTATACCCCAACTTTGTCTTCACAATCAATCCAAGCATCAAAGCTAACCATTGCGAGACTACTAACGTATGTCTTCTATACCGTCGCGCTGACATTTCCTCAAGATTAGGACTACCGCTCTTTTGCTGCTTCTTGCCTAAAGAGGAAGTATTTGGTGCTGCTAAGCACTGCAAGCGCTTACTGATCTTCACAACACCAGCCTCACCATAGGTATGGAACGCCTGACGCTTCACAGCTGACATGAGCCTTGGTATCTCGTTGTCTCAAAATCATCGTCAGCTTTGGGTTTGGAAACGCATCATCATTGGAATATCCCTCACCCTCACTAGCAACCATGGCAACAGAGTCAGTAGTAGATTGTCCCTCATTGGCAACCACGGCAGGCGAGGATCCCTCAGCGGCAGAGGATGTGTGGGCAGAGAGTCCCTCAGGCGGACCCTTCTCACTTGGTAAACAGAAAAAAAGCTAGCTACAAGCCCGAATTTGTGGGAGGTAGTCAGTGCTGATTTTCAGGATGTCTGCAGTCTGATAAAACCTTTGAGGACTACAATGGTTTCTGTATGTCGTAGCTACCGTTTTGCAACAGGGTCCGCCGGATAGGCAAAACCCCTTTCCAAATGACGAAGGAAACTTTAGCAGACACAATCATAGCTCATTGTGGGATATCGGTCGCGCATACAAACAGAGCAGCTGCAGGTCTTGCAAAGGTGAGCGCTGTCTGAACAGGTGCATGGTTGTAGAAGCTAGCACGTGCCTTGAGGCTGAAACTAATTGTATGAACCACGTTCCTCCACATCGAAAGAGCCTCATTTTCTCTGCTTTGACGTTGATGTCATTGGTCAGCGCAAGAAACATTCGGACACGAGTCAAGACAGGTGTCACTTGCCTTTGTCAATGATGCATCGATGTTTGGTCGCTGTCTAGCATTCAGCAACAGCACTGCCGTAAGGTTGGGCTTAGATATGCCAGCATGGTGCTTCACCGAGTGGAATTAACCTAAAACACCATACAAGCTCTTGTACACTTACCAAATTGACTATTTCGTTACCACGCGTCAAGCCTCTCCTCAGTCACTTAGCAACATCACTCAGTTTCGGCAACAACACCCATAGCCAGCAACATCCAGCCAGCAAAAGCTTCGGCACTCAGCGAAGTCTTCAATAGTCAACAAAATGATGCCCACAGCATTTCTTCTGCAAGGCTTCCTCATCAATCTGTGCCTTGACAGCTCCAGTGCAAGGCAGTTCCAGTGACTTTCAGCCGGGATTTCAGCTCCCACACGCGCGCGACTATCTTTTCCCTGTCGAATTCATCATCAATATGGGCAAGGCGATCCTTCCCAGAGGCTACGGCTCATCGAAGACAACATACACCGATGACGAGGTCACCGCGCTGGTCGGAGAGCAGCTCCGCTCTAAAGGCGTGATCATCGACGGTCAGTCGGCCCATATCAGCAACATTACGGCAGTCCTCAATGCTTCGACAGCCATATTGCACGACACTTAACGCAAGGCCGAGATTCTGAGTGGGGATAACGCGAACAAAGATGCAACTATCCATGACCAGGAAGCCAAGATCCACAGCTTGGAGGCGGATAAGTCCAAGACAGAGGGATACCTTGAGGTACTGACGGAAGCCGACCGAGTGATGGACATGGTCAAGAGCGAATACTGAGCAGTGAGCAAGCGCCGCGTACAAGCATAACCACTACTGTGGCATTCAACCCTCTTACTCTTCTCAGAAGTCGTCTTGCATCGGTATGTAAAGGTGGCTATAGGGCAAAACATCCAATTGCTCTGGTCAGGCTAGTGATCTTCCGACTTGTACACGTTCCTTGTACGTTCATAGATAACCCATATACTAGCTTCAATTGACCAGTTCTATTTGTCAGGGCAGAGTTGTGCTTGTTGTCAGAGTTGTCGTCTGATGTTCTGGATGTTCGTCCCAATCTATAACTTTTGACTCCTAAAATGTGCACCGATCTACCTTGAGCTCCCACTGCCTTAGATGGAGGCAAGAAAGTCTGAATGATGGAGTCCTTCACCCCTATTACCTAATCAGGAATGCACTAAACGACATTAAGACCTACCGCTAGTCCCAATCCATCATGGTACATCCATAGTGCTTTTCTTTACGTAGACCAGAGCTCCGAAAGACAGAAAGAAAGAATGGGGGCAAGGGGCGGCCGCAACTACTCAATTGGGGGAGACATATTCAAACGCCGACAAACAAGCCACAGTTTGCTGGAGAGCACTGACCGCTTCCCACCAACCGTCAGCGATCAAGCTTATGACGTTGGTGTGTGTATGGTAGTCTGCCAGTGATCACAAAACGATGTGCAGCCTGTACACCAAGTGGCTAACTATTGTTTGAAAAGCGCTGCATCAGAGCCAAGGTGGAAAAAATTCATTCGCTTTAGTGGACTACCATCCGTCGCGTACTTCTTCGATTTTACGATGATGCTGTGCACGTGCCCACACCTTCACACCTTCGCCCTCACGCTTACATTCCATATAGTGAGGGAACGCCGCCTACAGTGGCCCAAAACTCAGCACGAGAAACATACTACGCATCTCTAAAGAATAGAATGCGGTATGTTTGTAAGAGGACGCAAACATTCAGGTCAATGTGTGATGGAGTAGAGGCCATGGAGTGTCATTACGACTGAGACATGAAGCGTGATCCAACTTCACCGCATCACGAGGGCCTCAGTTTCATAGATTTGGGTACAGCGCCTCTGTTCAGTGTAGGACGTGCCCAGGAAGTCTGAGACGAGATTCAATCCGCCTTCGCTGACGGTTCTGCAAGGTCTGGTAATTGTCTGGCATGGGCTCAATGTTGCCGTGACAGACGCACCTTGTAAACTTATCGATTCCCGCACATAGTGAGAGTTCAAATCGTCACAAAAGTTCAAAAGCTTCGTAAATCTTCGTGCAGCCCCGCGACTCAATCTTTCTCCAACCGCATCTTCAGCAACATTGCTAATTCTTATCATCCACCAACATTTTCTTCCAAGTCAATACCATGAGAGCTGAGGAATACCTTATCTACAGCTTGGTCATTTTCTCCACTACAGCTCCGGCTGCCATATTCTCCTGGGGCTCTAAATCCGGTGAGCAGGTAGGTGCAGAAGTCGTTTTCATAGAGCAGAATGTTCCATCGAGCCCGCACCAAGCCAGCATATCCGCCCCGCCGAATTCATCAGCATCGTATCAAATCCTGTTAACCCACTGACTAGTTTTCCTGGATAGGTTCAATCAGGCAATCCGTACAAACTATTCGACAAGCGCCTCACGGAGGCGCGAACCAACAAGGAGATCCACGCCGACTTCCTGGACACCATCGTTGCTCCCATGACGCCATGGTCCTCGAGGATGACAACTGTGTCTGCAAGGCTGAGAAGGACAGGCTGCTTGCAGACCTCCAGAAACTGTCGAGGAACGAGCGAGAGCAAACTGCACTCCTGGATGAGTACGATACGGACAAGAAGGGCGCGAAGGCGACTGAGTCCGCTTGAACTCGTTCCACGCAGCATGTTAGGAGTTGTCATCTGTAAGTACGACCATCTTGTCTCCGTGAGCTCTGCTGATCAGTGAGTCATAGACGGACACAGAGGCTGGGTTTCCTCGTGTATGGATGAAGCAGTGGTTTCGCATGTTTGACTTATGATTTGGAGGCTGGAAGGTGTTGGCATAATTCCATCGGTCCTCTCGGATGCCAAAGAGGAGATCCTTCCGACTCCAGATAAACTACTTCGTAAGTGTGTAATTACCATGTCGCAGCGCATGACTGATATGTACGCAGCTGAACAGCAAGCGGCCAGCCCGGACTATCAACCTCTGGAACCCTGGCTCGACGGAGCCCATCGATAGTGCCGCATGTACCTTGAGGCGCAGACCACGCTTCTACAATGACAACTGGATAACGGAATAGCCGCGCGGCAGGCCGCCGAGGACAGGCTAGCGGTTGAGAATTAGGCACACTCTGCTACGCGACGCGAGGGGAAGGATTGGCAGCGCGCCTACTGCTGAAAGCATCTCAAGTACTCAGCAGCTCGCCAACACCCGAAGTAAGGCTGGGAGGTGCTGCGGTGGCATGATCGGTCGGTACACGGCAAACAGTATGTAGACGTTTTGGCAACACAACTAGGCACTTGTCAGTAACACCAGGAGTTTGGGTGTAACGTTCTTTGATAGGCAGAAATGGGTATAGAACTCCATATGGTGTCCATGATTCGTGACTTGTTTTCTCATTACGGGTTGTCGTCAACTCCTTCTCTTGTCTACCTCACTTACGATCGACCCTCTAGTGACCATGCCCATCATCGCCGCCGCCCTGCTCCTCGGGGTCGAGCTTGATCAGTGTGTCGATACGCATGATCGCCACACACGCCTCGACGGCAGACTTAAGCTGCTTGACCTTGCTCATGCTGGGCTCGAGCACACCGGCCTTCAGGCAGTCGTGTACCTTGCCGTTCGACAGGTCGAGACCGTAATTTTTGTAATTCTTCGACTTGGCGAGTTGTTTCGCGTCCTGGGAAGAAGGATCTGTGGGGTTGACGGTTCGTTGCGAGAGCGCGTGTCTCGATCGCAGGTTGGCAACGAGCTCGGTTGCGTCCTTTGCGGCATTGATGGCAAGGGTCTTGGGAATGGAGAGAAGAGCCTGGGCGAAAGCGGCGATAGCTAGCTGTTCGCGAGAGCCCTGCATGCTTGGTTAATTTCACGTCTTTTCGATCTTGAATGATCGTGCACTTACGACTGATGTTGCCCACTCTTCCAGATAGATGTGCAGAGCTGTCTCAACAGCGCCTCCACCGGGGACAATACGTCCGCTTTCGAGTGTTCGCTTGACAGCGGACAGCGAGTCGTGCACTGATCGCTCCATCTCGTCCAGCGCGTAGTCGTTGGCTCCTCGCAGAATGATCGAAGCAGAAGAGAAGGCCTTGGTTCCCTTGACAAGAATGCACTCGTCATCCGAGATGCGCTCCTGTGCTACCTCTTCCGCCTGACCCAAGTTTGCTGCCTCGAACTTCTCGTCACCGTTCAGATCAGATAGTGTGCTGACCAGTGTCGCTCCAGTGGCCTTTGCTATCCTGCGCAAATCCTCTTTCTTGCACCTTCGTACAGCCATTGCGCCCTTCTCGACGAAGTGCTTCAGGCACAGATCATCGATACCCTTGGTTGTGAGGATCACGTTGGCGCCGGCCTTCAGGATCATCTCGATGCGCTCCTCGACAATTCCAGCCTCGCGCTGGCGAATCTTCTCGAGCTGCTCCGGGTCGTCGATTGTGATGTGTACGCCCAGCTTCATGCGCTCCTTCTGGAGGTTGATGTCAAGGCAAGCAATCTTCGCGTCAGTGATGCGGGTCTTCATGGCTTGCGATGCGACTGTGCAGTTCAGAGCATAGCCCTTGACGAGGACCGACTGAGTGGCGCTCTGGCCGTGTGCCTTCAAGATGTTGACAGCCTTGACGGGGTACTTGGTCTCGTTTTTGTTGTTGGTGGTCTTGACGGAGGTCATAGCATCTACGACCATGTTGGCGAAGAAGTCCGAGTCCGAACCAATGATCTTGGAGGACATGGATGTTTTCGCGATGTTGACCAGAGAGTCGCGGCCGAGCGCGTCCACCTTTGTGCTGATGTTCTCGTTCATGTACTTCACCGCCTCCCTCAGCGCCAGCCTGTAGCCCGTGATGATTGTGGTGGGGTGGATCTTGTTCTTCATGAGCTCGTTCGCCCGCCTCAACAGCTCAGCTGCTATTATGACAACCGATGTTGTGCCATCACCAACTTCTTTATCTTGCTGTTGTGCGAGGTCGACCAGAATCTTTCCTGCGGGGTGCTCGATGTCGAGCAAGCTTAGGATCGTAGCGCCGTCGTTCGTGACGGTAACGTCACCAATGTCATCTACCATCATCTTATCGAGGCCTGAGGGCCCGAACGACGACTTGACGACATTGGCGATTGCCTGTGTTGCAAGGACATTCTGGTCGCGAATATCTTGGCCGCTGATTTTGTTTCCACCGAGGACTGCATATGTCAGCTATTGTCCAGCTTTGAACTGCTCCCAAGCTTACACAGAGTTCCTCCGCCACGTGACTGCTCGAAGATTCCGGCCATGTTGTCGTGATGTAGCTGTTTATGCTGTGTTTAGGCTCCCTCAACGCGGTTTCCAAAATCTCTACACTACGCGGCGGGACGCTCCTGCATGTCGGCGAAAGGTGCCGTGCCTCCGACGCTAAAAGACCCCTGTCGCGAATGAGTCGGTCGCCCTCCACAGTTGGGCACAACACCACGCGAGACATCTGTGACTGTGTTGACAGCCCTATCAGCTACTCTTTAGGTACGCGCTGCGCCTCTGCTGTTACTTGAGTCTGTTGTCTCTCGGCTCAAATTTCTGACTCTTCAATTGCAGGTAAATATGCTCTCTATGACTGTACCCCGCTACCCCGCCAAACATTCCGATATCTTGTTCTGTTTCCCAAAGGGATATCTTTTGGTGTTCAATTGCTGTTATACCCACAAATGAATACAATTTTGACCTCGCACCCCCTCACGTCTTTCCTGTTCCTCGCGCTGACAGTTGCCTTTTACCTTAGACTTTCCTCCTGCAAATCACACCCTATTACCTCCACCATGGCCGAAGCCACCGCCGCCGATGGCCAGATGAAGGACCTAAAGATCTCTGAGACCAAGAAGAGCAAGAAGGATGGCGCTCCCAAGACAGCTGCCAAGAAGCCTCAGCAGCAGAAGAAGAAGGTCAGACTTCTATGGTCATAGCGACAAGACAAGAATTGGAGTGTTCACACTATAACAGATCGAGGGCGCTGCGCTCATTGGTATCGATGTCTCAAAGGAGGATGATCTTGGTGAGTGGTACCAGCAGGTCATCACCAAGGGACAGATGATCTCATACTACGATGTAAGCTCTTTGTTTCCTCCAACACCATGTTTAGTTGGCTAATGTATCTAGGTCGCTGGATGGTAAATACAGCTGGCCCTTGCTATCGAACGCGCCACTAATTGCGACACAGCTACATCCTCGAGCCCGCATCCTACGCCATCTGGGAGTCGATCAAAGCTTGGTTCGACAGCCAGATCAAGACCTTGAAGGTTCGCAACGCATACTTCCCCATCTTCATCAGCGCAGACAACCTCGAGAGGGAAAAGGAGCACGTTGAAGGTTTCGCCGCCGAGGTCGCGTGGGTGACAAAGGGTGGAAAGTCTGATCTTGAGAAGCCCGTTGCCGTTCGCCCTACCTCCGAGACCGCAATGTACCCCTACTTTGCACGAAAGATCCAGTCGCATCGTGATCTTCCTCTGAAGCTGAACCAGTGGAACAACGTTGTACGATGGGAGTTCAAGCGTAAGAGTTTGTTCGTTGCTTCAACCACGCTCTGCTAACGCTTGCATAGACCCCATGCCCTTCATTCGGTCTCGTGAGTTCCTATGGCAGGAAGGTCACACTGCGCATTTGACCCAGGAGGCTGCTGGCGAAGAAGTTATGCAGATCCTTGAGTGGTACTCTCAGGTCTATCAGGATCTGCTCGCTGTCCCCGTTGTAAAGGGTACCAAGACTGTCAATGAGAAGTTCCCCGGAGCTGACTACACAACAACAATCGAGGGTTTCATCCCTGCCACTGGCCGTGGTATCCAGGCCGCCACATCTCACTGCCTCGGACAGCACTTTTCGAAGATGTTCAACATCACCGTTGAGGACCCCAACCCCAAGGAGGGCGGCAAAGCAGAGCACGTCCACGTCTGGCAGAACTCGTGGGGTTTGACCACCCGTTCCATCGGTGTCATGATCCTGACCCACGGTGACAATCGCGGTATGGTCATTCCTCCCCGTGTCGCTGAGATTCAGGTCATCCTGATTCCTGTCGGTGTCAATGCTAAGATGTCTGCTGAGGCCAAGGAGGAATTGTACAGCAAGGTCAAGAGCATTCAGGATAGCCTGACCGAGGCTGGTGTGCGTGTCGAGTCTGATTACCGTGAGGGTTACTCCCCCGGGTGGAAGTTCAACGACTGGGAACTCAAGGGTATCCCTCTCCGCATTGAGTTCGGTCCCAAGGATGCTGAGAAGGGTGTTGTCACCACCTCTCGCCGCGACATTGACGACAAGGATGCCGCACGTGGTACCATCAACGTCGATGACGTCGCTAAGGAGGTCCCCAAGCTGCTCGAGCAGATTCAGGCTGACATGTTCGCTAAGGCTGACAAGGCCTACCGCGATCACCGTGTCCAGCTCACCAACTGGGACGACTTTGTCCCCACACTTAACGGCAAGAACGTCGTTCTTGTTCCCCACTGCGAAGGCGACAAGTGCGAAGACGAGGTCAAGGCCAAGAGTGCAAAGACAGCGCTTGGTGATGGTGTTGCGGAAGACAAGCAGGCTCCTGCTATGGGTGCTAAGAGCTTGTGCATTCCTTTCGACCAGCCTGAGGGCATCGAGCCTGGCAAGACAAAGTGCATCAATCCTGACTGCACAAATCCTGCTAAGGCCTGGGTCCTGTTCGGAAGGAGTTATTAGAGAGAGTTGGGGGTTAGGTGTTTGCTGTTAGCATTGAGCATTTGGTGGCTAGGTATTTGATGGGGTGTTTGCACGGTATGGAGTCGAGATACCGTTGCCACGATGATTGTTCCATGCATGTTCGATAAGATATCAAAAATACATAAAGATTTTGACAACACTTCACAAGCAACGAGTCGTGGCGCTATACACCGATCTGCAAACGCTCTCTGCCACTGTTAGGTCGGCGTGTCTGCCACCTACATGGTCCTCCAGCAGGGCTCCACTCTTGTACTCGCATTCACTTCACTTCACTGCTGGCATGGAACCCCGGCTATTTACCACGTTCGCTTTCTCTTCCTTCTTAAACCGCTTCCTCAGATACCTCCACATCAACGAAGAACAAGCTGAGAAACAGCATGTGCAACAAACTCCTTCAAACCTACGCCTGCGGGCACTCCAAAAGCATCTGTACAACACCCTGCGTCCACGCGCTCAAGTCAACTGAGCTCCCTGCCAACTTGGAGACTTCCAAAAGCACTGTGACTCGCTCAAACTCAACAACCAACTTCTCACACTCAAATACTCACCACTCACCTCTACACGTCACCAACGCCCCTTCAGCGCCAACAAGCCCAACACATATCCCAGCGTTCCGCTTCGCTCCGCCATCCACACCATCACCCACCTCCCCCGTCTCACCAGTCTCACCCTCCTTCACTGGTCAGCTCAGTGCGCCACCAAGTCGCTTCCCTTCACCAGCACCCTCTACTGTAGAGCCGGAGCCCAAATTCTGCGCCTACTACATCCCGCGGTATTTGGTGACGAGCAAGTATCCGTGCATCGAATGTTACCACGAGGCTGACTGGGAGGGGTTGAGGGGTAAGTGGATGGAGAGTTATCGGTTGGGGCATCCTTTGGAGAGTGGGGAGGGGGTGGAGAGGTTGAGTGGGGTCGAGGGGGTTATGAGGAATGTAGGGGATTGAGGCGGGGGGGGGGGGGGGGTGGGGGGGGGGGGGGGGGGGGTTGCTGATGATGCGTGGGAAGAGGTGTGAGATGAGGATATGGGGATGGAGATGGAGGTTCAACAGAAAAGTGTGTGAGGTCGCAACAGAGTGACGTCGTCAAGGTATGGGTGGAGAAAAAGAGACATTGTACCATGGTCTAAACAGATTATCGCTGTAACAATTGACCGATTCAGAACTTTCGTACAGCCGTTAGTTCGTGGTTCGTGTAATTATGTACTCCTGGAAGGATGTGCTAAGCTTGCTGGTCTATGTCAAAGCATGAAAACAGCTTGTCACATAAATGCAATCCTCTACCTTGCACATCGAGCATTCAAGATATTCATGACTCGTCCATCTTGTCGTCATCACCCTTCTTTTCGTTCTCCACCGTCTTCTTGACGCCCTCCAAAAACGCCTTGACGGCATCGCCACCTCCGAGTGGCATGGCACCGCCCCTCATGTAGCCGCCATGCTCAACGTCAACTTTCAGCGCTTGAGCAACAGTGGGTAACGCACCAGACCTAAGTGCTTCTGTCAGGCTACCTAGCGCAGCGCGAAGCTGGGGCGCGCGTATTATCCTGTTTAGTACTTCTCTCTTTGAGTCTTGATCCAATGTCTGTACCACCATTTGTGCGGTTTCACCGTTGGGGTCGACCTGGTCAACATCCTCGACCTCTGCCTCGAGCAGGAACGGAGTGGTGGGTAGCTGTGCGCAGAGCGCATCAACGAGCTCGTCTGAGGCTTCCGCGATTACGGGACCGGTGGTCCTCGGCCATAGAAGATCGAGTAAGGTTGTGAATGAATCGCCGCCGGCTTGTTGTGACTCACTACCGCCACCAAGGTTGCCGCCCTTGAGCGAGTCCACGAAGTTCTGAACGATGGACGAGACGTCACCTGACCCTGCTCTGTTGGAATGTTAGCGGAGGTTCAATCTAGGAAAAGAAACAAGATAGGAGCAATCGATCGTCGTGGCCGAAGGAAGACATGGTACGGAAAGCATATTCTGTTTAGTGTTACATATGAGCAGCCAGTGCTGTCATGCCGTGTGGGCATGTTGTGCTCCCAAACGCCTCACCGTGATAATCGGTCCATTGAATCTCTAATGTTTTCCTCGCCAATGTCTTCCACAGCCGCTCGAACTCTGCCGGTAATGTCGACTGCGCCACGACGCCGATTGCGATGTAACCACAATGAATGCTTAGAAGGACCTACGCTCGGCCGCCATCAGCACCACCTTCACGAGATTCTTCACCTTCGTCTCGAATGTCACCTCCTGTAGCCCCAGATCCAGCGCCCCCTGTGCTACTGTGGCGATTCCGGCTGGTGGACTCATCTTCCAAATCTTCCATCGTCTCGTCATCGTCGCCGCCAGTGGGTGCGTTCGGGATGCTCGCGAGCTCAGCCTGGACGTCGATTTCCTCGCCATTCAGAAGGAGGTCGACAATCTGGCCGATCTTCAGATCACGCTCGCTGAACCAGCTTGCATCACCCCGCGGGTGCTGTGACATCGACTGTAACCAGAAGAGGTAGCGTTGTGAGCTGGAGTTGAATTTGAGGACGAATACACGGCCGTCAGTGGGCGACTTGACTGATTCAGAGTCTTCGGCAGCATCCTTGCCAGTGTATGGGGAGAATGAGCCATCGCCGGGGATCATGATGAGATCAAGCTCAGACTCGTCGAGGGACTTGTCGCGGGGTCGCCAGCAGAAGTGCACGAACTCTAAGCTGTGTGAGTGTAGTTTGAAGCTATGATTTGACTACACAAACCATCTTCGCCCTGGTATAGGTAGACATAGCCTTGTGTGCGGACAGGCTTGACCGACTGCTTGTTGCCGTCTCTGGCCTGCTAAGGTTAGCTTTGTATACAGCTAATGGTAAACATATTGCTTACAGTGATCTCGCACTTGCCAGCCTTGAACGTGATCAGCGGCTGGATTGACATGTTTGTGTATGTGTAGGTGGGTGCAAAGGAACCTGGGGTTGATGGTTCGGAGCTGCCTGTGACAATGCGGCGACAAGACGCGGCGGCGGAGGTTGATGCACAGACCAATTAGATGAGGTAATAATAGATGTGGAGCAAATTCACCGCAGAACCAGAGCACGATTCACTCGTAAGGGACACTTTGAACTCCGGACAAAACAACGCATGGCAGTAGCACAAGATGCTTTGATACGTTACTTGAAGCTTGTCAGTAGCGTATAACACTAATCAACAAAGAAGTTGCGAGTCCACATCCCGAGCAGGCACGGTGTAGCACTTGCTTTGAACAACCACCTTCTTGCGCAGAATATCATCGACCATCTGCGCAGCTACCATGGCGGTACCTCATGTGGACTGACATACGCGTCGATCATGTGCCTATCCTGTCACCTTAAGCCTTTCAGATTTGAAAGTCTAGCAGCACTGTAGAGTCCACACAAGGTAAAAGGGACGAGCTCTCACCAGACCCAAGTGTCTGTTGATACAAATCACTTTACCATCAACAGCAGATCACTTCATACGTTGCTCGATTCCCTGGCTCCGATCATCGATGCACTTTGGCGCGGAGAAACGTTTTAGCGAGGAGGCGCTAAACTGGGGAGCGACTGCCACGCCAAGGGTGGCCAGTGCGCCGCACATTGCGAAATACCATTGAATCTCGTCAACCGAACAACTCCCCAGGGCTCACTAACGACACCAGCAATTCGAAATGGCGGACACCAAACCCACGACCCAGAAGTTCTCCAAGGGCGAGAGGTCGATACCGCACCACTCGCAGAAGGCCAGCAAGTACTACCCTGCTGAGGACGTCGCCGTCCCCAAGAAGGTACGTTCGCAGATGCTACAGCATAGGAGGGCTAGGAAGGAACAGGGAGAGGAGGACATGAGCGCATTGCAGCAGTGATAACTGTGCGACTGCATGCGTCAAGAGCGGACGATCTCCATGCTGCAATATGCATGCAACGGACCTTTGCTAACATTAAATCAAGGCCCGTAAGACTGCTCGCCCTGCGAAGCCCCGTGCCTCCCTTCAGCCCGGTACCGTCGTCATCCTCCTCGCTGGTCGTTTCCGTGGCAAGCGTGTCGTTCTCCTCAAGCACCTTTCCCAGGGTGTTCTCCTCGTCACCGGTCCCTTCAAGGTTAACGGCGTTCCTCTGCGACGAGTAAACGCCCGCTATGTCATTGCTACCTCTACCACCGTCGACATCAAGGGTATCGATGAGGGTGTCCTGAAGAAGGCCTCCGAGGAGGGCTACTTCACTAAGGACAAGGCCGCACACAAGCCTGGCGAGGATGCTTTCTTCAAGCAGGGCGAGAAGCCCGAGGTACGCAGCATCTGTGGCGACACTGATGAACAGCACTGACAGATGCAACAGAAGAAGGAGACCTCCAAGGACCGCGTTGAGGACCAGAAGGCCGTTGACAAGGCCCTCCTGGCCAACATTAAGAAGGAGGCTCACCTCGTCGACTACCTCGCCTCGAGCTTCAGCCTCCGCACCTCCGACAGGCCACACCAGATGCAGTTCTAAGCGTTGGGTCAAGACGGGATTTGGCGTTCAGTGCATGGGATGAAAGATGACCTCGGGTGCTGCAGCCGTGACAGCAGGAACTAATCCAGCGGCGGTACGGCGACCAACTTCTTTTCATGAAGGCAACGTTTGCAATTCATATAAGCCTTGATACAAGCGACGAATACGAAACGATGCGAAAGTGATCAGATGGCTTTGGCAACCGTGATGTCATCCCTTCGGCGTTACATGGAGCAAGCATGGGTGGACACTCGATACTGATGGCGAAATAGAATCTCACATTACATTGTACGATTGCACCCGACCGTTGCATCTTTTGCGCCGAAATGTCTTCCAGACACCGAATTAACGAACACGACTCTGAATTGAAAGGGTATCAATGGGCACCAAGATAGCAAGCGAAGTCCGAGGTTCACTTCCCCACAACGCCGTACCACAGACCAAACCGCAACCGAAGACCAGCCTTTTTCATACCTACTCCTCTCACCTCCTGCCTCTACCCTTTCTGACTTTCGACCTGAACTTATTTGCCAGGCCACCAGCTGCCTCTCCCGCTCCATCGATGGCCCTTCCTGTCTTCTCTTCAACGTCGTGCTTCTCCATCTCCGCTTTCAAGTCCTCCATGACGTCCTTCCCGAGCGTCGTCCCGTGGCACCAATCTAACACACCAATAGAGCCATAATTGCCATTCCCTTCGCTGAGCATGTGCGCATCAGTGCGGCGTGCCATGCCACGGATCATGATTGTTGATGGAAGGACATTGTACCCAGAGTACACGAACGTCTCTTCAAGACTGAAGAACGCGACCAGGAGGAGGTAGGTCAAGATGTGCATCCGGAGTGCAACAGCAGGGAGATACAGCGGTAGCCACCGATGCAGGATGTGGCAGACAGGATGATCGTAGTTGGCGACAAACGAGTAAGGCACCTGGATACTGTGATGCCAACTCGCATGCCAATCTGCCAACCTGCCACCACCCAGCGAATGCAGCAGATTAGCATGAATATAATATTGGAGCATCTATACCACGTCAACATCAGATCATGCCGTCCCAATTATCTTCCCATTACTTACATTTCGCGACAAAATCCCAACAAGCGCATGTTTAACCATCGTCCACGGGTTCGGCAAATGATTCAACCCCCACCGACTCCCCTTGATCAACAACAAACTCTTCAACCTCAGCACATCCGTAACCAGAAACTCAATCGCAGCCTGCAGCATCACACACCCCAGCACATTGCATACACTCCACAGCACCACCCTCCTCATCTTCTTCTTGCCTCCTTTCTGATTCGTAGCTATGCCCCACGTTCCCTGAGCTTTGAGCTCGACCGCCAAACTCGGTATGCCGATGTCGAAGACGAGGAAGATTAGGGAGGGCAGTATGTAGAGCGCCAGCCGTAGGGCGAGGGGCCCGAAGAGTTCTAACTGCAGGGGAGAGTAGGTTGCGGCGAGGGTTGTCCAGGCGAGCGAGAGGAAGATTAGGTTTAGGGAGGTGGACCAGGAGGATAACATGGGGATTGCGAGGAGGGAGGCGATTGGGAGGGGGATTAGGGAGAGGAGAGAGGATAGGGACATTTTGTCCGAATTGGCCTAGTGATGGGTATAGGATTGTGGTGCGGGTAGGATCAGCGGTTGCGCATAGAAATTTAGGGAATATGAAAAGAGTTTGGAGGTTGAGTTTGGTGTTGGCGCATGCTTGCGTTGTGAAGTGAATATGCTCGTGATGCCTGTTTTGGTGTTGAGTGTAGTGATGACGTAGGCGCGTTCCCGCCGCGTCTGACGCTTTCAGCCAGCTCATCTTCCAACCTTGTCATTTCACAACATCGACTGTGTAGCGGGTGTTGGCCGCCTCCATTTCTTCTTTGACAAACTGACAGAGTACAAGCACCATCTCAGATTAGCTGTGCAATGTACTGCTGTGTTGATCATCCCAACGCGTCAGCCTCGCTTGCCCGAAGAAGGCCCTGTGTGTAGAGCTACAGAACGACACGAGGCTGCATTACGGGGGCGGAAACCAACCAGTCTATGATGTTCAGGTAGAGACGGCACGGTAGAGAGAGCGAAGGACGAGTTTACTGGGGTTGGGCCAACACTGGCCTATCGTGCCTCTTGCCTAGGTTTCAGCCTTGCCTTGGGTTACACGCAATGAACGCTTACTGGGGGGTTGACACTGTCCGGTGTGTTGTAGAACTATCCTAGGCAAGTATAAGTTCAAAGTTGTTCGCAACTTCTTGAATTTCGCTACGGCCACGAATCGCAATGGAGCCAGCCGAGCCATCAGCACGACCACTCCTGGACGCCAACAATGAGAATACGGACAGAGGGCCAGAGAATTTGGTGCAAGATAGGCTGCACGTCCGGCTCCAGTATCGGCAACTTCGACCGATGAGCCCAAGCCGCTCAGGAATCCTCGTCGAACTCAACATACCTCACGATTCCGTCGTCGTTTAATGAACGCGTTAACTCTCGTTGGCTTGGGCTGGAAGCCTTGCACTCGAGCCTGGAAACGTATGTGGACAAGGAGCTGGACAGCGGAGACATGCAGCTATATCATTTCCATATTAGCCGTTGCAGGTCTTGTTGCGACGCTCTTAGCCCACCAAAACAAGTCGCTTCCTCAATGGTCACTAGTGGTGGCCATTGACTCGATCCTCTCCTTATTATCCTTACTTATGAGAGGCTGTGTAGGTTTGGTACTGGCAGAAGGTAAGTCAAGTGACTACGTAGTATAGACATAATCGCTGAATTATGGGACAGGTATTAGCCAGTGCAAGTGAAATTTCCATAAACCAGAAGATTAGATTATATAGAGCAACTGGGCTCAGCCAGCCGTGGGTCCTGGGCTCAGTCACTCTGCTGTATCACTTCAGGCCAAAACAAGCATATTGAACACTCATCACCTTTCGCTGAGGTGTGACTAATATCTGTAAGGTTACCTTGCTGCGCTCGATGCAATCGTTACCATTATGACCTCCCTTACAGGCTCCTTTTCACAGCAGCTCGTTCAATTCCAAAGCTGTCTTGAGAAGGACACGGTTGCTGTAGTGAGCATATCAAGAGCCAATAATTCTGCTCGAACAGAAGGTTCGGCTCAGAACAACGGCCCAGTTGACTATGCCCCGATGGTTGCAGCAATCAATGTCGGCGTGATTCAACCAGTTGACAATCTAACATACGCACTTTCCTCCGGGTGTATCAGCGGCAACTGTACTCTCCCTGCTACCGATGGTGCCTCATTCTCCGCCGTGGGTGTTGGCCATTTCTGTGAGGATGTGACCGCACACATCCGTATCCTGAACAAGACTTAGCATAACACTTCTACACCTTGCACTAGTGCGTACCTGGGACTGTAGTATTATGACAACGTAACCTTTGAGTGGTCCAGAGAGCCAGGAAATGACGTCCTCAGGACATGGATGAGTCAGCGCCTATATCTGTTATATTCGTCAGATATAACTTCGATACGCTTTCTCTTCAGACCCTACTGAAACTCTACGGATTAGACAGCGGTTAACTGTTCGGTGTTTCCAAATGTAAACACTTACGCAGCAAGTATCAATGATGCCATACTGAAAGAGAGCCTGATCGACAGTATTCCTCTCCGATCGCCGCACGGTCAATTCGCAGAACCTCCCGTGCACGATAGCGACCTGCAAGAAGAGCTTACTTGGTGGAGTTACAAGATAACTACAAATCACACAACACGGAGCGGTATCCAAGAGCTATGCGAGGGCTAGGAGAGGCCTGCACCTGAACTTGTCAAGGTCATGAAAAGCAGTGACGAACCCACTTACATCAGTTCCACGGATCACACATCTGTGTGCGGGTTGGAAGTGGTGGTACTACCCACGAGACTGCATTTGGTCCATACACAAGTTCTCGGGCATGATCATTGCCAATACCTTGAACGAGGTTTTCAACGCCCAAGACGCCACCATGGGCTATAAAGGCGGAGTAATGGGGTCAGCCCGTCTGCGTCAACTATATCAGGACGGTGATGTCATATTCGACACCGTGATGAGCGAATGAAAGGCCTGACAACCTCAATGACCGCCGACATCCAGGCGAACGGTGGTGACGGTTACAGGGCATATTCCGAGAATGCCACAGGAGATGTCTGGGTCAACACGACCTACATGTACATACGGTGGCCCTGAATGACGTTCCCAGCTTTTATGATCGGACTTACTGAGACATTCCCCGTGCTGGTTGTAATCGAGGACCGCGGCATTGAAAGGGATCGACAGCGGAAAAGTTCGTTTCTCGCTGCACTCTTCTGCGAGGTCGATGTACCCCTGTGGAGTATGGCCGATGTCGTCGACACCGAAAAATGTCGCAGTATACCGAACTTTTTACGGCGTGGTTGACACCGTACTAGTAGCGTAGGAAGTAGCCCCTGCATCCCTTAGCGTAGCCTAGCTGCCTTCTACCTCTGCCTCTACCCCCTGTCAACACCCACGCCCTATTACTGCAAAGCGGGACTCTTGTATACGCGGGTAAACTTTAGCTGAATCAACTGAGTCTGCCACAATTAAGGCTCTGGTGTAGGTGGCCAGGGGGAGGGGGTAGCGAGGGCTGCCAAGAGTGAAGGAGTATAGTCCGGGTGGCAAGAACATCAAAGCAGGCGGATGTTAGCGGGAAGTTTGACAGTCTGGTGTAATTGACGCCGTACCAAAAGTCTGGTGTGGTTGACGCCGTACTTTGCCGGTTCGGTGTCAATCATCCTAGACTTACTCCATAGGGCGTGCACGACAAACCAGTTGGGAAGGAGAAGATGGTCGCAACCGCTAAGTTCACAAGAGTGAGCGTTGAAGGAAAGAGCGGAGCGCTAAGGCTGGTTGCGCGATGATGTAGTTCACGTTTGAGGAACTCCTTACACTTCCTGTCGATGTTCTGTCTCTGTGAGCGCACGGTGAATTTGAAGGTGAAAGTTGACTTCCCTCGCACGATCGGGCAATTTGGCGATAAGCTCAGCAGTAGTTAAACCTCCTTGTCATATTGCTCCAAATACTCCGAAGACTTCCAGGCTACAAAGGTTGCAGACAAAACAAGAAGCTTCATCGATATGGTTGAGAGATTGTTGTGAAGACGTAGGCGCGAATTTGCGTTCTCGCGCCCGACGATCTCAACTCCCAGCCACCTCAATTCTCAGCGTTGCAACTCTGACCACACCATGAGCTGCCACATGCAAAGCACCGAGAGTCGGTTCAAGGATGTGTTATGTTGGATCTGTTGAGCGCCTGGCGCACTTCCGATTGTCAGTCAGTCTGTCGCACGACCTACGGTCCGAGCCACCTCAGCTCTCACTTGTATCGGGACACGTTTACGTCGTGGATCTACGATGTGCCGTACTCGGTCACGTCTTCCGGCATCACCTTGTTACCATAATGGAGGATTCAAGCCTCCAGGCTGTGGCAGTGTGCTGACTGCTTAACCTCGCAATCCAGGAATAAGTTCTTATATGCTTCTTGGGAGCACAACGTCCGTAAGCGGAAGGGGGCTGGCTTATGGCAGTCTCGATACCGTCGATCTGGCGAGCACAGCTGTAACGCACGCACTCACAACAACAAACTGGCTGACTTACATTGTTGACCTTACAGGCCGATCAGAGTGGCTTTGGCTTACGTGTCAATCATGCACTTGAATGAGCGAGGCCATGCTGCGCCTAAGGTAAGTCTGTGTCGACACTAACTTATTCTACACCGGCCTCCATGTATCTTTCGTTACCGTTCGCCGACACTCATTATGGATCAAAGAGTGTCGTCAGAGCACTTGTTGCTCAACACTAATATTAAAAGTACAATAGGGCTACCAGGCTTTGACTTGCAATTCGAAAATGATGCAGTTCAGAACGCATCAACACTGCATCCGCTGAAGGCGCCACACAAGTCTCAAAACAACCTCCAACTCCTGAAGAAATTGGTTCGCCCGCAGGCTTCATCCGTTCCGTCGGAAAACACTGTGCGCATGTGTTTTTTCGCTTCTGGGATTACAGTTGCACTGCCGGAATATGCAGCTACATTTTTTCGCTGTTTATTTTCGGAGGCCTTTGGACAACGCTGCTAGTACATCAGAACAGGTCTATCCCAGAGTGGCCGTAGCTTGTTTCCTTCAACTCCGTCGTCTCTCTCTTTTCGTTTTTCATGAGGACTGGAGTTGGCTTAGTGTTGGCAGAAGGTGCGTCAAGAAAGCTTTGATGTGGGGTTGACATTCTGAGTTTGGCCCTATGGTGGCTGCGATTAACGCTAGCCTGGTCCAGCCTGTGGACGATCATTCGAATGTGTTCACCACCGGATGCACCAGTGGTAATTGCACCTTTCCGTCTACTGATGGGCCTAGATTTCGACCGTAGACATCGACCACGCATGCAAAGACCTATCCGCCAACACACGTCAGCAAAATGGACTCACCACGCTCGCTGGTAGTGGTAATTCCAGCTTTCTCACGATCGAGGACATAGCCAAGACCGTATTGGTGACGGCCGTCACTGATCCCGTGGACGGCACCTTGTCTGGGATGGCAGACATTTCGATGTTGTTTAGACAGCGCTGGGGCTCACTGAATTTCGCGGCCATTCAATGCTCTCTTCCCAACAGTCAACCCCTATGGAGTCAACATAACGAACTCAATAATGAACGAGCAACTGGTCGAGAACCTTCCAATACTGCGGCATGGCATGAGACTGAACTCTTCTCTCACTCAAGGCCGCAATGACAACCACGTATTTACATACGAGATGGCCACAACCCACACGTACCGCAACGGCAGTCGAGAGCTTTGTGTTGGTCCAAAATATCCCATACCAGGACTGGTCCGAGTGTTCTTGCAAAGAAATGACGATCCCTTGGGTCGGAATGTCTCCATACCTGACATCGCATTGTATTGTCCCGCGGATTGAGTATGGTCGTTCGACATGGGAGCGAGCTCAGGGATTCGACGCTCCTTGCAGACTATCTTTCATAATCAGAGGCTGCTCTGGGGAGGCAGGATGGATACCAGTGGATCTGTGCATCTGCATGCGTTATTTCAGCCCCCCAAAATGAGCAAAGAGGCCTTGACGGACACTTGCAAGGCAAGATCTCCTTCAAGACAGTGGACGATGTTATGAAAAGCATGACCAGTGTGATGACAGCCTTTGTACGAACCCATGGCTACGAGCGTTTTCAAGGCCAAGATTGGTGTGCTTACGGTGACATGTGGTACACTACTACTTGTGTGCGAATACACTGGGAGAGGATCACATTTCCAGTCGTCATGCTTGGATTGACAGGAGCGTTCTTACTCTTTGTTATCATTGAGAACCGCGATAATGAAAGTGAATTGCTAAATCTACAAGCGTGAGCCTTGACGGAAACAGCGGCGGAACTCTGAGGCTGATCGCGCACTGATATCACACGGCTTCATGAAGATCTTCATCCGATTGTCCTGTACACAAACATCATAATGCTAATCGTGCTTGAAGATATCTCTGCAGTGACTTGTCGTCGAATGCTGGATCGTGATTTTGATGGTTGTTGTGATGACGTACCTAGCGTGCAGAGCCGCAATTCAACTCCTTCGGCCGACGCTCTCAGCCCCTGCACTGTTCAGCTCTGACCTGACTCTCAACCTCAACACAACCCAGGAAGCGCGATGGCACTCGGTCACCCTCACACAGCACGCAACGACGCACCTTCGTCCCAAGTAAAGACTGTAGGTGTCCAGCGGGGCTCATCAACATAAGCACTCAGCTGAACTCCGCTTTCTTCACATCCAGTCTGGACCGCGAAGCGTACAAGCTTGACAAGCCTGCGGCTGCGCGCTGTGCTGAAAGCTCATTGATTGATCTCTGTCGCTAAATTAAGTCACTACTTCCTGAGGTCTGGACAGCTTGTGCAGAATGCACCACATCTAGGTGGGACCAGGCTGACCTATGACCGTCGAGCACAAGTCAGGCTGGAGCACCGCAGAATGCACGTTCGGGCAGAGACTAAGCTGATCTACGTAACGCCTGTCAGCCCGGAAGCTTAAGAAGGCGTATTGAGTTTCTTTCCTTGGTTATATGCACGATGGCTCCCCGCAGTGTCGTCTGCGCCGCCTCTCTACCAGCTTTTGCCTCTCCATCATGGAAGAGTACGATATATCGGAGCGCTCACTGCTCAATGCGACCCCCGAGACGATTGTCGAAATAAAGGATGATTCCTCATTCTACAAAGTCCCATTACAGACCACCACATCGGCTTTTCCGTCTGACCATGCTAGCGATCTTTATGATAATTGGTCGCCCCGAAAGCGAGAACGGGTTGCATTTCGGCTAGACTCTTGGGCAGACTGGATATGGGACACAAGTGCGAACGTGTTACAACTCAAAACAACAGGCAAAGGATGGACGGCAGAACTATGCAGTTACGTTTTCGCAGTGTTATCACTCTTCAGTCTTGCCGCAACACTCTTAGCTCATCAGGGCAAGCCTCTTCCTGAATGGCCACAGCTCATTACTATTAACTCGATTGTCTCGCTTTTCTCCTTACTTATGAGGGCTGGTATTGGGTTAGTCCTAGCAGAATGTGTGTTGATAGTGCTGTCATAATCAACGAGTGGCTGAATTGTACTACAGGTATAAGCCAGTCCAAGTGGCAATGGTTTCGCAAAGCACGCAAACTGAACGATATGGAACGATTCGATGCTGCAAGCCGAGGCGCCTTGGGATCAGTCGCATTGCTTTTCCACACCAAACCTGAGAGGCTATCGTAGGTACAATCATCGTCTTTTAGACCAGAGTACTAACAAAATCAAGATTTATCGTTGCTCTTGGTGCCATGGTTACAATCCTTGCAGCTTTGACTGGATTTTTTCTGCAGCAACTCGTTGTTTTCGAAGACTGCCTGCAACGAAACCCTGCTGCAACAGTCCGCATATCAAAAACCAACTATTGCAAAGCCGCATATCAAGGAGTAGGATCCACCTACGTCGACGCCTACCCGCCTATGGTAGCTGCTATCAACGCAGGCATGATCCAATCCGTCCCAGATCATACAAGTGCAGTGTCACATGGCTGTTCCAGTGGAAATTGCACGTTCCCATCAGAAAAGGGAATGTCTTTCTCGACTGTAGCCGTCGGCCATTCGTGCGAAAACATCACTACGCGGATCCACGGTAGCCGGCGGCCCGACCATTTGGCAATCATAACCCTCCCCACGAGCGGCAATGGATCCGTGGAGGTGTGCCCTGCATGTGACGATCCGAAAGTCGCGATTGGGACACGTGCAGAAGTTGTACGCTACAACGGCTCGGCCACACTGGGTACGATCTTCATTCTGTATCGCGCCAATGCGAATGGCAGCATATGGCAAGCTATGAATTGCTCGCTTTTGCCGACTGTCAACACGTACGCAGTCAATATTACTAACTCGATCATGAATGAAACGTTGATCGACAGCGTCCAGATCCCATCGAGTGACGATGCGAGTTCTGCATACTCACATCGACTGGTGACAAACCGCACATTGCGAAACGGGGTCTGGAAAGACTGTACCGGAGCAACGAATCTAAACCCACAGCTTGACGAAACGACAGAAGTCGATGACCGTATTCGTGTTGGGAGCATGTACTATCCTAAAGACTGCGTATGGAGCTTTGGAAAATCAGCCGCTGACAGCATATTCACGTACCTTGTTGATCTGTTCAACGGAGAAAACCTGTATTGGACCCAGGACTCCACTACAACGGAATTCCTACCCGGAGAAATACTACCTGGTGACCTCGTACCCCCACGAAGGAGAGGACCCATCCACTTGCGGCAGTTTTACGGCAATGGTACGCTCGATCAAGAAGTGTTGGACCACATTATGGGTAATATAACCTCCGCTATGACAACTGTCGTTCGAACGTATAACACAGAAGGACCCGCCTGGGACGCTAAGGGGGACATGTGGACCGCAACGACATGTATCCGAATTGACTGGAGATGGATCTCCTTTCCTACCATCATGATGAGCTTAACGGGAGTCTTCCTAGTGCTTGTGATCATCGACAATCGTGGGGTGGACCGTGAGAGGCTTTGGAAGAGCTCGGTCCTAGCAACGCTCTTTTGTGAAGTAGACCACGGTATTGAGGGCAATGCTCACCTTATCAGCAAGCGGTCCATGTACGATGTTGCTAAGTCGACCAGCGTGAGTTTGGAGGGTACGGAGGGGACACTGAAACTGCTGGCAAAATAGACATGAACGAAAACCATTCCTTTTTTAAGCCCAGGCCTTGTGCTCAAGCTCCTCTTTCAACCCTCTCCTTCCCCTCCTTCCCACCACCTGCCTTCTCACTCTGCTTCCTCCCCTTTTCCAGTATCTCGGCCGCAAGCCTCTGCAAGTAAAACTCTCCAACATCCGCTGGCAACCCCCTAAACGCCCTAACGATCTTCTCTACATCCCTCCTCCCATTCTCATACCCCTTCAAATCACGATTACCATACACATCCCTCCCCGCCGCATACATCTCGTCTCCCAACCCTTTCCAAAACACATTCACCGCAATGCTCACACTCTGATTCGGGGTCGCGGTGTGGCTCCACATCGGCGGAATGAATAACACGTCGCCTGGTACTAGGGCCGCTATGTGCGGATGGAGTTTGGGGTTGTGTGTGAGGGAGGTGAGGGGGAGGGAGGATGAGGATGCACCAGGTGGGTAGGCGAGGTGTGCAACGTCGGAGGGGGGATATAGAGTCAGTGTTTTAGAACCTGAGATCTGCGAGAGGATGTTGGGGTGTACGTCGTAGTGCAGCCATAAGCTCACAGGGCCACTGATGCGCAGCGGACTGCTGTGGTATGTTGCGTCATTAATGACTTCGCGGCAGAGCGAAGGGATCTGGAAGTCTGCGGAGATAGCGGGGAAGTCGTCTTCCAAGCGTGTGGGCAGCTTGTTGGGTTGGGTACTGGAGATGGCGCGCAGGTAGGATGGTGCGCCGCTCCTTATGCTGGCAAAGAAGGAGGATACGCTGCGTTTTTCGTAGGTGAAGTTCTTGGTGCCGAAGGTCATGGCGCTGGATGTGCATTCGTGGACGACAAGCTCGCGGTCGGAGCCCAGCTTGGATTCGAGGTAGGAGAGTGTCCATAGTGAGGTGCAGGGGCCGATCTCGAGGCCGGTGATGACGGCGGGTCTGGAGGTTGCTACTAAGGCTGCGAAGTCCTCTGAGTTGTGCAATTGGACTCGAGGGACGTCTTTGGACTTTAGTCCTTTTGTGACTTTCTTGCCCTTCTTGGGCTGCACTTTGTGATTATCTCGTTGAGTGGAATTGGACTTCGCTGGTGCTGTACTATCCGCTTGTGGTGTTAGTGGGCGCCATGGCTTAGTTTCCACTGTCTCAGAAGGCGTAATCGTAAAGTAGTAGTCATTCCAGAAAGAGCCCATGGAGAAGCACACAGCGCCACCGCCCGCCACTACAATCTCGTTTCGAGATACCGCACTTATGCCTGCACCAACAAGCAATGGCCAATATGTAGGTAGGTGGATCCTGGGGTGCTGAATACCAATCCCTGCATCACTGTGTGTTAGTAGCATAAACTCTTCTGCCAAACCGACAACACCCAGCTTTGAAACACCTCCAATGAGGAGCAAAGCGTCTCCCCAGGGCACCAGACTGGCACCGATCCGTGCGTAAGTGGAGTCTGTCGAGCTACTGCGGACTCTATTGGTCATGTCTCGGAAATTTAGTCGTGGTGGTGCTGTGCCTGAAAGCGACCACTCCCAGACATCGTCTAGGACTGTGCCGCAGGCGCCAATGCCCCCGATGAGTAGCCCACGAGTCTGTGCAGACTGTGCCACACCCATCGCAGATATTGCAGCACCAAACCGTGCTGGTGGACGCGGACCGTCAACGGGAATACTATGCCAGCCGTTGTTGGACGTCCACAGGAACCAGTCATTCAGCACTGCGCCGTCGCTGGACTTGCCACCAAATACCAAAATGCCCGCGCTCTGAGACATGTCGTATGACGCATTCACAGAGACGGCAGAATGCCTGTAGCGCGGTGAAGGTATGTCGTCCACTACAGACCATTTGCCCTGGTTCATTAGCCAGCAATCTGCCAGTGCCTGAGTGGGAGACGCTCGGCCACCGACTAACAGCGTGCTAGTCTTGTTCATCGATGTGACCGTGTGGCACATACGCGCTGAAGGCTGCAGTTTAGATTCAGCCTGGACCTGGTAATCCGCATTGCCGCGAGTTAGTGCGCTAATGCTCGACAGGCGGTTCTGCGGTCCCTGTCCGCCGTGTACAGCAACGGTATCCCCATCAAGGGTGAAAGCTGCAGTGAAGCGCCGTGGCGTCCACGCAGAGTCCAAAGGCAGCTTCCAGGACTGTAGCGAGATTGACGTTGGTTCAGAGCTTGAGTCGTTACGTGCATCCTTAGGGTTTGCATTGAATTCGGGTGGAGCAGCGGCTCCTGCCTTTATGTTTGAGGCGACTAGTAAGAAGTAGTGGCCGCCAAATAAGGCGAATTCTTCCCATTCGTCAAAGGGCTCGATTGCATCTACTTTCTTGCGAAGGGATGGCGGGGTGAAGGAGTCGTCAGACCACAGGTCCCACAAATTGCGAGCCACCTCTAGCGAAGGCCAGCCTGCATCAAGGAATCTTGATGACTGTTGTGCTAGCGTTTGATACTGCTTGACGGAGTTGATTGATGCGTGCAACTTGTCGAAGTGTGTCAACATGGTAAGCGCGAAGGGGTGGTCGGGCCCTTGTGGAAGGTACTGCTCCAACACGCAGAAACGCGCTGTTTAGTGTTAGTTTGTGCATCAACAAAACCAGCTATCTCAACATACAAGCTTCGAAAGTGTTCGCCCACTGTATGAGCTTGTTGGCATCTGTGAGTGGCATGTAGGTAACGCTCACCTCGGCCACGAACAGAAGGGATGTGCTTGGTATGTCCAACTCAGCTCGCAGAGTGCGCTCAAGGAGTTGGAGGTCTCTGAGATCGCATCCTATAGCCATGTACTTATCACTTCGAACACGGACAGGTGCCTCTGCAGTGCGAAGTCCTGTCTTGAGCAGTGCATCTCGTAGCAAGCTCTTGGTGAAAACCACGTCCTTCTTCTTTTCGATCAACTGTGGGTAGTCTACATCCACAAAAGTGGCTTCCTCGGTGAGTGATGCATACCGATGCCAGAATTGAAAGGGCAATGGATCGCTGTGCGATGGTCAGTGCTCAGTTGCGTTATGGTGTAGGTAGCAGACATCTTACTCACTATCCACATCCTAGATTCACCACCACCTTCTTCCTGCCGTCATCTTCTTCAAGAAAGCGTTTGATGACTTGCTCAATAGCATGCATTCGCAGCCAATAACCACGGTTGATAAGTGGATTGCGGCGAACATATTTCGGGGCAAATGGCTCATAGAAGTCTGGCTCCTCACTGAGGTACAATTTCGAAACGCATCTTTTCGACACAATACTGCTGTCGTTCGTCTAGACATCCTGTCAGGCGAGTCCTTGATACAATGTAATGATGGGGTCCCAGCAAGGTCTCTCACATGAATGATGTCGTCGTCTCGCTTCTCTGCTTTTGACCGAAGATGACCTTTGCCCTTCACTGCACCCTTTGCAGGCTTCGCTTTGGGTTTTGCGGACATTGTTGCTTTGATCGTGACGGTCACTGCCGCCAAATTAACCCTGCAATTTGTGGTTGATCGCCTCAGCCACACCTTGGTGGCTGGTGGCGGGGCTAAGAGCTAATCCCTGCGCTGCACGCGATGCGCCGCTGATCATGCATCACTCAACGGAGGATTGCCTTCAAGGCTGCCGGTGACTGCGGAAACATACACATGTTGCTCTCGTTGCCTCACTTCTCTTAGTCTGCCGTCGCTCCTACCTGTCGCCGCCCATAGCGCACGATATCGACTTTGACCGGGGTCCAAGCTCCAGCTATCGACAATATCTTGACAGACAGCACTCGATACCAACGCTACAGCGGAACGCCATGACGTCCATGAACTTTGTGACATTCAACCAGGACCACAGCCATCTTGGCGTCGGTATGCGACATCAGGGAACCTCGAGGTACGGCTCTAATTTTGCCTGCAGGTACCACCAACGGCTACCGCGTATACACAACCGACCCATTCAACAAACAGTCTGAGTCCCGTGAGGGCGATGTCTCCAGCCTCGAAATGCTTTTCTCGACCTCTCTGGTTGCTCTCACACTGTCACCACGAGTTCTACGCATACAAAACACCAAGGTCAATACCCAAAGTACCTACTCTGGTCGTTCATAGCACTGACTATGCTTAGAGACACTCCACTATCTGCGAGATGACCTTCCGTACAGCGATTCTTGCAATGCGTCTGAATAGGAAACGACTGGTGGTAGTGCTGGAATCAGAGCTTTACATCTACGACATCAGTAACATGCAGATGCTGAAAACCGAGAAGACATCACCGAACCCTAATGGTACGTCGGACTTTCGAGTAGCAGTCTACCATACTGACATGTCTAGCCATATGTGCCCTATCCGCATCCTCGGAGAACAACTACCTCGTATACCCTCTTCCTACAAAAGCCGCGCCGGCAACCTTTCAACCGCCCTCGCATGCGCCGCCCAAGTCAGACCATGTTGCGCCCACCAGCGGCGAGGTCCTCATATACGATGCTACAAAGATGGAAGCAGTCAACGTAATAGAGGCACACAATTCTCCTCTGTCATGTATTGCGCTCAACAACGATGGAACTTTATTGGCGACAGCTTCCGAGAAGGGTACCATCATCCGTGTCTTCTCCATTCCAGATGCGCAGAAGCTTTACCAGTTCAGGAGAGGATCTATTCCAGCCAGGATATACAGCATGTCGTTCAACTCGACCTCCACACTGCTCAGCGTCTCATCAGCAACAGAGACAGTTCACATCTTCCGCCTCGGCACACCAAATACAAGCCGCAGCAACAGCGTGTCTTCCGGGACCAACAGACCTTTGTCGGGCGCTCGCGGGCGCAGTAGCAGTCGTGCAAGTGAAGAAGTACCAGACGAGTTTGGTGACAGTATTGGAGATATCGCAACTCCAGAGCGCAAGTCGTTGAACCCTACCTTTGGTAGCCTGATACGGCGAACATCACAGACGGTTGGAAAGTCGTTCGCTGCGACTGTTGGTGGCTACCTACCAAGCGCAGTGGCCGAGATCTGGGAGCCATCGCGTGACTTTGCATGGGTGAAGGTGCCCAAGTCGCCTAACAGCGCCTCTGCTGGGCCTATCAGGACTGTGGTCGCACTCAGCAACAATGGACCGCAGATCATGGTAGTGACCAGCGAAGGTAACTACTACGTCTTCAACATCGATCTGGAGAAGGGAGGCGAGGGAACGCTGTACAAGCAATACTCGTAAGTTGACTTGACCTTCATCCACAGCTAAGCACTGACCCACTCCTGCAGGCTCCTCGAACCGAACGAACTCACATCAAGCAGCATGCAGGATTACGCCGATTAGGTGTCGCGACGTACACTCAGTTACCTCTGACTCTGAGTCTATGCTTGCTTTTTGCTCTTTTACGTTGTTTTTGCATGGCCACCGGCGTTGACCAAACCACATTATTCCCCTGGGCTTGAGCAGCGTTTGCCTACTATACTTCTCCAATTGCATCTCCGTGCGACGTTCCACCACCCCAATTAATGGAGCCGTATCTTGCTTCTTCCTGCACTTCAGCTTTTTCAAACTTGTGATGTCATGGTCCTGCAGTGCACTTATCACAGATGCCTTGGAGGCGCGACCTGAAAGTATGCTGAAAGCCTCCTGAGGGCATCGTAGACTGTCGTGAACCTCTGCTAATGCGTGATTCGATAGTACACGGCGCATCTGGCTGGCCGGGCTGATCGATCGCCATTGCCTGTCATGTTGCACGTCGTAACTCGGAAGGGGCCGCACGCCAGCAATTGCCCCGCAAACTCCGCCTCTGACCTCACTCGACGAGCAGCTGTTATGGTTTTACGTGCCGCTGCTGCCTTCCCCAATTTACATTTATTCTTCTCTCACTATACCATCTCTTCTCGCACACACATACAACCAGATTCACCTGCATAGTTCGCACACACCACCTACCATGGCCTCAGACAGAACGACGGGTAACCCGCTCAGCGCCGGGTCGCTCTCGCTATTCATGGCGACAGCCCTACCCCGAGGCGAGAATGCAAAGCTCAAGAATGGAACCGAAGCCATCGCACTCGCAGTACATGCTGGTATGCTAGCAGTAGGCTTCAGGCTAGTAGGCCTTGGTGAAGATGAACGGATAGGTGAGTGAACAGACTAAACCCCAGAAATCCCACACATCTACTTTGTCTCCAATCTCCATGCTCATACATTCATAGAAGCATATGCAGACGCCGAGAACCCCAACACACTCCCCACAACCTGGAACACCTCCTCGCTATACACATTCCGCTACAAGCATGCACAGTCAGCCATAGATTACCATATCAACGTCCATACGCTGGACGGCAAAGCAGCTGTCTCTGCGGTAGCCAGTGGCGACGATTCACCGAAAAACTTCGATGTCACAGCCAAAGAGTACCTCTCAGAGTCCATGCTCCCTTTGAGCATACCGAAAGACGTGTCGACAGAAGACGCTGCGAAGAAGCTTATGAACCTTTTCATCTCGTCAGGCCGCCTAAACGACCTCGGCGCGCTGCTAAAGGCTAAGGTCATCCAGAAGCTGGCGTCTAGCCTGCAGAAAGCCGGCTACGAAGAGGACAGCGTTACTTCGAGCACACGAGACGGTCCAGCACGCGACGACAACTCAACCCCACGACAGCCGCAAGATCCCGAGCCAGCCCGACCATATCCTTTCAACGACCCACTAGCCGTACCGCAACAACCTGGCAGACCACTGCCTGAACCCATACCTGGCTTCGAAGACGAACACGAAGTCAACCGACCACCACGTGGTGGGCTGCGAGACGACAGATACCCTGTAGGCATAGGTCATGACGATCTATATCCTCAAGGCTTAGGGCCAAACGATCCCCTTCGCCCACACCTCGGTGGTGGCTTCGGCGGCGGTATGCATCCCACATTCGACGACCCTCTTTTCCGTGGACAAGGTGGACAAGGTGGACAAGGAGGATATGACTCTATGGCGCCTCCAGGCGCACGATATGATCCTGTAGGGCCAGGTGGTGCGCCAAGAGACAACCGTCGTGGAGGCCCTACATTTCCTGGTGGAGGAGGCTTGGGTGGCCCGCCGAACCCATTTGGAGGGTTTGGAGGGAACGACTTCATATGAGCAATATCCCAATCTGTCGCTTTCAAAAGCACGGCACGCAACCCGGACGATGCAATCGGTCCGATTGCTGCATAACGCTCGCTCATCCCCATGTTCCTCCTCAGAGACCCCCATATTGGGTCGTTGTACGCTCGGTAATCTGGCCCGAATCAACTCACGACACATCACGAACGACATGACTTCGATGACAGACGACGAGGCCTTGCATACTGGGGAACGAACAGCGTTGGCCTCACTGAAGGACTGGAGACTACCTTTGTAGTATACCCTTGAATACAGACTTCTGGTCCAATGTCTCGCTTGCTGCAATATGAAATGCCTGGGTTCCGTGGAGTATGACGGAAAACTCATTTTTAAAGCTTTGATGTTGGCAATACGTGATCTGTTTTACATTATCTTCCATCTTCAAGGTCAGGCCCATTGGTCTACGTGTTAATGCGAGAATTTTGTTTACAATCTATACGTCTAGGACTAGAAATAAGATGATGCACGATCAGTTTCCACTTCTTGAGCGAGCGTACGGATGTGAGTATTGTGATGCAATCAAAATATATACAGTATCATCGTCGAGAAGTATGTGAGTCGTAAAGGGACGTTCATCGCATTACTTATGTCTAGATGGGCCTTTAAGCGTGTACGCACTGTACGAAGTCAATGTTAGTGGTGAACATGAATTGGAATCTCAGAGCGATGCGAAAACTTGAATAGTGAAGGGTAGTCTTCGTCTGTTGACCTCATGAATTTGTTTTGGAAGTCACTGTTGTACCTGCAAATGCAAGATACTAATTGGATGTAGTGGCTGGCTGTAGAGGATTGAGGCAGTGAGGACGAGAAGTTGCAAGAGGCACAATGGGGACGTGGGAGGTTCCTCCATGTTTGCTGGCCGTGACAGACACTATTGCTCAGCTGAAGCAGTGATTCTATTGTAGCCAGCTGTGACATAGGATTCAGAGTTGGTACATGTCCAACGGTAACATCATCTCTATAGGAGACTACATCACTACAGGAGGTCTGGCGAGACATGTAAACGGCAAGATGAAAGCAGCTCGGTGAGGCCACCGAAAATGGCGGTGTGTGTGAGCGGTATGCTCAAGAGGGAAAGATTGAGGAAGCGCTTGTATTGTGGAGACGAATGTTTGCAATCGAGGAGGCAGTGTGAGCTCTTTCGTGCATGTTGATTTGGAAGTGGTTTTATTCACAGCTCCTACATCTAAGGCCTCTCAGTACTTCCCATCAAAGACGCTGTGAACTCGGGTGTGCAAGGAGCCTCTGCCGTTTTGCATAAGATTTGGATTTTGCCTACTACTAGTGTCTGAAAGCTTTGATATTGCGGTACTGCTCTTGAACGGTTGAAGTTGACCGTGTATGCTTGGCTGAGCGAGGGCTTTGCTCAGACAGTCGTCGTGCATTCCTTCGCGCAGACTTGTATCGTAGCGACACAAGCACATACTTCTTCGAGCATCTTGTAATGCCGCAGTACTTACCTCAATCTCTACGCTGATTCGAGACCTTTGATATCTAGAGGACTAGACTTCGTACGTTTTATTGAGCATCGACTTTGGAAGCTGACAAGATGTAATCTTCGTGGAGAACCTTGGCAGTGAGGTCGCGATGCTTTCCCCAGTGCATTGTGGTGGTACGTGCCTGGGTGCGCGGGAACCTTGTCACGCTACAAGCAGAAGCGTCTCAGCTGTGTCTGTGTCAATGCCCTTGAGATTTCCGCTTCGTCGCTAGGATCCTCATATTCGTTGCATCGTATAGTTCTGATGGTATGTGCTTCACCGTACGCTGAAGCTCGACAACACATGGTGTACATGGGCATGTCAATGAGACCTACCGCGGTACATACCTGTGTGCAATCTTCAGCCGGACAAACCGCCTGGGATCCAGAGACACAATGTGATCAATCTCAAATATGGGGCGTTGATCCACACCAGTGACACTAGGTATCGCGTCTAAGTGACGGACACTATCGGTCTTCCCGAACAAACGTGGCGGCGCAGTTCTCCCTTGGCGGTTCAGGAGATCACAAGCTGTGGACCGTTGAGTGGCAGCGGGTTGTTGTATATACAGACCTGACAGAGAGCTGTGCCGTAACGGTCCACACTGTGGCGTGAAAGAGGGCCACGGGGCGACAGTAGTGCGACAGGCGACGGAGAAAGTCTATCTCACGTCGTCAGCCAAGCCTTCAATGTATTGCGGGGTCGTTGTGGATCAGAATGCCCAACGCGCGCAAATGTCTAAGCATCCTTGAGCTGAACGGCTGAGAAGCGAGCCAGCATCGTTATCGTACGACACTGTGTACAGGTCAAAGGGCCAGGCAGGAAACCTCGTATCGCGAAGCGTCACACGCGGAATAACTCGACCACGATACGCTGCGAACAAGGAACCAGAGGTTTCGAGAATCGCACGAGCAAGGCGGGTCGCAATGGCAGCCTTTCCTGTACAGTAGAAGAAGTTAGCCTGGCACTGTGCGCGCCGTGGGCTCAATTTACCGAGAATCTGGTATTTTCGATACTTTGCAGTCTCAAGTGAGCAAGCTGAGATTTGTCGAGAATCCGTAAGAGTCATGGTCCCGCGGATCGATGGCTATCGCCGTCGTGATCTGTACCCCTACAGGGTCAAAGCTCCACGGGCCGCGGTAGTGGCTGCCGAATGCACGCTACGTAGCCGTTACATTTGAGCATTCACCTACTTGACTATAGCGCATAGTGCAAGTCACTGCTCTGCAACGCTCATCAGAGAGTCTTCGTGATCTGGATAGTGAGTTACACATTGCAGCATGAATATTCCCGGGCGGTAGGATTTGTGACAGAAGATTTCCATGTCGGTAGTGGGTGTGCGTCCCGGATACGACAATATGTCCGAGCGGCGTGAACATGATTGGCCGGGGAGACAAAATGCTGCTCCCGCGACATCTGATCGAGGATATCCGGAACGCCAACTTTGTTATGGGATCAAGCTCCGTAGATGCCCACAAAAGGTGACGCCATTTGTTTTCCTGTACTGAGGCGTGACAGCACCGGGTCGAGCGTGCACTGCGCACAAATGCACTCGATTCTGAAGCGGATCGACAGCGGTAACGGAAGTTCGAGTTCGTAACCGTACTGTGGAGCAACCGAGAGGTATTGGCTCATTATCGAGCATTGAACGGAAGATGTCAGTGTACATAAGATGCTGATGCTCCGCACGCCAGGATCCTGGCTATCGATCTGAACAGTTTCGCAGGGACCTGAAAGCATAAGCCACGAACTATCGGTCTCGCATCCTTCAAGGCTCGTGGCTTGCATTGCATGTCCAGCCTCGTCTGCTAGGAAGTAAGACGTAACGATTCTGTTTCGAACGCCTCAGCCAAGAACGGCATTTCGCAAAGTTGTCTTCTGGCAAAGTCACACTTGCTTTTCCGGTCAAGCATATGAGGGTGAACAAGCTCGGAGTCAGACAGCCAAATGTGTGGGTCAAGGCACTTGGATAAAGGGGTCGTTGCTTTTAGCGTATCCTACAGGCAACGCTAACGTGTTCCACGCGCGACCATCGCGGCTATGAAGCAAGGGTCCAGCGTTGGTCACTTGCTGGCGGCTGCACAGCGCCTGGCTCGGTTCGTTAACCGATCACATCCAACAGACAAACGCGCGGACGCGCTTATATCGGGGGGGGGGGGGGCGAAATGAGATTTGACACAGCATGGAACATTTCAATGAATTTTGCAGGGAGCTCGCGTGGCAGATGGCGAGTGTTCGACTGCCAGTTTTGACATGAACAATAGGAAGCGCGATCGGTTGCTCCACATGCTATCGCCAGGTTGGGCAGCATCTGCGAGCGGATTGCGGGGATCGTCAATCTGCAGTCGGATGTTCTGATGGTTCAGACGATGCTGGTACGATGGCAGTCTCTGTTAGGTGTCTTTGTATAGTTTCTGCCAAAGATGCAGAACGTATGTCCGATGCTCAAGAAGTTCGGATTTGTCGACTTTGGAGACTCGTGATTGAAGGCTGCATCGACCAATTTCGAGCGGCGAAACAACTTGGTACCCCGTAGAGCAAAATCTATTCGATTGATAGCGGAATAACCAAGGAAATTCACTGCTGGGATGGTCTTTTGTGCGACTGAGTCTGAGACGCTGGAGAGCAAGAGCTGATTACGGTGACCAGTACCTCGGGCGACGGAATGTTTGCAGCAACCTTGACGCTTACTGTCCTCTGCAAAGGGTAACTTCGCGACGAGAAAAGAGTCCTCTCATGGACATGATGCAGAGATCAGCACTCAGCGAGGCGAAGGCGCGAGCATGGAGGATATAATGTCGATCTCTTGCAAAAGTGAGACAGGTCTTTGAATCATGGCGGTTGCGTCGTCTGAAGACAGCTGAGCCGCAATGAGCAGTCAATGTGTAACTGTAGGGTAGGGCTGGTGGCTAGTCCTCAATCGCCGCAAAACAGCCCAGATTGGCTCAGCCTGAGGCGAGCACAGAGCAGCGTTCATCGCTACTCGCCGGTCAGGAGATACTGGCGAAAACAGCCAGTGGGCGGTAGCGACAGGGCGGCAGTGGACGGGAAAATGCCAACTGTTTTTGCGGGCCCACGTTGGCGAACTGGCCAATGGAGTTCCTGAGCAATAGTCGACAAGTAACTCCACGCTCTCATCTGCAGTACAATAGTACTGCTAAGCTTAGCGGGTGGGTACAAGCGTACGAGAAGAGTCGTCCACATGATTGCTGCAGGTCGTACTGGTGAAAGGTAGGGTGTGACTGCAGAGTGTCTCAATTAGGGCAGCCTGATCATTGAAATGCCGGCCCGAGGGAACAGAATCTGCGTGTCTCGGAAGGAGCAGCGAGTTGCGGAGCCGATGAGGCAGCGAGTACCAATATCAAGATGCGTGGTGGTCGCCAATACGAGCCTTGTTCCGCAACCCGCTTGAGATCGCAGTCATGTGAGTTTAGACGCAATGGGTTGCCTAGCTTTCGCTCTTCCCGTCAAGGTAAATAAGGAGATCAGGAAATGATCTGTAGGAAGCGCGTTGGTCAACTCGCCTGGAGCGCCGCGAAGGAGCAGCGCGTTGGGGCGGCAATAGCGTGCAGGCGGGGTGTAATTTGAACCAACGTGCTGGGTCAGGCAGAAGATGGAAGGTGTCATAGTGGTCATGCAAGGCTGAGACAAGGACATCCCAAAAGAAACAAGGTGCGTCGACAGATTAGCTCGAGTTGAGAGGATGTTGAGGTTTGATGTCAAGAACGATGAAGGTTGCGACATGCCGGACCTACTCTACGCTAAGATTGCAACAAGCGAACTGATGTGGCCCCGGCAACGATAAGAAACAAGGCCAGATGCCCATCCTTTAAGCGCCCGCAAGGACGCTACGATCCAGCAGGGAAGAGTGAAGAGCGATATTGCAAAACCGGTCAGTGGACAGTGTGATGCCATTTACAGCCCGGACGCAAGATTGACCAGTGAGCAGGGGTAGCAACAGCCGCCGTCTGCCCCTGCCGCAAAAACCGATGTGCAGCGCAGTGAACCATGGAAGAAAAGGCAGGTAATATAGCCAGCAAAAGAGCTTTTTGCGCTTAATCACTCTAAAGCAGCACCTCATGCCCGTGCCGCGTAGAGAGCGTGTTGCTGCCCAGTCACGATGCGACCTTTATGTGAAGGCTGCAGGCATCGTGCAGATTTAAGCGCCTGCCGCTGGCAAATTCGCGCAGTGACACCCTGACCGGTGGTAGTTTGTCTGGCATGCGTCTCGGCACATGCACGGCGACTATTCCCGTGCAGACCCGTTGATTGCATTTGTGCGGAAAACGTTGTGGTAAGTGCTGTGATTTGTGCAGGGTTGGCTTCACGGTCGTGCTGAAGGGAACCACAGCGGCCCCATCGACGTCGAATGACAATGTGAAGACGTATTCAAAGCACAAGAAAGGCACGACGAGGATGGTGAAACGGCATGTACGTGATGTCTATCTGTCAAAGTGTACATGAGGATTGAACAAAGCAGGAATCTCACTCTAGGTCATACGTATGACCTCTAATGCTAGAGCGCCCCCAGAACAAATACAAAATAGCAGAATACCACCCAGTAACTACAGCTTGAATGCACCGAAAGCCAAACCAACGCTACAATGCAAGATAGCAAATGACGCTCAAATGTTACCACCCACGCTCACATACAATTTTTCAGACATCCTCCTTTCCTATAGTTTCGATGCGTAGTGTGCATGGTGTCGGTACTCTGCATCCATCGTTTCTGAGCTGGACACTTGACCGCGATTGGAGCAGCCATCTTCTTCGTGCCTGAGATGATTAACGATCGAAGCATATATCGAGAAATGAATTTGCTCACCTGGTGCGTGTGTCCTTCCGCGCAAATTTAGCAGTACACCTATGGCATTGGAAGTCCTTGTACCTTAAGTGAACGCTTGTGTTGTGCCTATTTAGGTCGGTTTTACGAACAAAAGCCTTTGGGCAATCCTCATAAGGGCAGACATGTGGCTTCTCTCGGTTTTCTTTATGAGTCTCCAAATGCTGCTTGTAGTTGTATTGACGTGCAAATCCTTTGTCGCATCGGTAGCAACGAAAGGCGGCTGTTGAAAGCCCGGTTTGCCTGCGACCGCGCCTACGCTGTCGGTATACAGAGGCCTGGTGTACAGAAGCCTGGGGGTATTCTGTGCGTGTTCGAGTGCTCCTCTCGCTGGATGCTCGAACGTAAGCAAGATTCTCGTATCCCGGTGCGGGTGTAGACTCGAGCTTGGCCACCTGTGTCGAACCATACGCATTCTCGTAAGGGAGGATAGTGCTGTTGAGTCTCTCAGGAGCAACTGTCAGTGGATGATGCCGCGATAATGGAAGCGTTGGCTCGTTGTGCACATAGCGTGCATCATGAGTCCACCCATGGCCTTCAAGGCTTATCGCTCCCCTCCCTTGGCTCATCTCATGGTAGGCGTTATCAGATCCAGAATGAGAGTACACCGGTACCATTATGACAGACGACACCGACGACCGGGGCGATAGTTGTGCGCCGTTCCAAGGTTGTGGAGATTGAATGATTGGGTGCTCGAATGCTCCTGATGCATATGGATCCGCAATCGCGTGTGCCATAAGAGGAGAGGCGTCAGTTGAGACGTGACCAGACCAGGAATCTGAGGGCGATGGTGACGGAGGCAGAGTTGTGGGAACTTGATGGTGGTAGTTGTAGAGTCCAAGGCCTTGCGGATACTTTGACGTGGATTCATGCCGGTTTGGGGACAGGTAGGGTGGCTCAAGTAAGGAGTCTGACCTTGGTGCATGCGTCTGATAGGGCGAATTGAAAGGAGGTGTAGGTTGCTCTGCGTACTGCATAGTGACAAAGGGTTAGTGTCAAAGAATATGAAACTGAATATGATGCACAGTGGCGAACGATGTCTTTAGAAGGTAGATCCGAAGATGGTGGTGATGGTTGGTGACGAGTGGCACTGTAGGGCGTCCAGGCACCGGAATATATCTGCACGACGTAGGTGGTAAAAAGCCTCCACAGATCTAGGATCGGATGTCTGTTTGCAGTGCTGTGGCAGTGTCTTCTCGAAGCAAGCCGTTCGAACGGTGGGCTTTTGGAGGATAAGGCAGACTCGGAAATTGTACCAGTCAGGGAATGACATGAGCATGGGTACGGTGTCTTCCAGCCGCGAGGCGGCAGCGCCTGTTAGCGGCATAGGACCATGTTCCTGCGGAGGGCTGATGAGGGGAGGGGTCTGTAAGAGTAGTAGTGCAAGTTATGCAGGCCACACCCCAGCACAAGTGGGTAGTGGCGCGACCGGGGTGGCCCACTTAAAGAATCATACTGTCGGGAAGTGCCTGGCGGGCCGACCACAAATCAGATTTGTGAGGCGCAACGAACAGCGAGTGCAGTTGATCACCTGGGGTGGTGCCTGTGCTTGGATGAACTCGTCAATGCGCACACGGTTGTTGCGACGACTGCCCAGCTTCAGTTGGCTGTTACCTTGACGTCTGTCATTGAGTCAAGGGATATGACACGTTTGAACGCACCGTTTTGCATTTGCTATTGAGGTACTGATCAGAGAGGCATGCACATATGCTGCGGGAAACCATAAGCGCCGGCCATCAAGCGACCTCGCTCGCTTCGCGCTGCTCCTGAAGCTGAGAGACAATAGCCGTTAGTGCCTCAACCTGTGCTGTGAGGTTGATGACGAGGGTTCTCAGTTGTGCATCGGGCTCTACCTGCCCGGTACCTGGCTGAGACCGGCCTGTGGATTGCGCTCTTGCTGCAGTGCTGGAAGTCGCCTGCGTATCTGCCTTCAGCAAACGTGGTGAGTTCACCGCCAACCGCGGAGGTCTCTTCGCTGCTATAGGTGTCTGCGGGCCACTGAAAGACATGGGACCCAGGTCGCGCTTGCGATACATGTCGAGGTGTTCATACGCCCAGATGACACCCACAAATGGTAAGTGCGTCGCTTTGAGAAGCACGATGCGTGCACTTCTCAGCCGTTCAGACGGCAGAATGAGCCGGAAGGGCCGTATGCAGAGGGGTATCAGGTTCTACGGCTGTTAGCCTTGCATTCGTCAATGCACATAGCTTTCGTGGTACGATGTTGTTGGCAGATGGGTCCAACTGTTCGAGAGAGCCTGGGCGGCAGTGTGAGGCTTGTCACTCTGTTATGATGGCACATCCGCAGTATACCACTGACCATATGCTACACTCGCCAGAGACTGTTGTCTCCATTGTGGTTGGATAACGTGATTCGTGTTTTGGGACCTCAGAGGCTATGCTCTCGGCCTTTTTTACGGCCCGGCGCTTAGGGGGCGTTCCACGGTCCCAGAAATAGTAAAGAGAGGAAAAACACTTACAAGTGGTGGTAGAAAGTATGTCAGTCGGTTTGAAGATGATGCTTCAAGAACGTAGACTGAGTAGCTGTTCGTGCGTTACAATTGATATGCACAAGACGGATTCGGGCAGTGTACTGACATGAAGAGATATTCATCGCGTGCATGCTCAAGGATCTGCATTATTGTCAGTCAAACCCGCAAGAGACGTATGCCCCATTGGGACGGTAATTCAATGTGCTCATCGCTATTCGAACGGAGTTTGTTGATGGAAAAAGGTGTAGTATCGCTGGTCTAGCGCCTCCTCTACGGACTGGAGCGATCAACAAGCACGAGGGGCGACAAGCGTCGATGTGCCAAGGCCAAGATTGGAGACTCTGCCTCGAAGGCTGAGGCCTTCAATGATGGCTGTGTCGTGCGTGCCGGTCGTGTGTTGATAAACTTAGCCCGCACATGGAGCATAGGCGCCAAGACTAAGAAACAGAGCAACGAGAGCCAATGAAATTTCTGCCTTGCACCAACGTACCTTGCTTAGAGAGTTACTCAAGAGAGAGATCAGACTAGTGATGAGAAGTATGTTGGTCAAGATAATGAAGATGAGCTACACTTGAATCAGTAAATCGAACGTTGAGGCTTTGCACAAAAGCCTGACCATGACAGGTGGCCCAAAGAAGGGCGATCTACCCATTATTAGCAGCTAGCTTTCAGGTGTGATAACTTATGTACGTACATTTCTTGAGCGACGTCTATAGTGCGATCTTGTCAGCGTTTTTCAAGTGAGATGGGTGTGGCCACTGCTACTTACCAAAACCAAGATAGCTTGATCTGCAGGCACTCGTTAGCACATGTTCATGCAGCTTCTGGCAGCGGACTACTTACCCAAAGAAAACTTTAATCAGAATCCAGCTCTGTTATACAGACATCAGAAACATATCCAAAGAGATATCCCACTGGACTAACCATTTCTTGTGGTTTGAAGTGATCTCGAGCCAGCAGAACGAAAGTGGTGAGAAAGCCTGAACGAGATTAGTGCATTCCCAATACACAAAATTGCGGTGTTGCAGTACCTAGATACAATATCAAGACAAGTGACAAGAACTTGACAAAATCTTTGGTCTATTATGGGTTAGGCACACGTATGTTTGCTGTCGATCAATGCACGCCTTACCATTTCCTTCAAGCAGGGAATCTTATCTAACTGTCAGTATCGAGGTCTTAGCCAGTCATCGTTCGTTGACTCACCAGGGTTCCAAAGTAAGGATTCAAGCTCAACAAAGAGAAGATGCGTGGTACTAGGAAGAGCGCTTCCAGCCCCAGAACGTCATAAGCAAGATCAATGGTGTCTTTCTTGCCATTTGACAAGCCTACTATTCTGAGGGCACAAAAGGCCATACCAACGACAACGATACTGATGTCCCAAGTCCACCAGAAATCTGACGCATAGAAACTTGTCTGTCCAGCGTCGACCCAGTCGGCGAATTCGTCGTACGCGAAACTGGCTATCCACAGATACAACAAGATTTCAGGTATTGTAACTCTTTCTTGGTCTCGACGGACCAGTACGGCGTAGTAGAGGGCTAAGAAGATCGCGAAGAAGAGAGTCTCAAATATCTTGAGGTATCGAGGCACGCGCAGACGGGAGAACGGATCGGCCTGTCTGCGATTGTACGTTCTGGGCCGTTTCACAGAATTGACGCTGAGCGTCTCCCAAAAGACGATGTCGCCGCGCCACAGTCCATTGATGATCTTTTGTATAGGACGCTGGCTTAGGAACTTCTTAGCACCACCTACTGCAGCTATCTCAAGCGCAGAGAGATTTTCGCAGCGGCTTTTTAGCGACCCAAACCTCGGATTTGCGGCATCGTTACTCCTTGTACCAAAGTAATCACCATTAGCTACGTCAAGCAAAGGTGTCCGTTCGCTGGACTGAGCAGCGCTGTGGCCGTTTTGATGACTGTGATCGGCTGTACCCGAGGGGGAGTCAGTGTCGGGAGATGGCGCGGGCGGTAGTTCAAGCAGCAAGAAGTCAATAACATCTCGGTCAGTAAGGCTGTTAAGGAATTGCCATGCCACAAATTCACAAGCATAGCCCCGCGCTTGATTGACACCTGGCTCGTCACTTGTTTCCTCGAGTGCAGAGAAGTGGCCTTTCAAAGCTCTGTTCCACATCAGCACTTCTTTCTCCCTCATATGTATGCCGCCTATGGCTCGATTGATCAACGTACAAAAGGGCAGACACCAGGGCGGGGTGGTGCACCTGGTTCGAGAGGTGGTTTATGAGAGGATATAGTGCACGGCCATGCTGGCTTGTGCGAAAGGCCTCGAAGCTATGAGGAAGCTTGATGGTATGATCGAAGTATCTAGTCGTGTCTTAGCTGCTGCCGTACCTTCCTCTATCTGCTTCTAACTTACTGGCTCAGCTTGTCGACCAGGTCTGCAAAGCTTTCAGCGCCATCAATCTCAGGAACGCCAGCATCATCAGTCGGCCACCTCGACATGGACAGCAGCGACATCTTCGAAGTTTCTCCTCGACGCGTTTGAGAGGTGCATCATCAAAAGTCGCGCGCAACCTTGGAAAGCGTGGGGCCGTGTCGTCGCACTTGTGGACCGCGGTCTGGAAGTGGCAGTCGCCGAAACAACATAGCTTCTTGGCACAGACCTTCGTTCCTTCTCTCACTTACAATATTTGTACTTTCAACATCAGCTTTCAGGTCATGCAAATCTGCAGATCTGCAATGGCGCCTCACAATCATTGATCGATACTAATTACAGCTGCTTGAAACACTTACAATGCCTCAGGAAGCAGATTTCTGCGGAGACCGCTTGCGCCTCTCCGCCTTTCTTCGCGTTGTGGGTGATGGCATGCCCCAGCGGCCAACGCGCTTCAGACGTCGCTTACGTGCAGTCGACAACGGCGTTGACACATCGATTTACCATGGCACTGATCGTGCTGACCACGAAGTTCCCCCGGCCGAGAGAGTCGCTCGTGAAGGACCCTCCAGTGATGTATCGATCTTCGACATTGCACGCTCACTGTCGCCAGACCAACCAACGCTAGCACCAACAGATCTCTTGCCAGAAGTCCCAACCAACAGCGAAAGTCAGAGAGACTGCGAGCAACTTGAAGATGTTCAGCTCCCACCCGTTCAGCAGCAAGCAAGGATTTCAATACAGATCACAACAACTACGAAGTCACCTGAGAAGCCTCGAAAGAATTCAAGCACTCGAAAAAGGCGGCGGCTACCTGTGAATGAACTCGCCCTACTGCGAACTACGTCCTCAGATGGCCTACCTAAACCGAGTGTGAGATTCCATTTAATAAGGCAAGTACCATTTGCCCAAGCTGACGGCAGCTCCTTTAGGATGCAGGGCACGTTTTTGCAGCTCCTGTAGCCGCTGCCGATCCGATTGAAGACAGCCAGATGTTGACAATTGCGCCTTTCAGATCTCCATCTCGGCAACCAGTGGCCCACCGTGTACAGAAGCCATCACCGGCGAGAGCTGCCATCTCCGGTTCCCCAATGTGGATACTGCGTAGGCAACTTGGCCATCCTCATTCAACAAAATTCGACGGTGCACGCAGCAGAACGCTTCCGCAATCTAGCTTTGCCACAGGCTCAGATGGGTTCGTTGGCGCAGAGCTCAGTATACAGCACACAAATAGACCTACCAAGGCACAAATCAGCAACAAGACGCGGATGAAAAAAACTGTACCTGATCGTGGAGGGCTCGTCATGATATGCGGTCACCTGCCAGCACCGCCTGTCGAGCATCACGAGGGCGTTCTGGCTGTGGCAGAACATCCTATGCATACTGGAGACCGCGCTCCGGTTCACCCGTCGACTCGCGTAGTGGAGAGATGGCCTTTGTCGCAGCGCGCTATAACAGAAATTCGAAAGGCATTGAGTGAGAGAAATGCCAGAGAGCGCCGCAACTCCAGTCCAAGACAGCAGGAAGCTCTGGTGCGCGATCAGCTTTCTAATGTTACAGCGCCCATCAGACGCGTTTCTGAGGGCTCGAGCTCGGCGCCTTCTGATGAAGAATGCATCCCTAATAATGAACTTGACAGCGACAACGATGACGACAACGCGCATGATGATTCTCGATCACCACATACATTTCCCTCAGGTCGCATACGTAGCTCTATCGCAGATACAAAATATTTCGAAAGTGCAATGCACAATCTCGACGCGGCAGAGGGATCTGGTAATATGAATCTGGAGATTCGGTCACAGTATGCTGGAATCGTACGAAGTGATGGATATTGGTTTCCAGAAGGTGGTGCAACGGGAATGGTGCATTCCATATGAGCAAGCGTGACAAGCGGTAAGTAGTCGGATATATATCAGGTAAACCACGAAGTTCCGCTTTTTGCCTGCGCCTGTCTCCCTTCTATGCGAGAGGCTTTTGTGGGTTGCCTGGCTAATCATTCATTGACGTGTCACAGCCAGACCGATCTAGGTTAGGTTCGCGCAACACCAGAATCCACGATTAAATGTGCACCGGCGGTACACAGCGTCCTCAACCTAGTGACGTAGACCTGTTTATGAGAAGTTCCAGGCTAGATCTTACGAGTCGACATCTGGAACTGAGGGAAGTCGGTGTTCGCAATAGCCTACTGTGAACTTACAGCACGCTGAACAGCATAGAAACCAACGTCATTACTTACATTCGAGCTGTATTCTGTCGATTTTTCGACGATGAGTCGATTTCATCTCGCTTTAGTGGTTTTTGTTTGCAAGGAGAAGGTAGTCGGAAGGCATCGACCACTCGGCGTCGCTGTTTCGCACTAAGAGCTACCCGTTCGTCGGACGCTTAGTGCGACCACTACCGACACGTCGAAACACCAGACCTCCTGTACTTAGAAACAATCCCTCGCCTGGTATCGTGTCACCGGTGTTGTTAAGGGTCCGGGGTTCTTGACACTGATTATGATGGTGCGGTAGGACATATATGGAGAGCTGTCTCCCTTGCGGCGCGCTCTTGTTGCACATTCACACTCTTTGCGCATCCTCCATTGTCGACCGGATCGTCTGCGCGCGCCCAACACCCAACAACCAGGCTTTCGAAGGTTGATCCTTGACATTATGGCGTCACAGGGAGGCATATCTCCTTCAATGGTAAGACGCAGCATAACGCTGGGCAAAATATTAAAGCTGACAAGTTGCAGGCAAACATGAAGCCACCGTACCCACCAGCGGTATGGGCACTAGGTGGAGCACCTGTGAAGAAAGTCGATATACCCGCACAGACTGTCTTTATGGTTCTGTTCATGATTGGAGCGGCTGTACACATGAAAATCTTCCAAAGGAACAGAGCCAGGGGACATAAGTTCCTGTTCAACCTCTTTATTTTCTGTAAGCTCCTTTGCTGAATAGTACCGAACGAATCACTGACATCGATTCTAGTTTTTTGCGTATCACGCATTCTCACCTCCATTCTTCGAATTGCATCGACAGCGCAGTCTCGAAATGTCAAGCTTGCGATCGCAGCATCTATCTTCGTAGCAGCTGGCGTACTCATTCTCTTCATTATCAACCTAATCTTCGCTATGCGTCTTGTCCGGTCGCTGCACCCAGCTCTAGGGTGGCATCCTGGATTCGGAATTATTTTCAAACTACTTTGTTTTCTTACTGGAGCAACAATAATCATGGTCATTGCAGGCACGGTGCAGAGCTTCTATACTCTAGACCCGAACACCAAGGCTACCGATCGAAGCCTCCAACTGTACGGCTCGACGTTCCTCGCTATCATCGCAACACTGCCCCTCCCGATCACCGTTCTTTCACTGCTTATTCCATACTCGCCACCCGATCGATTTGGTGTAGGCCGCCTCCGCACTAAAGTCATCGTACTGCTCGTCAGCACCACATTGCTAGCCATCGGAGCCTGGTATCGATGCGGAAGTACCTGGGCACCACCTGTTCCGCGATCTCAACCTCTTCCAGGCTATCTTGGCAAAGGCGTATTCTACATCTTCAACTTCTTCGTCGAGATCCAGACAGTCTTAATGTACGCAATCTTGCGTGTAGATCTGCGCTACCACATTCCCAATGGTGCCAAGGGCGTTGGATCTTACTCTTCGTCGCAGCAACTGGACGACGTTGAGATGCAAGACTCGCGACCTACATCAGCCTCGAAGACAGTGGTGGATACCGATAACGAAACCGCTGCAAAGACTACCACTTTCGGCCTGACAATCAACACCAACGTGCCCACAATACAGATTCACGACCCAGAAAAGACGCATGCGTTTTCACCAGATTCACCAGACACCCATATCGAGTCTACACAGACCACACCCACCACATCACCCACCTCTCCGCCGAAGAACAAACGCAAGTCCCTCCTCCAATCGCTCTTCAAGCGCCAATCTAAAGCACCCACCCTACCAACGATCCAAACCGACATGTCACCCCTCGAACCCCCACCGACTGCAGAACAAAAGCAGCGCTGGCGCGACAGCGAACAGCGACGCATCATAACGCGCCTGGGTGGACCATGGCAAGAACTCGACTCACCCATGAGTCCCCTCGAACCACCAAGTCCCACCAGCACAATGTACTCCTTCAGAACAGGCATCAGCAGGGACACACGCGACAGCGTAGGCAACATCAGCATAGGTACTGGTCTGTCAATCGGTGTTCCGAGCGTAGTCACTGCGCCGAGCTTGCGAGATACGCTGAGAGCGGACGGCGGATGGACGCCGGAATTGGACTGGGAGTTGAGAAGCCCGAGACGATTTTTGAGTATGAAGAGGAGGGTTACCGGGGAATAGAAGGGGACAGATTGTACAACATCACAGCGAGGCGTTTGGGTGGTAATGGGGATATCCAACACATATCTGAGCCCATCGACTATTAGGTCAGGCTATACTAATGCTGCATTTTCTTTGTCTTTTTACATATGTACAACATCTATTATACACTCAGAGTCTGCAGCGCAGGAACACACGATACACAATTGTTTCACTTTACTTTTGATGTCGGGTGATTTGAGATGGTTCGCCTTACGAGTCTGCCAAAACGATGTTTTGTGGGTTCTGACAATAGTGCCGCGACGCCGAGCGATCTTGAAACACGATTCAATAACCCTGAGGCACGACCGTGAATTTCGATATCGTTTCGATCACCGCGTTGTTTGATATTTGTGCTATTTTTAAAGGGCTAGTTTGGTGTTGCCGGCTGGAGAGCCGGCGCGGGACAATGAAACAGAAGCACGGATCTGGTCCAATGTCGCAGAGCGACGTCTTTCTTGATGTTCACTATCTGCCGAGTCACTTCGATGTTGCCAGTGGTAGTACTGTAGGAACCATGCTAGTATTACCATTCATAGTATCGCGTGCTTGTCAACCAAGAAATATTGTCTCTTCCTTGAACAACTCCCGCCACCATTTCCCCGCGGATTCTATTTTAGTGCCGGGTTCATCTTTCACTGCCAGAAACTGTACATTATTGTTGCAAAACACAATGTGTTTTCGCAGTGCCTGCCCAGAACCGGTCTTAGCGAATTTCGAGAAATTGAGCCAGAATATACCAATGCGCTCATAGTACGTCCCCATGCACCTGACCAGTACAATGCAATCTTCATGAACCTCTTCAGAATCTGTACCATGTAGAAGCAAGCCGACAAATGGTTCTCTGACGCAGGAAATGGTGGCATCCCACTTTGGTTCATATATAACCTTGCACGACTCATCAGAGCTCAGCGTGACACGGTGATCCAGTAATGAGACAGTTGACGGATTCGCGACACCTGACGTTATCTCAAGGGTCCGGAGTTTGTCTATTGATATTTTTTTGGTATTAGGTGTGAATTACGACAAGGAACCGACTGTCCTTGCACATGTATCGAGATGCTTGGGTCCTCAACCCTCATCACTCTCACACGGCCTACCCACCCCACTGGAGTCCAGCTTGGAAAGCCTGCCTGCCGGAAAGGCCAGGGCCCGCCAGATTAATGAACGCAGTGTATACATCATGGTTGAGACCGCATCCCTCCGGCATGTATGCTCTGTGGAATTGATTGACGTTGGTGTAGGTGCAACTTATGTTGGGCTGCCCTTGATAGTAAGGGGTACATTGAGAAGAATTCGGCCATGACTCGCGACACGTCGAAAGCGCCGAATCTTCGATGGGTTCTTCGAAGTAAGTGTAGTCTGGTATTAGAGATAGTTTGTTCAATGCATTGTACCTATGCGCGAGAGTACAGCAGCGTTCGCAAACTTCGTTCTTGTGACGGTTCATGGGGTAAGGATGTCCCATGTACCACGTGTTGGTGTAGTGGTTCCTACTACCCTTGACAAGCACTTTCCACACTCATCTGTATCATAGATACGTCATGAAAACAGACCCTCCTGATGGTAATGGGATTGGCAATCACAACAGACAACAAGAACACAGATAGCAATACAATTGTTGATACACAGTCTCCGACCAACACTGCTCACGCAGTCACAGTTCTCAACAATGTGATGACTGAATCGCTTGACGCTCCTCTCGTGAGCCACAAAGTGTGGTGGTGAAGACATAGCTGTGGAGAAGTTGTCTGTGTGTTGTCAAAGAACCGTAGGTGAATGGTGAAAGAGGACAACAGGTGTCGAGCTGAAGTTACGAGGCAGTGGCGCTTCGTGATACCGTGATCCGTTAACCAGACTGGGAACATGCATTGCTTACCACCTTTACATTGGCATCCTGACCATCTCCTCCTTGCTCCAATACTTCCTCATATTCTCCGCGCCCAACTCCTTAACCTCATCGTCCAAATGCTGCCACAGCACCTTCCCAAACCCATCCAGAATCTCCTTCAGCTCGGATAACCTTAGCTCGCGCTCTCCGCTATTACACTCATCTAGGTACTTAGTAAGCTTATCAAGACCGGCGTGGATCTGTTTGTGTTGTGTAAGGAGTTCCAGCTCTTTCTTGAAGGCCGGCATTTTCTTGGCGAGGACGGGGAAGATATGCCTGTGGTTTGGTGTTAGCATCTCAATTTATTAAAGATGACAGCCCTTTGCAAAGGATGTGCCATCTCGACAGATGCGCATATGTAGAACGCCTTGCTCTTGTCTTCCACGTCGAGAAGTTTCGCAGCCTGAGCGCTCCCAAACCACTCATCTCACTTCACCACACCACTCTTTTTGCAACCCTCAAGAAGTCAAACAGACTGGACATACCTCTCCTCAATCCCATGATGCATCTCCAACTGCGCACAAAACTGCTGCCCCATGCCAATAAACTGCCTAATACTCATACCCTTACTCCTCTTCCCCGTCTCACACGCGCCATACAGCACATTCCAGGTCTCGCGGAAGTGGTTGTGGAAGTAGTCCATGTGCTCGGCCATGCGGTTGTAGATGCGGAAGTCATGTTGGCTGAGCTTGGGGAGGGTGGGCTCTGAGGGGGTGAGGGAGGAATCGGGATCGGTTGTCGCCATTCTGGATTCTGGACTTGTTGATGTTGCTAGGTTTGCGGTTCGGTGTGTGAGGCTGGTGGTAAATGCTCGCTTGGATGATATTGAGAAGACTCGATGTCGGTGTTGCAAAATGAGGGCCCTGAGGGGGCGAATAGGGTTCATACGCTCAGAACGCTTGCAGTCAAGAACAGTCAAGACAGAAAGAGGTGTAAAAAGTATAGAGATATAAGGTGAAGCTAATATGATATTCTTCTTTAGGAAAGCTCAACAGTTCGGCACTTCTGTGGCCACTTGCAGCTTACCAAAATTCGATGACAAAGACGGATGGTGCGACCTGCCCTTCCGAAACGCCGACATACCGAGAACGCGCTAAGGCGCGTGCGAACCACGAACCACGTCGACGCGTTGTTTTGCAGCTGTCAAACCAGGAAGGTTCACAGCCCTACCAGGCACACTCTGGGCAGTACGTCATATGCCATTGACGTGTCATGCCCAGATGCGTTTGGTCTGTCGAATCGTGCCACGAGAAGGACGCAGTCACCGACTCATATTCCGGAGTCTGTGAGGCCACGTTCTTTGGTTGAACCACGACTCGTCGTGAGGCACTGTCCACTATACGACTCTCTCAGCAGACCATCATTTCTTTCGCGTCTTCGCAAATTTCTCGTGCCACTTTCTCGCCGACGGTTTGGTCGCTACAGGCGCGTCTTGCACGTTGGCGACTGCTGCATCCTTGCTCTTGGCCCTGATTGTGGTGTCTGATGGGAACTCGTACGAGCCTTCAATTGCGCTGAGCTTCGCGTCTTTGCGCCATGCTTCGGGCAATCTGTCCTCCCAGGTGTCTGTGAAGTCGGCGATGAGGAAGTCGCTGCTTCCCTGCTTAGCTTCGAGCAGCGTCTTGCCGACAAAGGCAACGGTTCTTGCTCGGTCGAGACATGACCATGGCCCTTCTGCGTCTTGCTCGTCATTTGAAACGTGTCTGAGCACGGCCTTGGTGAAGGGAGATGGATGTCCATCATCGGCGACTGCTGTAGCAATGTCTTCAGTCAGAAATTGACTGTCCAACCTCACACCCTCAGCCAGTGCAGCAGCATTGATAGACCTCCACACTTGTGACAGTGCGTTCACAGAGGGTATGTACGTGTCTTCATTGTGCTCGAACGCCATCAGCTCGTTCCACCCTGCCTGACATTGTGCGTCTGACAAGGGGAGGTTTTCAAAAATGTGATCCTTGCTCCTGCCGTTGCCCGTGGCATCGACGTCGCCCGCCACGATATCATACACGGGCAGCACCTCGTGCAGCATAGCGACAGCGGAGACATCTGAGGGATGCAACTCCAGGGTCGCGGGGCACGATGCTATGGCGCATGTGGCCGGGAGGGGTGTGTCGTTACCATGGGAGTCGAGGAGCTGGGGATGGGTGACGAAAAGCGAATTCGACGTCTGGACCTGGCGCAGGTGGAAGGTCTTGTTGGGGGTGCAGAGCACCGCATATGCAGGCCGGTTGTTGGCGGCGGCGGCGGACGATTTGATTGAGAGCCTGTGCGCGCCAGAGATCAGAAGGGGATCCACGCGCAGCAGCGGGACGGGAGCTGGGAGCGCACCGCGGGGGATTGGGAGCGTCGAGCAGCGCCGCGACGTCGGGCGGCAGTTCGAGCAGCTGCAGCTTCTGCGCGCTGGCGGCAACGGCAAAGGGCACGCCGCCGTCGAACTGCTGCGTCGCCATAGGAATTGCTGCGGGCGGGGGAGGGGGGGGGAGAAGGGGGCCAGGCGGATTATCTAGCGGCGCTGATGTGTTTGTTTGATCTTCGCGGCGACGCGATCTGTCGGCGCCGCCGCCAAAGCAGCCCGCTCGCACCAGCGCTGCACGCTGCACGCTGCAAGGGCGGGCATGCTCGCTGCCCCAAAAATACACGGGGTCCCCGGCGCTGTCCCAGGCTTCCCAGCGCTGTCCCACGCTGCTGCTGCTGTGCGCTGCACCGTCTGGCGCTAGTCGCCGCCTGTTTTGGAGGGTGTCGAGTGCAGCTTTGGCGTTGCAGCCAGCCACCGTTTTGTGCCTTGTTTACTGCCCGTTGACAGGCGAACACCTGCAAATCGCATCTGTTCAACATCAACACCCACACACGCGCCGATCGCTCCTTCTGTCCTGCATGGCCTAGCAGCCTCCCCACTCTCCTTTCCACCACGTCGCCTTCACTGCGCGATGCCAATGCGGCTGCATCTTCATCTTCCCACCTCGTAATATCCCACCTCCGTCACTCGTTCCGGCGCATCGGCGGCACATACGCTCGCAGCCATGGGCGTCGTCATCAACCAGGAGCCCGCGGCCCTCCCCGCTGCCGACCTGTCCCTGTTCCACACCACAGACGAGCTGCTCTCCAACTCGCCGGTACTGATCTTCTATGGGCCGACTTCGACCTCCGCACAAACGACAAACTCGCGCATCCAGACCCACGTGTTTACCACAGCCGGCCTCTCGAGCTACGCACGCCTTATCATATCGCCCACCGCGTCTTTCTACAATGCCGTCTCGTGTCTGCCGCGAGAAGAGCAGGGCGACGAGATATGTCGCGGCCTGGCCTTCAGTCTCTACAAGTACTTCGTCGAGCTGCCCGCAGAGGTGAAGAATGCGTGGGAGAGGCGCTACAGCACCAGGGCCAACATGCACATGGCGCCTGCGCTGTTCACTGAGCAGCACGCTGCCATCGTTGCCGCCAAGATGGTCAAGGTCGAGAACGTAGAAGAAGTCATTGTGGACGTGCGCCATGCGCTTGGAGAGCAGACCCTCTCGTGGGTGGACATGGATGTCGTCTTACCGCGAGGAAGCATACACAAGGTGGACACACGCGAGTCTGCTCAGTTCGACGAGCCAGAAGACGACGCCCTTGAGCAACAGTACGGATCGTATGCGCCAGTGATCAGACTCTTTGGAGAGTCTACCTTCCTCCCCACATCACGTCTCCGCAGAGCACCTTCCAAAGCCAATCAACTCAGCCGGTCGCAGTCTTTCTCGAGGAAGCAGAAGGAGTCACTCCGCCGCGAAATGTGTGAGCTGTTGGACACGGAGGAGAGCTACGTCAGCAAAGTTCACGACCTGGTCAACAATGTGGCAGTCGAGTTTCGTGACAAGGCCAAGCACAGGTCGTCTTCGAGCACTAGTCCAAACGAGCAGACCCTGCAAGGCTTGTTCCCTCCCAGCCTGGACAAGATTCTCGAGGTCAACTCGAACTTTTTGGAGGAATTGCGAGTAATCCTGGAAGAGACGGAGAATGGCGCAATTCAAGACATCGAAGAGTCTACAGATGACGTCTTCATCGCCCCGCTGCGAGGTCAAAAAGATCCACCAGACGTTACCGGAGCCGCAAGGGTTGCAAAAGCACTCGTGGCATGGTTCCCAAAGTTTGGCGACTGCTACACTGACTACATGGTTGCACATGGTGACTTCTCGCAATTGCTGAAAGCTTTCACCAAAGAGCCTGCCTCCAGCTTCTCGAAGAGGGTCTACGAGACCGGCGAACAGCGACTGACATCATTGCTCATCGAGCCTGTGCAACGCCTGCCGCGCTACAGCCTCTACATTGACCAGATTGTCAAGCAGCTGCCAGTTCGGCATCCGGCGATCAAGACATTCCTCAAGGCTAGAGACATCATCTCCGAAATCTGCTCAAGAGAAGGTTCGACAGCGCAGCAAATGAAGGTTTCCGATCGTTTACGCAAGACGGTGCAGCAGTGGCCATCATCGTTCAGACCTCAAGGAAGACTGATCACAGCCATCGATGTCGTAGAACTCGCACCACCCTACCACGGAGAGCTCAGTGGCCCTGCCACCTCACCAGGAATCTTTGTTCTCTTCTCGGACTTCCTCGTGATACTGCACAAGCCAAGTGATTGCAGGGTAACTGCACGTAGCCTGATGGCCGATCTGGACAGCCCCAGACTCAACGAGTCTTCTGATGACTCTGAGCTTGTCTACCATCAGCATCTGAGATTATGCGATGTCTTTGCCAGCGAGCACGCAGAATCCAGCATTGTCCAACTGCTGTCTCCAAGTCCACGCACGATCCAAATGGGACGGCCGTTGACTCCAGATCGCCAGAATATCGGTATCCGTATGTACTACGTGCAAGGAGCATATGAGGGCCGAGCACAAAGGGTCATCGAAGATATCACCAAAGCCAGAATCGAAGGACGATTTGCAGAGGCTGAACGGGAGAGCTACAAGTGGGAGGTGCGAAGCCGACCTGGCGACCTCAGCCTGTTCTCGTCCATCACTGAAGAGACGGGAGGTGCGCCACCTGAGGGCCGCAAAGAACCTGCGAAGATACAGATCCTGGTCGAGGCACCTAAATTCTCACAGCCAATTGAAGTAGGCTACGATGGTATCGAAGTGGTCGTCAAGATCACTATTCTTGACAACGGATTTTACCTTATGGATATCAGTGGACCCAACGGCTACCTTGCACGGGACAAGCTCACCAAGGTCGAGTTCTTGCCTGTGCTGACAAAACGACTCGCCAACTACTTCCAGCAGCGCAACAACATCAAGAACCCAGTCTTATCTGAGGCCTACCTCTACCAGAACCAGCTGATTCTCCAGTCGCTGAATCTTCGACTCACAGATGTGGAAGAATGGAGAGAGATGAAGAGCCGACCTGCTTCGCCGGTCAAGATGCTTAGCAACATCTTTGGCGCAAGTGTCAGCAGGGACGGTGGTGGACGGAAGCTGCAGCGCAATGTGCACACTCTGGGAGATATTCCTCGCATGGCGCCTCCCCTTCAACTCGTGCCAACGCGCACCCAGAGTCGCGACGGCCCCAGCTCACGGCCGACCTCGTCAAGGAGTGCTGTCTTCGACGAATTGCAACCAGTCGACTCGCTCTCAAAGCTAGAAGACTCTTTAGCGAATATCACAATGGCTTTGTCAGCTCGCAAGGGCAACATCGTTGGCCGGTCAGTCCGCGCCAGAGTTGTTGCAGACGAGCTTGTGGTTAATGAACTCTACAACTCGCTCCTGGAATCGCCTTCGAATCTCGACCTCGCCTCGCAGTCTTCTGTTGACGTACTTTTCGCTGTGTTCGACAAATTCCTCAATGTTGCTTGGAAGGAGAGGATGGGTCCAGTGCTGTCACACGCGACTTTCGTATCATTGCAGATGCGATCAGACAGCATGTACCCTGGTGAATTCGAGGAATATTTCCGCGCGACATTCAACAACCTCGCGCCTCAAAACCAACGGGCGACACGAGTCATCATCCAGCTTCTGGCAGAACTGCTCGATGGCACCAGCAACGATGGAGACCGTGGTATATTAACAGCTGCGTTTGCCGAGATGATGGTACCTGCAGGAAACGCAAACGACTTCATATCGTTGGTAGATCGTCTCGTACAAGACATAGACGCACTCTTCCCCGCCGAGACCCCTGGCACCGCAACACCGAACTACGGATCCATGGACGCAAAGGGTCGCCATAACGCTGGCGGCTCTATCAACTCGAACACTTCCCTGAGGCGCCGATTTGGCTTTGGAAACCTGTCGAGGGAGAACAGCAAGTCCGAAAACGAATCCAAAGTCAGCTCACTTTGGCGGTCTTTGAGCAAGAACAGCCACAGCCAGGAAAACTTCTCAGCCAGTGTGTCGAAAGCTGGAACTCAGTCAGTTGGCCGCTCCAATTCTATAGATGCTGGCCGCCACTCGCCTAAGCGTCCATCATCACGCGATCGCCCGACTGTCCTCGGCGCTTTCCAATATGAGAGTGGGAGCCAGACTAATCGCTCTTTCTTGGGGACCATTGGCGAGGTACCACCTTCCAAACTTGCCGTCCCTACCCAGCCTCGCAAGAAGCGTCGTTCTTCATTGAGCGACCTTAAAGAACTGCAATTTGCTGACAATGCACCCGCGTGGTCCTCACAGACTCCTCGCCGGCCTGACTCTACATTGCCAAAGAATCGAGAGACACGAGAGACACGAGATACACGAGAGACTCGAGGCAGCATCTCGCCCCCTCGGACGCCTTTGCGTACCACCGTATCTTCTCACAAGCACACGTCATCTATCCCAGCTCCGATGCGGTTAGGCTCACCGATGCGAAAAGAGAATGAGCCTGCCCCGCCGCTTGCACGACGGGGTAGTGTTCAACCTGAGTCGCGACCTGTCCAAGCCTTCACTCGCAGGGGCAGCGTACAACCTACGCCAGCGCCAGCTACACCTAGGCGAGAGAGTAAAGACGAGATCACGATCAAGTCTTTCGCACAATCAACGTCAACACACTCCAGGAGACGTAACGAATCGATCACTAGTATACCCACTCTTAGGCCCATGTCTGGCTCCATTGCCGGTCTGTCAGAACGTCCAGGCTCTGGGAACCCCGTTAGGTTACCTCCTTCCACACCCCGTTCTCCTATCAAAGCTGTTGCACCCTCAGCAAGTGTTAATGGCAGTGTCACCGGTACTGGCTCGACAGGCACGCCACGCAGACTTCGTATGCAGTCTCCACAGAAGCTACGCGAGCGACTCCAAACGCAACAAAAGGACATCGAGAGCGCATCGCATGACCTGCAGACTGTTTTGAACGATATTGGCAACGAGCTGAATGCTAAGAGCACTCCGCGTCTTCACCCTCAGACTTCTGCTCCTTCCCTGGGATCGGGCACGCCCGCCAAAGCACAGTCTATGACACTAGAAGCTCGGATAGCTGCTCTAGAGAAACAGGCCAAAGCCACCCTCGAAGCTCTCTCAACTCGCGCTGCTACCATTTCGTCAGATGTCACGACTTCTCTGCAAGTGTCTGAAGCGCGCGTCAAGCAGCTTGATCAGCTCTACCGCGACTCCAATGCCGAGAACGAGGCACTGTATGCACGCTTCAACGAAGAGCTGGAGAAGGTGACCAGCAGTGCGCGCAGAGGCAAGATTGGTGAAGAAGTTGATCGCCGACTCAGGGCTAGTGAGGAAGAGGCTGCGAGGTTGAGAAAGGAGAACGCGAGGCTGAAGAGGGAGGTTGCGGGATTGAAAGCGCAGATCAGGGAGTGAGTGAGTTGCACTCACTGCTCACACTGATCCTCCTTCCTTCAAGTTGTCGTGCCACGAAGGCGAGCTTCATTGACGCAGCGCAGTTGGCTTCCGTTCATCAGCTTGTTTGCGGTGCAATTCGTTCCTGATTTTCAAATTCCTCTCACTTCAACCGTTCGCGCATTCGCAACGAACATCCAGCTGGCGTGGCGTCACATCACAAACGCTTTCATTCTGGTCTTTCGCTACGTTAAGACCATTCTCTTGCTTCTGCTCAGCCCATTGTTGGTGTTGCTTGGTCGACGTCGCATTGGAAGGAGCAGCATTGGATGGAGTATTCATGGACGGAGGAGCATTGGTCACGAAGCATGAGCAGACGCTCGCCTCAAGGGTCACTTTTATCATTGCAGGAGTTCTAACATGCGGGATCCGGGCATTATACCATTTGCATATTTATCAGAAACAGTTCATCAAAGGTCGACACCGGTCCCAAGTGTTGCTTGCTGTCGTGAGGTGCCAGTTCTGATTTCAAGCACAAACTTCGAGCCCATTGTGCCAGTACGCAGTCCATCGAAGAGCTGTACGAACGTATGTAGCGGTGTCGTTCAGGGCAGTGGATTCTGTCATGAGGTTGCACTTGCTCACGAGCACCTTTGGAATTACTGGCTGTGCCTGCCTTCAGGACGTCATGACAAAAAAGCCGCTAACAATTACCAGAACGGACTGGGGCGCTCTGCCGCCTAATACATCCAGCCCCCAGTCTCCTTGGTTTAATACCGCTCCGCATACACATCAAAACCTTCCAAATTACTTCTTATTCCAGGCCAGTACGGTTGAAGTGCTCGAATTGTGCCAGGGTACACCAGACCTGCAACAGCTTCCACTTGATTTACGCCTGACAGATCTTCGCTCGTGTAACGCGTTGTGACAGTACGGGGAGCTTCTCACTTGGATGCTCGCAACAACTGCACGCCGAGAGTCTTGCAGGTAGCCGTGCGTATTGCTCGTCACTAGCCCGTCATCCGCTCCTGCTTACAGTTCATCTCTCCAAAACACTGGATGAACCCTTTGACTTCATGAGGGTTTCTCTACAGAACAACCCGATACCCGAAAACTTTGGCGACCACGTACGCCAGCTGACCGTATCCATACAGAAGCGCTCGCCATATAAGTCAAGCAAGTGGATCTTCGATAAATTGAGCTATCTTGCTGCATCCAGTATCACTCTTGACTGCATTCGTCACCGTAAAAGGTACGGTAAGGTAGCACTTCCTTGGCCCAGACCTCCATCAATCCAATCCGTAGAGATTGATATTGGTAGGTGTTGCAGTGATATACCATTGTTTGAGGGTAGTTGGGAAGTATGGAATGCTATATATCCGACAGCTCTTGAGAATGTTGAGGTAGGTTGTGGATGTTGTGTGTGAACATCCGAGCAGTGACCATGCGTTCAATATGTAGACTTCACAGCTATACACATGGTGACTATTGTGCCTGCTAAAGGCTAGCAATTCGACCATGCAGCACCCACATTCCTTCAGCCTTCCCAGTCGGCGCCTACGAAATGCTCTATCTCGTCCACCATCCTAGCGGCAACGTTGTGATTCGCAACAACAATACCTTGATCGTGCTTCAACACCAGAACAGTGGCCGGCTCACCGCAACATCACTTGATGAAGTGCATATGCGGCTCCATACTTGCTGGTTTCAGCCCTACAATCGCGCTGGTGCCACCATACGGACAGTCTGGGACGGCAGCTATGACGTTGCTTGACTGAAGGACCACAACGCAAGGCTGACCGGGTTGCCTGAAGCGAATTGGGTATAACATTGTGACAAAATCTACCTTCGCAGATCTGAACGCCAGCTCCAGACCATAATCAAACGCCCAGTATACTTCATGCTTATCATCTGTATCGTCCACTCATGTATACACCGGCCCGACGTACTCAAACGATGTCCTCAACCGGGCAGTTGGGGTGTAGCACATACACAACCTTGCCGCCTGCCTCAGACTGGCCCTGCTCATCTGCAAGACCCTCACCCCGGATCAACATGAGGTATTGTTCCTGTCACAGCAGTTAGCACAAAATCGAAATACAAGTGAGCATCGTAACATACCTTGACAATCTTCTTCAACACCTTCTTAGCCAACACCCTCTCCGCCTCAAGATCCTCCTGCGTCTCTATCTCATTCTCCCTTTGCTCCAGGTACCAAACCAGTAACTCCTCCTCCTCAACACCATCCTGCGTCTCCTCCTGATCCTCGTTGACCCTTTTGACAAACATGTTCCGCATCGCGACGTACTTGTCGTGCGTGATCTTTGTCTTCTCGCGCGGTGCCGGCGCGGGAGTTTCTGTGCGCGCGCGCTCGTCCATTGATGCGTCCCCGTCTTCGCCTTCGGCGACCGCGGCGGCGGCCAGAACGGCTTCGTCGTCTTCGTCTTCCATTTCTACGTCGTCTTTTTCGACGGAGATGATGGATTGGCGGAGGAGGTTGTACGCTTCTTTGACGAATTCGGGGGTGATGTCGCTGACGCAATTTGCCTTTGCAATAGCCTCAGACAGTCGGATCATGGACTCGAGTTGACGGACTGTGATGCGGTAGCTGTTGCGTCCGATGCCGCCCTGAGCATCGTCGGCACGAAGCTCCTTGTACTTCTCGACCAGCGTCTCGCGCGCTTCGTCTGTAAATTCGGGGCGGAAGGTCTTTGCGAAGCGGATGTATCGCTGCAACTGCTCTGTTGAGAATTCGGGTTGGACGAATTCATCGCGATCTTTGTGAATACCGACGATGTGTTCGGCGAGGTGGCGGTCGACGGCTTCGTCGCACTCGTCGAGGACGACGAAGAAGAGATCGAAACGGGACATGATGGGCGCCGACATGTTAACGTTGGCACGGAGTGTGGTCTTGCGGTTGTAGCGTCCGCCGACGGGGTTGGCAGCCGCGAGAATTGAGGTGCGGGCGTTCAGGGTGGCTTGAATACCGGCTTTGGCGATGGAGATGGTTTGCTGTTCCATAGCTTCGTGGATGGCGACTTGATCGGCAATATCCATCTTGTCGAACTCGTCAATGGCGCAAATGCCATTGTCTGCAAGCATGAGAGCTCCGGCTTCAATTGTGAACTCGCCAGTCTCCTCATCCTTGACTACCGCAGCTGTCAGACCTGCAGCTGATGAAGCTTTGCCAGATGTGTAGACGGCGCGAGGCAAGAAGCTGCAGATGTACTTCAAGAACTGTGACTTCGATGTTGAGGGATCGCCAACGATACAAATGTTGATGTCTCCACGCAGAGCCATGCCCTCAGGCGTTTCCTTGGATACACCGCTCATCAGCTGAAGGAGGATACCCTTCTTGATGACCTGGTGGCCGTAGACCATAGGAGCGATCGAGTCAACCAGGCGCATGAAGATGTTGGGCTTGTGCACCATGTCTTTCAAATCCTGGATTTCTGCCGCTGTAAGAGTAGCAAGGTACTCTTCCTGTGCTTCCTCCCCAGAAGTCGCGTTCGACTCGATCTGACCTTGGTGTAGAGATGCAAGAATGTTGCCGGCTTGGCCATTGAGGTGGTGGTTCGATGACTGCCCAGGTGTTGTGTGGTCGGGCGAAATCATGCAAGCGAGGAAGGACATTCGGTAGGTCAAATCGCGGACACCAAGCGCTTTGAGGCCGCTGACACCAGATCCACCAACATCGTTGCCTCGTGATGTATTCGACGTGTCCCTCATAGCCTGTGGTCGCACACCTGGTACGCGGAACTGACTAACATCTGGTATAACAATAGCGGTACCAGTGAAGATGCACTTCTCACCAGCCTTTGCGCGATCGACCATCTCTCCGCGCAAAATCACGTCCATTGTTCGAGGCATGCTACCCGTAGGGATTTCTGAGCTGTTCTCCTGGATTCGCACCTTCTGCCAATCCACAAACGTCGATTGTCTGATGTCCAATCGCCATCCCTCTCGGTTCATGCATGTAACATTCGGACATTGTGTCGGTTCGGTGTATTTGAACGTCTGTTCGATGTTCGGCACGACTGTGTTGCAGATCTCGCAGACGAAGGTTGCCATAGACAGCTCTGGCCGTACTTCAGATGTACGAGTAGCAGTACCTGAGATGGAAAGCAGGCTGCCAATGGAGGCGGTCCGTAGCTGACGGATGCGCGAAACGAGAGGCAGGTTGTAGAAAGCCAGAGTGAACAGCTTGTCTGTCTGCTGATTCGCAGTCTTCTCCTTCAAGCTGTCGTTCTGACTTGTCGCATTCTCGGCAAGTGAGGCCTCGGTGACCGAGGATGTCGACTCTGGCTGTCGGTGCTGGCGGAAGTATTGTGGCTCATACTTGGCGAGCAAGCTGTGAAGGGCGCGGATCATGTATGGCAGGAAGCGGTAGTATTCGCTGGCAATGGCTTGTGCCAAGATGCCATCCTCATGTTTCATAAGGTGTGTGTAATCGACGTAAAGGGTAGAAAGCTGGTAGAGCTTCATGCCTCGTATTTGCGCAACATAGTATTTGTCAGTCGTCGCAACGCTAGACACCGGTAGCACCGAAGATGAGGGTTCTTCTGTGTAGCTGCCATTGTGTCAGTATCGTTGCTCGCTGGCCTCACTGCTACACCCACTTCTCCAAGAACTCCTGGAAACGGAGCGACAGAGTCTCTCCGGTGACATCTACCACCTTGGGGATGTCTGTCCGGGGCGCATTGGGTCGTCTAGCGCCTCCCCTTGCGCCTACAACCTCGTCATCTGGAAAAGCCTCGACATCGCTGTTTGCGCCGTTGCTTTCTGAGGGAGGCCCACGAGGTCTTGCAGAAGAAGAGCGTATGCCAGAGTACCGTGGTGTAGGACCGCCAGCGGTGCTCGCTGGTGTCGCTGCGGCATCCGAATGCAGGGCAGCATCTAGAAGGGAAGACATAGTAGGTGGCTGTCGTGCTTGTGTCGTTGGTGGGTGGTGATGCGGGGTTTAGGGGACGACGCGTTTTCTCGCGCCCGCGTTCTGTCAGGGCAACCGCGTCTTGCGCTAGACCCAACTGGGGTTTAATTGATTTGGTCGGTTTCGAGACCAGTGCAACAAATGTCGGGATGAAGACCTTGAAGAATCTATGGATGCATTCTCTGATGTGATGATGCCAATGCGGCCTATTTAATATGGCTGAAGGTACACAGCCTGATGCAGGAGACATATGAGGAAGGGTATACAACTCAATCAAATCCCGCTCAACCCAAGCTCCAGTGTAAATGAGGATAAGAACATGCATCGCAAATGGCTACAACAGCCACAGCAACAAGAATGAATGTCAAAACGCCGGTGATGCGTCGCAATGCAATTGACCAAAGTCGAAATGAGGAGATGCTAGCATCTAGTCGTTGAGGGTAACGTCGTAGTGGGGTTTCTCCTCAGCATCGTCGCCATGTAGGCGCACACGGTAGATGCAGGTGTTCGGGGCTCCCCAGTTCGACGTAACTTGCACGACAACTCGGCTGGTGGGTACCGAAAGCTCGGCATCAAGATCGAATGTCTGCACGTGGTTGGAAGCGTGAATGTTGTACTTGAAGGCACCCAAGCAGACGTAGCCGAGTCCTCGCAGATCTCCTGGATCCAAACATTTGTTGTGGCTCTGAGCATAGTGGTGTTTGATCGGCTGATCGGTCTCTGCCCACAGCTCGATATTGCGTGGTGCGTTCTTGACGTCGCCCGTAGGCGACATGCTCATGGGAGCATGCTCAACAGTAACCTGCTTAGGATACACGTGACGGGGTAGGGAAACACCAAGTCGAGCGAACCCTTTCATCGGGTTTGGCGCCGCACACCAGCAATCACCAAACTCTTCCCATCTCGTGAGAGCAGCTTTGGGCGGATTTGCCCTCCGTGCCCTGCCAATGACCAGACCAGCAAGCAAAGTTGAACCATTATCGAACGTCGAGGAAGTGCGGCCAGGTTCTATGAGGGCGCCGAGGCCGATGGAGAAGTAGTTGGGTTTTTTCAAGTTGAGTTCGTAGTTGGCAACGAGATTGCTTTGCGCAAGAGACTGCAGGCGAATGGAGTCCAACAAGGTCTTACGCGACTCCGCTTGGATCAACGACTTCATCTGCGTTTCGTGTGTCTTCAAGGCTTCGAGGATTTTCCGGTCCACGTCGGTAGAGATGGTCTTGTAGTGTTCCTGGATGATCTTTATCAAGTCGTGACGGTGCACTATCTCCGGTCGAGCTGTTGACGTTCCAGCATCCACAGACTTGCTGTCGAGAGCCCGTACTTTCTGGCTGTTTGCCTTGAGGAAATCGATCCAGTTAGCGTCGTCACCCTTGGACTGCGCTTTACTCAGTAGTGCGTTCCAAAAATCGTCAGTAATCTCGCCACGACCATCCGGATGGCGACGAATAACCGTATATCTCGGCAGCTCTTCTTTGATGTTATCGATGGCTCCTTCCAGAACGTCGAACTTTCCTGCGTACTCCTGGTGATTCTTCCACATGCGCGACCACAAGAGGTGATCGTCATCGTTACCATCACTGTATAGCCAAGTAAGGAGGACTTTCGTTTCGTTGTACTTTCGTTCCCCAGGCATGATCCAATCTGCCAAGTCATACCATGCTGTCGAGATACGAGTGCCGACAGCGGTGTGCATGCCAACTTTGCGATTAGTATCTGAGAATGTAGCTGAGAACAGTGCGGAGAGAAGTAGAATGCCTGCAGCGGCTATCACGCCCCAGAATGCCTGTTTGACTAGCGGCAGCCATGGCCACTCTGGCTCATCCTCTGGAAGCTCACTGTGTGAGAAGTCCTCAGCTGGCTCGACTTGCCCGAGCCATTGCTTTACGACTTCTGGCCGGCTGGGCTGGGGTCGCGGGTGGACTTGTGGTCGGAGACGTAGTTCTGATTGTGGTTCTGGCTGTCGCCCAACCCGCGGCTGGGCATGTGGTTCGGCTCGCGGCTCGATTCGAGGTTCCTTTCGCACTTCCGGTCGCTGTGCAGGCCGGACTTCTGGCGGGGGTGCTGCTCTCGGCACGGCTGCAGCTGCCGGCCGCGGCCGTGGTGGGCCTTCTCGCTGTAACCTGGCACGCTCTTCCGCAAGAAGGTCGTCGATGGACTCGTCAATCGCCACTTTGTCGGGCGTGGCTTTGGTACTGGGTAGCACTCTGGTTGATTGGCCAACGAGACGCAAGGTGCTCCGAGGAACTGGAGTAGGTTGTTGTGACGAAGAGCGTAGGAATGAGCGACGTTGGGGTTCCTGTAGCATGCCGGCCTCGTGCTCCATACCAAAGGATTTGGACGTATTGCCAATCGAAAAGGCGAGATCGTCATCGCTGAACGGTGCGTCAGGTGTCTCGGAGAAAGTGAAGGGAGCTGGAACTCGTGGAGGGGAGGAACGTTCGTGTGCTGGCGATCTCCGCGCGGGGTTGCCGTTAAGTGCGCCGCTCATTCTTGCCTCATCTCCAAGCTCATCGGCACTGTCATCTTCTTCCGCCTCTTCTTCTTCTTCATCGTCGCGAGCGACAGCGTCACCTCTCTGATTCTGGAAGGCTTGCGCAAAACCGGTGGCGGAAATGGACAATTCCTCTGCTGCACCGACGCGACCACTGGCGCCATAGGCGTTCGACCGGCGAGCCTTGACTTTCGTGAGCGGTCCTTGTTTTCGTTGACGGGTACCTCCTGAGGTCATAGCCGTAACCACCGATTGCTCGATGACGGAACCAGCTTTCGAGCTCAACCGTCCGGAGCGACGCGGCGTGGGCCCGCCCAAGCCTATCGATTGCGACATGGTGAACTGTGAGAACTAGTGGTAGAAGATGTATACGGAAATAAAAACGTTTGAGTAGACGTTGTGGGCGTGGCTGTGTCATCGTAAGTTGGTGTTCTATGAAAAGGTTCGTGTGAGAGGGAGGATGAAAGGAAACGAGCCCCGGCGTCGAGAGTCGCAAAAGAGAAAATTGCACAAAAATAGCGGAGACTTGAGCGATAGCGACAAGAACGATAGACTTGACAATAGCAGGGAAAAGGGGAGGCTGTTGTTGGTGTTCACCTCGACTGTTTTGCGGTGAAGGTGAACGCTGTCTCTCGAAGTCGCACAAACTTACACCACTGTTACAGTCCGTCTGCTTCGGAAACAAACTGTATTGCAGAATGCACCGGATTTTCCTAAGCTCTTTTCTTGTTGGTCTTTCTTTGATGTTTGCGACGTTGTTGTGACGGATCCTTAAAGCGGCAGGGTTCCCAAACACGTGTAGCTGAGATCTTCCACGCGTCGCAAACCAGAAGCGCGAGGTCGACGTTGTTTATACTAGCTCGTTTCGTGTTCGGGACACTTTGCAATCATTATTTCCGGGCTGAACGCGACGTCGACAGAGCAAATTGTTGATGATGAAGATAGTTGTGAGGTGCGTTGTGAAGCTTGAGGTGTGCGCGCAGGGTTAGGCCCCATCGTCTTGACCGGATGTGGTAGTTTGCGCCCGTGCACTCCAGCGAACAACGACATTAATGCGCAGCGACAACAAAGAGAAACAGCAAGAAGAATAGCTCAGCAAGCTGTTGTTGTTGATGCTCCTCAATTCTGACGTACTACCTTGAGTCGTGAGATCCATGGGCGATGATGGGTGAGTTGATGTCGCACCTTCCTCAATGCGGAACAAGGACCCTGACATGCCGGAGCTTAATTTCAACCTCTTTTCGCGTGTACCTGCAGCGTGAAGTCCTTCAAGGTAACGCGAGAAGTATTGATCATGTCATAAGAGCGGCGACCGCAACGGCTGTGACTGCTGTATACAGCAAAGGAAGAGACTGGCGAAACAACGCGGTGAGTGTTGCAACCATGAGGAAAGGATCGAGTTGCCCTTGTTGTCGAGAACACTGCTTGTGTACGCTGTTACCGCGGTCTAGATTGTTAAGCGGATGCCTTGGCTGCCAACCCTGTGGTTGAGTCAGGATCAAAGGCAAAAACACGAGTAACATGATCAATCGTTGACTGGATTGTTGATGCATGGATGCTCGAGTAGGTGAGAGGAGTCCGTGCACGAGACCCACGCTTGCCATAAGAAGTGATCTATCCGCAACATTGCCGCGTGTACGGTTGGGTTGCACCCATCAGTGTGCTCGTAACTTTTTATAACTCTACCGCCTCTCAACTGCTCCCAACACCACACACCAAACCTCAGCTCCCTCTCCTCTCCTCTCCAATCTTCCAGAACACAGATCCTTCACGCCAAAAATCATAATGGCTTCGAGATCTGTCCTTGTCACCGGGTACAGCTACCCCTCCACCCCCACATGTTACCATATGACATATTGCTAACTACTCGCAGTGGCACTGGCTACATTGGCTCATTCACAGCTCTCGCTCTCCTCGAGGCTGGCTACAAGGTCGTCATTGTGGACAACCTCTACAACTCCTCGAAGGAAGTCATCAACCGCATTGAGCTTATCTGCGGCAAGAGGCCAGAGTTCTATCAGCTTGACATCCAGGATGAGGCCGCACTCGACAAGGTCTTCAAGGAGCACCCAGACATTGACAACGTTATCCACTTCGCTGCGCTGAAGGTCCGCATGAGACACACCCTAGCCTCATTTGCATGCTGACACACCTCCAGGCTGTCGGCGAGTCTGGCGAGATCCCCCTCACATACTACCGCGTCAATGTCGGCGGCTCGATCTCCCTCCTCTCCGCCATGGAGAAGAACAACGTCACAAACATCGTCTTCTCCTCCTCAGCAACCGTCTACGGCGACGCCACACGCTTCGAGAATATGATCCCCATCCCCGAACACTGCCCCATCGGCCCGACCAACACCTACGGCCGCACAAAATCCACCATCGAGAGCGTCATCACCGACCAAATCGAAGCGAAGCGCAACAACGCAAAGAAGGCGGGCAAGGAAGACGAGGGCAAGAAATGGAACGCCGCTTTGCTGCGCTACTTCAACCCCGCTGGCGCCCACCCCAGCGGCATCATGGGCGAGAACCCGCTCGGCGTGCCCTACAACCTGCTCCCTCTGCTCGCCCAAGTCGCAATCGGCAAGCGTGAGAAGCTCCTCGTCTTCGGCGACGACTACAAGTCCAAGGACGGCACCGCCATCCGCGACTACATCCACGTCCTCGACCTGGCGCGCGGCCACCTGCAGGCACTGAACTACCTGCGCGAGCAGCAGCCGGGCGTCAAGGCGTGGAACCTGGGCACCGGCAAGGGTTCAACAGTCTTCGAGATGATCAAGGCGTTCAGCACGGTTGTCGGGCGCGATCTCAACTACGAGGTGCAGGGCAGGAGGCAGGGCGATGTCTTGGATCTGACGGCCAATGCGACGCTAGCGAATAAGGAGTTGGGGTGGACGACGGAGTTTACGCTCGAGGATGCGTGTGCGGATCTGTGGAAGTGGACGAAGAATAACCCCGAGGGGTATGAGCAGGCGCCGCCGAAGGAATTTGTGGAGGCGCTGAAGAAGAAGGCGTAAAGGGGAGATGAGGCCTGGGTTTAGAGCGTTGCAAAATGGATTGTTGAGCAGGTATATATCATCGCAGGCGCTGGTACATTACATCATATAGACTTATCAAAACCATTGACATCATCACGTCTTGATACACTGGTCTTTGGTCGTGATGACAGTCCAGACTAATGCCCCGATTGAATGATCTTGGCAAACATTGACGATAGGTGTCTTGACTATACTCCATTGCCGCGCGGCGAATGCGTCTGTCCCACAGTGCTTCGGTCCGCTTTTGTGTCTACGATCTGTCTTCGGTCCTCACCCACACTCTCGAGCCATATCCTTTATCGCACAACAGCGTCCTTGAGTGTCGGGACACTGCACAATCCCGCCGCCGTCTTGAGCTTCGCAACACCCGTCTTCTTCTCTGCGCCCTCACCGCTCAACTGCGGCACCTCCTCGACATTGAACCCAACTTCAAGACCATCTGTGGTCGTAAAGCCTGGCTGAATAGTCTCCCAAACCTTCTTCTTCGGATTCAGCACGCCCTCCGGCTCGCCCTCCCACCCCTCAAAAAACACCCTATCACCCGCCTTACTCTCCTTGGGTGGATCGACCAACTCCACCGGGCCCTTGTGCGCATCCTCACCCTCCTTGACCCGCGGGCTGGCGGCGAGCACCATGGCGCAGCTCTTGACGCCGCGCATAGTGACGGGCTTGAGATTGCAGACCGCGACGATCTTGCGGTTCTGCATCTCGGCGAGCGGGATCAGGCCGTTGAGACCGCTGCACACCGTGCGCACGATCTGGCCTTCGTACTCGGAGGTGTTTTCGGTGCCGGGAGCGTCGCCGCAGGCGATGGTTGATACAAACAGAGAGTCGGCGTTGGGGTGCGTTTCGGCTTTGAGGATGTGGCCGACGCGCAGGTCGATGAGGGCGGGGGAGAGGGGTTTCTCGACTGGTGCTCTGTAGAGTAATCAGTGGTTGGACAGGCCGCGGTGGACGTGTTGGTGACTTACGGCTTCTGGGGCTTGGGCTCCTTCTTCTTCTTCTCTTTCTTCTGGGTTGGTGCACCCTCAGGTGCGCCCTTCTTGCCTTCTGTAGGGGTTGTGGGGTTTGTGGGCTTGCCGGCGACTGTGCCTGCGACGGCGTCTCCGGCTGCTTGTGCGAGGTCCTTGGCCTTCTCCTTCTTGCTCTTCTTGCCCTCGGCGCCCTGCTCGCCGGTCAGGGTTGTGGGCGTAGCGCCGTTGCCGGCAGCAGCGGCGGCGGCAGCAGCGGCCTCCTTCTCCTTCTTCTTGCGCTCCTTCTCGGCCTTGGCGTCGACGGGCTTGATCTTGAAGATGACGTTGTCCAGCTCGACGTTGACCTTGTCGTCCAGCTTCAGGCCGAAGATGGGCGAGTTCTGGACGAAGTCGACATGGCGGACGATGTGGTGGTAGCCCTGCTCGCCAGTCCTCTCCTCAGCAGTCCACTTCGAGACCACAGGGGCGAGCTTCTGGTAGAGGGCGATGTCTGCTACGGAGGGCTTTGCGCCGAGGACGGTGGTCCGGCTGGCGAGGTGTGTGTTCAGCGACGACAGACGCTCCGAGGACTTGGCGGCATCATCGGACGACGAGGCAATGTGCGAGGCAGAGGCGAGCCATTGGCTGATCTCCTGCTTCTCGGCGTCGGAGTAGTTGGCCTCGGGGAAGAGGGCCTGGGAGGCCTTGACAGCGTCTGTCTCGTCGGCCGCGTTGTTCGGGGCGTGGGTCGTGAGGTAGGTGGCCAAGCTCTCGTCGAGGGTGGAGCTGGACATTGTGAAGGTGCGTTGGAAAAAGTTGACGGCGAGTGGTGTCCGCGGGGTAAAGAAGGCGGGCGCTGCGAGGGATGCGGCGGTTCGTGTGGCTCGAAAGGGGTGTCGAGCTGCAGTCGGGAGTGCTGCACGTCGTAAGCAGCGTATTCGGTGTGCGGACTGGCTGAGTCGTGTGCGCAGAAGTGGCAGAGCTGGTGAATGCATCGCGAGCTGAGTCAACCCAAAATTCGTGGGTCCACCTGCAGGCGGCGCGGGGCACGAGGCGGCGATGAACGAGCCGCCGACGGCCATCAGCACAGGCCATCGTGATTGTACGCGTCTGAGCGCTGTTCACATTGATCTTGATCTGGAGTCCATCGATTGTGACTTTTCCCCGGTGCTTCCATCAAGTGCGCATCCGTGTCAATTCCAGATCTCAGCTGCGCAGCCGGGCAGGCAGAGCTTCCTGCGGCACCAATAGCAGCACAACCTGGACATTTCTTAGAGAGGCGATCCACCAAGCCAAAGCGTAGAGACGACCGCAGAGATGACCGTAGAAGATGTCACGAGACTCGACTACCTTCAAAGCTTACAATGCACGGTTGGTGCCTGCACTGCTTGCTCGTCTACCTAGGTAGGCGGAAGGTGCCACGACGCAGGGTTATTTGCTGCCTTCGGTTGCCCCACGTACTTGAACCTCGAGCTACCCCGCCAAGATCACTGCCACGCGTGTACTCACCTCAGTATCAATCAACACCATACCAATCACTACAGAGACTGTAATATGGCTGAAGACAACCCCGACGTGCCCGCGGGGAAGAAGAGGTTCATTCCTCTGGGTAAGACAGCAGCTTGCGAACGAAAGCATCAATGCCAACGTGTCTCGCAGAGAACAACCCAGAAGTAATGTCCGCGCTCGTTCACAAGCTTGGCCTCTCGGAGAAGCTCGCATTCCATGACGTGTTCAGCATCGACGAGCCCGAACTGCTCGCCTTCGTGCCTCGGCCCGCTCATGCCCTCCTTCTTGTCTTCCCAGTGAGCGAGACATATGAGAAGTTCCGTCGCCAGGAAGACGCAGACAAGCCCGAGTACAAGGGTCACGGTGACGGGGAAGAGGTGGTTTGGTACAAACAAACAATTGCAAACGCTTGTGGTTTGATCGGACTGCTTCACGGCGTGTCAAACGGAACAGCGCGGGCGAACATCCGTCAGTAGATCCAGCGCGGGCGCATGCCCCTACGTGACATCAGCTAACCGACATCCAGAGCCCGACTCGGACTTGGCGAAGCTCGTCCAAGACGCTATCCCGCTGAAGCCGGCCGAGCGAGCCGACCTGCTTTACGAGTCGGAAGCTCTCGAGAGTGCCCACCAAAGTGCCGCCGCTGGCGGCGACACAAGTGCCCCAGCCGCTGAGGATCATGTCGATCTTCACTACGTCTGCTTCGTCAAGTCAGGAGACAACAACCTGTGGGAGTTGGATGGAAGAAGGAAAGGTCCTCTCAACCGTGGCAAACTCTCGGCGGACGAGGATGTGCTCAGCGAAAAGGCTCTCGACTTGGGCGTACGCAGCTTTCTTAAGCGCGAATCAGAGGCTGGAGGCGGCGATCTTCGCTTCAGTCTCATCACGCTCGCCGAATCGCTGGATTAAGCTTCCAGAAATAAGACACTTCGCGACACACATGAGTGCAAGGTATGCTACCGATCGTCTCATCAAGCATTCTATCAACCGTTCCAACAAGCTCTAGCCTCAAACTTCTGTGAGCTCGAATTCGACAAAGATGGAGCGTCAGACCGAGTATTCGATTACTATGGCCAAGCCGTGTTGTATCAGATCGGGGTAAGGAAAGCGGCCCACGTCGTAAAGGGTCTGCGAGACGACAAGAGACTAGACAGCTTGCAGGACGGAGAGGCAGTAGCTTACCCCCTCGCAACCTGTATGGCGCAGAGTTGCGGGCTCGAAGACAAGGGTATGGTGGAGACCGAGCACTTCCTGGACAAAACATTGCTAGAAAAAATCGAGGATCATGTCTCAGTGAGGTATGTCGGCAGAACCATTCAACCGCCCAGAACAGACCGCTGTCACTTGTCTTACATGCTTTCGGTTCATGCTCTCTTTACAACGATGCACGTCATGGCAACGCTCACTGTCAGAACAACCTCCGCTGATCTCTTTTCTCTCCACTTGTCCACTTCAATACGAGCCCTCTCCTATCTCTGTAACACAACCGCAACCGGTCTTCTTCGGAGAAGCTACAAGACGACTACCATGAGTGAAGCTTGTAACAGTTGCTTGTATTGACATGCCACCTCGCGCCACGTTCCTGCCTCGATGAGGCTCCTCCCAGGTTCATATACATCGGTGCTACTCATGCTCACCCCTTTGGTCTCGTCACTCACCTTCAGCCCAGTATCGGTGACGGACTCGAACAAAGCCAATGAGTATGGGCTCGGGACGGCAGCACTCGTGTGTACCATCGTCAGTCTGCTGGCTTCTATTCTCTGCATATGTTGGTTCTGTCGTATGGAGCAGCGACTTCGTCACAGGTGAGCTACTTCGACATACTTCAATACAGTGACTGAAGGTATGCAGGTTGGCTGTGATACTGATATATGGCGACCTTACGCGTGGAACATGGCTGTTCGTGTTTACCATCATCTTGCTAGCTCGTGGAACAGTCAGAACACGGAGCACCTTCTGTCAAGTCGGCGGATTGCTGGTACAGTACGGAACGCAAACAAGTGGTCAGTAACGTTGTTGATTGAGTACACCATCTGACACGAGGCCCAGACTGTGCTGTTCTAGTGATGGCCCTGCACAGCGCAATACAAGTCTTCTTCTCATCAACACTAGTCACATCTGTATGGTCTGTAGCGGTGTCATCGATCTGAGTTTTTCCCTCTTTTTCTCCAACGTAGCATTCTCTTGTATATGAGATCTGCGGTCAAAGCAACATTCCTTCTCCTGGTGGCCCAACGTACTCGGTCCACGCTCCCATGTTTTCAGCAAAAGTAAAGGCCTGAGCAGCCCGATGCCAGTGAAACATGGGCCAGTGCAATTTGAAACCAAGGTTGCATCAGAACAAAAGTGAAAGCCAACATCTCAGTGCTCGCAATCGCTAGTACCTATGCACTAGAACCAGTGGAAAACATGGCAGGGAAACCCGGTGTCGAACTTACGCTGGGCTACACCGCTGCGCAGAGTGCCCGTCAAAGTGAGGTATTCTAGCCTCGCTCACTTAAGACGTAGGTTCTTTGATAGAGAAAAAGACGACCCAAATACACTCTATAGGCAATTAAAACGTGTCAGCCGTGAGAGTTATATGTGTGTGATGATGGAGGTGCGCAGAGAGTTCTGGTTGTGAGCGGTACAGGTGCTTGCGTGTGCTGAGCGTCCTTTCTTCACTGCCACGTCAATCCGGTTTCGCTACTGGGCACACTACCTTCGCAACAAATTGAAGTGGCCTCGCCCTTCTTCACTGTGGATGTGATATCGTTAAGTCATAGACCTGAAATCTGGTGCGAAAATAATACGAATTGGCACCGTGTGAGTAGGATGTCTTGTGAGTGTTGCTGCGTACTGGACCTTTCTGCAGATCTTATGTATTCTCAGAACCTTTTTTTTGAACCACTGTTGATGCTTGAGGTTATAATAGTCTGTATAGCGCACTTCGGCCCCATACACGACCACCCTTTCACTGTCGGATTACGGGTCCTTCCACAGTGTGATCTCACCCCTCGTCAATCATTCACAGAACCTCACAAGCCCCTCAATTGAACCAATCCACCCCCCGGACCAGCTTGTCACAGATATACCCCGTAACCAACGCATAAACCCCCTTATGCAGCACATCAATTACCTGCTCGTTGATCGGCCACGTCCACGGCAGCGCACTCACACCCACACTCGTCTCCATAACCTGATCCATCAAAATCCTCACACCCGTATGCACAAAAACCGCAAACGGTCCAATAATACCGTAATAACTCATAATCGCCCGCACAGGGCCCGCAAGCATGCCCATGCCGTAGTGGTGGGCGTTATTGAGCAGGTCTGTGTGCTTTGAATAGTACGAGGGGGTCACGCCGAGGTGGTTGCCGATTGTACGCGCGGGGACGTAGGAGGGTGGGCGTTTGGTGATGAGCATTTCAAGCCAGTTGGAGCCGGTCATGCTGCGGGTTATCAGAATGGAGAAGAGGTGAAGGTGAGATGGGCGTACACGAGCGCTCCGACTGCGCCTGCGCCGATCCCGATGGCTACGGCCTTGCCGAAGCCGACTTGAGGAAAGGCTGGATAGTTGGACTTCGCGTCTGGGTACGAGACTGTACCGGTCGCTAGGTGGTGTTGCGGCATCTTAGCGTGTTGGTCTGCTTGAAGGCTGCTGGCTGATTGAATAGAAGAACTTGAGGTGAAAGCGGTGATTTGTGTTGTTCAGAGATCAGTCCTGCAGTCGTGGTTTGTGTTGGTGTTTGTGGTACGCCAAGGGAAGGCACTGTTGTCACTGTTTGTCAATATTTCGCTCAGGCTGACGTCACGCATCACCAATCGGTTGCTGCGCGGAGTGTGGAGTACGACAATTTTCGTGACATGTGACTGAGAACAAGAACAATTCGGAGAAGTTGAAGTAGTTTGTGACATTTGAGGGCAGCTGCGCCCAGATCAGCTGATTATGTACGCCGAAGCTTGCCATAAACCCCAGAAGCGCCATGTAATGTATCTCGACCCAATGCCCAGTTACTGAACATCGTACACGCATAGATGACGCGCATGAATCCGCCCAAGATCCCATCGACATCCAGAAGATGGAACAAGAATGGCAGACATTCAGGTGAGCCAACTGAGCCGTGTGGCCGAAGTCTTGAAATTTGGTAAACGTAGGAGAAGAAGTATCGCAAACATCCCAGCGCCGTCGTAAACAGAAAAGTCGTGCAGAAGTCGCAAAACGCCGCAAAATCGTTCGATGTAGTAACGAAGGTCATCGTACCCATTCCAGTAGGTTTTGCAGGTCAAGTGATCGTACACAAGTCGGTCGTAAGTCATGTCGAATATTAGTCGTAAGGTCATCTCGAGTAGGGCTTGTTCATCAACGCGATCTCGCGCGCGACAGTAGCCCACTCGAGCTCGCGGCGGAGAGGCTCGTTGCGTCGCTGACGCTGATACTCTTCCCACTTTAGGAGTTCGTAAGTGAATCGAAGATGCGGTTGGATGATAACGTTCAGTCGTCGTGCTCTGACAAAGCAGCTAGAAGCCATGTTAGTAGCTGTGGTGAAACGTATACATGGCGGTACTTACTAGGCACGAGGGAAAGACAAGCCCATCTCGTTCATGACTTCTGCAATACATATCGTCGCAGACCGAGACACGCCCACACGGCAGTGGACAAGTGTAGCTTCGCCAGCAGCCTTGCCAGCTTCGATGAACTTGAGGCATCGCTCGAACTCGCTCCACAGTGGGTCAACGCCGTTGTCTTGAACTCGATCAACCATCAGGAAGTTCTCCTCGGGCCATCGGAGTTGCTTCTTGAGATCCTCAGGCCAAGACAATGCTTCACCGACACTCAAGATTCGTGTGATACCGAGTTCTTTAAGCAGATTTGGGTTGTTCGCATGACCCAGGTTGCCTAGGTACATGTATGGCAGGATTCTGCTGGGCAGACTGCCATCAATCTTGGACAGCCACTGTGGCTCAGTAAGATTGAACACACTCTTGTTGAACTTGGGAGACTCCTGCAAGATGCGTGGCTGGATCGCTGTAAGGAGCGCGACGTCAGATTGGTAAGCGAAGAAGTTGCGGCCCTTCTCGCGGTGCAGCTGAATCCAAGCGTCGTGAACCGGAAGGCCTTCCGCGTACATGAAGTACGCTAGTGCGAGCAGGGTGGTTTCCGTGTAACCGTCTGTGCAATGGATGAGAAATTTGCGTGGTACAGCAATATCGTCTAGCTCAATGGCTTCGTCGTCGTCGTCGCTTCGTCTGCGCTTTGAGCGACGAACTTCTTGTGGGTTGGCGAGCTCGTACATCCACCGACAAGTTTCCATCAAACCGTCGACCTCTGTATGAGACCAGGAAGGTGGCATAATGCTTCCAGAAGAGGGAAACTCCATGTGCAGAGCAGACTTGCGTTGAACCTTGTCCATCGACATGCGCAAAGCTCGCAACGAGCGTGACTCTGGTACATGTGCGAGGTCTGTTGCTTCGATAAGCACATCGAAAGCGTCTTCGCCCAAACAATCTGGATGAATTGCAGGGTCAGGTGTAGGCCCCAAGAATACGTTGCTGCTGATCTCAGATGCCTTTGACATGTCGCACATCTCGTACCGCTCCCAGTAAAAGAAGTCCACAACGTTGCCAGTCACACGACCTGTGGGGTCGATGGCAATGAGTTCTGGGTACTTCTCTTGCACACTGCCGAATGAGTCTGAAAGCATGAACGTATTGAACAGACCAGTGGGAAAATCGTTGCGCGCTTCGTACTGCCGTTGAGCTTGCGAGATGATCTTGGCTAGAGCAATGGTGTCGTTGGGGTGTGTCTTCTGGTCGCCATAGACGATGATGTCCGAGACCATAGCCAGCTTGCATGCCTGAATCTGAAAGTTGCGCACGGAGAAACCGTTCTTGGGATCGCATTCAATAAAAGTAGGCGTATCGTCTGAGTCTGAGCAAAGGATCTCGTCTGCTGCAATGGCACCCTTCAGCTTCGATGCGGTCAAGTCTCCGCCCGTCTTTACAATTGTTAGGCTGCGAATACAGTTAGGAATCTTGCGAGTGGCTTTGCGACGGGAAGCGAAGAAAGCAAGTTGGATCTGATTCTCAGCATGCAGGCCATGAAGCCACGGAAAGACCTGCTCTGGGCTGGGCAACGGGTGCGTCGCCATGTACTCCAGAGCCTCTGCCATTCGATCTGCAGTGATTGTGTACACAGGAGGGTCATTGCAGAACTCTGCACAGTACTTCTCCGGTGGATATGTGATTGAGGATGTCTCGACCAAAGTATCGTCTCGCGGTGGAGATGCTGGTGGTGTCACTGGAATGCCACCTGGCGAGCATACTGGGAGATGCTTGTTGGGGATTGCGGCAGGAGCGCCTCGGGACGAAATGTTGAGCGATAGGTGCGTTGGAGGTGTTGAAGTGCGACCTGGCATGGGCGGCACCCTTGCCACAGCAGCAGCCATGCTTGCAATTGAAGGGTTTACAGTGCAGTTGAAGGCACGCGACGCAATGTGCTGATATGACCGGTCTGTCCTTCCTAAACCAGATCAAATGGCTGAATGTGGGTAGTGCAAGGGACGAGCAGCACTAATTGCGGGGTGACAGTGGTGGAGTGATAGCGATTCTATGACCAACTGTCAATGTCGTTCCAATGTTGTGTGTATTGTCAGATATGGGTGCAATGGAGCGTTGACTTACGATACTGAAATGTGACAATATGCCCAATGTTTGGAAGCAGCGATTGATCAACAGTGAGGCGCCGAATCGAGCAAGAGCGGCCCACTACGGAAAGTGCGAGTCTACAGTGCGACGACGGATGCACTGAGCATGTTGACAAGATATGTGGTATGAAGCGAAGTGCAGGAAGAACTGATCTGATGTGAAGAATGAAGAGAGAGAAACGGAGGGCGAAAAAGAGGGTAGTGGTGGTTGCACAGCGGAATGGTATCCTAGGTGTTTAGTGGTTCCCCGCCTGCAGCACTCAAGAGGCGCCGCTCAGTCTGACCCAGTCTGGGTCGGATCCTGCAAGCCACATGCACGCTTGTCCACACAGAGTTCTGCTGTTGGTTCGAGAGCGACAGCGCAAAAGCACACTTTGCGAAAAACTGCCCTCTTCGCTCGCAAGACAGCTGTTCTCACAAGGCATAGGCAACACTTTCGTGAGTACCACCGCTGCTGGCGGTAACGATAGAGCGAGTGGGTCTGATACCATCCAACCCCAGCATTCCCAAGTGGAACCGCCGCACAGTCTGGGGCCCATCGGTTCGTCAGGCTTCACTCTCCCCTCGGCACGCCGAAGGCGCACTGACAAGCACCGCCGGCAGCGTGGAATCGGGCTGTCAATTAGTGTGCCAGTCGCATGCGGATCTCTCAAACCAACGACCCCACATCTGCAGCCGCAAAGCTCCTTCGCCACATTCTGAGCACCGTGAAGTTCTGGGCTCTTCATCGAACCGCCATCAGGATGCTTCGATCGACCCCGCCTTTCGACCGTTGCGTTGGAGCCTCATGGAAGGCCAGAAGATGAGATGAGAGCACACGGCACCAGACGACGCATGGCATCGCGAGCGTAGAACGACGTGAAAAAGTATTAAAGTGGTGTTATCTGATGCTGACCTGGCGCAACCCCGCACCTCAGAAATGGGCATATGATGTGGGGAGCTCTTGCGACCGAGATAAGGTCAGGGATTGTTCGGCTGTTAGCCTTAGAATTTAGGACGCCTTTGCCCGCGACGCCTGCACATGGCCGCCCTTGTGGATGCACCTTGACGTAAACTTATGCCGTCTGGCGATCAGTTTAGATGGAGGACTTGGGGCTGTCGGCCACTCGTTAGCCTGACACTGTAAGGGGCGATGGAAGATGGTGTGAGCGATCATCTCATTGTTCTTCCAAATTGTTGAGAACGAGTAAATACTTCGATCTCTCGGCGCAGCTGCTCGCGTGCAGCGTTTCATGGCTTACAAAAGTCGTCTTGCCGTGCCTGCCCAGGTATCGATGCTTGTGGGCGCTGAAACCCACCACTGTAACTCCAAACACCAAGCAGTACATAAAACTACATCGTCACATTGGTCGTGGGACATTCCGCCAATATGCTCGGAAGCGACCTCCTCTTCCTTCTCATGCCTCAACTTCGGTCCTGGTGTTCAGCAGCTCGTCCACATGGGATCGCTGGACTGCAAGCTTGTCCTTGGCGCTTTCTTGCTCTTTCAGGAGAACAGCAAGCACCTCAATTGGAGGATCGAGCTCGAAACGGTTCGCACGCTTCCAGCGCTTGAGTCGTGCGATACCAGTACAGGGCTATCAGTCGCATGTTAGCTCAGTCGGCCTCAGTGCTCGAGATGGCCTGGACTTACACCATACTGTCCGCTCATGTCAAATTCCCGCAATATCTTCTCATGCAAGCTCAGATCACCCTGATGTACTCTGGGTGCCACTCTTTGCTTCTCCTTCGTAGCCCAGTACTTCTTGATTGCAGCATCTGTTATACGCCTGGCAGCCTCGTCCTCTAGATTGCTTTCAGCCTTCTGCGCCGCGACTTCCTTCTCGGTTTGGTCGATGATGTCAGCCTCCACGGTCGTAGGCTTCGCTTCTTCGACGGTCTCAAGGCCGATGATCTCCGGCTTGACGGCCTTCGTTGCGCTCTTTGAAAGGAGGCTCTTCTTTGCGTCCTGCGCTCTTGCGCCAGGCTTTGTGACTTTGTTGGCACCTCCGTGGAATGCGAGGGTCGACTGCTGCGACTTGGCCGTAGGGCCAGATACTCGTCGTTTCGGCGGCATTGTGGGATTTATGAGTGTGTCTCCAAATGCGATATGTGAATGTGATAGCGATATGTGGAGCTACTTTAGTTGCGCGCGACGCGGTATGGTCAAGTACAGCTGTAGAGGTGACGCAAGGATCTCGCCAATCGTGTCTAGTGGTTGGCAAGGTGATGCGCGCTAACGTTATCACGCTAGCACGTGAACTTGTAATTCACTGTCCCTTCACCGCACAATCTCGAACACCATATTACAACCCGTCTGACCATTGAGACTTCCCAGAGAATCTAACCGTAAGCCAAGACCTAGCGTCCCGAAGCATTCCATCTTGTCCATTTGGCTTCCAGACTTGAATGCGGGGTACACCTACTTCGTACGTCTCGCATCAAAGTCCTGAAGTTTACGACAACATGTCTCAATGGCTGTGATTTCCAAAAAGCGTCTTATAGACCTAACAGATTTCCGATTGACTTAGATCGTCTTTGCATGCGGTAAATATCCACGTCCTGAACAACTTTTAACAATTCCTAGCAGCCAACCGGAAATCTACAAAAGACCTAGTCACGAACTCAACAAAATGACATCAACGACACCTCCCGACGTGGCTGCACACGTCGAGTCCCTGATACCCAAATTCCAACTTACTCGTCTCCTCAACTCCGATCAAGCTGGCCGCCGCATCTCCCTCCTCGGCACCATCGATTCCCAAGATGCCCTTCTAATCGCCGAACGCGCCGCCTTCGACACCTCAGACTCCAACATGCGCGGCTTCTCCACCTCTTTGCGGAACATCAAGAACCTTGGCGCAAACGACATCTATGCCTGGTTTCTTGCCAACAGCAACCCCTCGGCTTCTGGAGACCCTCAACCCCCGCCGGATTTCAAGATTAATTTGATATATCCCTGCACAGCGAAGCATGTTAAGAAGTACGAGAAGCAGGGGCTGAGGATTGTGCACGAGACGCCCGAAATATATGAAAAATACCTGCGTCCGTACATAGCCAAGCAGCACGAAAAAGGCACACTGCAGTGGGTGTACAACATCCTCGACGGCCTGAAAGAGCAGGAAGATGTCATCTACAAAGAAACCGGTGAGGAAGGGTTCCTGCTCCTGCCGGACCTTAACTGGGACCGCAAGACCCTCGAGTCCTTGCACCTCCTCGGCATCGTCGAGCGGCGAGACATCCGGTCTGTCCGCGACCTGAAGAAGAGCCAGGTCCAGTGGGTGGAGCATATGCGCGAGAAAATGTTGGATGCGACCATCAAACTGTATCCTGAGCTGGACAAGGATCAGTTGAAATTGTATGTGCATTATCAGCCGACATACTATCATTTCCATATTCATATTGTGCATGTCGCGCTGGAAGCGGGGACTACGCAAGCGACAGGGAAAGCGTTGGGGCTGGAGAACATTATCTCGCAGCTTGACACTATGGCTGGAGATGATGACGCGAGCTTGGCGGATGTGAGTCTGAGTTATCATTTGGGTGAGAGAAGTGAGTTGTGGGAGAAGATATATCTGCCGCTGAAGGAGGGGAGGGAGGTTAAGGTTGGCGAGTTTTGAGTGAGTGTCTGCTAAATGAAGCAAACGAGGCTTAGAGACAGACGTAGAGCACTTTCTACAGTTCTTAGATCAGGAAGTCAAGTTTCGAGCGATTGTACGTTGCTTTGTTTATCTGAAGCAATCTGGTATCCTGACATAAAATGACGGTTATCGAAATTTCTCATCTCCCCTGCCCTCTCGGCAGCCTCCTTTCCTGCCTCCTCCACAACATCCACCCCACTTCCCCACATATCTGCACGTCCGGGGCTTCCTGGTCGCCACTAGTTCAGCCCAAGGAAGCTCAGTCGTTGCTATAAGTCCGAACTTTTCGGATTATGCAGATAAATATCCGGCACCTTGGGTACCTGCAGACTCTTCTGCAGTGCCTGCTTAATCGCCTCCCTAGTCTTCGTGCCTTCCTTGCCATCGCCTCCACCGCCAGTGAGCCTCCTCATGCCGTTCCGTATCCTGCTTCGCGCGTCCTGCGCAGCGGGCTTTGCCATGTTTTCGAGACTGAATGTGCGGTCTGCACTTGTTAAGCGGATGTCATCGTCCGAGAAGGATTCGCCTATCTCGTCGAGTGCGGTTGTGGAGAGTGATGGTGAGGTTCGCTGAGGTTGGTTGGGTGCTGAGGGTGAGGTTACGGATCGGGCGTGGAGACCTGGGCGAGGAGCACTTGTTGGCACAGGGGCGGTTGGTGTTGATGTGAAGGAACTAAAGGCGCCTGGAGTCATGACACCGGGATCTCGTGCTGGTGATAACTTGACATGATCAGTGCTGAAGCCTGATTGGAATGACGTGACGCTCGCGTTGCGCGTTAGCGACTTCAGCAGGATTGGTGCGGTTTGCTGGTCGTAGAGATTCTCCCGTGTGTTGAGCGTGTTATTAGCGTAAGAGCCATTAGGATGGTAGTGGCTTGACGTGAAGTTGGGGAGGTCGGTGAGTGTCTCGTTGTCGTCATCGTCATCGTCGTCATCGAAGAAGTCGTCCAGACTGTCTAGCTTCATGACTAGATCGCCAATGTGGCCTTCACCGCGTGTGTCTTCAGAAGTCATAGTTGCTGTGCGGTAGTCCGACAATGGGCTGAAGGGGAACTCGTCTGCTCGGAACTCAATCTTCGGTGTAGCTGTTTCAGGAGCATCGGCACCTTCGAGGTTGCCACAAGTGTAGAAGACAGCATGCACGTTTGCTCTTGTCAGGTGCGAGTGGTGAGCAGGCATTGGTATCGACCACCCGCTCTCTTCGGGGATGCCGTACAATGACTGGGTCTTCTCGAACTGCTTCTTATAGCCTCTGGTTGAGTGTGATCCAGCCATGCTCATGCGGATGTGTTGTTTCTCAAAAGGCGTTGGTGCGTTGGTCATGCTAAGATTGATGACAAAGTCGAGGACACGCAAAGCTTGTGGACAGAACTCAGTCTGCAGCAATCGCAGCAATGGTGAGATGAGGTCAGGCCCCTTGGAGGCTATCTCTGGTCTGCGCATCTCGATTTCCGGTATCAAGATACACAACACCTCCATGGTGTTGATCTTCATCCAATCGATTTTGTTCGTGAGCAGACTGAGCAGGAAGATCAGACTGCCCAACTCAAGATCTGGGAAATAAGCCGATCGAATGGCCGACAGAGTCTGGGATAGAAAGTCTGTCTCTTGACGGTAGCGTTTCAGTGCGAAAGATGTGAGCGCATCGGCGAGCGCAGTGCACTGATACTGCTCCTCGGCCACGCGAGCAAGAATCTCAGCTGTGGCTTTGACGCCAGGATCCCTCTTGATCGTCTCGAAGGATCGTATGAACCTCGGCAAGTTGGCGAGTATGGTGTACACAAGTCGCGTGTCATCTCCAACGATTCGACTCGAAGGCAGTACAACTAGCCTGTTGAGGATGCGCAATGACCGGTCTAAACAGGTGCTTGATCGTATGCCCTTGAACGTGAGCTGAGCAAGACCCTCAAAATTGCCTTCCCACTTCTCAGGACAGCTGTCCTCGAGTACTTGTAGGACGGTAGGGTCGCCAAGATCAAGCTTGTCAAGGAACTTGTCCAGCATCAAAAGACTCTCCATGAACTCGCCTTCATGTATGGTGTCAAGGCAGGCGCAAGTCGTCCAGAATAGCGGAGGATATTGGATGAGGTCTTCGGGGGCTAACGCTTCGATGATGGTGCGTAGTGTTGTCAAGATCTCCATAGAAAAGGTCTGGATGTCGCTCTCTTCGTCTGAGATGGTGTTAGACAGCCTAGCAAGCATGTCGGAGAGCATCTGTTGATCAAGAGAGCTCAGAATGCATCTGAACAGTTGGAACGATCGACATGCAAGATGCCGAACCGGACAAGAGGTAGCCCAGTTGAGTGCTACCCTTCCCCATGCCTCCCTAAGACCAGGATAGGCAAGGGTGAAGAATTTCAGGACTTCGCCAGAGACATATTCCATGGATTCTGGTACCTTGGTGCTAGAGTCCTCCGCCTCTTTGCTGTTCTTGTCGTCGTAGTTCCACACAACCTTAGCATCATGTTGGCGGATATTCTCTACAAAGTCTTCGATGGCACGCTTGTCAATACCCAGAGTATCATCCTCAATCTTGGAGATGACCAATTCGTGTATGAGGTGCACAAGCATCTCTCGTGCTTGGTCCTGGACTACAGGTGTGTAGTGATCCCAGAGGACAAGAACAACTTGGAGAAGCAGAGGCACGTTTTCGCTCGCAAGCTCGATAGGAGATACCATGAGATCGACAAGCAAGATCAAACAGACCTGACCGAGAGCAAAGCCAGACTAAGAAGGTTAGTGTAAGCACGAAGAGGAGTGAAATAGTACTTGCCTGCTTGTTGCTGCTTGGGAGCAAAGCATTAAGATCCGCAAGATATGGCAAGTTGACAGCATCTACCGGTGGTGGTATTGGCTCGCGCTTCTCGCTCACTAGTGAACGTGGATTGATCTGAAGAAGAAGGAACTCCACCACCTTCTGTCCAGCTGGGGTGCTAGACAGGTGAACAACAATCTGTTTCGAGAAGTCGACATAGTTTTGCTCTCGTTTGTCCAAGCAAAGGTTGATGATGAAATCGAGGATTAGCTGCACGTTTCCTCCGTAAGGTCCGGTAGCCAAAGCTTGCCAAAGTGCTTGGATCTCGTTGTGGAGTGCATTGCCCGAGCGAACAGTAATCTCGAAGAGATTGACGAGCAGCATGTAAGAGTTGGCTGTAGGACCACCGCCTGGCTGCACTTGGAGTTCGATGGTCTGGACCCAAGGCAGCATTGCAGCGACCATATTTCGCTGATGATCCGGTTGTAACTCCTTGAAGTAGTACGAGCATTGCGAGAACACAAGGAAGGCGAGCTCCGAATGTTGTTTTGCGAGTCGGCGAGAGGTCTCAAACTGGGCTAGCTTGTACACAGCTATGGTCTTATCGGAGATACTTATGTCGAGGTCTTGCAGCTTCGAGTTCTTCTGTTCTCTGCCTTCTAATGTCCTCAGCAAACGAGAAGACTTGACGCGTATCCCGCTGTTCTCGTGTCCAAGCGTGTATAGACCTGCACTGAGCACCTTCCAGAAGGGCAATGTGTAATCTTCTCGTTGAATAAGCACTTGCGTGACGACCTCGAAGTAGCTATCCAGCGCCTTGGAAGACTTGGAAAGGTAGCACATCTCAATGGCGCGATCAAGAAGGTACGGATGTTCTCGGTTGTGGATGATAAGGTTCATAAGTGCTCTTCGACCGATTGCATGCGTGCGGTCACTAGGAGTTTCGAAAATACTGTCGATCCAGGACAACATTCGGCGGACGTCGAACTGCATCAAGACCTTGCTGTCAGTTGTAATGCTGACCGGACCGCCACATAAAGCAGCCATGGCACTGAGAGCTGCCGTCCGAAGGTCACGCTTCTCGATCTCCATAGCTGCCGTTGCGATGCCTTTGTTGCCCAAGTCAACCTCTCGGTCTAACATAGACCTGCGCATATTTTCCTCTCGTTGGCGAATCTGCGGCTGATTTGCAGAGTAGCCACACCAGTCCTCCATGAGCGTAAAGGCTGCTTTGCGCGCCTGAAATGGCATCCACTGGAGAGGGTCGCTCGTCCGATTGATGCCTTCGAAAAGTACTTCTACAAGCCCGCAATAGTGGGTACGAAGCTTCTGAAAGCCCCACTCATTTTGCACTTCCGCGTCGCTGAGGAAGATTCTCAAATCCTTCGTGTAGTTGACAAGGTTGTTGACAATCCACTCATCATTGTAGGCCTCGGGAAGCCGCAAGAACTGGGAAGTGAGTTTGTATACGTGAGTGATCTCAGTTCGGAGGTGATCGGTACGTCGGTTCCTTCGCGGACTGCTTAGTGTCCTGGTGTGCGCACCAAGTCTAGTCTTTGCCTCTTCAGTACATGCAGCAACAATTCCTTGCAGAGACTCCAACAGCGTTCGGTAAAGGTTGATGTTGATGGAACCTAGACCAACGACGGCCGCCTCCCGTACGGCACTATTGTCTACGGACAATGCAGGAAGAACCTTTGCGAAAAGTTCGCTAGCCGTATGCAGCTTATTTGTACTCTTCTGCGACGACTTGGAGCTTTTTCGCGAGTGTTGTGACATTTGGCTCGGCGCGACTGACAAGGCACCTTGTCCAGGATTTGTCAGGGTAGTGAAGGCGAAGATCAAATAAAGCTTCCACTGTTCGATGACGATCTCTGGTGAAGTCGAAGCCAGGCGATTGGTGACCCTGCTAACGCTTCCAGGCTCAAAGGGTGAGTAAGGCGTGGCGCGAGGTCCATCACCAAGTGTGAGCAAGGTTCGATGCATCTGCGTAAGTCTTGCACAGACGATGTCGCGAGTAAGAGTAACAGCAAACGGACACAGTTCGAAGCTGATGCGCACCAGATTTGGAAAGATCTTGAACCAAAGGGTAGAGTCATAAGGCACGTCGCTGCTACACAACTCCACCAAAGTGCTCTGGACATTGCTTTTGCGCATTCCGCGCTGAAGTCGACTTCGCTCTGCTAATGACAATTTCTCGTCACTGATGTCCATAACCTTCTGTGGACTGCCTTCCATGACGCGTATTATGCGGGTGTTGGTGGCGCCCAACGCCGTGTCGAACTCGGTGATGAGGCGCAATACGTCGACTGCATAAGATCGGACACGGCGTGAAGGTGAACATAGAAAGAAGAGGCCGTGAGATTCCACTTCCTCAACATGGGTCCAAACTGACGACAGATCGAGGAGCGCAGCTCGGCTACCGCTTCCCTCTTCAGGTGTGTCAAGTGCTGTTTTGCGGACCTTTTGTTTGATTTCCTCGATCCAGATATGAAGTAGCTCTTCGTAGAGCTTCAGGGTGCTCTCAATGTGTCCAGCACCGAGCATGCCACCGTCCGACATAGTGGCGTAACGATCGTCAAAATTAAAGATAAAACGAGCGAACCCGATTGTAACTTGTTGTGCGTGTGACTGTCGCGCGATCGACTTCAGAGATTGTGCTGAAGAAACGGCGATATTGCCTTGCACATGAGCCGTACCGGTACATAACAAATTCACCAGCGAGTTGAAAGGGATGTGTGGTGAGAGACATCGGGGTAAAGCTTGTACCGCAACATGAAGCAAGTCGTAGAACCCTTGCCTAGGGTCTCCAGAGCCTTGATGATCTTCGCGACGGCTAAAGCTGAAGGCTTCTACCATAGGAGTCTTCGGTGTCTGGAGCGAGAACTTTTCGTCAAGGACCGCCTGCCCACCAAAAGTGTTATCGCAGATGATCGTGATTTCGCCCAGTATCTTGCAAAAGCGTACATACGACTCTTTCGCCACTTCCGCGAATCCGCTAAAGTTGACTGGTCGTGACAGCCGCTCTTCTTTCAGCAATGACGACTTGATAGGAAGATGCTGTGTGGGTCGTGGGCTGACTGGAAGAGCTGGAAGTTCTGGGAGAATGGCATTGGGATCATAGTCGAATGAAATCGGAAAGGGCGGTTGTTCCGAGTTCTCCAGGTCTGCCATGATTGCGAGGAATGAGCGGATACCCAAAACCATTCGATCAGGCTCCAAGTTTTCGACACGAAGTTCTCGACCAGAAGCGAACATCTCAGCATTAAGTAAGGGGAAGATGACCGTCTTGAAGCAAAGATCTTGATACTTGTAGCCAATAATCCTCGTCAATTGAATGAGAGGCTCGGCGATGGCGGGTTCAGTCGAGAGATACGATCGCCGTCCGGTTTGGAATATCATCCGAATAATGTCTTCGAGTTTGCGCACAGCAGTGGCTGATGGATCGGGGCCTTTTCTGTACAGATACGTCCATACCAACTGGCATATGCCTCGAAGGGCAATAGGACGAGTGACGCGCTCCTTAAGTCGCGGCTGTGTTGACAGCGCAAGCGCAGACCATTGCGCCGTGAACGTTTCTGTGGGCGAGACACACAGAAGTGCGGTCATCAGAGGGAAGGCCTCATGCCAATGCTTAGGTTTGCCGAGCAACACAGCAGCTCGCTGCCTCATCATGTCGACTACTTGCTTCCATTTGGGTGAACTAATTTCGACGGTGGCTTTCGATGCAATCCGGAGCAAGAGTTCTCTCAACACTTGGCAAAATGCGTACTTCATTGGGTGACCGTGCGCGCTGACAAACAGTTTCGCAAGGGACAACATAAAGTTGCAGGTACGGTCCCATGCTTCCTCTGGGTAAGTTTTGACCTTCAGATAGCGTAGAGCACGTATGAGGTGAGCGCCCTTGTTTTCAATGTCCCGTGTGTATTGCCCTTTGACAGCCAATTGGGTGTCAATACTCTTGAGGTCAACGATGAACTTTTCCTGCACCTGATCGAAGATAAGTCCACTGAGAACACCGAGTAGCTGGCTGAAGATGGCGTAATTGGCTTTGCTCAGGTTAGATACTTCGACCAGATCGGGGTCCACGGTATTGAGCTGTCCATAGAAGAGACCAAGCAGGCGATCAGCCATGTCAAAAGTCAAGTTCTGAATGTCAGTCTGGCTCATGATCTCGATGAGCACCCGGCAAAGGATGTAAGTTGACACTGTTGAGCGCTGCTCAGCCAGTGTCACAGTATCCTGGAGAGCGAGTAATTGCTCGGCGCCCGCAGCTATCGAAGTTGTTGACAGGTTCTCGGGCAGATGTTGACTCGATTCAGTGTTTCGGCGAGGCAGGTGAGGATGAGCAGGTGCACTTGCTTGTCGAGCCTAGCTGCATTAGCAGATTGCTATCAAAAACAAAGGAATGGTGGGCAATCGTACAGTCTGCAGCTGCGCCCGTAGTTTTGAAGCCTCTTCACTCTTCGCCTTGCGCCAAAGCATGATAGTGTCTATCAGAGGTTTTGGCTTGTGCCGCGCAATGTGACCAAGGGCCGCTATGAGCTGATCGAAGTTGGGATCAACTCCAGGGCCACAGATGTGTTCTACTTCGGCCTCTGGCTGACTCCGGTCTGTCATGCATTGAATAATCTTTTGGTCTGCCTGACTGATGAACGAATTAAAGAGGTGGTGTAACGCATATTCGCCGACTGTCTTGAGCTCGTGGGTATGCTGATGGTGGCGCGACTGGGAGCGGTGGTGGACATGGCCCTTGCGAGACGACCTGCTGGGAGCTCGCTCAGGCTTGCGCTGCGCACTGCTGCTATCACCAAGTGCCGGGGGAAGCCCAGCGCCTGTGAAGCCATTCGCAGCATTTGCGCCGGCCGTTACGCCATGCGCCGAGAAGGCCGCCGTTATGGTGTCCTGCGACATGACGGCTCCATCGAGGTCTGCTATGACCTGCACCTGCTCGCTGAGGGGGCTGGTGGCTGGCGACTTCACGTAGCTCGTGTTGCGTGAGTGCTGGACGCCATGCACGATCGAGGTGTTGCGGTTGTGGGCATAGGACTGAGAGGGCTTGCGCTCGAGAGTCCCGTCTGGGCTCGAATTGCTGCTGCTGCTAGGGATGGTAATGCCGGGAGCCCTGGTGCGTGATGCTATGCGACCGCGGGTCACACTCGGCTCTCGTGAAGGAGCTTGTCGAGCTTGCGCATGTGAGTGCGAAGCAGCTGTATCAGGCAGAAACGTCAGCAAAGCCCTCAGGCACAGCAGGCTGCATTATTGGACGTCCAAATAAGCTCGGCCATGACACCACAGCGGGCTGGTAGTTTCAAACACCGCCCTGTCTGGATGCCAGCATCCCACAGAAAGTTCCCATAGACGTAGCATCCACAGTCCTTTAAGACGGCGGCGTCACAGCGACAAGAGAAAAGCGAACTCACACATGGGCACTCATGGGCGGACGAGGAGATTGTCATCTGGGTTGGCGGAATGGATATCAGCCTGTGAGAGGGGCGAGCGACGTCTGCCACTGGACGTCGACGAAATGCATAGACCCTTGTGGCCTGGCGCCTCTCGTTCCTGAATACTAGCCCGATTGGTGCCCATGATCTTCTATGGCGGCGCGGCAGCAAACGGCTATGGTGATCAAAGCAGGCGGAGATTAATTGATCTGAACTCGCACGTGGTACAAGTGCTTCAGGTAGCTTATCAGCGCATCCTCGTATGAGTAGAACTGCTTCTTCCACCACTTCGCGACTTGCCATCTCCAACACGGCAGAGGACGAACTATTGCCCTAGCGTAGCGGGCGGCCATGCTGCCACGCTTTCAGGCTGCTTGCCCTTGCATTGGACACGATTTGGGCTTTGGACGTGCAGTGTCAGCAGCGATGTGACATCAGGATTGTTTGATTACGTTCTGGAAGTGAAAGACTGTAGCCAGTCAGCGCGAGCATCAGCACTGCCTTAAACTGATCTCGTCAGGTCCTTCAATATGAGAGCTGGAGGCAGTCAACTTGAATTCTCAGCACACTTGGACCCTACTCGCAAACAGGCATCATCTTTCAAGAACAATCGCACAGACAAAGGGTCCGGCGTGGGGCTCTTGGGGCCGAAGCACCGGCAAGAGTACACTGTATCATCTGAAATGCGTTGAGACCAGGTGATCCCTGGGTTGTCCGCCGCCAACACCACGAAGGCTTACATACGCCGTGCCAAACTCGTGCTGACCACCTGGATGGAGTCAGCGCTGGCTCTCCGGTCACAGCTCACTATCAGCTTTCAGAGTGGCCTTCTGGTGCATCGCAGTCATCGACCATATCTGGTCCGTCAGTCTACCCGTTGCATATATAGCCGTCTGCCCTCCGACTCTCCGCGATGCTGGTAAGAAGTCTTCGGCAACATAAATCATTGGGTTTACGCCCTCTGCCAACGAGCATTTGTCCTCTACATCGGCGCCTAAGGGTTCCGTCTTCCGCCCTTGCACACAAGACCTCACATCTCATACATTCAAATTTACCCCACAACACGCGGAAGTTTGGCGGGGTTCCATCTGGGACTTGCGGAAAGGCAGCAAGCCGTTCTCGGGAATCACGAGCAGAGCGGAATTTTGGCGTTCCCGAGCCACCACCGAGCTGCCGACATTTAGTCAAGACGGCAGTCTAAGACGGCACCACTTTAAGTCACATTGCCATTGCTGAAAAGCGCAGCGTGTCGCATAGATAACACTGAAGTCTGCCCTGCGCCTGTCAGCTCTGACTACACTCTCAGCCTCAAATCAGGCGATCTCTATCCTTACCAATAAGCCAGCGCTGCTGCGATACAGGAGAGCACGGCCGCCTAGAGTACCCGGTCCACTCAAGCTGACGCCGGTACAAATATTCCCTCCGCTTTTCCTGTTACAGCGAGAGCGACTCGTGTCCAGATCGTAGCGCGTCTCTGTGTCTGCCCGGAAGTCTGAACCCCTCCACGACTGCTCTCGAGCACCATGGCGCAACTCGACACGCTCGACATTGTCGTGCTGGCAGCACTGCTGCTCGGCACGGTCGCCTACTTCACAAAGGGCACCTACTGGGCTGTCTACGCCGACCCTTATGGAAGTTCGCTGGCAGGCGCTAATGGCACTGCAAAGGCGGGCAAGTCTCGCAACATAATCGAGACGATGGAGGAGTCAGACAAGAACTGCGTCGTCTTCTACGGCAGTCAGACTGGTACCGCCGAGGACTACGCATCCCGTATCTCCAAAGAGGGGCACTCACGCTTCGGTCTCAAGACAATGGTTGCAGATCTGGAAGAGTACGACTTCGACAACCTGGACACTTTCCCTGACGACAAGCTCGCCGTCTTCGTCCTAGCCACCTACGGCGAGGGTGAGCCCACAGACAACGCCGTCGAGTTCTACGAGTTCATTGGATCTGAGGACATCAACTTCAGTGAAGGCGGCGGTGCTGACGACAAGCCTCTGGGCAACCTGAAGTATGTCGCATTCGGTCTTGGAAACAACACATACGAGCACTACAACTCAATGGTCCGCAACGTTGACAAGTACCTCACCAAGCTTGGCGCAACTCGACTCGGCGCTGCTGGCGAGGGTGACGATGGTGCTGGAACCATGGAAGAGGACTTCCTCGCCTGGAAGGAGCCCATGTGGGCTGCTGTCGCCGAGCAGATGAACCTTGAGGAGCGTGAAGCTGCGTACGAGCCGGTCTTTGAGGTCACCGAGAAGGACGAGCTCACACCTGAGGATGACACTGTCTACCTTGGCGAGCCCAACAAGAACCACCTCGAGGGCAAGCAGAAGGGTCCCTTCAATGGCAATAACCCGTTCATCGCCCCCATCGTCGAGTCCTCCGAAATCTTCACCGCGAAGGACCGAAACTGCCTGCACATGGAGATCAGTATCGCTGGCTCCAACCTGTCGTACACCACTGGTGACCACATTGCGGTCTGGCCCAACAACTCTGGCAAGGAAGTCGATCGTATTTTCAAGGTTCTCGGCAAGGAGCATAAGCGTCATACTGTCATTGCAGTCAAGGGTCTCGATCCTACTGCAAAGGTACCCTTCCCATCGCCCACTACCTACGACGCCGCTGTTCGCTTCCACATCGAGATCGGCGCAGCTGTCTCTCGTCAACTGGTTTCTGGTCTTGCTCAATTCGCACCCAACGATGACATCAAGGCTGAGATGACAAAGCTCGGTAGCGACAAGGACTACTTCAAGCAGAAGGTCACCAACCGTCACCTCAACTTGGCGCAGCTACTCGAAATCGAAGCAAAGGGCCACGCATGGACCAAGATCCCTTTCTCGTTCCTCATCGAAGGTCTTGTCAAGATCCAGCCCCGTTACTACTCGATCTCATCTTCATCATTAGTGCAGAAGGACAAGATTTCCATCACTGCAGTCGTCGAGTCGGTTCAGAGGCCTGATGCGCCGCACATTCTCAAGGGTGTTACCACGAACTACCTCCTCGCTCTGAAGCAGAAGCAGCATGGTGACCCTTCACCAGATCCGCATGGCTTGAACTACGCAATCACCGGTCCCCGCAACAAGTACGATGGCATTCACGTGCCTGTACACGTACGTCACTCGAACTTCAAGCTCCCCTCAGACCCTTCCAAACCCATCATCATGGTTGGCCCAGGTACTGGTGTCGCTCCCTTCCGTGGTTTTATCCAGGAAAGGGCTGCTCAGGCTAAGGCCGGCCAGAGCGTCGGAAAGACCGTTTTGTTCTTTGGTTGCAGAAAGAGGTCAGAGGATTTCTTGTATGAGAAGGAGTGGGAGGTAAGTCATAGCTATACCCAAGTCTGAAACGTATCAGTCTAACATCTGTCACAGCAATACAAGGAAGTCCTCGGCGACAACTTCGTTCTCCATACCGCGTTCTCACGAGATGGCCCTAAGAAGGTTTACGTTCAGCACCAGATGGAGGAGTACGGCGAAGAGATCAACAAGCTGTTGGAGCAGAAGGCGTACTTTTACGTCTGCGGTGACGCTGCGCACATGGCTCGCGAGGTCAACACACTGCTTGGCAAGATCATTGCGAAGTACAGGAACGTGTCCGAGACAAAGGGTGAGGAGATCGTCAAGGCCATGAGGGCATCGAACCAGTACCAGGAGGATGTCTGGTCGTGATCGACACTTTGGTATATAGCGAAGCATTTTCAAGGTTAGATTGGAGCGAACGGCGTTTGACAAATGCATGTTAGACTGCGTAATTGCGCAGCTGTGGTCAGGATGGGGTTTGACTTGGGCTATGCAGCGTTGCGAATATGCTAGTACTATACTCTACACTCATATTTGAACTGTAGATAGCGTAGAGCTTAATGCAATTACACGACAATACTACGAGCCAGTCTTCAAGCGCAGGCTAGTCATGCTGTGAGGCCTGCAGTGATCGTGCAGACGAACACTAGCTGAAGCTCGATTGGCCCGCACCGGCAGCGGCAGGACCCGGGTCGCGAAGCAACTCCATCCCCATCCAACTTCATCCCTCATGATTTCATCCACACTTCCACAGACGTCACAGACATGAGTCCCTCGACCGAAGGTTAGGCCACGAATTGACGCCATCTTCGTCATCACCACACCCCTTAACATATCCTTGCGACACCGGGGCTTTTCCGCGCACCTGTACTGTGTACCACCATGTCTCCATCCCTATAGATTGACATCCCTGAACGGATTCTGGCTTTAAAATGAGATTCATCAGCACGACCGTGGAGATCAAACGTGTATTCCTGCAGTAAGGAACGTAAGATGGTGGGAAACTCTTGTCTCACATTATCTTCCTTGGGTGCTGTAAATCTCTATGATTCTCCCGCTCAGTCAGAGCATGGACCAAGACATGTTCTCAAGATTTCCGTGAACCCTGAAGAGGTTGATACGGCAGAGTTCGCACCTTGTACGACCTGGAGCATGCAGCCCAGACAGGATATGAGGAGCATCACTTCTTCATCATCATGGACGGTAGCGAGTCGATCCGGAATCCAGGTTTCAGGTCAAACTGGGTAACCTCAACAGAGTCGCAACGAAGCAACGATGAGTGGTGCGAACAGAAACAGAAGAAGGTCGAGCGATGTGTACACAAAAAGAAGCATTGTAGTGCCTGAGGGCGCACGACATGCATGACATCTGAAGGTTCAGCGCCCGGCACTCACGCGACGAGTCGTCAGCCGGCACCGTCTGTCTTCACGAGCCACACATCATATGCACCCCTGGCGACCTCCACTCGAGCTACCAGCCCTTGCTAATACAAACGTCTTGCTCCGTGGCGAGCTGCATTTTAAGCATGCAGTCACTGTTTCATAACCCTGTTTGCGAACGAAATCCCGGATAGCTACTTGGAAGATATGCAACACGGTAATCAGTGCTCTTGCGCCCACGCAGCACGCGAACAGGCGTAAACATCTCCATCGAGTGAGCGTTGTGACACATCTGCTCACATTGTGCCCTAACTGGCCGTTTGCAGAGCGCTTGATGGGGACGTATACAAGCAAGGTTAGTGACCTCTCCCAAACCTCATCTTGTGCTTCAATACCTCCTCACTTGCAAAGAGCTACTCGCGGTCCCAGCTTTCGCTCTTCTAACACTTCGATGTCTCCAAATGCTTTATCGTCCTCTGACTTTCGTAGGCGTAGCAAGGTGTACGGTCGATGCGCTTGACAATGAGTCTTCGTCTGGCTGCGAAAGATGCCCTTGCAGCTGCACTGCCGTTGAACGTACCGCGGAGCTTTTCTTGTCAGCTACTGCTGCAACGGGGCGGCGGCTTGTGGGCCGCGGGAGGCTCTGCATCGTCACCTAAAAGGCGTTGGCCTCAACGTTGTGGCGAACTGAACCCCAGGATGCAGGCAGTCCAACGCAACTAGTAACGGCTGCGACTAGCTGCACTGCGCCGGCTCGCAGCAGAAGTTACAAGTGCGCTGCGGTCGAGTTCGAATCCAAGACTGTTTCCAGCCTCTTGTGGGTAGCAGTCGGATAATAGGTTGTCATAAGAGAGGTACCTTGTGTCGTATCACTTCACTAACGTGCTGCAAGCTAATCTCACAGTCAAACAGAGCGATGAACCTGGTCGGGCCTGGGGAAGAGTTTTGCGAACACCCGAGAGCCGACTGCAGTGCGGAGGTGAAAAAGTGACAGGGCAAATCCTCATCCCGCGATCTGACCCACCACGTAGGTCACCGTCTTGAGGGCACCTCTGCTTGCGCGCAACGCAACATATGAGTGAGTGACGTCCACAAGAGGATTTTCTCAGATACTGTCGCTCTCTCAGCCCTACTGCAAGGGTGCTGGGGGCTGCATTAGCTTCGCCATTGCGGAGACCAACCTGCTGGATGAAGAAAGTCGAGTGCAAATTGGGACGCCTCGTCGTCTGAAGACTGCTACACACTCGTCTCAGAATGGTATGGCCGCTAGTTGCGGAAGTGGACAGAGTGCACGACTGATGTGATCTCGCGTCGCCTGCACTCAGTTGCAGCTCTGTAGAGCCACATCCCTGGCTGGTACATATCAGCGCTGCAGCTTTCGTTTTCAACTGGTCTTATTAAAGCAGTACACTCCCACCGCAGCTAAGGGCAGTACACACTCTGCAGCTTCGTCCGCAATCAAAACTTCGGCATCACTATTTGAACAGCTCTTTCCCAACATCAATAGAGACCCACAGTGCGCCAAACACGAGGCGAGAAAGGGAAGAAGCTCGAGCCTCGACCTGCAACCGCTACTGCTTTCGTTTGTACTGTTACTTGTCTGCTCCTACTCCAGTGCCTATCATTAGCAAGGTTAGTGCTTTCCGTCCCGTCTACCTGGTCCTTGGCGACTTCCCGGGGTGGAAGGCGAGGCTGCTCTGTGTATACACGCGCCGTTGCTACTCCCCTCCTACACCAAGACATCACGACGGCTCTTTCCCTCTGCACGACGCCGAGCCGCCGCCCTCGAGGACCTTTTCTTCTCGCCTCGCCTCCTCACTTTTCGTCTCTTCTTCTCTTCACTCATTCTGCACCACTTCTTCCTCACCAATACGCTTCAGTGGCCACATTCTTTGTAGCTTTTCGCAGGTGAGGCCTCGACACCGCCTCATACATCATATGTTCGTATACTGACCTTGTCGACAGCTTTGGAGTCACTACCAGTCCCGCACATTGCAAAAGTTTGACATTTACGACTCGGTATGTGCTCTTCACCTGCACCCTTCCATCTCTTTCCTTCACCTCACGCCAATGCACAACCGTCCAAGCGTTGTGAAACCCACTACCCACCACCCCTCTTTCGTCTCGAAGTGTAGCTGGGTTCACCATCACCGATCACCATTCCCTCTCATGGTAGCGTTTCGGGTAGGTGTATATGACTAACCTTGCCGTAGAGCAACGTTCTTCCGTACATCTCAGCAGCCTCGCCCGCTCTCCCGTTCTTGATACTTCTTGTCGCTGTATAACCGGGCTCGCGTCTTTCGATCGCCCTACTCCTGTCTGCAGCACCCTTCGACCCTGTCATCAGCCGTCCAGCCTTCTCACTGCTTCCGTCTCGGTCGCCTCGCTCCTTCCAGTCATCACCATGACTACCAACGCTCGCCAGAACGGCTATGCCGCACCCACAGGTGGCTACAAGGGTCAGCACATGCTCAATGCATACAACGGCCAGGGTCATGGAGCTCAGTACCTTCCTCGAGGTCTGCCCATGTCTCCCAATGGTGATGCTGGTTTGCAAGGTCTGACGAACACCATGGCAGCGCTCAACATGCATGCCTCTTACGGCTCGTCCGCCAACCACAAGTCTGCTGGGTCTGGTATGTCTGCCAACTCTTCTGACTACGGCAACATCCCGATGTCACAAGGCCAGGGTCTGTGGATCCCCAACCAGCACGCCCTCGGCTCCATGTACCAGGTCCTTCCCGGTGGGCAGCAGCAAGGTGCTATGGCGCACTCCCCCGGCATGTACAACCACAACGGTACCTTTGATCCACAGACCGCATACCAGTACGGCCAAGCTGTTGTTGGACACAGCCCCATGGCACCTGGCTGGGCCTCCCGTATGTCGTCTGGGGACATGCCGTCGCTCATGACTCCTCGACGCGACTCTTTGTCTTCCAACGAGAACGACATCCCTGGCACACCTTTTGGCAGCGGTGGCATGTACCGTTATGGAGCCGGCGCCACCATCATGGACCGCTCACCAAGCGCCGTCTACACGAGCAGTGCAACTCCCTCGCCCTCGCAGTTGACCCACCCATACCAGCTGATGGCTCCCGTCCAGAAGCAACAGGCCATGCCCACTCTTCCACCTCATCTGCTGGCTTTGGTACACCAAGAGCCTCCTATTCCACGCGCTATCCCTGCTCCCAGCTCTCCCCACAAGCCACTCGACCGCAGCCTCGAGAACAAGACTGGTGAGACGAACGTCTACATTCGAGGCCTCCTACCAGAGACGACCGACGAGATGCTGCATGGCTGGGGCAGGCGCTTCGGCGACATCCAGAGCTCCAAGTCGATCATCGATCTCAAGACTAATCTATGCAAAGGGTGAGTACAGTCACTTCATCTTCGCCCTGCAATACTAATATTACAAACAGCTTTGGTTTCATCAAGTATCACAACTTCGAGGATGCCGAGGACTGCATTCGTGGCTTCCACTACCTAGGCTATGAAGTCAGCTTCGCCCGAGTAAGTTCTCTCGTTCCCGTCGCTCGACCTTTGCTAATCACTTCAGGAATCATTCTACTCCAAGCTCAAGAAGTTCTCCGACGACGGCAACACCAACCTTTACGTATCCAACATACCCAAGAATATGAATGAGCATGTAAGTACTCACCTGCTCCTTCTTGCAGCTCCAGGATTGTTGCTGACTTGAGCACAGGAACTCGCGTCTATCTTCGCTCCTCACAAGGTCTGCTCGAGCAGGATCCTTCGTGACCCCACCGGCACTGGCCGTGGTGTTGGCTTTGCTCGGTATGTCGTGTTCCTCCTGTGGCCCTCGCGCGTCGCTAACCATCTACAGGTTCGAGAGTCGCGATATTTGCGACGAGGTCATTAAGAAGTTCAACAACACTCCTGTCTCCAAGCCCAATGGCGAGGAGCACCTCATCCAGATCCGCTTCTCCGATACACACGAGCAGAAGATGCTCAAGCAACAGACAGCAGCCGGCCGCGTCTTCCGTGCCGCTGAGTACGAGGTTGGTGTCGCTCAAGCTAGGGCGTTGGGCACACCTGACCGTTACGACACTGTCTCCCCAGTATCGCACAGCGCCGGAAGCGAGTTCGAGATGTTCATGCAGCGTGGTGCTTATCGTCAGCCTTGGGCACCTGCCATCCCATCCACGCTGGGTACTTCTCGCCCCGCCATGTACCAGATGTCCCAGCCCGGTGCCGTCAAGAGCGATGACGGCGTTTCAGAGCATGGCATCGACATCAAGACCAACCCAGCTACACCTGTTAAGGCCGACAACAAGGCCGACTCACCAGCTCGCCGAGACGAGTGAACGCCTTTCACATCGCAACGATGCTTCAACTTGTCGTCACCATACCTTCGTGTACGCAACTATTTTTCACGATTGCTCCTTCAGCATCCACCAGCCGCATCACTCGTGGAGCACGATGTTAATTATCTCAAACGCCATGGCACGATAACTCGGATCGGACTTCATCTTGGCCATTTCTTTCTGTCACTCGCTTCGACCATGATCTTCACGACATTGGCGCCTAATACTTCTCTTTTGGCCCTCGGCTTCCTGAACATATCCTTCTCATACTTCGTCCCGCGATTCGATCGGACCATTTGGGCGGCTGCTGTCTTCATCTTAGAAGTATTTATTAGCATGTGAGCCGGGCGGTGGACCAAAAGATCTTCATGGGTTATGCATTGCAGTTTTTCTCATCGATGGCGGAACAGGATCAGGTATGGCAGTGGCCAGAGGTGTATCGTCGGATTTGTCGTAGTTTCGATAGTTCGTCGCATAATTGATCTTCTTCCGACTTCATCGCTCAGCTCCTGCTGTTGAATCTGTTTGACTGTTCGCTCACAACAGATCGAACTAACCCTGTTGCTGCTCGAAACAAGAAGGCATACCAGTTGTCACGATAGGTGTGGAGAGCTTGCGTTATCTTCGAATGTGTGCAGTTGCACTCGTAGTTTATTTCATGTCTACGGTCGTTGAACTTTTGAGGACTAGTAGCCTTGAAGATGTGGGTATCGCTGAAGAACAGAGGCAGAAAGATGACGCGAGATCTCAAATAGCCCAACCAGCCTTCTTTTTTGCGGCTTTGGTCGTCATAGTCGATTGTGGGCGGGGCTTGCATTCGCTCAAATCCGGCAAGGGGTCATTGTCTCGAATGTCGAGCAATGTCATCTGAGAGGCAACAGCAGCAGGTGTTTGCTTTTCCAATGAAGGTTCCTCTGCGGTCGGCACACCCTCTGTGTCAGCCCCGTCCAGCAGCGAAACACCACCGGCTTCTTCTTCCTCGCCATCCAAGACTTCATTTTCAAAGTCGTCCTCGTCATTGTCCCCATGGTCCTCTTCAGCACCACCAGCATCGCCATCAATACCATGCTCTTTCATGTAGACATCTAACTCCTTCGCCATCTTCTTGCTGAAGCCTGAAGCCTCTACTTCGACGTCTAGCCTCTTGACCACCTTCTTGATAGCGTCCTTGAAGAACGGACCTGGCTCGTCACTTGTGAAACCAAAGCGTCTTTCGAAGAATCGCTTGATACACGCTACATCGCGGTCAAAGTAGTACTCCGCATTCGCATGGTCAATCGACACCATCTGCGGGAAATCGATAATCGTCGGTATGAGTTGCACGCGCTCGTCTCCCTCGAACTTCTCCTCGATCAGGATGTTGAACTCGTTGAAGTCGCCATGGATCAGCCCGTGCTGCGCAAACCGCACAATGAAGTCCAGCAACTCAGAGTACAGAGTCGCTGGGTCCCCAACCTTGGAGATCGTGCGCATGGGAAACGCGTCGATCAAACCCATGATCACTGTGTGTCGGTTCTGCCCGACGGGCTCGGGGACAGGGAATCCTTCGCGCCGCAGGGCTTTCATGAACTCATATTCCTTGATCGCCGCCAGCCGGCTCATATACATCCAACTCCCGCCCTGCCTATTCCTCAAATAATCTCGATTCGCCTTCACCGTGCGAAACGATATCCTTCCCAATCTATGGATCTTGAGCACCAACTGCCGGCCCTCTTCACTCGCACATACGAAGATGTCACTTTCCTTGCCGACACCGATTTGGTTCCCGACACTGAACACGGTGTGGCCTTTGGTGTGCGTGTGCAGCGCGAGGTAGTCCAGGCCGCCATAGGTCAGGCGGTAGCCGTCGTATTTTGCGTTTTTTACTTTCGCGATCAGGCCGATTTTGGCGAGGTTCGAGATCGACTTGTGCACGCCGATGCCTGAGCCGGATATCGAGGAGATTAGTGAGGTTGGGACGACTTCGTGGTTGCGTGAGCCCATTTCTGTCTGGACTATGTCAGCGTTAGTCCTGGGTGTAGAACAAGTGCATGTGTGAGCGCAAAGGCTGCGCGGAGAGGATCGCATACCGCTGTGAGGACGCGCCAGTCCTCAGGCGTGAGGTATCGGATGTTCTTGACGTTGAGCTTCATTTTGGCGGTATGACGGCCTGGAGAATGTGGCGGGTTGTGGAAGTCCTTCGCAGTGAAATTCCGAGATGACGCCGGTAACTTTTCTTAGTGGGCTGGCGGGACACTTTCGGTGGAGGTTTCTCGAACGCCGCAATGGATCGGCGGTTGTCGCCGCCAAGCACCGACCTACGTCGAGCAGACAGAGAGCTCCATCAACAATCCACCCAGTACATCGCCGCACATCCCCCACCACCAAGTCGCGTCTTCTACCCTTTTCTTCTCTATCACCTTGCTCTAGGACATCGTTCGGAGGAAGTACACCGCGACCGCTCCTTCCCCACCCGCAGTACACGTAGTACACACACTTCGCCGCCTGCACTAGCTCCCATTTCGTAATCATCATGGTGAAGGAAGACGAGAAGAAGCCCACCGCCGCCGAGAAGGGCAAGGGCAAGGCAGTCAACGGCGATGCAGAGAAGAAGGAGGACACAAAGGCAGATGGCAAGGACAAGAAGGTCGAGACAACTGGCGGTATGTCTTGGCTGTAGGACCGCAGCGGCGGCATGTACAATGAATGCATACTGATGGCGAACACAGAGGAGCTCAGCGAGGAAGACCAGCAGCTGAAGAGCGAATTGGACATGCTGGTAGAGCGGATACTGGTATGTTGCCTCCATCGTCACATGTCGTGTGTCCCCGCAGTTTGCGCTGACTTGTACAGGAATCCGACTCCAGCCTCTACAAGCCCGCGCTCGACCAGGTCAAGGAGTTCATTAAGACATCAACGAGCTCCATGACAGCAGTGCCCAAGCCGCTCAAGTTCCTACGACCCCACTATGAGAGCCTCGAGAAGCAGTATGCGTCATGGCCAGAGGGCGAGAACAAGGTATGAAGACTTCGTACGTGACAAGGGCCGTTCGTACTGACCAGAGCAGCAATCGTTCGCCGATATGCTTTCAGTCCTTGGGATGACGTACTCAGACGAGGAGCGCCTCGACTGCTTGAAATACCGCTTGCAAGCGCCGTCTACAGATCTAGGCTCGTGGGGACACGAGTACATGCGCCACCTTGCGCTCGAGATTGGCAGAGAATTCCAGAACCGCTTGAACGACGACAAGTCGACAGACGACGTTACCGATCTCGCTTCGAATCTCGTTCCCTTCTTCCTCAAGCACAACGCCGAGGCCGATGCGGTGGATATCCTGTCTGAGCTGGAGATGATCGACCAGATCGAGCAGTACATCGACGAGAACACATATGCGCGAGTCTGCTTGTACATGGTTGGGTAAGCCGGAATCACACTTTCAAAGGATGAGCTATTACTGACTGCAGCAGTATCGTGCCCCTGCTCACATACCCTGATAACGACAAGTTCCTCCGCACCGCATACCAGATCTACCGCAAATACAACCAGTACACACAGGCGGTCGCATTGGCGATACGTCTGAACGACAGGGACCTGATTGAGGAGGCGTTCAATTCGACAAAGGACAAGGCTATTCGAAGACAGATGGCCTTCCTCATTGCGCGACAGCGCATCTGGTTCGATGTGTCGGACGATGATGACGCAGAGCTCCAAGAGTGCTTGAACAACTCCAGGTTACCAGACCACTTCAAAGCGCTCGGCAAGGAGCTAAACATCCTCGACCCGAAGACCCCCGACGATATTTATAAGACACATCTCGAGAGCAGCCGGACAGCAGGCCTGACCAACACCGATTCGGCAAGGCACAACCTTGCGTCAGCATTCGTCAACGCATTCGTCAACACGGGATACAGCAACGATAAGCTCATGCTGAACTCGGACAGTAAGAGCAGCTGGGTTTGGAAGACCAAGGAGGAGGGCATGCTTTCCACGACGGCATCTTTGGGTATGCTGATGTTGTGGGATGTCGAGACCGGTCTGGACAAGATCGACCCCTACACGACCGTTGACGACGACATGGTCAAGGCTGGTGCTATGCTTGCTACTGGTATCTTCAACTCGGGTGTGCGCATGGACTCCGACCCTGCGCTGGCCCTGTTGGGTGACGAGGACAACCTTTCGCACAAGAACAAGAACATCCGCCTCGCTTCCATCATGGGTCTTGGTCTTGCATACGCTGGCTCGAACAAGGAGGAGCTTCTTGAGCTTCTTCTGCCTATTGTCACCGACACAAGCCTGGACATGCAGCTCTCAGCAATGGCGGCTTTGTCGCTTGGTCTGATCTTCGTCGGTTCTGCCAACGGTGAGGTCACAGATGCGCTGATGAACACCCTCCTGGACGAGGACCGGTCGGACCAGCTCAAGGACAAGTGGACACGCTTCATGTCACTTGGTCTCGCGCTCCTTTTCTTCGGCCAGCAAGAGGAGGTTGACGTCATTCTGGAGACTTTGAAGGCGCTCGACCACCCCATGGCAAAGTCTGCCTCTGTATTGACCGAGGTCTGTGCATGGGCAGGTACCGGTGCGGTCTTGAAGATCCAACAGTTGCTCCACATCTGCAACGAGCACATCGAGGATGACAGCGAGGAGAAGAAGGGAGATGAGCTGCTCCAGTCATATGCCGTTATTGGTCTGTCACTGGTGGCAATGGGTGAGGATGTAGGTCAGGATATGATCCTCCGAACTCTGGGCCATCTAATGCACTATGGCGAGGCCAACATCCGAAAGGCTGTCCCCCTCGCTCTGGGTCTCATCAGCCCCAGCAACCCCCAGATGAAGATCTACGACACACTATCACGATACTCTCACGACAACGACAATGACGTCGCGATAAATGCTATTTTCGCCATGGGTCTGTGTGGTGCTGGTACCAACAACGCTCGTCTTGCACAGCTCCTCCGACAGCTGGCGAGTTACTACCACCGCGACCCTAACGCGCTGTTCATGGTGCGCATCGCGCAGGGTCTCCTGCACATGGGCAAGGGCACACTCTCGGTCAACCCCTTCCACACTGACCGCCAGGTACTGTCGCGTGTCGCAGCCTCAGGTCTGCTGACCGTCCTCGTCTCGCTCATCGACGCCAAGTCATTCATCGTTGGCGACTCACATTTCCTCCTCTACTACCTTGCGACAGCCATCTCGCCACGCTTTCTCATCACACTTGATGAAGAGCTCAAGCCGCTTACCGTCAACGTGCGTGTTGGTCAGGCTGTCGACATTGTTGGGCAAGCTGGTCGACCGAAGACCATCACCGGCTGGCAGACACAGAGCACACCTGTGCTGCTGGCACATGGTGAGAGGGCAGAGTTGGAAGACGAGAAGTACCTCGCTTTGACGAACGTGCTGGAGGGTGTGGTTATTCTGAGAAAGGTATGTTGAACAACAATTCACAGCGAGAACAGGCCCTAACGAGTTGACAGAACCCTGAATGGGAAGAGTAAACGGTTGCGATGTGGGATGGGGGAATACCGTGGCATACAACTGCCAGCGTGACGCGATCTGCATCAGCTTTTGGGCATACTAATAGACTTACGGACACTGCCTGATCTCAGCACCTCACGGCTGCGTTCAAGGGTACACCGCTGTATGTATAGATGTGCAGGCGACGACTTGAAATGAAAGCAATTCATACAAGTTTCGTCCTTCACCGTTTTCACCTTTTTTCAAAAAGGCACAAATGATTTTGGCCTGTGAAACAGGTCTTGGTACTGAACAGTCTACGAACATGTGCTCTAAGCAGCATCCCCCATCTTCCTTAACCGCTGCCCAGCCTCCTCGCATACCAAATTCCCACTTGCTTACAGCGTACACTCGGCGACCTCCCACTGTCTACCCAGCTCTTCATCTATCTGCTCATCCACCTCTTCATCTACCACTTCCTCTACCGCCTCTTTTCTCCTTGAACGCCTTCAATGCTTCCCTTATATCCTTGACCGCCTCATTTGCCTTCTCTCTAGCCTCCCTCGCCTTTCTGTTTTTGATGCGGAGAGTCTTTCTCTCTGTCCGCCAAAATTCCTCATCTGCTTCCTTCTGCAGCGCCATGGCTTCTTGGTTCGGTAGGTGGAGATCTACGACTCCTCCCGAGACTTCGAAGGAGATGTGTGGATGTGCGTACCACAGGAAGTGTTTGATCTGAAGCTTAGTTGCAGAGGGACCGTGGAAGATGGACTTGTTGATGGGGATGGCGTAGCAGTGCAGTTCGATGATGGCGCCGCAGGAGAGGATTGAACTGCCGGTGCTGGCGCGACAGCAAAGCGCCTCGTCGTCGGGTAGAGAAGCGCGGGAAAGGGACAGTGTGAAAGCATCAATATATCCCAGACTCGTGGTCGATAGGGACAAAGAGTGCGAGCTCGACGGCGAACCTGTCGGCGACGCCGTAGCTGAGCTGCCATCAGGCGACGGTGGGGAGGAAATGTAGACATGTCGGGCGCGCCAACCGTGACTGTAGAAGAAGTGCGCTATCGCGCGCGAGGAGGTGGTGAATGTGGGGAGAGAGGGGTAGTAGGGGTTGTGTCGTGGTGGAGGAAGGGGGTGAATGAGGATGTATGGCATCGTGGTTTGCTCCGGGATATGGTGGGTGTACCGGCGGTGGGTAAGGAGAATACCGGAGAGAGGGTGCGGTAGAGGGCGTGATGCTGTTGGTTTGAAGTGTGGTAGACGAGAGGTGAAGTCAAGTATGTCGTCATTGGAGGTGGTCACAGTGCTCTTGTGGGCGGGGGAGGTGAATGTCCACCGTTGATGATGGCAGAGGGGAGGCTGCAGATGCAGTGATGTCTATCATCAGCACTGGTTGCGTTCATGGGGGTAAATCTTTCATTTCATCGTCAAGCTTTGATCTTAGAGCCACCTTGAAGCATTCTATACACTTCATGCTTTGTAGCCAATGTGCGATACCTTTACAGTATCATGCTGCCCATCCCAGCGAGTACGCCAGCGCCAATGATACCGCCGTCGAGAGCTTCTTTCAAGATCACTCTCTTCTTTGGGTGCGTTGCAGATGCGGCGACAAGTTTGTCTATACATGCTTGACAGTCATCGAGCCAGTGAGGGTACTGTGAGATGGTACTTCCTGTGTAGGCGATGACGAGCTCTTCGACGTCCGCAGGTTTGTCCAATTTCTCGTCGTTTGGGTCCGGCTCAACCGTGCTCTGTTTGCGCAGGCTGATGTCTCCTACACAGTCCAAGAGACCGACGGAGGCCGCTGCTATGAGTGCCGAGGAGCGTTGTTGAACGGCTCGTGCGAGGTTGCGCAGCAGCCGTAACCTCTTTGGGGTCCAATCGAAGTTGTCAATGTCTATTTCGTAAGGTTGATATCTTGACTGCAAACGGTTTGTTAAATGGATGTCGTTGTCTAAACGCGCCACGACTTCCGAGAGAAACCTCGTTGGTAAGCTGTACTTGTGCTGTAAATCCTCTGGTATCTTTTCCACGTTGCAAGAGAGCGGGTCGACCTCAGCCGACATCAAGTCAACGAATGCCAGGCGCACGATTTCGCCGAGATACCGTCCAGAGGTCATGTATTCAAAGGGCTGAAAACCAGGTGCGTCGCTGTTCTTGTCCAAGATCCGGTCCCACTTCGTCTTGATGCCTAGGTCGTCGAGTGGTTTGTCGGTACCACGGATGGTCCACTCGGTGTTGATGACGACGGTGTCAGTTGCTGCGAGTCCTTGTACCTGGCTCTGCTTTTCGGGATGCAGGTAACTTGGCCTCAGAGGTACAGTGGCGTTTGTGCCTGTTCCAACGATAAGACCCATTGCGACTCGGCTGTTGGGCGCAGCCTTCACGGCATAGGTTAGCGAGACGAAGGTCGCTACTGTGTCATTGGTGATAGCCGTGACTCGTATGCTCGGTAGAGGGTCGCTGGTACGTGCTCTTGATGTATCAGCAGCTGATTCTGTGGCAGTTGTCGAGCAATGGCGTGCGTAACCAGCAAGCAGCATCTCGCCCAGATCCAGGTCCGTAGTGACGGCGAAGCCTTTCCCCATAGGCAACACTGTAGCTTCTGACAACTTCGACTGCCTGAAAGGAGTGTTAGTACATGTGATCTTGCCTTCCCTTTTGGGTACACGCACGCCATGGGGAAGCTAAAGGTAACACCCAACAGTATCTCGCGGTCTGTTGGGATGGAGGCATTGCCGATGGCTTCTCTTATCACCTCAGCCATACAGTCGCCGATCCACTTGAAGAGGTCCTCTGGCTGGTCCATCTTCAGGTGTTCTCCAATGGGCCAGCTCTTGTCGTGACTCCGCTTGATCCTCGAGGAAACATCAATTTCGGTGTCGTGATTTCCATGGTCGACTATCGCAGATTCTCCTGCCAGCTCGACAAACCCCACTCTCAGGTTTGAGCCGCCAACGTCGATAGCGAGAAATTTCCCATGCTCTTTCCCAGTTGGCAAAGCAGTGACAGGCGTGATCAGAAAGTGCTCGGTGGAGGTCTTCGCAAGGTTTTTGTACGTCTCCGAGAACCGGTGTGCAAGGTCGAGCAGTGTGTTGGTGTTCAGGCAGCTTGTCAGCTCATTGAGAGCACCCTGGTAGGTGACCATCACGGGCTCGTATCGATATCATGAACGGGAGCGGGAACGAACGTTTGAGAACACGAAAGCACTAAGACTGCCATGAACGAGGCTCAAGCCGAGGCACCACTGGTCCGGTCAATGCGTGAAGATGACAGGATTGGGTGACAACAGCTCGTGCCATGACGGAAACAGCGGAGAGCTTCGAATCATCGTACGAGGCGGTACAATTATGTATATCCCAGGTGAAGGAGAGCAACCAAAATGTACAAATGTCTATCTAATTGTCGTTGTGAGGTCTTAGGAGCCTTCCGTTATCGGCGTTGCCTCACATGCACCTACACTGGATCTTGGGATCCACTTTTCCCTGCTCCACTTTGAGCAACACCGTTCGTGCATCAACCGTGACGGCGCGGGAGGATCAGCTAATTATACGCAAATCTCGCGCAATTGCACCTTTGGCCGCAATAATGCTGTTCCACAACTGCTTGATGTATCTTCCACCTTGAGTCTGTTTGTTTGCTGACCACGTGCTTAACACGTCTATCTGTGGCCCCATCGCGCCTCAACCGCTTTTAGCATCTCACGGCCCAGAATCTCACTTAGACCCTTCGTATCGCCCCGTCCACCCACTAAGAAGCCAAAGAACGGCCGGAGGCTCTGCCGCTGCAGAGCTACATAATCAGCCATGCAATCGTCACTCTCCGAGAAGGCTACCATGGAATCGAAGGCGCCCTTGCTTCCCCAGACGCAGGAGCATGCGCCCGCCGACGCGACCATGCCACGACCTCAACAGAAGCGCAGGATACACGCTGCGATGTTGGCGATTTTGCTTGGCTTCTTCTGGCTTGCGAGGACTTGGAGTTGCGAGCATGAGCATATGGATACAAAAGCGAGGGTGCCGCTGGATGTGCACATAATGTAAGAACATATGCACCGTCTGTACGGCCTGATACTAACATGTCACCCAGGTCTAAATGCCCAGATGCACGCGCCTGTCTCCAGAAACTCGTCGTCCCGACCATGGCCAACGTATCTGACAAAGTCGACTTCAGACTGTCCTTCATCGGCCAGTACGTTATGCCTCCCACCACGAACCGCCACACTTCTCTCTGCTAACACACCCACAGACTCACCAACGAAGATGACGGCGTTCAATGCAAACACGGCCAAACCGAATGCCTCGGCAACATCGTCCTCCTCTGCGCCGCCCGCGAATACCCCGACCCAAAACTGCACCTAGGCTTCACAAACTGCCTGATCAACGACTACCAAGAAATCCCCAAGCGCCAGCTCATCGAGGACTGCGCGCTCGAACATGGCCTTGATTTCGGCGTGCTGAATGATTGCATGAGCAAGGATACTGGTGCGTTTGGTATGGGCTTGTTGAGGGATAGTGTCAAGCATAGCCAGGATGTTGGAGCGGGGATTAGCTGTACGGTCAGGTTGGATGATAAGGTTAGGTGTGTGTATGATGGTGGGGAATGGAAGGATTGTAAGGATGGGCATAAGCCGGAGGATTTGATTGGGGATATTGAGAGGTTATATGATGAGGCGCAGGGGTGGACTTTGGCTTGAGAAGTTAATATGAGGGATGGCAATTTGATACCCAGCATATGATGTGGGCCATATATAAAATACTTTTAATGCATAGTTCACGAGCTCATGTCTTGTCTAACGACTAGTTTGGATCGAAAATGCTCTCATCTGTGCTATAGCACAAATCAATGAGGTTAGTCGGGCCTTTGCGATGCTCGTAGAGGACATCTCACGAAAAGCTATGGGTTTAAGACTACGTTTGTTAAATGACCGGGCCCTGTTTGTCATATGACGACCTGTCTAACACTCTGGTAGACGTTTCGGCAGCTACAACATCATCCTGGAGGCCTTCAGCACATTACAGGAAGACTGACAGAAATGTCATTCTACCAGTATATGTAAGTAACTTACTCCGCTACGCTGGCCGTAAGATCGCAGCAACCTTGGATCGTGCCATGTCGGAGATGAAGTATTCTCTCTGGCTGGATAGACCACAAGAGAGGCTCGAATGCATAGTTTGGGCGAAGTAGTGTCTTTTAACTCGTCTTTCTCGTGACAGCTTCGATGTTTGGATTGAGGGTCAGCTGTTCTCAACGGTCTTAGCTTCTTATGTCGGAGTATGTTAAGAAAAGGAGGACTGCGCTGAATTGGCTGTCTAGGCTGGGCTGAGTTATATATATATATATAGATAGCCGTACATGAGCTATCCCAGCTTGTACTAGAGTAGCTCCAGTCAAGGCCGTATGCCCTTACATTTTACACCAATCACGGTTTTCAAGGTGAACTGCATCAAAGGCTCTGTAGTATTTTGTTTGGTTTGTGTGCGGAGAGTAGATCTTCACGATGTTTAAGTCCAGCTTTGTCTACGCATCACATTTCGTATAGCCTTTCTAGCATGAACAATCCGAAGTCGAGGTTCACTTAAAGATTAGTAGCACGTGATGCACATACAGAAGACATTCAATTTTGCCATGAAGAACTTGGGCTTTTTGGTGGCTTTTTTATTGTATATATCCCAATCATCTGCCACAGATGTGTGTGCCGAAACGCTGCTTATCTGCCAGAGACGTACGCCAAAACGCCGCAGTGGTATACCCCGTAATGTGCGAAGGCTCTCGTACTGGCGAGAGCCTCAACCAGTGTAGTAGCCTCGAAGTCAGTAGTCTCAAGCAACAAAGTGCGGGCGCTGAGCTGACTTGGAGTTGCGGAATACAACAAAGACCTGAGAATCAAAGAAGATGAAACAACAAAAAGATCCTGAGGGCGTGTCGCGAAACAGAGGAAATCGTGCGAAAAGATCTTCAAGTTTCTAGATTCCCCTGCAGAACCAGAATCATCCAAGGTACTCACTGTGAAGGGTGTAAACTCGAGCGTGACGCTTTCCAACACGTCCACCCAAGCACTCAAACCGTTCGGTATACGTTCTGATCTCCATACTGGGCCTGGGCGAAGGGTAGTCCTTTGTATGGTCTTGAAGGTACCCGATCCGATCAAAGTATACGCATGATGCAAAAGGGTCGCCTCTGGCCAGTCGTGTGAAGTAAACTATATTCCCGAGAGGTTCTTTAGCCCCGTAAGACTCTGGGGATGATCTGCTTGTGCAAGGTTGCAGGTGTCTGCACGAGCGACATCAGTTCCGTGCTTCTTCTCTTTGTGTCGCTCTAAACTCTTCTTCTGGGCGACAAATTCATCACACTCTGTAAAGTCGCACTTGTATCGCTTGTCTTGGTGTTGGATCCTCGTATCTCGACTGGCACGCTCAGAATTTACTATTGTTCGGTTTACATTGGACAGAATCCCTCGTGCAACCAAAAACGAAGTCGCGGCAATCCAGACCTCATGTTTTGATAAGAGCTGGAGACCCTCAGCCTCTTCTGAGCAATCAGCGCTCGCAGCTTGTCCCTATCAGCTTATGTATTCACATCACGTCCAATACTAATCTTCTGGAGACCCTGAACGCATGCCGATCCCGACGCTAAGCTGTACACCCGTTACTGTTTCTGAAGCTGCCAAGTCAAAGAGATCTCTTCAAGCTGAGGCCTGGTGTACTGACGATCGTGCCTTCCTATTAGGCTTCAAGGTGGCCTTGAGTCGAAGATGAGACCCAGCAAAGAACCTATGATCACTACGGGTTGAAGTACTTGGAGATGTATCTTCGAGTATATGACTGAATGTAGAGACTCTTCATGCCGTGGGCATTACAAGATCCGCAAACGAAAAGTTCCAGGACAAGACCATACGCAATATGATGACTTCCAAGCCTATCACTCAGAGGCCGAGGAGCCCTTTGGTACTCACCCAACAGTCATCCGGTAATAAAGGCGAGGGTGCTTCGGATGTTCGTAACCTCCTTGCTAACATTGAGCTGTGTAAGTACGAATCAAATTATCCACACAAGGGGTACAAAGATGCTTATGGATGAACAAGACGATTCGGCTGTAATGCCAAGCAGCCTTGCAATATACCTACTGGCCATTATGTGCGATCGGACGGTAGCGCGGTCTGTGTCGCACAGGCGGGACAGGTGCAGATGAGCACGTCTTGATCCTGGAGTACCGAGTGTATTGCCGAGGAACGTGGTCCTGGCAACTAAGATGAAGGAGGGTGGAGTTAGAAAGGCTTAGCACAGAGCCAGCCTTTTGTCTGACTGTCCGCTCTGTAACAAGACGCACGAATAGTGCCGATCGTGTAACAGGCCGTGGCTGGTGTAAGGTGATGTGGCGGCAACGACCAGTATATGGGGAGCCTGGTCGTGTGTAACAACAGCCCCATACAACAATTGAATGCAGCTCGTAGCATCAGGACATTATAACAGCCTGCAATATTAGTACTGTTGTGCGCGCCTTGTCTAGCTTTACAAGCCTGCAAAATTCGAAGGATTTGAAGAAAAAGTTGCGTGAGTAAACGATGGATGCTGATGTTACCTACAAAATTCGCGCGCTAATTCTGCTGGTCCAACGGACGTGAGAAGAAGCTGCAGCCTCTTCCTTCCGATATCTTCGTCTGCGGTCGAGTATGCCTAGTTGGACAGGGTCTGTTTTAAAGGGCCAAGCCTGCGATTGTCAAAGAAAAGGCCGTCGCATATTTAACCACTGCGTCCTCAGCCTTGCGATTCTCCAAACGTACCAGAACAACGCTTACTGAGAGTCTTATCAGCACATCTGATACCAACGCCACGGAGCATCCTCGAACGTTCAAAGAAAAGGTCGTCACCGTTGCTGGTGCAAGCCGGGGCGTCGGTTTGGCCACTGCAAAGTACGTGCTTGCAAGGGGGGCCTTCGTACTGATATCCAGTTCCTCAGCTGCAAACATTGCAAAAGCCCGAGCAGAAATTCCTGAGATTCCAAATTGCGAGGATCGCGTCCTGAATTTTATTTGCGATATCACCAAGCTCGAGCAGGTGGAGGCATGGATCTGGGAGACGGTGAAGCGATTTGGTCGGATTGACTGCTGTGCCAATTTATCTGGTGAGCCTCCTCGAGTCATCCCCGCCGTTGCATGTCGGTAGTATGCTGTTATCTGCCCCGTCCAGGAAGGAACAACGTTACATTGCTCTGCTCACGGACCTAGCCCTAGAGCACTGGCGGGACGTTGTCGATGTCAACATGACGGGCATGTTCCATCTTCTCCGGGAACAGCTCAAAGTAGTGTCTGAGTGAGGTACCATCGTCAACGTTGGTAGTGTCACCAGTAAATATGCGTCTTTCGGACAAGGCGCGTACATAGCCTCTAAACATGGCCTCATGGGTCTTATCAAGGTTGCCGCATTTGGGGCCGCGTCAAAGGGCATTCGTGTGAACGCGATTAATCCGTAGGTGTCTGTATCATCTCTAAACGTCTGCGCTAACGTTTTCATTTAGAGGGATCCGCACCGAAATGCTTGCAAAACCCTTCATCCAACCCGATGGGAGTAAATTCATCTCAAGTGGGGAGATGCTACCTCAGCTGTTCCGTCGGCTGGCGGAGCCAGAAGAGATTATCAGCGCGATTTGCTACTTTCTGAGTGACGACGGCTAGTTCGTGACTAAGACGATCTGGGACATTGACGGCGGATTCATTAAGTCTGATTATACTGCGTAATCTGTCGGTCTTCAGAGAAGAGCATCAAGGTGGGCAATGATGCGAGTGTCTGATTATGCACGTGGTTCAACGAAACAAAAGTAGCGAGGTAGTCTGCGAAAACTTACAATCTAGGTCCCTAAACCTTCCAAGGGTTGAGAGTGTTGATGGCCGTGGCTGGGTGACGTGACGGCGAAGGGGATGCGACTGGCGCCAGTTTAGCGCGTTTCTGACCCAGTGTTCTCCCCCACACCTCCACCTTTCCAGCATCCCAGAGGAATATCACGTGCATCACAGTTTTAAAGGATCAACATATCGTCCCACTGCATCTCTGCGACAGCATCGGCACCACTGTGCAAGATTCTCAATCATTGCCATTCGTTCGCACACTCCGGGTACCAGCAACCATGAGCGACTATCCCCGGCCAGACTTTGTTCGCGATGAGCTCAACTGGCAGTCGTTGAATGGACCATGGTCATTCTTGTTTGATGACGACGATGCTGGTTTGGTGCAAGGCTGGCACATTGAAGGCCTCCCGGCTGAGGTTGTTGTGAACTCCAGCTCCGACCACCCCGACTCGAAAGCCGCCAACGATGCCCAAAGCATTACAGCCAAGATTGCTGCAGGTACTCAGGAGCTGATTCAGGGTAATCAGCATAAAAGAGGCGAATTTACAACGCACAAAAATCGTGACATCCAAGTCCCTTACGTGTTCCAGTGCCCTGCATCTGGCATCGAAGACAAGGGTGTCCATGAGGTGTTCTGGTACGAAAGGAAAATCACCGACCCGCGAAACGCGCAGAACAAGCAGAATGGTCACCGTGTACTTGTCAGATTTGGCGCCGTTGACTACGAGGCCAAGGTTTGGGTTGGCGGGCACTTCGTCGGTGGCCACTGCGGTGGACACGTACCTTTCGATATTGACATCACGGATGCATTCGCAAAGGAGTCCACGCAGCGACTCACATTACGGGTTTACGACTCGGCCTATGACTTGACGCAACCAAGAGGTAAACAGTATTGGGGTGCACAGCCCGAGAGCATCTTCTACACGCCTAGTGGAGGCATCTGGCAGAATGTCTGGCTTGAGGTCGTTCCGTTCGTGCGCATTGGTGATAGTAGCCACGGAACAGTATTTAGGAGCAACGATATCGAGTCAGGGAGGCTACATGCCAATGTCAAGATCCTCGGGAGACCAGCCGGTCACAAGTACAGCGTGGAGCTTGAGGTCAGCCTTAAGGGCAGTCATGTGAGCAAAACAGAGAAGATCGAGTTGCCCCGAGAATCCAACCTTATCTCTTTGGATGCGGACATGGTGCTGTCTGAAGAATCCAAGGCTCAACTGGGCGAGTCACTCTTCGAATCGTTTGACGATGTGCGGGACGGTGTTGTTCTCTGGTCTCCAGACGACCCTACTCTGTACGACATCGTTATTCGCCTGTACGATGGTACATCAGCGCTTGTCGACACAATACACACAACTACGGGGATGCGCTCGTTGTCTTGGGATGACGGCTTGTTCCGGATCAACAACAAACCACACTTCCAGGCGCTCTTCCTCGACCAGGGCTATTGGCTTGACACTTTCATGACACCGCCTTCATCCGAAGCTCTAAAGGCGGACATAAAGCTAGCGCAGAAGATGGGTTTCAATGGCTGCCGAAAGCACCAAAAGGTTGAAGACCCCATCTTCCACTATTGGGCGGATCGCCTTGGCTTCCTCATCTGGGGCGAGATGGCGAATGCGTACGCTTTCAGCGCTGAGTACGTCGAACGCTTTGATCAAGAGTGGCGCGAAGCTGTTCTTCGAGACATCAACCACCCTAGTGTGGTAGCATGGACACCAGTCAACGAAAGCTGGGCTTACACCGATTTGGCCAACAACCAGACGCACCGAGATCACATCAAGAGTCTATACTACGCGACCAAGGTCCTCGACCCAACAAGGCCGATCAACGACAATTGTGGTTGGGAGCATGTGCAGACTGATCTTACCACTTTCCACGATTACTCTGATGGCGATGCTCTGACGAAGACATGTGCCAGCATAGAAGGCATCCTTGGTCCCAAAGCGAACCGACCTATGTTCCTATCAGCTATTGGTAACACACCAGGATCAAGTCACAAAGAGGACGCGCCTGTGATTTGCACGGAGTTCGGTGGTATCAACATCGCGAGAGACGCTGCTGGATCAGACAGCCAGCGTGATTGGGGCTACACAACCGCGACCGATTCCAAAGATCTGTTGAAAAGAATCGAGAAGATGATGACCGGCATTGCAAATCCAGGTCTTATCGGCGGCTTCGTTTACACGCAGCTCACAGACATCGAGCAAGAAGTCAATGGCCTGTACACACCGGATCGTAAGCCAAAGCTAGACGCAGACGCGGTCAGGAAGATCGTGGAGGACATCAGGGAGAACTACTACCAGATGCATACGTCTTAGGTAGATATACTGTATCCATCCGATTCGTGTCTACTTGACCTCCTCACTCTTCACAACCGTAGCGAAAACGTCTCCCAGTTCCGCCAACGTCACCCTCGTAAGTTCCTCTCCCTTCACCCCCGGGATGTCGCGATCGCCAATACCGTCCTCGACCACAAGCACATCATACCCCCTCTGACTCGCCTGCCTTGCCGTGGTGCTAACACAGACATGCGCCATATAGCCCGTCAGCACGACCTTCTTGATCCCCCAGCCCTTCAGCACCTCATCAAGGTTCGTCTCAGCGAATGATCCTGGGTGGCCCTTCCAGATCAGCTCTTCGTCATCCTTGGCCTTCAAAGCATCGAACTCCTCAGACAAAGGAGTGCTAGGGGTGAAGATTGGAGCGCCGTCAGGTGTCTTGTGGAGGATGTGAACGACCTTGCCGTTGGCGGCGCGGTACTTCTCCAAGAGTGATGCGATGACCTTGCCGCTGGCTTCAGCGTTGGTGACTTTCAGATGACCGGAGGCGTACTCATTTTGGGCGTCGATAATAAGGAGAGCGGAGTCGGTGGGGGAGGCGGTGGAGGGTGGGACGCCGAGGAGTTGGCGAAAGGATTGAGCCATCTTGATCGAACTTAAATCTCGGGAATATGTGGATGTTTGTCGTTAAAGTTGATTTGGTGTGCAAAACGCGCTGTGCTTTTAAGTGTCTAGTTGGGCGGTTCTCCACGATTAAATAGATTTACAAAGCCATGAAACGTGTTACCCGAGGTACTATACAGCTTTATAATTCAGCGCAATGCTAACAAATGCTTTGAAATCACCAAGGTCTTCGCTATCGTGGAGATGATTGTCAACATCGGCAGCGCGAGTACATTTATTAGTGCCACAGAAGACGTCCAATCACAGACAGTGCTTTCGACCAAAGTGGGGCAGAACTAGGCCTGATCAGGCAGTTTGCACCGCCAAGTTGATCGACGACGAGTGGATAGTGGGAATTTCTTGGGTCAGAGAATCTGGATAGGCCAGGCTCAGTCAAGACCTTGCATTGTTGATGCTATTTTTGACATGGTGATCGAGAGAATTTAAAGAAACATGTGCAAAGGCTTTCGTTGAGTTCTACGGTTGGATGTCTACTTTACAAGAAAGCTGAAGAGAATAGCCTCAAAACTCCGCTACTAACTTTGCAACACCCGGTGTTAACCATCTTGTTCGGTGGTCGAAACTCTCTTCTTTGACAGTCTGGGCAGAACAGGACCTAACTCAGTGAAGTGCTTCCAAGATTCATAATGAATAGGAACCATCACATTAACCCAATACTTCGTACCAAATCAAATGCAGACTTGCCATCCATAGTGATCTGAATCGATCCTGAAGGCAAAGGCGCTTGGGCGTTTCCAAGATGGACCTGAGCGACCTGGATGTGCCGCTTCTTCCCGATCTCGACCAGTAGACAGTGTCACCAATAACCCAAATAGCGGACTCAAAACTGGGGACGATGCCAGTGACCTCACCACCCGGGATGTGCTGACAAGACGTGCCAGTGATCTTGAACTTTGTGCCTCCAAAGACTGCCTCCAGAGTCTCCCAAGGTTTGAGAGCAATGACACCGGGTCGAGGCGCTAGATTCTTTGTGCCGCCTGGAGCCGCAAAGATCTTGCGACCATCTATGAACTTGCGGTCTTCCGGATCAAGGTTGTCGATGTAGTCCTCGTAACTCAGGAGGATGGCATCGATCGGAGGCCGATCGTGAAGCTGCAATGCTGGGCCCTCAACCGAAGTCAAGTGAGGTAGAGGTGGAATACCGTTCATCTGAGATTTGCTGCCGTCAGGGAGCTTTTCCAAAACCTCTAAGTTGTCGTGCTTCGAGGGCGGACAGAACACGGGGTCTGTGAGGAAGTTGATGCCATTGATCGTGATGATTGTCGTAGCTGTTGTGAAGTTCGTGATGCTGATTGTACTCCTCGTAGTAGAAGCCATACTGCTCAGAAGATTGAGATGAGATGTCTCTCTGTAAAGTGGACTTTCTCGATTTGACGGAGAAGTTCAGATCGGCAACGTCACGAGACTTTGTGTGCGACGCAGCCATAGAATTCTCATCGTTAGAGAGTTCAATTACGAGGTCCTAATCATCCAAAGCCACGCGCTAACATAGCTGCACTGGTTCATTTCGGCGGCTAACTGAGACCCCGTTGCGCAAAGTGCGGATCTATCCTGCCTGGAGGCATTGATTAGGCAAGACACAAGACGCTACAAGGCTATCAATGATATTCCGCTGGCGTATGCTTACTCACCGTCTACTCAATTTATTGATATCCCATCTGAGTTGCGATACTTCACCACCTCTCACCTCTCAGCTACCAACTCTCCCAACCGCCGAATTCAATCGCCTATAATATGGTTTCCACGCCTTCCACCTTGTACTATACCGCGGCTATCATTAACCTCGTCACGACCCCCAAGCATTTCCTTGTTGGCAAAGGTCTCATCTCAAAGTCCACCGCGGCTATACCTGCTTCTCCAGAGCTGGCAAAGGGATAATTTATAATCAAGCCCACATGTGGTTATGATATAGGGTCACTCTTCCTCATCGGTATGTCGAGTAGAAGCGTAGAAGACTCCATCTGTATTGTTGCCCAGAATGCGACTGACCTCGGCGGTGTACAGCAACCTCAACTACAAGTGGGGTAAGAACGGCGGCCCTAAGAGCTTCTGGGGTAAAGTAACTTTGTGGACGGTTACTGTGGCCGGGAGTCTGGTTGGGTTCAAGTATTACAAAGCTCAGATGTATGCCGGCTTGGGTTGCCTCTGGGTTGTACCTTGGATGAGCTCTCAGTCTTTGCTGTTGTCCGGTCTTTTGTAATAGTCGACCCTTCGAAGCAGTACCAGAATTTTTGGTCCATAACGCGCATTATGGTAGCTCTCGTACAAAGGTGTGTTGTTTCGCGATGCGTTGGGTCTTGCTTGCGTTGTAACGTTCACGCGATATTCGGTCCCACTTTTAATTCGCGCTAAAACGGAGTTGGTAGTCTCCTCCACCCCACAGGCGCCGGCTCGGTTAGCCTGCGAAAGCGCGATGAAGGGCGCCAGGCCGAGGCTGCGTTCATTGCGCCTTTCTTCGAAACCTTGCGCGATGACTTCGGACGCGACACAACTCTTGTACGAATCTGCTGATCAGCGTGCCACCATCTCTGGACCACACCGAAAAGATGAAGCGTTAGCTCTTCGATGAGAGGAAAGAAGCGTGACGTGTGTCACACGTGTAGACAACACAAGATTGGTGTATCCTCTAGCACTTGCCTTGCTAAAACGACACGCCTCTAACTCATCTCAGTGCGATGGGTTGAAACCAGCTTGCAGCCAATGCCGGCTAACGGGCCGTGTGTGTCGTGGCTACCTCCAGGACCTGGTGGTTTTCCATCACAAGCCTACTTCCCGTCGCCCTCGCCCAGGAAAGAAAACGGCCAGCTCGGGACAATGCGAGGCTCGGCCGCGACCAAAGTCAAGTCTGTTGTCTGATGCGGTGGACTCAGCGTCAAGTAACCTCCAACAGCCTACATACGATGAATGTGTAGCTTTACTGGTTCAGCATTACATTCCGAAGGATGAAATACCATTTCTCTCGCACGTTGAACCCTCAAAATCCAGGATCTGTGGCGGCTGGGTTCAAGCTTTGCCTCATGTCAGCCAGGACCATGAAGATTTCGAGTGTATCGTTTCACCGGCAGTCCGTGCTCTCACCATGTCTATGCTGGTGACCGGTACGAGCAGACGACAAGAGTACCTCGACACGTACGGTCATGCTCTTCAAGGTATTCGAGCTGTGTTAGATAGACCCACGGACTCAGTCGGACCCACTGTTGCGATTGCCGGCATGTGCCTGGCGCTTTCAGAGGTACACTGATGTTCTACATTTCAGTGGGTTGATATGCGTGTTGACATTGAACTAGGTTCTGGTGCCGACAAGCAACGATGGCTATAAGACTCATCTACGAGGAGTAGCGGCGATGATGCAGGGCCGTAGCCCATGTGCTTTCAAAGATGGTGTTGCCCACCTCATGTTTGTTGGAGTCCGACCGCTCGTAGTAAGCAGCCTATTCTGGATATGTCCTGCTTTGCGTTCACTCACGTGCCCAGGTCCTTGATGCGATCCTCAGGCGCAAGACGACGTTTCTGATGAACGAACGATGGCGAGTCATACCATTCTCCGTGTACCCTGCGTCTCGCATGCAAGTGCTACTTGGGCATGTCACGGCTATCCCGCCTCTGCTCGAAGCGATGGAGGATGAGCAAGCCGATCTGCAAACCGTTCGAACTGGCTTCCTGGAGGTTCTCAGCACACTTCAAGACTGGGAAGATAGCTTTGTATGCAAGGGCATGCTCTATCGACCGATTGATCCAAGCCACTTGGACTTGCCCACCGACGCACAACTTCTACCCAACCCATGCTTCGACTTTGCGGACGTATCGCACGCGAATTCTTTAACTCACTGTTGGGCCTTCCGCATCGTTTGCATGCTACAGCTATCGAAGCTGGAGTCTCGCTTATCTGGAAGCGAAGGCTTCACTTGTGCCGTGGAGCTCAAACGCCGTACAAACGTATCGAATCTCTGCATGGCGATCTGCCAGGGGATACCGTACCTTCTACAAAAGGGGATGAGCCTCTATGGTTCTATGTCAGCTGCTTTCCCATTGCATATGGTATCAGAGAGTCTGCAAACGTTGCAGCTGCAAGATCCTGGCCTGAACGGCTGGTATGCAGCAATCAAGGAACAGGTTCAGTCCCAAAGAATTGCCCTGTACGAAGAGATGGCTGAATTCGGAATCTTCACATGAGCAGCAGGGTATATCATAGACTGTCGCGTCCGCCGCCGTTTTAAGATTCGCACGGTCTTCCTGGATTCCGTTTCAGCACAGGAGACGGATGCCATCGAACTCAAACCCATGGACCGTTCTGCAGGATCGAACAGGCGTGTCCATGGGTCGCATTTCTCTCAGGTCTGGGAGAGTCGCTTTTCCACCGAGCGACTGAATAGATAGCAGACCATCAGACTTGCTCGACACGGTCTACCATAGGCAACCCCGGGAGTAGGGGTCGACGACTTCGACCCACATCTGTATTTTCAACACACGTTCGGTACCTGTTCATAGTTTAGTAGCGGAGCCTCTGGTATACGCGAAGCTATAAATGGATCGGTAGTTTTCATTGCCGAATCGAGGTTGGTGGAGGCGTCCGTGTCCAGGAAGAGCCGAGCCTAGCTCACTTAGACTCGAAGTCACACGCGTACCCTTTATCTGCAAACCGCATCTTCATCGGCAAGTCCACTTTATTGTCTGGCGAAAAACTCATGCATCGTTTACGAGGCTGGCTGGCTGGCTGGCTGGCTGCGTGGCTTAGCTAGCCCCAGAAACCTGCTAAGCGGAAGGCCATGATTGGCCAGTTTCCACTTCGGCGTGCGCGCGATGCTCATTAGTTGCAGGCTTCAGCTGGACCATCGAAGGTCACTGCACCAATTGCCTCCGCAGATGCAGCGCACTTTTCAGACGGACCGAAGTATGGACTCGAAGCACATATATAGCTGTCTCAAAATCATGGATGCTATTGCAAGATCATTCACATCCTTTCAAGCAACAAAGTCTTCAACATGAGTACCATCACTATCACAGACACGGTGCTTCCTGCGCCTTCTTCTTCCTCCAAGATCGGTAAGGTTCCGGTCGTCAAGGTAGACAAATTTGAGTTATCAGAAGAGGAAGATGAGAGGACTTTCCACAACACTGATGCTGCATACGTCCTGCCGAACGAGTGAGTTGATACCCCATGTTGACGTTGCACATAGTTTATCTTCTCGTCTACCTTGAACGAAAGAACCATTCACTAACAACACCAGCAACATCGAACACCAAAGACTAGAACTTCAGCACAGGCTTCTACGGCAAATAATGGGCAATAAAGTCTTCCACGCCCCTCTTAGCAAAGACGCCGTACATAAGACTCTTGACATCGGGTGCGGCACGGGCGCAGTCACCCATGAGATGGCCTCCACATTCCCCGACGCACATGTTTTCGGCGTCGACCTATCTCCTGTCCCACAAGTCAGGCAAAAGCTACCGAACATTGACTACGTTCAGAGAAACATCATGGACATTGCTGATGAAAGTTTCGAGAATGATTTCTTCGATCTCGTCTTCTCACGCTTGCTCGTGCTGGGCATGTCGAACTGGAAAGCCTATGTCGAGCGCTGTGTCTCGCTTACAAGACCTGGTGTAAGTCGTCTTACTGTCCAGGCTATTAGACTTCAACTGGCGAACGACTGACACCTTTCAGGGTTGGGTCGAGATGCACGACTTCTCCAACGCAGTCCATCATGTACCCGCGCATGTCTCTTCCCTCGAACACCTCCGCCCCCATTCTATCACCATCCCTGAGATTGCAAACTCCTCCCACCCCACAGACGCATACCAACACCCCTCGGCATGGCTTTGGGACACGATCTTCGGCAAGCTTCTCGCACTGAAAGACGTGGATATATACTGTGGATCCAAGATCCCTTCACTTTTTGCTGAGGCTGGTCTCACTGACATCAGGATAAGGCGATACATGGTGCCCTACAGTAGGTGGGAGGGGTTGACCAGAGAAGAGAAGGAGATGGCGAATTATTTGGAGACATTCATGAGGGATCTTATTCCGGTTGCTATCAGGAAGGCAGGAGAGAATGCTGGGCCAGAATACGCGAAGGATGTCGAGGAGGCACTCAAGGATGCGAAGAGATATTACGAAGCGTTCGAGGGCGGGAGGAACTTCCTGTGGATGTACGTTGTTTGTGGGCGGAAACCGGAGTGATTGGCACAGCATTCTTCAATGTGAAAGTACAAGTCTTATCCCGAGTTTCCAGTATCCATAAGTCCGCGAAGTGATGAAGGAGACGTGACACGGAAAGAAGGAAATTCTTGAAAGCTGATGATACATAGTACCCGTAACATTCAGCAGACACACGGACTCTTTGTACGCATATTTCCATCGCACTCGTAGTCCACGTTTGGATCCTTAAGGCAGGATTTCGTCACAAGGTACAACCAACTATTGCAATCGAATTTCTGGGCAGAAAGGCCGAGGGAAACACGAACGAGTGGGACAGTATCTTCGGAGGTGAAGGGCTGACCTAAACATGCGATAACAAGATACTCCAGGAGATAGAGGAGGTAACCGACACGTGGACGGAGCATGAACGTTTTTGGCGGACAAACATCGACTTTTGTTCTGGAGCTGCGTGAAAACGTGCAATAGATAGAGAGAGAGAACAGCCCCTTGGACAGAGATATATAGCCACAGTCTATTGCTAGACCGCCACGTCAGTTCGTCTTACGTTTCTCTCGAATCAGCAGATGATTCCAATCTATTCTTGCTAGTTTACTTTGAGGCACGCGCTGGAATTCCCGACATGTACTCTGCGCACAACCAGCAGACGACGATAGATCTGAAGCTGTGGCGGCTTGGGGCCGCTGGTAGGATACGATGGAATGCTGCGCTGAGTTGCTATCCAGCTAGGAGAAGACGATATATACTTGTTCTGAAACATGCAAGTCCAGAACAGTCCGAGCAACAGCAATCAGGCCTCGTACGGACCGAGTCATGCCGCAACAAAGAACATGCACAGCCCCTGCATTGTGATTTTGGTGAGAGGGACAGCGTGCTGAAGAAGAACGAGAAGTGCCGGCAACGGAAGATTTTATGCTGAGTTATACAAGGCCGAACAGGAGCCAACATGACTGCATAATATCGCGGTTTTGGGTGGGGAAGAACATCGTACTCTTTTAGAAACAATTTCCGAACCCCCACCAAAGAGACAGGATAGAGGAAAGAGAATACATCGGGCGAAGTGGTACAAACACCTCTGCCCACTAGAACTCCTATAGCACTTGCGAGCTCCTTTGAAGCAGCAGCGAGACTGGAAAAAGATACGTGTGTTCTGGCGTCGTTTTGCAGGATGCAAAGTTGGAAAGAGCTCATTTCGAGGTAGTGCGTGATTTTTGAACGATTTGAAGGGCAGACAGACAACATGTTTTCAGTATGAATGCTAAAAGGAAGCAGAGGAGACAGACACGGGGTTGATGTAACGGGCTTTCTGGGAGCCGGAGAAAGAAAACATGTTCAGAAAGCCAATGTCTTTTGGGCCAGATGGAAAAGAGGCTGTACGTTTGGGGAGAACAGCTCTGAGCGAAGTGGATTTATATGTTCCGTAGGGCTCGTATAGATAGACACACATGTGATGATGGAGAAAATGTGATGTAGTTCATGAGGGTAGATCCAAATACCAGTAACGATAATGATGCTAAACGCTAAATACAATCCAATCAAACAGCACAAACGCCGTCAAGTCATCTACCACGTACCTTACAGCCTACTCTCACTAACCCCGACAGCACCCTCCCACCTCTCCGGCCACACAAGCCCAAGCGCCTCCCAAATATGCCCGACAAAGTCAATCCTCAGCCCCTCCTTGACCTCCTCAGGCAAATCCCTAGCATCCTTCCTATTCCCCTCCGGCAGCAGAACGCGCTCAACGCCCGCCCTCATAGCTCCAATAAGCTTCTCCTTAATCCCACCAACCGGTAAAACCCTCCCTCTTAACGACACCTCACCAGTCATCGCAAGCGTAGGCGGCACCGGCTTTCCACTAAACAGCGAGATAAGCGCGACAGTATGCGCCAGTCCCGCACTGGGGCCGTCTTTAGGTATAGCGCCGGACGGGCAGTGTACGTGGATACTCCTGCTCTTCATGATATCGACGCCCTGGTCCACAAGCCCAAGCTCGAAGGCATGCGCTTTCACCCAAGTAAGTGCTACCTCGACGCTCTCCTTCAACACGTCGCCTAGTTTGCCGGTCAATTGAACGCGGCCACTGCCAGGCATATCGGCGATCTCGATGAACAGGATCGAGCCCTGGCCACCGGAGGAGTAGGCGACGAGGCCGGTGATGACGCCGGGGCGGGAGTGTTGTTCTGTGAGTTCTTCGGCGAATTTCTCGATGCCGAGGGTGGCATCGAGGTCTGCGAGGGTCACGACGGGGGAGTAGGTCGCGAGGGTGTCGGTGTCGGCGCAGGTAGCGTACTCCACGGCTTTGCTGCGGCACACGGAGCCGATTTCGCGCTCGAGGTTGCGGACGCCGGATTCGCGGGTGTATGCTGTGATGATCTTGTCGAGTACGTCGGTGGGGATCGAGAGGTCGGTTTGGCGCAGGCCGTTGGTGGTGATTTGCTTGGGGATGAGATGGCGGGAGGCGATGTGGCGCTTCTCGAGCGTTGTATAACCAGACAGCTGGATAGTCTCCATGCGGTCGAGGAGTGGAGGTGGAATGGTGTCGAGCGAGTTTGCGGTGGCGATGAAGAGTACCTTTGAGAGGTCGATGGGGATGTTGACGTAGTGATCTGTGAAGGTGTGGTTTTGCTCCGGATCGAGGACTTCGAGCATGGCGGCGCTGGGGTCGCCATTGTGGTTTGCACCAGCCAGCTTATCGATCTCGTCAAGGAGGAAGACGGGATTCGCGACGCCGACCTTCTTCAGTCCACCAACGACAAGACCGGGCATAGCAGCGACGTAAGTCCTGCGGTGACCGCGAATCTCTGCTTCATCACGAACTCCGCCCAGCGAGATGCGATGGAACTTGCGACCAAGTGCAGTGGCGACTGACTTGGCGAGTGATGTCTTGCCGACTCCGGGGGGACCAACAAGCAGGAGGATGGGTGACTTGTCGACCATGCGCTTCTTCTCCAGCAGTCGCTTCTCTTCCTCAGAGTGCTCCTTAACGGGCTGTAGCTGTGTGTCGTCGGCATGCTCGTGCTTCTCACCGTCTGCTGTGGGGCCCTCAGTAAGGGCGCGGATCTGGTCATCGATGCTGCGGTTGGCTTGCTCCTTCAACTTGAGCACAGCCAAGTACTCCAACAGCCTCTTCTTGATCTTGTCGAGACCATAGTGGTCGTCATCGAGCTGCTTCCTTGCCTTTGCTAGTGTTCCTGCGTCAAGCTGGTCGACCGTCATCTTTGTCCACGGGATCTCGGCCAGATTCTCGAGGTAATTCCTGCAGACCTGGTACTCGGCCTGCGCCGGGTTCATCTTCTGCAGACGCTGCAGTTCCCGCTGTGCGACCTTGTCAGCCTCAGGCGATAGCTGCGCATCTTGTAGTCTCTTCTTGAGCTCGTCCATCTCATTTACCTCCTCCTCGCCCTGCTGCTGGCCACCGCCAGGGAAACCCGGTGGGAAGCCTGCTGGCATGCCGCCGCCCATCTTGGCCCGCTTGATCAGGGCCTGCTGTTGTATCCGCCGCAGTTGATCGATGTCGAAGCTGCCGCTGGGGGCTTGTGTGGCGGTGACTGTGATGCGTGTGCTGCCCTGGATGTTGGTGATCTGGCGCTGGAGAATCTCGATGACCCTGTCGACGCGCTCCCTGGCATCGACAGCCGCCAGTACGCGCAGCTTCTCCTCGTGTCTGCAGTCGACAATGTTCGCCATAAAGTCAGCCAGCGACCCTGCCTCTGACAGGTCCTTGCGAGCAATGTATAGCTCGAGCCTCCGTGCAACGATCGGCGACAGTGTGACGGTGGGCATGCGCGGCAGGATGGCGGAGAGGCGCACAAGGGCGAGCAGCTCGCGAGAGAGCTGCTTGAGGCGATCGAAGCTCTGCTCCAGCTCTGGGTCGGCGACGTCCATGTACTCGTCCACCGCAGCCAGGTCGCCCTCAAAGTACGGCCGCTCCTGCACAACCTCAACCACGCGCACGCGCTCGAGTCCCTCGACGACGAGGCTCAGGTCGCCCTGTCGGCGTCCCTGTACGCCGGTGACCTTGGCAACGCATCCGTATCCAAAGACATCCTTCTTGCTCGCCTGCACCGGGTCGCTTTCGTAGACCGTCTTATCGTCGCCCCCGGTGCCCTCGACCAATAACCTGCCGTCAATAGGGCTTACTGAATTCGAGTTGAGAGGCACGCAGGCGACTGTGATGGCGGCATTGGGCTTCGCGGTCGGGCTGATGCTGTAGATCTTGGCGAGGATGGCGGCGACGTCGGAGCGGTTCGTGATGGGGATCTTGACGGTCGTGCCGGGGAGGACGGCGAGAGGGGGCGCGAGAGGGATGAGCGGCAGCACCTTCGTGCTCGTCTTGCTGGAGCCTTTGCCCATTGTGCTGTGCGTTGGGAAGACTCAAATTGTGTGTAGAGTGTGCGATGTCGCACAGTCTATGATGTCGCGTGGTGGTGGGAGCACGTCAGTCGTGCGGCTCCGCTTGCGGACCTCCGTGGCGATCGCTGTGGCGATGGTGGTAGTAGTAGAGGAAGACAAGTTAAGCGGCACGGTTGCTATATGGCACAGAGAGTGCGCTGAATACGAGTGTCAAGGGAGAGGGGCGTGCTGCCAGCTGAAGAGGCGCTGTCTCGGTTCCAGAAGATGCTGCCGCCGCTCAGGTGCATCACCAGTCCAGGCCGAGGTAATCACTGCCAATTGGCCATTGCGCGCTCACGACTCATTGCGCATTGGATCAGATAAGATAACCTTCGACCCATCTCCGCATCTGATCACATGCAGGGTCTCCTTACCACTTCGAGCCTCTCACGAGAAAGACACGAGAGGGGTTTGATGGGTTTGGATCCGCATACGGGCCCCCTCAGGCGCACACAACTGAAGGAGGCAAAACCGAGCGAGCGTGCCTATCGTTGATCAGCTTCACATGTATACCACTATCACATCTCTCAGCATCAAAATACCCCTTCTTGTGTCTGATTTTCATTTTCATTTTCTGATTTTCATTTTCTGATCTTCATTTTCTGGTTCATTTTATCATGTACGCATCACCCCCAACTCCACCTGTAAAATTATACTTTTCTAGCCATCTCCAGTTGCAAAATATCGACAAGAAATCCTGCCTCCATGTCCTCGATTCCCGTCAGATGTACATTGATAGGCGCTGCCGCACCCAACGATAATGAGAGGCGTACATCTGATCCCTTGTGCTGTCTGACTTTGTCGACGGTCGTGTCGAGCGGAAGATCAAAGGCGCACTAATACTTTGTACCGTCCGGTGTGTTCCTGCCGTGGCTTGCGGTCATGCTGTAAGGCGCCAAGACTTTCTTCGCATTGCAGATGCGCCATGCCAAGTTCCGCACGTTGCCGTCAGCTTGAACAACCTCGGGCGCGAATTCGATACCAAACATCTGATGTACCGCGAACACGACTCTCTTAGCAAACTTGCCGTCTCTCTCGACCAAGCTGCCAAAAGACTCTTCTGGCGTGTCGGGTGCAATCTCCGGGTCGCAATCAAAGCAATTCTGGATGACTAAGAGGAGAGTCTGCTCAACAGCGCGGTGTACGGTACCGTGCGAGTCAACCTCAACATCTCCCTCGTCGAACCTGGGAATGCGAATCTCGAAGGCTTGGGACAGCGCCATGACGTTGTGCTTGCCATTGTGGTGGTACCGGAACTCGAATACACCGGTTGTCCACCAGAGCTTATCCCCACGGAATTCGACCTCGCCAGTGTAGTGATCGAAGTCATCCTCGTTGTCAGATGAAGCTGGTACAAGCTTGTCTGACACTAGGATGCCTTCTTCTGCGCGGATGGAATCGTATACACCAGTATTGGTTGCGATCCAGCGGCCATTGGAGCTGAGCTGTGTAACTTCTCGAGACTGATTGTCGGCTACCATGTAGAGACCGATCCAGTCCTTCTTGCTGTGGTTCAGGGGAGCTTGCCATCGAACCTTGATCGGTGCGCCATACTCAAGTGCCAATGTCTTGAACTCGCTTGTGCGGGTAGCAGGTGTCCTCGCCAGTTCACCTTCACGTCCGCCATTCTTCTGGTACTCAACAGCAGGTGCGGAGAGCGTGCCTTGTACTTCAAGCTTATACTGCTTAGGATCGTAGCCAGCGAGGTCCGGTGAGATGCGTGTGATCGAGATGCGTGCCGGGTACGACTTGAATAAAGCGGTTGTATCCTTGACAAATGTACCAACACCAGCCGCAAGTTTAGGCTTCGCACTCTCCAAAACCTCTTCGATGAACTCGACGGTAGAGTTGATGTATTCGTCAGCAGCTGATTGCCAGTTTCGGACCGGACTGGGGAGAGCTTGGCGAAGGGTCTTGCTGACACCAGATGTCTGGCGGAGCTTTTGACCGTACAGCTAGAGTGGCTAGTCAGTCTCATGTTCTCATCTAAACTATGTAGCATCACATACCTTGGTCATGTGAGGTCGCTCGACGAAGTGTAGGAATGCCAAGTTCAAGACCTGGGCTGTCGTCGCAAGGTAGAAGATCGGTGCAGTCCAAGTGATCACAGCAACGCCCCAGATACCAGCCATACCAAGAACGCGCTCAGGACTGTTGAGGAAACGGTAGATGCCCGAGTAAGTCAGGTTCTTCGGCGGAGGGTCGAAAAAGAAGTCGCCACAGAACCATCCAAACTCGCCGAGGGAATCGTAGATACTGGCAGCTGTCCACAGGTGGAGAGCGACCATACCAATGCCGAGAACGAGTCTGAACACCGTGAGGTCGTAGAACCAGTCGGGAGGAAGAGTGTACATCTTCCAAGCCGCAGCGAGGAAGCTAGCATGGCACATGGTCATACTGAGATGGTACCTGATGTTCGCGATGTCATTAGTAAGCTGTCCTTGCGTAAAGCTTGAGACTTGAGAGATGGGGAATTGCTGGACGGCTTCTCAATGCGTTTAAAGACAGGCTAATGAACATGGGATTGAGCAACTTACAGACACTTCCACTGACGCCAGGCTTCTTCTTTGGTATCGCCATACTTGATGAAGTGTCGGGTCCAGTTTTTTTTCTTGGACTGACGGTCGAGAATGTAGCCTAGACCCAAGACATACCACAAGCGCCAGACGAACGCGTTGATGAAGAAGAAGGTGCGCACCAGGCGAGTATTTGGTGTCAGTGTTGCTAAACAGAACATGTAGAAAGGGATGAGTACTACCGTGACGTCGATGGCGCGATGGAAGTCCGTGTTCTGTGGACCGACGATTGTATGCATTGGGGCAGGTTGGTTGACATGATCAATGAGTGCTCCCGCGTCGATGTCGGACTGGCTTGATGTGGGATGGTGCTTTTGGGTAATGTTTCCGGAATTGTGGCGCGTTCGGCGAGGTGGTGCTGGGTTGTAGATTTTTTGAATGTGCGGCTCTTCAACCCTGATCAAGAAGGCGAATTGCGCTGCATGCGCAACGATGGATATCAAAAGCACCTTGTAACTTGCCATCATGAGAGCAATGCCGTAAAAACCGGCGTACCTAGAAGCTCACGTTTAGCGCAAGTTTACTCCAGTCTGAGAAGTATGTTTGGCGTACCCAATCGAGTACATCGGGTGCGGCGCTGCTTCGAAGACTCCGTCGAACGTCAGGCGCTGATCGATGAGGTAGAAGAAGTCTCCCCAGTACCATGCATAGTCTTTCACCACTCGGTGAGCGTCCAGCTTGACAAACAAGTTGAAGATGAACAGGACGATGCCCGTTGTCCATCGCAGTGTAAACAGTAGCCAGCTCTCCTCCGGGCGGTGGAGACACGCAATGGCGAAGAGACAGTACGATACGAAGTCACACATCAGGATCAGATCTACAACGCGCCTGAAGACAAGCCACGTGTTGTACTCAAGTGGAGCCTCCTCGAACTTGTAGTCCTTTGGGATCTTGGTCTCCATTTCCCTCTTGAGAAATTTGTAGATCGTTGGGTGTGGGTTCTTGCCGGTGTCAGGGTTCTCAAAGATGTGCGAGTTCTTCGCCCAGAGGACGAGGCGGTTGTGTTTGGACTGGGCATCGAGAAGCCAGCCAATCCCTGCATTGTAGGCGGCGCGCCAGAACAGGAAGATTACGGCGAAGACTGGTATGCGGGCGCTTTTGGGCAGTAGATAGAGGGTTGAGATCAAACTTGCGAGCACAGCGAGGACTGCTAGGTCGGATAAGTTCTTTGGTTGCGAGGGCGAGAGCAGTTGCGACACCATGTCGTGGGTGTGCGGCACAATGAAGACTATATATATCAGCCATCAGTCCTGACATGTGAAGACAATGTAGAGCGATGTCTGGCTCCAGTTTTCGACATGCCCTGTCAAGGTCGATACTTACCTGTGCCATCTGGTGTCCGGCCGTAAGTCTTCTTCTCTCGCTCATTCTTGCTATCTTCCTGCTCGTTCAGTTCAAGGACTTTTTCCTTGGCGGACTCAGAGTCGGGCATGTGCAGCGGCTTAGCTGATGGTCGCTCTCTTAGCAGGCTACCGTCGGCCTCTGGACTATTGCCGACATCCGTCATGTTGACAGACGTATCGACTCTAGAGAGCAATTGAGGTTGCACAGGCCCAAGGAGGGGTTTGTTGACGGGTATTTAAGTCGCGCTTAACAGGTGTGCGTGCTTAACGCTATGCGAGGTTTGGCTTCGGGGCTGCAGCCGCTGCTGGGGTCCTGTGGAGGCCGGAGATGCAATTCAACGTGCACTGGGTGCTGCAGCTGCGCGAAACTTCGTATGTTGATGGACAAAGGAGGTTTGTGAAAAAGGCACGTGAGAGGCTTAGAGTGTTGAACTCTAGCAGGCGTGTTGATGTTGAACAAACGCGTTGATGGGAGAGATGGTGCCTTCTCGAACGTGCTGTCTGTCAGGACGCCATGATGCATGGTGGGGCTGGCAGCTGCCAGCCGAGCCGTACAAGACCCTGGCCCCTGCGGCTCTAGGCGTAGGACGCAGGTGACACCACACAAGCAGTACAAAGGGACTCTCGTTGCACTAGATTGCTATTGATACATTGCTGGGCTGCTATGAACAAGCATCTCCCTATACACATACATCATGTTTTTGTTCTTGACTCCGTTTTCTGTGACTTTGTAAAGAGGAAAATGCTACCAGAGCCTGACTGGCATGTGCAATGCTACGACTGCCGAACTGAAAGCGACCAATGGAAACTTGCTTTGCAAACACCCGCCCAAGACACTAGATGAAAGAGGTCGTGCTACTGAACTGCCGTTGTGCCAATATATGGTGATAGTCCGGGGAGCTATCCCAGCCTATGCCTTCCGTTGGAGCGAGTTGGTCTATTGCCTGCTCATCTGCACTGCTGCATCCTTCTGCAGGCTTGGTTGCGGGGTCGCGTTGTACCATTGAAATCATCTTTGCAGCGCTGAAGCGTCGTTTCTGCAGAAGCTTCATGCAATTGGTGCCTGTTGAGCTTGACATGCTGAGCCGTTTCAACTTCGACTTAGAGCAATCGTTCTGTTCGACGACAGAGGAGTAGGTAGATTCTAAGACAGCTGCTGCAGGACTGAGGATCTACGACCGCCGGAACTGCGATTGTGCTGTGTTTGGCAGTACAGGAAGCGCGTTTGACAACTCCACTGCATCTCGAGAGAGTGGAGTAGGGCATTTGGCATCTTTCAGAATGGCGGAATCGCGCCTATGATCTTCTGCACACGCATCCGAGGCGAGGTCATCCACAAAAGGGTTACTGCCCTTCTGCTGGAATGGCGAGACTACAGCCTCGTCAGTCCAGCCGTCCCAGGTAAGCTCTGTGGTCTCTGATCCAGAGTAAGAGCAGAGCGTCGGCGTGTATGTGGACTCCGATGCGTGGATTGATGCGTTGGCCAAGTGGTACGCCTTCATGTTGGCAAGGAAAATGTTGGTCTCGCAAGCCTGCAGATTGTTAAGGAAGACCCACTCGTTCCTCTCTCGGTTCCTGATCTCGCTGTCCAGATGGCGATTGGTCTGTTGCAGCTTCTTCCTCTTCTTCTGTGGAACAGGAGGCTCCATGTTGAGTTGACGTCCATTCTTGGCTTGCTTTTCGCGAAGTGCTTTCAGGTACGTGACACAATCTGCGAGTCCCTTCGACAGGATGTTCTTCTCCTGATGGAGCCTGATCAAGTCATACTGGAGGGAGATAGATATGTTGTGGTTGTTCGGGCTGTACGAGGCAGCTTCGGAGAGCTGGCCGTATTGATATGGCAGTGGACGCGGCTCGAATTGCATGGTGTGTATGGTGTGACACTGCTGACCTACGGTGCAAAAGTAAAAGTCGGGTCAAGTTTCGCAGATTCAGTGGTCAAAAGGTCTCAGGCTGAGACAGGGTTATAAGCCGGTGACAAGAGCTTTTGTTTGAAGGCACGATCGTTACAGGTCTAACCAAAACTAGATCTTGTGAGCCAAGCAGCAACCCTTTGATAAGGAGCAGCGTGCGACAATAAGGGGTGGCCAAAGGCCATGTAGACGTGCTCGCTGCTCGACACACCTCTTAGATCACCCCAAAAGAGACGATACTTCTCCGCGGCCCGGCGCAACAATGGCGACCTCAGCGGAGGAACCGAGAGCGGTGGCGTAACCTGCTTCATGGCCGGACTGCCGACGAGCTTACTACTGTTAGGGTTCACCATTCTGGATTCGCGAAGCATAAGGGGCCATAATCTTGGGGATCTGGGAATCCGCCATGGCGCTTCGTTGGTCGAGCAGCGGCTACAGGTGTTAACTGTTGGCCCTGGTTACAGGAAACTTCCTTTCGAGGCTGATATTGTGTCCATTTCAGCTTACCAGATCGAGCACAAAGAAACCGTCCAGCATGCTTGTGGCCAACCTGGAGATGAGAGGACACATGATCTTCGATTACCACTGAGATCGGAAACCGCTGACAGCCAACATCTCCATGCCATACGGGAGAACATCAGAACCACTTGAGCCATTCTTCAAATCGTGCGTTCAGGTTGGTGCTGACGCAAAGGGTGTATTCTTTCTTTACTTTGTTGAAGCGTTGCAGGGCCACATAAGACCCCGTGTCCGTATACTGAACCCGGGGGGACGGTTAAACATACGACTGTTGCTTGCCAAACGGTATTGTGAGCGCCATCATGGCGTCAGCCCTGGCTGTAGCGTGTCGTTTGTTGCAGCATTGCCAAATAGCACACCTTCACCCCAGTTTGGCGGATCTCAGTTTACAGCCGTTGATGCGGATGGCAACAGTATGTATTTTGCCGGCCAGTAATGGAAGCCTTATTCTGAGCACTCAGGTCCATGGACGAGAAGAGAGGAAGAGAGCGTGTTGTAGAGGGCTGAAGGACACGCGATCTGCAAGGGGCAGGGACGTGATCGACCATGGACGCCACCGCGACAAGACGCACCGAGCGCGAGTCCAGGACTACCGGTGTGGTTTCCAGTCTATTATCTGTCTTGTCTGGAGTCAAACTGGCTTCGATGTAGAGCTCTGATAAACTGCAAAAGCTGTGCGAAATGTCAGCGAGCTTCGCAATGTGTTTCGCTGACCATGACAGCTCAGTGATCAGAGCTTGGCATTGGGTATCATAATCAACGACTATTTCCAGACGGTATTGCTGCAATTATGTACAATGATCAGCGTACAGCGCTCGGCTGATGTTGCTCCCTCCACTGATGTTGTCAAAAGCGTGCGATGTTCGCGTTCGTGGGTGTCAGAACTGGTGTGCAAAAATTCCGCACTGGCATGTGAACGCGCCATGAACTCGAGGCAGGGACGATACTGAATCCAAGACAACCTTTATTTCAACTCCATAGATGTCAGGAGTGGCCATCGTTGTGCTGGAATCCACGGTCTGTTCCAAGTCGCAAAAGAGGATACTGAGTTCTACTCGCGCAATTTCCCTTTTACTTCATGCGATTTTCTCACGCGTCGAATCTCACACCACGCGCCGGCAGATGCTCACCTCATGAAGGTAACTATTCCAAAGTCAGGCAGTTAGAACGAACTCGGATCGCTGCTGCTTGTCAATTATGACATCCCGCCCTACGCGCTGAAGGGAGCTGTCACAGCAATGCGGCATTTTCTGGTCTTTATCCTTCTGCCAACCCCGCATCCGGCGCCTATGGCAGGTGCATGCTCCGGACATCAGCGTGATGGGTACGATTTGCGACGGCTGCGCACAGGCTTGAGGTCGAGATGCATTTCCTCTACAACAGATGGTGTTTCCCTAAGCCGAATCTTTCAGGTCTCCAGACGTGGGGTCAAGATTATTTTGACGACCGTTTCCACTTGGTCCGGAACTTAACGTCGTCATTACATCACACATGTGGCTCTCTCATGCGGCCCACTTGTACCTTTCGGTCTCGAAGGTGACGAGCCGGCGCAGCCCTCGATGTCGATGTGGGGTTGACAAGAATGATGAGGAATTCATATGCAGCATCCACGACGGTGTCAGCACGTTCGTCGTACCGCTGCCAACCGTGGGTACACCAAGTTCGCTGGTTTGCCCTTCGAAATAGAGTGCTACACTCATTGGAGACACTAGGATCCTATTCCTGACTTGTGACGGCACCATCTGCAGCAGAATGACCAGGTACTTCCAGGCCCCGCCACCACCCGGTACTCCACTGCGAAACAGCCTAGTTAGCCGTCTGTACCTTGCACCTCATCGTTAAGTATAAGTACCTATCACGCAATCATCGCCTATCGAAATAGCTGAGAGAACGGCTCCTACAAATTACCGAACGGTCAGCTAAACCGCATTCGAAATTCCACAGGACTATGGTTCGTAAGACGGAAATCATCGATATCCGTGTGGGGTCTACCGATTTCGACATGGTAGCGGACATCAAGAAGGGCCTCAAGCCACAAGATGGCGGGGAGAAGAGGTTGCCAACCTTGCTGCTGTATGACGAAGTAAGCATACCTTTGCGTCTGCCTTTGCCTGGTACTAACTTCTGTAGGCTGGTCTGCGGCTGTTCGAAAAGATCACGTATCTTGATGAGTACGACTGTTTATTATGAGCGATCTTTGACTGCAAGACTGAAGACACACATAGATACTACCTCACCAATGCCGAGATTGAAGTGCTCGAATCGTATGCTGAACAGATTGCACGCCGAGTGCAACCAGATTCGGTCCTGGTTGAGCTTGGTAGCGGGTACGTACAACTTGTCGAGCTTCCCAGATCAACATAGCATACTCCCCAGTCAATACTGACAATCATCTGTAGGAACCTTCGAAAGGTCAACATTCTTTTGCAAGCCATCGATCGCCTGGGGAAAGATGTGGAATACTACGCAGTTGATCTATCCTTACCAGAACTCGAGAGAACTTTCTCTGAGATTCCTACAGGTAAGTATGTTTCTTTGGATCTGTACAGACACGAGAATTTGAGTGTAAGGAACGCTGGAAGATCATTGGTGATCCGCGGAGCCCTAAAACCACGTGCATGTCAAACGTACCTGGCTTCGGTTGCGGCGCAACCCCGCTGCTCCACCCCTACTACCATCCATCAGCCAAGAGATGTCACACCCTTGTGCCTTGTGTACATACACTGACATGGTTGGTAGAGGGCTACAAGCACGTGAAGTGCTTTGGCTTGCATGGAACATACGATCATGCGCTAGCATGGCTGAAGTCATCTAGCGTCAAGGATAAGCCAAAGACCGTTCTTTGGCTCGGTTCCAGCTTGGGTAACTTAAAGCGACATGAAGCAGCGCCGTTCCTTGCCGGATTCGGCGATGCTATCAGGACTGGCGATACGATGCTTATCGGCATCGATTCGTGCAAAGACCCCAGTCGTGTCTACCATGCCTACAATGACAGACAAAACGTGACACATGAGTTCATTCTCAACGGACTCAAGCACGCAAATAAGCTCATGGAGAGTGAAACGTTCAAGCTCGATGAGTGGGAGGTCATTGGAGAATTCGATAAGGAGGCTGGGCGCCATCACGCATTCGTTACACCACTGAAAGATGTTGTCATCGAAGGTGTTGTTGTCTCTAGAGGCGAGCGGATTCGAGTTGAGGAGAGCTACAAATACAGCCGCGAAGAGATCCTGGAGCTTTGGGAGGGCGCAGGCCTTGCTGAAAACTCAGTTTGGTCGAATGACAGAGGTGATTATGGTATACCTCATACGCCTACTATAGCACTCTGTTCTGGATCGCTGACTAGATTCCAGGACTACACTTTGTGTCCAAACCTGCTGTCTTCTTTCCCACAAAGCCGGACGTGTATGCTGCACAGCCAGTACCATCTCTCGCTGAGTGGCATGAGCTATGGAGAGCATGGGATGCCGTCACCCGCCAGATGATCCCTGAGGATGAGCTACTCTCCAAGCCGATCAATCTACGCAATGCTTATATCTTCTACTTGGGACATATCCCCACGTTCCTTGACATCCAACTGGCTCGGGCAACTGCTGGTAAGGCCTCAGATCCTGCATACTTCTGGCAGATCTTCGAGCGTGGCATCGATCCGGACGTTGACGACCCTGGGAAGTGCCACGCACATTCCGAGATCCCTGATTCCTGGCCGCCTCTCGATGAGATCTTGACCCACCAGCAAACGATACGGGCAAGGGCGGAAGCTCTCTACACATCCGGTGCTGTGGACAACAACCCTCGCGTTGCACATGTTATGTGGCTCGGTTTCGAACATGAGGCCATGCATCTTGAGACGCTTATGTACATGTTGATTCAGAGTGACAGGGTTCTACCACCCCCCGGCACTGCCATACCGGATTTTGCCGCTCTCGCGAAGCGGTCTGCAGCGACCGCAGTGGAGAACGAATGGTTCACTATCCCTGAGACGGACATCCACATTGGTCTGGATGATTTAGACAGCGACAAGACCACCAAGCGTTACTTCGGCTGGGACAACGAGAGACCCGCTCGCACAACTCATGTCAAATCGTTCCGCGCGAGGGCGCGCCCAATCACGAACAGCGAATATGCAGTCTACCTTATGAAGACTGGAAAGACGGCCATCCCTGCGTCCTGGTGTGAAGAACAGCACCTCAGTGATGCGGCACGCGCTGCAAACAAGAAAGACAGTGACATGTACGGCTTTCACAATGCAAACGGCTTGTTGGACATCACCGATGGTAAATTCGTGAAAACGGTTTACGGCACGGTACCGCTTAAGTATGCACTTGACTGGCCCATCGTTGCTTCTTACGATGAGGTCGCCGGCTGTGCCCAGTGGATGGGTGGACGCATTCCTACTATGGAAGAGGCGCGTAGTATCTACCACTACGTCGACAGTTCGAAGAACAAGGAGCTTGAGGCTCTCGGTAACACAATACCAGCGGTGAACGGGTAGGTGCGCAATGGACGGATTACAGCACAGCTCATTAATTTCCAACAGACACCTCATCAACAACGGCGTTGATGAGTCGCCACCATCCAAGCCTTTGGCTAATGGCGACTCTGGCGCAGCCACTGATCTCACTCCTAACCCATGCGACCTCTTCATTGATCTTGAAGGAACCAACGTGGGTTTCAGACACTGGCATCCTGTTTCTGTAACCGAAAAAGGCGGTAAGCTCTGCGGCCAATCTGACTTGGGTGGTGTTTGGGAGTGGACCAGTACTGTGCTGGAGAAGCATGACAGCTTTGAGCCTATGGAGCTGTACCCAGCCTACACGGCCGACTTCTTCGACGGGAAACACAACATCACGCTTGGTGGATCCTGGGCAACGATACCGCGCATTGCGGGCCGTAAGACCTTGTAAGTGCTTTCGAGCAACAATAGCCAAGACCACGCTAATATCTGATAGCGTGAATTGGTACCAGCGCAACTACCCTTATGTCTGGGCTGGCGCTCGTGTAGTTACTGATCTCTAGAGACAGAATCATGTCGCCAGTCTACGGCTTGCCGTTCTCTGGTTCCGGCCGCTGTTTGCTGATGCCCATGGCGGGGTGCTGAAACACTGCACTGCATCTGCAAGCAACCGCGATGCATCGCTCTCACCGCGAGATGCGAAGACTCGTCGTAGCGAAGGACTAAGCGTAAAGTATTGCAACGACTCATGACTTTGAATTCTTCTTTCTGTATCATTCTGTCTTTACAGCTTTCATACTCTATTGCAAGAATACAAAGTCGTTCCTTCCACACGCGCGGCTGCCAGAGGTGTCGAACCAGGGCAGTCACCAATGAACCCTGCCACGTCCGCGCCCCACATTCGCAGCCCTCTCCCCAAATTGAACTTCCATCGTGCTTCACTGCCACTACACGCTGCGAAATAACTGTCTCAGCCCGGCCCTCCGTTGACAAAAGCTTTTCGCTCCTCGCTTCGCACAAACATTGCACGACACCATCCACTCAACCTTGTCGATATACAACTTCCATCTTGACAACGAATCGTGCAGAATGGTCAACAGCCTGCTCTTCCGCTGGGAAGACAGCCAAGCTCTGCAGCACCATTGCGGCTTCTGTGAGCGACCTCTTTCTCACCCAGGAGCTCGAGCAAGCTGCTTCGGTACGCATAGCGAGCCATGTCACCGTTTCCACCAGGTATGTCGTGACCTTCAACCTTGCACTGAGCATACTGATTCCCAAGGCAATGTTCATGCGCAACCGGGCTCATATCTGCAACTACTGTAGCACCATCGATGAAGCGTATGTCAGCCACGTACCCAAACATTACCCTGCTGTACCCTGACATAGCTCCTTGAAGACACTATAAGCGGCATCACGACCTTGTCACTCAATTGCGCTGCATCTACGAAAGCTGCGGTGAATTAGACTGGACCATCGTACCCGCAGAACCTGGAGACCCAAGAAGAGGTAGATCGTCTGATGCACAACTAGCCGGTCGTGAATCAAGCGACCACAGCCTTACACCAGAGGAGACGCCGACTTCAAAACGTGAGCGGAAAGATGCCAAGTGCCTCGCCAGAGCGGCAAACAGAGCGAGAGTTGTCACACAAGAAGAGATCAGATACGTAGACTCAGTACTCCACTCCGCGGAAGGTGTCTCCAGTAGTGACGGTGCAGATCCTGCCAACCTTGAAGAGATGCAACTGATCGAAGAACACCTACGTTACAACGCCAATGTTTACAACAGCCATTCGAGCCGCCGTGATTTGAGGAGGTTCGCTAAGATTCCTGACGTGGATGTTGACTTCGAAGCTGAGATGGAGAGAGTCCTTGATACGTTTCGCATCACTGAGCTTGTTAAGCGCAACCTCAGAAACCGTGGGCTGCAAGGCAAAGAGCTTAAAAGCTTCGAAGGTTCGATCGAGGCCTTCAAGAGCGCTGTTGTGGAAGACCTTGTACTTGTCAAGAAAGACATGATGGAGATCAGAATGCGCCGCGCCGGGTATCTGCGCTACACCAACAAGACTGCCTACGGTATCGTCGAGAATAGGTACACCGAAAAGGACTGGAAAACTGGCGAACGCATCACCTCCTCCTCCAGCGAGTCCAGCGGTCTCACTTCGCCGTCTGAGGAGCTTGTTACGCCACAAAGGTATGTTCTCTACGTCCATGAACTCTACTACAGAGATACTGACTTCCTGGTAAGCGCTGTACCCGACATTATAGTGTCGCCCGTTCTGCCTTCCACGAAAGGTCCCGATCGGCGACATCTACAACACTTCCACACACGCGTCAGCGGAAACGATGGCCTCGGACAGAAAGTCATTAAGCCCTATCACGCACCCCTGTTGCCACTTACACCAAATAAGACTCCAAAGGGGCCTGCTGTCTTGAAACTGAAGGTGGTCGAGAACAAGGAGAACAGGATCCCTGTCGGCATGACCAATCGTAGATGGCTGCGACGAGACGTAGCAAGGCAAGCACCACTTACTCGACCACTGCCTGCTTCAGAAGAGGGAAACTCGCCGCCATCAACACCTTCGTTCAGACGAGTCCCCTCAAACGAACCAGTCCAAGTGATCAAGCCAGCGTGGGGCAAGGTCGCAGCCTTCACTTCTTCTCCAGCCCAACAGGACCCTGCAATTAGAGTGGATCGCAACGAATTTCCTGCACTATATCTACCCGTGAAAGCGCCTAAATCTATTTCGCCTAAGTCTGACGCGCCTGCTGTGCAGCCAACCACAGAAGACGAGATTGCTGGCCTGAGAGGTCCCGAACGCGCGATCACACCGGACAACGACACCGGAAATGCACACCCGATAGTGTCTCAGAAGAAGGCAAAGAAGGCGCAACGCGAGGCAAAGCGTAAAGTCAAGAAGGTGAGCGACCCCGAGGAGACATCGAGTCCTACAGCAGTGGAGGAAGCTGGCGTCGAAAAAGTTGAACAAGGCTTCAGCGAGACCTTATTGGGCAGCTCGACGGTCAACAGCGCCTCACATGCTATGGAAAAGATGCCTCCCCAGAGTCCAGTCTCTTTGAGAGAGCTAATCGACGACGGCAAAGTTGATGCAAGCATCGGAGCCGTAGAAGAGCAGATCACCGTTCTTGTCGTTCCGAAAGCACCTTCCCCTCCAACTCTACCGTACACCACGCATGGAAAGCATGATCATTGGACACGGTTCGCGCGGGTTTTCATCGTTGATCAATTGACTGCTCCGTTGCTTCAATCCTTCGAAGGCTGTTCACACGGATCATCCTGCCGATTCGAGAGCCACGGAGTACCCGACTGTCCGTTCCATGAGCCGCGTGAGTTCTGTATTGCCTCCAACAGATGTGTGTGCTGACCTTATTTCGCAGATTGTCCATGCGGAGACCCTTTGCGAAACCAATGCTATCTTATGCATCCTGGCAAGCAGCTTTGCACAGCCGGACCATACAATCGCGCACACGGCGAGAGGATGATGGCCACGTACGAGCAGCATACGCTGACCAAGGGTCGAGTAATGCTTGTAGACGACGATCTTGTGTCATATTTCATGGACATCAACAACACCCCTAGCAAGCCGGATCTTGCCAGCATGCCCCCTCGTCTCCTGCGCGAACACACCGACTTCCTAGATGGGTACGAGCGCGGTCCACTCATGAGGCAGGAGCTTGAATTTGAGCGACTCTTCGTAAAGAACATGGCTATGAGACATCCGCTTACCATGCGCATGCTGCAGGACATTCAGCGCCAGAACTCAGGCCGCAAGGGCTCAGTCAAGCTGTGCTACTGCGGTACTGAGATGGTGCCGAACGCTCAGAAGATGAAGACGGAGTCCAACAAAGGCTTTGTGAGCTGTTCATATGGCAAGTGCGGGTTCGGAGGTGTCTTTCACAAGCGCTGTGTCAAGAAATTGGGAGTTGAGAAGGTCAGCCGATGGTACTGCACCGCTTGCGAGAAGCAGATGAAGATCCTGGCCTACAAGGCCTTGGGGATCCCGTATATTGATGGCGATGCTGTCATAGATGGTGCAGAGAAGATGATTGCGGAGATGATCGCGAAGCCTGGTGGTCCGATGGATCGCTTCAAGTCCCGCTTACAGGAGCTATACATGGGTGACGCCTGTGATGATTCGGAAGTTGAGGATGTTGATTGAGGTCTACAAGACGTAGCGCGACGATTTAACATAACCACATAGACTAGCGCGTGGTACTCCAAGCACAGGAAGAGCTACAAGTTTCATTCCAAGGATTACCGTGATGTCCTTCAGACTGCTCCGTTCCTGATCGTAAAAAAGAGAAGTGTAGCGGAAAGTATTCGAGTCATCAAAGCGATGCCGTCAGTAACCAACTGCTACCATCCGACCCAGGATAAATCAACCTCTTAAACCACTTCTTCATCATCATCAACTTGCTCTTCCTATTCCTCTTAGCTCTGATTCCCTTGCTCTCCCATGTACTCGCCCTCTCGATGTTTATGTCGATGCTGTCTCTCGCTCTTCTCCCCAGGTTTCCTTCATCGTCCTTGGTCTCGTCATTATCTTCATTCTCGTTCTCGATAGCGTGGTGATATCGGAGCAGAAATTGTTCCAGGGCAAGTCTTCTCTCGACTTCCTCGGTAAGTGTGATGCTAGAGGTATCTGATACATTATCAAACCCACTATCAACCCTTTCTACGAGTTTTGGCTTGGGAGCCGGCTTGGAGGCAGTCAATCTTCTTTCAACGCTGCGCCCTAGGCGTGTTGGTCTAGCGTATGTCGATCTTCGGGTGGTGCGTCCTCGCCGCGGCAAAGGGTCTTGTGCGGTGTGCATGGAATATGGGTAATAGTCCGCTGAAGCCATCGTCATGAATGGTGCGCGTGATGAGAAGAACATGATGTTCATCTTTGATAAACACAAGTCGTTGGCTGCGGTGGTTTGAGCTGGTGTTTTTGCGGCGGGCTGACGTGCGTGAAGATGGGTTCTGGAGTATGTGCGCTGGATTCCGGTGCAGTGTGTATGTGATTTTGTGGAGTGTAGAAGGAGACATGTATATGCAGGGAGATATATATGCGCGATAAAATACGTGCGCAATTTCAAGATCGCATCCAAAGTTGAGAGTCGGTGAGCAGCTCAGACCATGGTTGACCCTTGCGGTATTTTGTACACGTCGCTCGCGACTGACTGCATACCTCCACGCAACGTGTTGGGCTTGACAACGTGCTGAAGATTGGACAACTCATAATAGTTTGCACCGTTGACACTAAGGGCCTCGGAGTAATCTATACATACAAAGTCTACTGGTGTACAATTATTGTGGGTACTCTAAGCTTAGGCCAACTTTGAAGCGATACTACGCATTCTGCAGGCGCTGCTTCCAGAACCGTACCATTGGCTTCCAGAGATTGTCTTTGCCGTTGAAGTAGGAGTAGCCAACGCCAATGAGCGCGCCGGACAAGTGAGCCTAAGCACATTAGCGAGTGTAAGCCTCGAGCAAGAGACAACTTACTGCATGACCAAAGTTGACGAAAGAGTACCCGCGAATAACTCCGATCAAGTCAAATAGCATGATGGCGGGGAAGAAGTACTGAGCTTCGAAGTGAACAGGTAGGAATAGTATTCCGAGTTGCGCGGTGGGATACTCCATACAGAAAGCGCCCAGAATACCAAATAAAGCACCACTGGCTCCACCACCTCTAATGAATATCTCTGGAACAGGGCGCCGGTTCTTCGTGAACATGGTCGTGAAGTGCTGCGCATATCCAGACAGCACACCCGTAGCGAGGAAGAACGCTCCTACGTGCGGCGCATTGCCCTCGAACAGTCGCGAGTAGCCCACAGGAAGCATAAAGTTGTAGGTCGCCCACATGTTGACCGCGAGATGCATAGGCCCCGAATGTACGAACATCGATGTGAAGTTCGTGTAGTTGCGATTGCGTGCGGGTATATGCCACAACAAGTCCCAGTATCGAGGTATAAGAAAGCTGGTGAGATGTACCGCACTGTTCGCTCCAATAATACCCCAAGTGACCTTTGAGATAGGGTTCAGCTCTGTCCACCAGCGAGTCGCAAGCTCAGTCGCGCTGGGTGGTCCTACACGTGATTGCGGCTGCAACCCCCACTGCGGTACCTGAAGCCAGTTCGTGGCCTTCTTCGCCTGTTCGATCTCTTTCTTTGCCTGGTAGTACGCTAACCCAGAGAAGATGCCGGCGGTGACGGTGAACGACCAGATCGCTGGTCGCAGATATCGAACTCGTACTTTGGGCCAGGGATCGTTTGGTTGCTCATATTCTTCGTACCCTGGTTCCGAATATTGGCTTCCTGATGCGGAGTATGGCCCCGCAGTCGGCGGGATGATCTCCACTTGCTCTTCCCTGATCTGCTGAATTGGGGACGTGCGCTCTGATGTTGATGGTTGTCCAAAGCGCCGTGGCGATTTCCGTGAGTTGTGCTGACTACGCCATTGAAGCCTGATGCTGAGTGAATTTGCGCTCCATCGCAACGACGCAGACGCTGGTTGGTGACTAGCTAGGCAAAGCCGTTGTAAAGACGGCCTGCCTATTTTTGTTAATGACATCGATGATACACGTTGACTGTCGGTGCTGGGAGATACACCTGGTACGAGGTTCAGTCGCGTTGGTGTTGTGGAGCGCTAGAGTCGGCCCGACCCGCGGCCGTTTGTCTTCAACCCTTCGACGTGCCTTCTGGTGTCCTCTGTCCATGCTAAACACATTACATCATCATTACTCTGGGCATGGCAGCTCACGATCATCACCCCCATCTCATTGCGCACAGATATGCCCGAGAAGTGTGGCAGAGGCGACGAACAGGTTGCGGACTGAAAGGGAGCATTGAGCACAATATTGGAACGCTCACTGCGATACAGTCATTGACGATTGCACGACACACATTGACTTCGGGACTTGGTAGCGACGAGCCATGATGCTCCAGGCGATGCTTGTTGCTCACGATCCATAGAATTGCAGACTGTGGAAGAGGGGAAAGCATAACACCCTCTGTTCTGTGTCCACATTGACGCGCTTGATCCCTATCTCCTAGGTATGCAGTTTGGTTGTCTCAAATCGAATGAAAGATCACAGCTCGCTTTCGCAGCTACAAGAGTCATCGGAACGGTTGGCAGCGCTCGCCACACACGGCTACCATTGTGCTGAAAGTATTTACTTGTCTTGCTGCCCCCGCGCAACATCTCAGGGTGCCATTGACTTGCAGAATTTTACTGCGTATGGGAAACCACATCTCCGCCATGTTGTATTCCAGCCGCTTGGTGTTCGGTACTGAGCAAGAGGCCGTAAGGCTTTTTGCTAACAGCTCAGAGTACGGTTTGCATTGGCTTCGTTGGCAACTTGACTAATAACAGATCAGCACGTCTAAGGGTGGCCTTACTATCCAGGTTGGCAGGTCTATCGATGCGCAAACCGTACATGTGCCGCAGTCCGTACTGGACTCCTGTTCGATCCTAGGGGGCCTGCTCCTACCGGGTTGCAGAATCGTCAACGCTGATCCTATCGTCTTCGCCATCATCATTGAGTACTTGCATATGAGCAGCATTATGGATTTGATAACATTCAGCACACCCGGCCATCTTCAAGAGTTGACCATCAACGAGAACCCCTTACTCAGCCTTGCCAAAGCGTGGCATGTGGGTGACATGCTGCGTATGCCCGATTTGCAGAATAGGCTCTTCAAAGTATACCGCGCCTACTATATGCAGTGCTTAGAGGACCGCCTCCGTCCGCCCCTGGATCCAGAGCCGTTGGACTCAAAGCCTTTGGACCCAGAGCCATTCGTCTACCTGAGAGATAACATCGGTAACCACACCAAGGCAGAAAAGTTTATTGTCGACTTTCATGCCGGGCTCATGCAGAATCAGGCAGTCCTCAAGCGCAACGACTTCAAGTTGCTACCAAATGACATCGCAGTCAAGATTAGGTATCGCTGGTTTGAGCTCTCCGGTAGGGTCAGGAAAGACAGTCTCCATCCTGAATTGAGTAACGACCGAATCGCAGCCAAAGACTCCTGTTACAGAGTTACCAAAGACGATGCGATCGTACAAAGTGACTTGCAGATCCAGTATCTGTACGCTGGAGCCGGCCCGCTGTTTGGCCTGAATCCTCCCATGTCCAATCCGCGTAGGGCAGCGCTTCATACTTCCGGTAGGGCTCTTCCTCGGAATAGCAACCGGCTCGGGACTCTGATGGCACAGAGAAGAAAACATCAATTGCTTCGTCCGAGTGACGGGCCCCCCGCAAATGCTCCGACGGACGGACTTTCAGGAATTCAAGCGCCCCTGTTGAAGCCGACCTTGAGTAACCCATTCGCTGGGTCAATCTCCCAGCAAAGCGCAAAAGCTTCTTCGCCTTTGCTTTCACCAACTCAGTTGCCTTCCGAACAACGGAGGCATGCAACTGAGAACCGGCCATCGACCGCCACTATCTCAAGACGCAAGACCCCTCAACATCAGAACTCGCAACGATCAAGTGCATTACTAGCTTCAGAGCTCCCAAGTCAAACACCATTGGTTCCTGATAGCCGAAACAGAAGTCTCTGGTCGCATGAAACAGGCAACAGTGAGGCTACAGACGACGTGAGTGTGTATGATCTCTTCGCGCCTAACCTGCAGTGGAACGAATTGCCACCTGAGCACTCGACGCAGGCCGGTATCTTTGGGTTATTGGACTTTGCAGCCTAGCAGATTTGACGACAGCGAGTCCGCTAAATTTGCTGTCGCTGGCGGACCTTTTACCGGACCGGCAGTGTGACAAGGTCCGCGCCAGGGCCCTCCCATCAGTTCCTCCTAGCATGTATTCGGCAGATTCCTTCAGTCTTGCTTCCGCCAAATCATACCTCCACAATGTCGCCATCGAGGCGAGCGCACTCACCATATCCTACTTCCTTACCGAAAGAATCCACCCGTTGGCGAATATTCGCCTATTCCTGATGCCAACCAGGCCCCCTCGTCAGCCAAACAATGTCTCCCCAATGAACTCCTTCAGATGATCTTCCGTTGTCTCCCTCTTCGGGATCTCGTACGCTCTGTGCGAGTCTGCAAGTGGTGGTGCCAAGCTCTCATCGATAACCATTCTCAATTGAGAAAGAAGCTCTGGTCGGACTTTGGAGAATATTTCACCACAACGCCACCTGTTCTCTACCTCCCATTCCTGTTCAACGATCAGCATGACTCGCAAGCACAACCGCGTCTGATCGGTTTCAAGATCTTTCCTGATTTTGCACAAAAGCCAACAGAGTACAACGACGTTGTGGATGACGACGATGCCAATGCCGCCATGTGCGAATGAAATCCCGTAGTACATGCACTGTCGACATATCTCGATGCTGTCAACTACCACTTTAGAAACAACCCGCAAGCTGACATCCCGAGCAGCACCCTGCACTTCAAGTCTTTGCAGGCCCTCACCTGCAAGATCAAGGACGGACACGTACAGCTTCCAGGAGGAATGCTTTGTGATATGCAACTCTGCCAGCCCGCTTCTAGGCTGGTAGTTGCCAACGCGCAATTAACAGACCTGTGCCACAAGACTGAAAAGGTCAAATAAGTCCTATTCAACAAGGATGGCGTAAAAGTTGGGCAGCTGCTACCATTCCTTCAAAAATTTGTGGAAGAGTTGGAAGGCATGGTCAAGGACTTCACGATCACTATCAATGACGGTAGCACCCGCACCTGGGGCCCCCATCTGAAGGAACCTGATGAGAAGGAATGGGAACAAGGCGTGTTCTGTTGGTGCGGCAATGGTCTCAGCGCTGTGACACTCGATCGGGCCCGCAAGTACAAAGATGGGTTAGCACAGCAAGAGGAATTGCGTCGTGAATAGGAAGAAGAGCTTGAGAATCTCGGAGATGGAGAGGACTTGATCACGAGGACGTATAGCGTCTATAAAGGCGCATCTATGTACATCGGTGTGAGATCAATTCCTGATTTCTTGCTCTGTATGCCGAGCGGGATCTAAGCTAGTCAGTTAGTCTATACATCAATCAATCATACGTCTCGTATACTAGAACCTGTGCCTTCCTTTGGCTAATTAAATACGTGTAGGCAAAGCTTCATGATTTACGCGTGTCACACCAGGGTCGTTGCAATGCGCTTGCCAGATTTGGTCGCCCAACGTCTCTAAATCATCGGTTTGTGAAAGCTGGGCCACGTAAGTATCACCCTCTGCCTCGACCTTCCCGTCACCTCTCTATGCGCTAGATGGTGGTTTCACTTGTGGCCAGGGAGTCTCTCCACTCAGCTAGCATGCTATCTGGCGTATTTCGCCTTTAGTACAGAATACTCAGATCCCCAAATTCTTTCTTTCCGCTACATCATGCCACCACAACGCCACCATGCAAAACCACAGTTTCGTCATGTCCAACACTCGTATCAGAGTCCTTCTGCAGGCCCACAACCCAGTCCATCGGCGAAACAGTATCTCGCTGGCGGAATCCTCCGGACCGTATTCCGGTACCTTTTGTTCAATGATCTCATACACTGCATGCGAGTGTGTAGGCAGTGGCGGTCGTACCTTCCCAGAGACGACCCTCGGCTGAGGCGTGCGCTCTGGCTAGAGAGTGGGGAATGCTTCGTAGACGACCGACCTGGGCTCGACGTCACCTTGACTGTCGCCCGCCATTATCCGAGGAGGGATCCCAAGCACTTCCTCATAGTTCGTTACGAGAATACACTGGGTCTTATCGCTTACCAAAAAAGGTGTATCGAGGAAGAGACATACCTGAAAGGATGGTCCGACTCTGGATCCTGGGAGGGCAAAGACAATAGCGCCAGCGGTGTTCTGCACTTGGGCTCACGCAAACAATCCAAAGAAAAAGTGCAAGATCCCAGTGTCCAACCTGAGCTTGGTACTTTGGACGAGATGCTGCTCACTGGTTCCGGAGCGGAGGAAGTGGACCTAACCGTACAGATTAGAAAAGGTGGAAAGGATGATGTACGGGAACTAGCAAAAGCCGTGTTGGAAAACAGCAGTGGGGTGAAGATTGGTGGCTTCGTGCGCTACCTGAGGGTCATGATGCAGGATATGGACACAAAGGTGTAGAGTTTGCGAATGACCAGACTCGTTGGATGGCAACCATGTATTCGAAGGTGCTAAAATGAGAGCATCGAAAGTCTCGGGGTCTGGCTATGAAATTATTGTCAACGTTCGTTAGTTCCTTACTATCATCAAATTCTCATCGTCATTGATTGCCGTATCGCTTCAAGGGATTGCGGCGGCGCCGAGGGCAGATCTGTAGATGAGTAGCTGTTGACATAGATGTTGCGTATCTGTTGATCCGCTCGTGGTCTGCATTCCACTAAAGACTGCTGTACGTCAATCATCTTGTCTCTCCGCCAGCTTTCGAGGAGTCTGGATTGTGCCTAACAGCATCGATTTGCGGAAGGCCGGCTGCGTGGCGTGCACTCCGTCTCAAAAGGTTCCGATACATTGAGATTCAATGCATTGCAATTGCATATCCGACTCTATGGAGCCCATGCGACAAAAGAAAACCCACCACTGTCAGAATCCGGATATATACAGTTTTGTATGTGCAGCTGTCTTTCGATCTCCCATCCTCTATCTTGCTGAGCTCGCTTGTCATTCTTCGTTCGTGGTCGAGCTTAGTCCTTCTTGACGTCCGGGTCGGCCAGGATGCCCTCTGCTTCGAGCCGCCTGCGTGCCTCCTCGAGGGCCCATGTCTGGATGCTATGAAATCGTCAGCCATTATCCTTCAACATCTTCGCTTCCTTTCTTCCGCCTCCAGTCACCACATCCCCGACCGCTGCTCGGCTTCCTCTCTCTTCCAACCCCACCCAACATATTCTCCAGAGCTCCCTACGGCCACAGTACATACCTAGTATCAGGCTTAAACGCATACACGCCCATGCACAGCACCATCAACGGAATAAACACATAAAATGTCACATTCTCCCACCCCTCCTTCTTATACTCCTCGCCGGGCTTGACGCCAAACAGCCAGCCCTGGGGCGCATCGTAGTGGCTCTCGTGGCCGCCGCCGCGCTTGACCATTGACTGCGAGAATGCGCGCGTAGCGAAGGGTGTGGAGGTGCGGGCGACGGGTGCGCGGAGGATGGAGCTGGCGGGGCGCGCAAGGGCGCGGGCGGTGCGGATGGCGGACATTGTGTAGTTTGTGGGTGAGTAGTGGGCGGAGGGGAGATTTAGGAGGGCGATTGGCGTGTCCGCGAGGACGTGGGTGGATTGCTGGGAGCTTTGCGGTGTTGCGTGTTGGAGCTGTGATGTTGAGGTTCGTGGTCTTGGCGTGGCGCGGATGGTTCGGGTTTAGTGCGAACGGATATGCATGGCGTCACAGAGAGCTCCCTCTATCCGATGGAGGATTCAGGAGCTGCGGATGGTGTAAAGCGTTCATTTTGTGCAAATCAAGCACGAGCTGCATGAAGTCGAATACGCCGGTGTTTTTAAGGATTTGCAATGCATGTGGTGCCATCATCTATGTAGTATCGTGCATGCCTGAACGCCAAAGCTATGCGAAATGGATGAAACGAAAATGGGTAGTGATGCAGTCAAGCCTTAAGCGTAGGCAGGCACGCGTTCCTTCCCAGCATCCGCTGTTTGCTCGTCTTGTTGCTGGAACGACATCTTCGCAATGCCCTGAGAAGCCTGTTCGACCTTCTCCTCGACCATGTCATCCTCCGACTGCTTCTCCTGTGCAGCTGCAGCTTCCTTCGCTTGCTGCTCCTTCTGCTTCCTCTCCGCCTCCTCGAGCTCTGCGAGCTTCGCCGCGGTCTTGGCCGCTTCTTCTTGCTCCTTTTTCTCCTGCTCTGCTCTTTCCAACGTCTCGAGCTCGTCCTCAATATCCACCTCATCCACTGTAGTATCTGTCTCGTTAATGATATTGGAGATCTCCTCGGTAGTAGCCATCTGCTCATTGACTGCATCCACAACACCCTGTACGCCTTCCGCACCACCAACCTTCTCATTCAGACCCTTCAGCGCCGCGGCGCCTGCGCGCATAGCCTCCACGATCTCAACCTGGTCGGCTGCTTGCTGGAGCTGTGTGTACACGCCTTCCAGCTGCAGAGCAACGTCGGAGCGCTGTGCGAGTGCTGCTTCGGCGAGCTTCTTGGAGCGTAAGGCGGCTTTGGCGCGGACCATCTGCTTTCCGGCAACCGCTTCGCGGGCTGCGGCATCGGCAGAGGCGATCTTCTCCATAAGTGGTTGTATCTGGGAGTTGATGTCTGCAAGTGTGTCGCGCAGACCTGCGATTGCAGCGTCTTCTTCGGTGATGGGGAGGGGTTGGGCCTCGTGCTCGGGCTTGAACTTGATTGTTTGTGAATCGTAGGATATCGCTTGCTTGTCTCGGGCGAGGTAGACGAGGATGATGTTGAGGTCGTTGTTCGTAAGCGGCGCAGCGGGATTGAGCGTATGCGAGAAGCGTTTGAGGAAGTCTCGTCTTGACAGGACCCGGTCTGCAGTCGATGTGTGCTCCTTCATCTTCTTGAGGATCTCGTCGCCGGCTATCTCGACATTCTTCAGTACGACGTAGTTTTTGACTGCAAGCTTATCTGGCGGAGCAGCCTTTCCCAGCACACCGACTGTTCGCAGACTCCACTGCAGGGCCGACCATGGCGTCGGTATCCACGACGTCTTGTATATGCTGGTCTTCGAATTCAGGAAGTCTTTCAGGAGTATCATTTCCTTCTTCTGCACCGCCTCGTGGAACACAGCAGGCAGACATGTTGGCTTCCCATACTGTGGATGTTGCAGCGCTCGCCCAAGGTCGTCTGCGGTCCGTATGTTGAGTAGATCATGGGTGGTTCCTTGGGTGGGTATGACGCCCGCTCGCGCAGCATCAGTCAGCGCTTTGGTCCAAGCTGCAATGTTGGCATGGTAGCCATCTGGATTGATCTCGAGCTGCTGCCGGAAGTCTGCATACAGCGATGCAAGGCGCTGTTGGCTTGCATAGGTTAGCTTAGTTCAAATAACGCGGAGAATGTGCGCACTTCTTGAAAGCTTCCTCGTGCTGCAGAACAAACTCTAGCAGCTCGCTCATATTGATGTGTTGCTGCGGCGCCCACTGTTGTCTATCGCTGTTCTTAGGTCGAAAGAGGCGCTTGCGCTTGACCGATGTCATCCGCGCTGGAACATCACCAAAAATCGACGAATCAGATGCGTCATAATCCGAGTTCTTGCGCTTCAACATGAAAGCGATAGTAAGTACCAAAAAGGTCAAATGGGGGTAACATGTCAGTTGACAGGCTCGTTGGGTGTCTATGATCTCTATACATGTCGAGCGCGCACCCTTTCACTCACGCGACGCGTGTGAGACGCTACCCCGCCAGTTGCTGGTGCATATGTGGGGCCCGCTGCCTGGTCACCATCTAGGTCCCAGCTGCCACTGCGTCTAGTCTTGCGCTGTAGGACTTCTTGTGGGAACGTTTGGCCGTGTTGCGATGCGCATCTCCAGCTGCGGGTAGACTCATGCGCGCACCGCTGAGTACCTGCGTTGAGCCTTGAGCTTCGCAGACAGTGCCCTGACTTCGAAACCGGCCTTTCTCGAATGTGCAGCTCACTTCTTAACGATGTTGATGCCGCCATCCTTCTTCTGCTTCTCCATAAACTGCCTCATCTCCTCCAAATCGTCCATCTCGTCGTCCTCCTCATCTGCCTTCTTCGCCTTGGGCTCTGGCGGCGCGACCGGTGCAGGAGGTAACTCTGCTTCTGGTCGATCTCGCATCTCTTTCGTCTCGTTTTCCCAAGCTTTCCTCTCTTCCTCGTCCAGCTCATCCCTTCGTTCCAGCCACCTCTCTTGCACATCGCGCGCATCCATTGTGACAGCGTCTTGCTGCATAGCCATTGACCACACCGTCTCGTTTGCGCCTTCGATGCCACCGAGCGCATAGCCACCTGCACGGTCTATGGCCCGCAGCAGTGTCATCATGCTCTTCTTGTCTTCTACTGCCAGTGTTTCAAAGCCTACGAGCGCAAAGTCCTCGACGAGCTCAACGATCGCTTTGTTCAACGCCGAAAACTTCGACGTTGGCTCGTCGCCGTCGTCCATGTCCACATTATGCGCGCCAACCGATGTAGGCCCTGGTATACCGGAGGTTTGTTCACGGTTCAGGTGTGGCAGGAGGTAGTGCAGGTCTTGCACTTCGGTATAGAAGTCGAGATTGAAGGGCAGGTTTGGGTAATTTTGCAGGTTGTCGATCTTCGTGAGCACGTTCAGGTGGGGGAGGTCCATCTGCAGCATGCTGCGCAGGGCGAGGAGCAACGATGAGACATATAGCGACGGGCGCGAGAGAATGATGGAGTCGGTCAGGTGTACGACGACAAGCTGAGCCGTGTTAGCTTGTTGCTGCTTGCATTGGGTGGTGGGCGAATACTCGATACCCAAGTTTTTGGAGGCGAAAGAAGATGTTGCGCAGCGATGCGTGCGACGTGAAGAGCTCGACTTGCCCAGGGCAATCGAACAGAATATAGTCATCTACGACTCTCAGCATTGCTCCTGTTTCTACAGAACTGTGGCGTGCGGACCTCCGAGCTCCTTCAACCCTTCTTCCAGCCAGTCGAAGTTGTGTTCCAGCTCCTCCAAAGCATAAAGAATGCCACCGTTTGGTCCAAGCGATTCCTGCTCCATGATTTCGTCTATTGTGACCAAGTCTCGCACGTCTACTGCGGGCTCATATGAGCAGTGATCGTTGGCGGGGTCGAGATTGACGACCGAGCATTTGCGCTCGATAGCGCCCATGAACTGCTGCATGCCATCGCAGTACGTCGACTTGCCAGAGCCTGGCGGGCCTATCACCAGCTGAGCGAACGGCATTGTGGTGTTGCGTCACAGAACAAAAGAGCTCTGAGAGCATTAGAAGTCTGGTGAGGGGGGGGGGGGGGGGGGCTAGTAAGCCCTACGACATCTTAGTCAGCCATGTTGTGCGGGTGAGCTGGACCTCGAGCTTTCCAAGCACCAGCTGTTTGTTGCAAACATCGCCAACATGTCCAGCCAATTTGAGCTCGCACAGAACCCTACCGAGCCCATATCGTCCGTCACATTCTCGCCGCGCACACCGACGCGATTGTTGGTATCTTCGTGGGACAGACATGTTTACCTCTACGACACACACGGCGAGCCTGGCGGCAAGCTGCTGCAGAAATTCGAGCACCGCGCGCCAGTGTTAGACGTGTGCTTTGGTCGTGACGACAACGAAGCCTTCAGCGCAGGGCTCGACTGGGAAGTGAGAAGGTGCATTCGCCCACAACACCCAATACAACCTCCAAGCTGACGAACAACAGAATCGACCTGTCCAGCGGCGCGCAAACAGTCCTCTCCACCCACTCCCAAGGCGTCCGTAACATCCTCTACTCTGCCCCACACAACCTCCTCATCTCCGCATCATGGGACGCAACCCTGCACTTGCACGACCTCTCCAACCCCGGCGACTTCTCCTCCATTAGCCTGCCGTCCAAACCCTTCTCCCTCACCGCGTCCCCCACAAAACTCGTTGTCGCAATGGCCAGCCGCGCAGTGAACATCTACGAGCTCAGCGCGTTATCGAGCGCCGCAAAGCAGGGTGGCGGAGAAACAGTAAACGTCGAGCCCTGGCAGCGGAGAGAGAGCTCAATGAAGTACATGACGCGCGCGGTCGCGTGCATGCCGAATGATGCTGGGTACTCGAGCTCGAGCATTGAGGGACGTGTAGCGGTCGAGTGGTTCGATCCGAGTGAGGAGAGCCAGGCTAGGAAGTACGCGTTCAAGTGCCATCGTCAGAATGTGGATGGGCAGGATGTCGTGTACCCGGTCAATGCGCTGGCATACCACCCTGTACACGGGACATTTGCGACAGGTGGTGGTGACGGCGTTGTAGCGTTGTGGGATGCAGTTGCAAAGAGGAGGATAAGACAGTACCAGAAGTTCCCCGCGAGCGTACAGACGATCGAGTTCTCAGCTGACGGAAAGTTCATGGCCGTTGGTGTCAGCCCAGGATTCGAGGATGGTGTGGACGATGTACCAGATGGTGTCATCAAGGTATTCATTAGGGAGCTCAGCGATACAGAGGCGCAGGGCAAGAAGAAATAGAGGATATCAGTATGGATGGGATGGAGTATGGCGTTCACGTGGCATGGCCATGAATGGAAGAGACATTTGTATGTTGCATACCCAGAGCTGACACGGAAGGTTACACAATACAACATACCACAAGGATCCGTTGAAACTGCACCGGACATCACATTGATCTTGAGGACGGCACGCCTTACGCATGATGCTTCACAATTCTTCTTTACATATGCACAGCATCAGGGTAACTGGGCGGATATTATAGTAGGTTCAACCACTACGGGCCTTGATCTAGCACTGACGCCGCCATAGTCTACATTCCCCCGCTGAAGATAAGACTTCCACGCTTGATAGACGGCATGGCTCGGGTACAATTAAATTTCGTGTACCTGTTACAGTCTGACAGTTAAGGATCGCTCTACTCGCGAACACACATCTCGCCTTTTCACTTTGCGCACTCGCCCACAGAACTTCAGCACTTCACAAGCTCGCATTCGATGGCTCGGTACCTCCTCGCAGACTTCCATCGCCTTTCATCCACCTATCCGAGTCTGACGAATTACTCTGCCGCTCACAAATTCGGTAGTCGTATCCATCCTTAGCTTCCGTTGGTCTTAAATGGACCCAAAGCGCTCACCAAGACCCTGCGCCAGCTTCGGGATAATCGAGTCCGCCCGGAAAGAAAGTTTCATTGTAGCGGACCTACAACCACCTCGTTCGAGCTCGAGCCGTTTGGTATGTCGTGCAAGGCCAGGTGGACTCTTCAGTGTTCTGCGAAATGCAGCGACGTTGCATCCTTTCATCGTCGGTGTTTCCAATACCATCCTTTCTGGCTGATCGTCCGCATTGACTCCAGAGACAAGTACGAGCAACCTATCATGATGTAAGCCAACACGAAGCGACACTGCTGCGTAAAGATGCGGTATAGTGATGCGATGGAGGTGACGCCAAACCAGACACAGTTTCGGGTATGTCCAATACGTAGTGCGGCCGTAGAACGTTCCAAGATACGAGATTATCATGCGAGGGAGGAGATGGAGGCAGATTCTAAGAGGAAGGTAGCTGCCCGTCAAGAGTCGCGGCAGCGCACGCGTTTCCTACTTTCACTCGAAGTCAATGGTGCAATGGTTTGTAACGTGCTCAGGGCCAATGTTCCGCTCGATCGTATGCACTCTTCACTCCGCCCTACCTAGCTTCCGTTGTCTGGAGGTCGTTAACGATGCCTTTCGGTAGCCAGTCTGATTTAGTGCATCCCTCCACTTCACTTCGCTTTCATCCGTCTGAGAGAGTGACTAGAAACACCATTGCTTGAAGGTTGTCAGCCGTGCATCTGAATGGGCGCAGGTTAGATACCTCAGCACGTATCATTGCCGCTTAAACGAGGGTACCATATATCCAATCCTACCTACATGATGCCCATCCCCATCCAGATCACCTTAATCATAATTCATAACATCATAACTCATCCCTCACCAGCCCCGAGGATCCCTTCAATATCTTTCATAAGCTCTTCATCACCTTCCTCGCCCTCACAGCCTGAAGGAAAGCCCCATAGCTCCAGGTCAGATCCCGCGCTCCCGTCATGAACCCGGTCTCCTTGTCAAACTGCTCGCTCATGCTGCCTTCAGCATCGACATGTCGTCGCACAACTGCCAAAAATTGATCGCCTACAGCACCTAGACGCTCGATGATGGAGTGGAACAATGCATCGCTGGGCCCGTAGGCGCCTTCATTGACGTCGAGGCTGGATGAGGCAAGGAGAGAGGTGTAGAATGGCATAGACGTCGGTGAGATAATAAGGTTCGCCGAGGTGGAAATATGGGATGCGGTGCGGTAAAGGACTTCGGCAGCGCTGGATGTGCAGAGGAACCAAGGGTTTCCGTGGTGTGTAGTAGAATAGCCGTTGTACGTGTCTTCAGGGTAGCGACCAAGCCCTGTACCCTCGAACGGTTCTTCTTCGTCTGCGTCTACCTCCTCGTCGTCGGACGAGGACCAAGGGCTGCTGTTGATAGGGAAGCGATCTCGCTGATCGCGAGTCAAAGCGAGAAGGGACGCAAGAATCTTGTCAGACCATGGTGGATACACAGCATCGTCGTCCGAGCCATCAGCCGGCAAAGCGTGCAGCGAGCCAAGTAGAAGACCACAGTCAAGTCCAGATCTCTTGCTCCACAGCGTCTCTACGAGATGGCCCTTCTGCTTGTTCCAGAACTTGGAGAGTAGGTTCTCAATATACCCAGCCTGCAGTGTATACCAGTCCGCCGCGCCAAGATCGCCGAATGCGCGTGCAAGCTGGCTGCCCTCACGCAGACTCCGCGCGCTGACCATAAGCGTGAAAAAGTGCAGGCCTTCGACTTCCTCCCACAGATCGAAGCCTGACTGGTTCCAGTAGTGGCTCACGTACTCTAGGTCGGCTTTGATGACGCTGGTCGGTGGCATACTTGCCTCGTAGAAGGGTGCGAAGAAGTCGTCCGCTCGAGACGAGGTCCATAGCGTAGGGTGCGAGGCGTTGTATTCGTGAAGGTAGTGGATGAGTGTGAGGGCGCGTAGGGCTGGACCGTCTCGCTGGGGTCGTCCCCAGGAACCTGTGAACGACGTGCCGTCGATCTCAAACTTGGGCTCGCCGAGGCCTGAGAGGTCATCGAAGGTGCCGGATGGGTTAGAGGTGTGTTGGATCATCTGCTGCAAGGATGTGTATGCATCGAGGATGCTCGAGAGCTTCCCGCCGAGTGGAGAGGATGTGTCTTCGGCGTATACGTCTACGAGAGTGTTCATGGTGATCGCGGCATCTCGAACCCCTACGTCATGTCAGACTTCGTGTATGCTTGTGCCATCTCCTTGAACTCACACTGATACCAGTAGTCTGGCCCGGCCTGACTTGGACTTGCGACTACTGTGCCGGGTGCTACGCCCTGTCCTTCGACGTTGCGCCCACCTGGTGAGACGTTCGCCAGCAGCTTGTCCAGCGCTATCCGCTCTTCCTGTTGTATCCACGCATCGAGTGTATCATGCAGCGGCTGCTGGTGTTTCTGTGCATCGGCGATGCCGAGGAAGTTGAGGTGAGGTAACGGCGGTATCGAGAAGGCATATGTGTAGGGCGCGAAGGGCGCGAAGGACGCAAAGGACGCGAGAAGGAGGGCGCTAGGTAGCATGGCCGCTGGAAGTCAAAGGCGACTGCGGAGAATGTGTGTGCTTGGTGTAGGAATAGTTCAGTAGGTCATACCTGCTACAACAATAGGGAAAGAATAGAGAAGGTGCATGAGTAGTAAGATAATCGTCGACATTCAACAGAGCAACTACGCCGGGCCCCAACCTCACCCACACATCATCCCCATACTAGTCATCGATCGTGGCATGTGCCCCACCGCCATGCCCATTGTCCACTGCCTAGTGGCCCTGTAGCGAGTCGGGAATCGTGGAGGCGGTCCAAGGTCGAGGAAGTTTGGTCCTGACGTGGGCGGGTGATGTGAACCAAAGTGTGTCACGCGACGTGTTCGACCAACCAGAGGTTATGGAAGTCCGCGATGACGCCTGGGAGATCCGGGTAAACAAGGAAGTTGTGATTGTGCGAGCGATGCCGGCTAGGCAACCTCGGATGTGAGGACTAGCAGATGTCAAAATCAGTGAGGGTTCACATGTTCGCTTCTCTGGGTCTCAAGTTCAGAGTTCCTGCATGTGAAGAGGTAAAAGTGCTTCATCATTACGCTCCTATACAAGCTATACAAAACAGCTCATAACAATACAACTCACACAAAGCCAAAGCCTCACCCAACGCCGCATCTCAGACGCAAAGCCCTAAAGGGGTATCTCGCGAAAGAAAAGCCATAATCATCAGACCGAAAACATCGTAATACTATAAGACAACGCAAGCAATGCAATGCAAAAGGGCCGCTCCCAACCTGCAAGCCATGCTGGTGCGCAAAGGCAACCTCAATCTCAAATCACGCTCAATGCATCGTTACGTCGCGTCTAAACGCTCAATCCAAATTTGTCCTCCCCACTGTCCTTCTTGCTGTTTCTCTTCTTCGCTTTTCCTTTCTTTTTGATGTGTTCGTTACGTTCGTTGGGCGGCGTGTGTGCGCGCTGACTGCCCGGCGTGCTCGAGTCTCCTACTCTCAGGCCCTTGACTTCCTTCAGCACGTCGCGGAAGCCCTCTTCTAGTGTTGTCATCCTGGCTAGCATGATCCTACTCATGCGGTTCGAATCCGATTCAGTATCGCTGCCCTTACGCTCCATGCGTGCTTCTGCTCTAGCTCGCGCTGCGAGTTCGAACTGGGTTGTAAAAGAGGCAGGGATGGTGTTCAGGTTGCCGAAGTTGGGGTTGTTATTGTTGTCACCAAGATCGGAAGCGAGGTCGAGCGCCACAGCGTTGAAGGAGGGAGTGCGATTTTGACGTTCCAGAGCAAGGAAGTTCGACAGATTGGGTGTCTTTCGACCTGTATCGGGAGGCATGATTGCGCGCGTCCGAGAGGCTGAGGCGTGGCTGATGTGGCTCACGGGTTGTGGGCGCTTTGGTGTTTTCATACCAGACAACATGGGTCCGTCGAGACGACCCGGTGTGGCCGTTCCGCTACGAGAGCCCAGCTTCAGTCGCTTCTCAGGAGAAGTAGGGCGTGACACATCAATCGTTTCCTTCGTTGGGCTGAATAAGATGGTGCTTGTAGAGGTATTGCGAGTGTGTCCCGGATTGTTCTTCCTGCTAGGCGACATGCCTTGGCCACCAGGTGCGCTGGTGTCTGATGGTGAAGATGCTCTCGCTGGAGTGCGTGCAGGTGTCTTCGGCTTGGCTACCATTGGCGTGCGGAAGAACTCGTCTTCGGATGTTGCGTAGCCCGATTTTGGCTTCTTGTTCTCCTTGTCGGACATTGGCAGGTTCTTCGGGGTAGTCTGGCGGTCTGAGTTGGAATCGTTATCTTCGGCCTGGGTCAACAACTCATCGTCTCCATCCGCGTCAGTCTGTTGTGGTATGTCATCGTCCATATTGGGCTCTTCCTCCTCCAGAATCGGACGAGGGAAAGTTACAAAGCTCTCATCCGGATCCGAGGCTACACTTCTAGTGAAGGAAAGCGGATGCCTTCGCCTAGGCTGACCAGCGGTGTTCGAGCGGCGCAGATATGGCCTGGCGCGGGACTCGAGACGATCAAGGACTGATTGGGCATCCTCCTGCGGTGGGGTAACCTCTTCATCATTGCTCATCTTCTTCATCCAGTCTGATACTACATTGCTTGAATTCCTGCGACCAGAAGGATAGTTTGAGGGCGCTTGGACGCTAGTGTCACGGTAAGGTCGGCGGAAAACCTCTTCCAGAGCGCGATCTTTGTGGAAAGTTGTGATGGAAGGTTCGCGCAGTCGAGGGTTGAAAGATTCAACAGCGCCGCGGATGCTGAAGGCTGGCACTATAGGTGATGCAGTCCCAGGGCGTCCGCGGTTCTCGACCAGGTCGGTAGGTCCGTAAGCCAAATTTGAGAGAAGAAGCCTTTCGTACACGAAGATCGTGAACAGGATCGGAATATGTGTCAGCTTGATGACGAGTCTGTTCATGCGGATGAACTTCTTGAATGGCATCATGTACTTGAGCGGGATAAGGAGCCAGCCTACGATGTTTGTTGGAGGAATGTATGAGAAGAGAGCGTCAGACTTGACCATCGAGATGGTGTTGACCGCAAAGAGGAACTGGTGCTCCTCGTTGGCGTTCTGGACGATCTTCATGAACGAGTTCGTCAACACTGTAATCAGTATGGTGACGATGAGGAAATGACACATGAAGAGAAACAAGGCTAACAAAGCCTTGCCTAAGATGTTATACTCCGTCCAAAGGTCCCACGCTGCTGGTGTGAAACCCATGAGCAGCTGGAAGATGGCGTATGCAGCATTCGAGGCTCCAATCTCCTTGCCAAAAGCCAGACTGAAAGCGACGAAGAAGCCACTGCAGGCAATGACAATGAGGACCAGGATGGCGACCAGGTCCATGGCCATCATTCGGAAGGCGATGAGCAGCTGGGAGAAGTATTGGTAGTGGTCCAGAGCTGAGAAGAGACGAGGAAACAGAAGCACTGCAGTCGATCCCAGGACGTCGTACGCCATGCTAGCCACATGGTGACGGCTGACGTCCGGCATGAGGATACCGTACAGACGGAGGATATAGTATGCCATGAACATCAGCAAGATACCAAGATCGAAGGCATTCCAGACGCTCATGATGTACAGTCCAAAGCCCTGTTCAGAGAATCCAACGATCTCGTCCAACATGTATCCAGCACTCCAGAACCAGAAGATGACTTCCAGAACCGTGATGTCGTCCGATTTCTCAGCAAGTACAGCCAGGAACAGGCCCAGCATGATACCGAAGGAGAGGGTCGAGAAGAGATTGCGGTAGCGGGGAACTCGAAGACGGGAGAGCTTGAAGAGCGAAGAGTCGTGGGGATCGTAGAGGGTCACTGTCCGTCTCATGAGCGCTGAGGCTGGCAGCTCGGCATTGGACTGCTTGGGCGGTGGCAGACGGCGCGATGGCCCTCTAACGGGAGAAAGCTCATCACTCGGAGGGTCGCTGCGGCTGTGGGAAGAGTCAGGTTTGCGGTGAAGACTGTCAGCGACGGAGTGGAAGACGATCGTGCCAGCCCAGATAGCCTCCAGCTGCTGCACAACCAAGGGATGGGCGAGGAACTTCTTGGCTTGAGCGCGAATAGCGATCTCCAACGCAGAGATGCGCGCATCACGCTGTCCCTGACGCGCCCAGTTTGCGCCACCTGGAGGTGTCTCGAGGCCTTGCAGAGGGTCGTAATCGTAGCTCAGCGCATCAATCAGCTCTCGCGTGGAGAACTCTTTGAGCAGCCGCATAGCCAGCAGCTCACACAGGAGCGCCCGCGTCTTGCTGACTCCTACATTTCCAGGATTTGCCTCTCCCTCCTTCCTGAATTGGAGGCAGTTTGCTACCAAGCAGTATAGAGCACCGCGTGAGAAATGCTCTGCGCGGATCTGCTGTTGTATGGGCTTGACGAGAAACTGCGAAACCTGCGGCGAGCGCAGTTGGTCCCAGCTGAGAGTTGTTTCGCACCGCTGGACGACAATTGTGCGTATGGCGTGGGTGTTGTTGTAGATGGGAATGCGGTCTAAAACTTCCTGTTAGCGCAGTAAACAATGTTCACATGCAACAACTCAACCCACCTAGGAACTCTGAAGAGAAGACTGGCAGCAACGGACCGTCGCGCCGACGTTCTTCGTCTTCGTCGTCAACCTCGCCATCGTACTGTCCTAAATCTTCTTCGTAGTCGTCATCGCCCTCAGACGCCTCGTCGTGGCGGTTGCGGTACTTGTGTATTGCTGCAAGTAGGGGCGTAGTCTCAGACGACCGACTACTCTTCTTCGAGCGCAACAATGAGGCGAACATTGGGATGCCCTCACTCCTTCCTACAGAGCAGCAGTCCTCGTGGCAGCGCGAGCGCGGGGTGGAGGAGGTAGTAGTAGTAGTAGTAATAAACAAGAAGTCTAGGGGAAAGACCCTCAACAGAACCCGGCTTCCTACCCTACCAATTTCGTACCACACCCGATTCACCGCCTCTCAAGCCGCCATGCCGTTCTTCGCCGCCATGCTGAGACGAGATGATCATGAGGATGGCACAATGCTTCCTGTTATCTGCGCGCTCTATTTCCCCACGATTCCTGACGCGCTGCCAGCCAATGATCACGCTTGGTCTCCCACGGTGTCGCCAATCACCCTTGCATGTGCAATGACGAACGCGCTACTTATGCACGTCTCCCGGGCCTCAGCGCGAGTTCCCTACCAAAGTGGGCATCATCATCGCTCTTGCACCACTGGCCGTCCGGGGTGCATATGCTCCAATTGCGCGAGTTCTGATATCCTTCACCTCTGAGTTCACTTGCTGGAGGACAATTGAGGTTTCTGAACCCACACCTTTGTTCCATGACTCGGTCCACCTTTGATACATTTCCGCTAGCGGTCTGGACCCCTTTCTGTATCTCTGTCCTTTGGACTGGGGTGCGCGCTGCCCTGCAGCAGCAAAGATTTCTTCGATCACGCCGCCAAGCGTCGGAGACGCTTGCCGCATTCACGCATTGTGAGCGTCCTGGAGAACGGTCGTTTATCGATGCCGATCCATCGGCTGCAGCCTCAATGGAGACCCTCACTCCTGCCGCGTGTATGCACCAACCAGGGTGCTTCGGTTCGCGCGAATTGCCTTCGATCAAGCCTCGTCGCTACGACGCAAATTTAGACATTCACACGGCTGACGTACCGCGCTGTGGTTCGACACGTCGGCTTGATTCCCGAATGCTCAACATTGCGACGTCGCTGCACACAAACTTCAAGATCATGCAAGGTTGTCTGCTGGACACGTGAACCTACCGATCTATCTGTGGCGAAGCAGACTCGACAACGTCCCTGCCGCGTGGACGCATGATGGCATGACAAGGTCGATCAGTATCGCGGCGGAAGAGTGATATGACTTCAATTTACTGACATCTGGAGGTCTTCAATCAGAGTTCTTCGAAGACAAGCTGGAAAGTACAGCACTTCCTTTCTATGCAATGTATGTCTGGTGACCAATGGGAGTAAGCTGACGGGAATTCTTCAGCCCCTTGAACAACTCTTCCTCAAACACCTCATGTGTCCCACAGCTTTGCGCTTCCTGCACTTTACATTCCCACCCACACCGAGTTTTCTTACCACAACCAACTGCCGTTCGAACTGGGACGGTATCTCGGCCATGGGCTTAATGGCCAAGTGATGAAGGTCACCTGTAAAGGCACCAAGCTGGCTTTGAAATGAGTATATAATGTCCACCATATCAAAAAATCCAACTGGAAGAAATCAACGTTCTCAAGAAACTGAGTCATCATCATATTGTCAAACTCTTGGGACATACTGGTTGAAACCGTATCTGGGACTCCTGATTTGGCCGGTTGCGAGCTGTGATCTTGATTGGATCTTGGAGACCCTGGATCTAGACGAAAAAGGACCCATCGAAGGACTTGGAAAAAGGTATCCCCCGCGATATGGAGGGCACCGATGGAGAGCAATCGGCGGATTCTATCGAGCGGACATGAGAGATAATGAAACTTGAGGACGAGAAAGAGGCTGGCATGAGAAAACGCCTCGAGGATCGTGAGATGAGCCGAGATGACTTTGATGCGATTGTTGCGAAGCTACCTCTCCTACCTGGGTGTTTGGCTTCGGCACTATCGTATCTGCACCATCAGAACGTTCGGCACAAAGGTGTCAAGCCCAGAAACATCCTGTCACCGGATGGCGCGTGGCTGACTGATTTTGGCTCCGCAAAAAGATTTTACAACTGATCTGACAAGTAGCAGCGAGAGCCGCGAACGTGGCACACTGCGCTACTGTGCCCCAGAAGTCGCACGGTATGAGCGAAGTGGGCACTCAGCAGATGTGTTCTCGCTCGGATGTTGTTTCCTTGAGCTTCTAGTCGTTTTCGAGTCACCGCACGGGCTTGTTGAGCTGCAGAAGCTTCGGCCTGCGAACAAAGGCTCCTATGAAGTTAATCTGGACAAATCATACCAGTGGCTCAGCCTCATCGGCCTTACAAAGAGTGGTCATGAAGATGGAGGCTTCGCTGAACATGGACTAGACACCTTGCGTCTGACTATCAAACAGATGCTGTGCCCCGATCGTACCAAACGATTGACAGCAGTAGCTCTCCAGTTATGGCTAAAGAGTCTTGAATTTTACCAAGCCGGTAAATCTCCTGGAAAGTCCTGCCCGGGTTGCGATGAATGGTGCAAATATGATCCCATTCAAACATACCAACAACTCAAGAATACGAAATGCGAGAAACAGAGACTTCTACGGTTGGTATGAGTTCCTACATGGCTGATAGAGGCTAACAACACTTACAGTGCATACAAAAAAACCCCAGCATGCACTCGATAGGCAGGTGTACTGCGACTCTTGTGACACCCGTGGACCTTGAACAACATTCAACGTCACAAGGTAGCTCAGATCGGAAGCTGCGGTAGGACAAATCATTGTTCGATCAACGGCCATGATGTTTGTTGAGTAGTTCTGGAGGCAGACAAGAAGCGATCATATTGGATAAACATGTATCACATCTGGGAAATCTAGACGGGTATCGATCTGTTCTCATGCATTGCGTGAAGTTTGCAACGCTCATGCTCAAGAGAGAAGGAGCAGCCAGGCGCTCCGTCGCCTGCCGCCTTGCAACCTCAGTACCTGCCCTCAAATTGCTCCTGCGATACACCGCAACCACACACACGTGGTGCAGACTGCAGTGCGAAAGGTAAACAACCGGCACAGCACTGATCATCGGCCGCCATTGTTGGCTGCACTGTGCACAGCATATGCATGCTGCATTAGCCCAACCAACGCCCCGATCTTCCATCAACCAGAATCCATTGAAGGTAAGTGGTCAACGTACTGCCTCAAGTTCGAATTTAGTCAAAGCGATTCCTGCCACACTTTCCTTTGACATACTTACTGTAATGACAAGAGAAAGCAATGAACAATACTCTCAGAATAGGATGAGAAGCTTTACGTGAGTAATTGAGAACAGCAAAGTAGCTTAGACATAAGTTAGAACATCACTAACAAATTTATATAGGGGACTCAAAATTTCTTTCCTTGAACCATGGTTCATTGTGCGGAGGTATGCCACCCCTACAACGCATGACCAATCGAAACAGACTATTCGAGTCTCTTTGAGCACTCGACCCCAATTTTGACTGATGACACTTGTACTCTTTAGGAGGACTGAGAGATCGACTGCGCTGAGCTTTTGACGTCCTGAAAACAGGTGCATGCTCTTGGCGGGCAGTTTGGGTAACAATAGCAGAGAAGGCCTGTCTTACAGCGCAGAAACCCGTCATTCGACAACAAGTTCTGGAGAAACATAACAAAAATTGACTTTTGATAAAGAGCGATAACTACAGAACTCATTAGCAAACACAGTTTTTGTACCTAGCTATAAGGTTCAAGTTCCTCGATAGTCTACATAAGCATGTCCCAGCAGACCTGTAAAAACGTTACACAGCTACCGTCATACACAATACCATCAACATTCAACTAACTCAACTTCTGAAGAAGTGCTTGATATAGAGTCTAGGACGGTGACTAAAAGACCTTGTTTTACGATGTTCCTGCCCACACTCAAAGCTGGTTCCACTGAAGGACTGCGAAGGTTTACAGCGGCCTTATCTGGAAATATACTCGGACGTTGCAGGTCTTTGAAAAGCTTTCGGTAAAGAGCTGCGACCCTTGTTTCTCGTGCGATTGAAGGACTCGATATAGCGAAAGGTATTGCAAAAAGTTACGTTGGCCTCCTTGTCCCTGAAGAAGTCAGATACGACATTAGTCACTATTTTATTTTGAAAAGTAGATAGCAGATCTTCAGCAAATTCTAGACGGTAATTTTATACGAGCAAAGTATTTCGTAGTCCTCTTTTTGTTTTTGGGGCTTAAAGACTAGCGCAAATCTGCTTTGAACTCCTAAAGACTGGAGGATTGCGGTCGTGGAGCCGGCACTCTTCGCAATATGAGGAATCGGGCAAAGCAAGTGAAGTTGTCTTCGTTACCTGGCACGCGGTGCGGGAAAATAAGCCCACCGCGAACAGCTGCTTTCCCTTACTAAAACTGCGACCACCAACACCTTGCCTCCTGTTGTACGACTATAATATTGTAGCGGTGTGGACCGCTGTAGAATACTGATAGCTATGGTAAACGATAACGTAGGACTATCGGGTCGATGGAATACTGCGCTGGATTGTAATCTAGCTAGGAGGAGACGACTATATACCTGACCTGTGACACACTAGTCCAGGGTTGTGGTCAGGGGTATAGTCAGACACTGTACGGACCACCCGATACCGCAACAAATATAATAACAACAAAACATTAGGGTTTACTTTCTCTTGAAGAGGAAAGCCAGTGTAATCCTCTACAATCTAGCTTATTTACTTCTTTAATTCAAGCAGGGCTGTTGCAGCCTAAGGGTGCTGTTGTGAAGGACTTTTGGCGGTGGGCATATTTTCTCCTACCGCGTGCCTGGGTCGTCGTCGATGTTTCCATCACATCAGAGCGACCAACGTCAACCGCGAACATGGGTGAGGCGACCCCGCGGCGCGCGATTGGCAGGTTTGGCGAGGCTTCATCACACCGCATTCAGCTCTGGGCGATCAGTGTCACTCGAGAAAACAAGTCTTGGACTTCAACATGCTGCAACGAAGATGGGAACGAAGCTAGCTGTTGACAAAATGGCAGTAAAATACAACAGTAGTTGTAGGTATTCAAGAACTGTTATACCGAATTCAAAAATTTGAAGATGTTGAGCACAACGACGTCCGGATCGGCGTGAAGAGGCTAAATGGCCGCTAGCAAGGTGGGGCCAATCAAGCACCCCGCTGCTGCAGTCGTAAGAAAAAAAGTTTCGATTCGCAAGAGAGCTCTTCTCTCCTCTCCTCCACCATTTTTCGGCAGTCTCGATTCTCCAGGGTACTTTGAGCCCTCGAGCTGTCACTCACTTCACAAACCATGGCCACACGCCCCGATGAGAGCCAGAACCTGGCGCTTGAGCTCCAAGATGGCTACGTCTGCTTCGGCAGGAGCTTTGGTGCTGAGAAGAGCATTGCTGGTGAATTGGTCTTCCAGACTGGTATGGTGGGTTATCCCGAGTCGATAACTGACCCATCGTACCGCGGCCAAATTCTGGTCATCACGTTCCCTTTGGTGGGCAACTACGGTGTGCCCTCGCGCGAAGACCTCGATGCGCTCGCTCAGGGCATTCCGGCGCACTTCGAGGCCAGAGAGATCCATATTGCTGGTCTCGTTGTCCAGACATATGCCGAAGAGGAGTTCTCACACTACATGGCCGCCTCTTCGCTGGGCGCTTGGCTCAAGGAGCAGGGCGTGCCTGCCATCACTGGCGTCGATACCCGCGCTCTGACGAAGCGCATCCGTGAGGAAGGAAGTATGCTTGCTCGCTTGAGACAGCGAACAGGGCCTTCTCCCTCTTCCACAGCTCTTACCAACGGCGCGGTCGACACTGCGGCGCTGGCTGACGGCGAGGACGAGGACTGGAGCAGCGCCTTCGAGCAGATCGAATGGGTAGACCCCAACAAGAAGAATCTGGTGGCTGAAGGTGATAATCTCTGTTGTCTGTTCAAGTGATCTTGTCTGACGTCTGCACAGTCTCCATCAAAGAACCCAAGCTCTTTTCTCCCGACCCTTCCACAGCTCTCAAGCACCCCTCCGGCCGCCCAGTACGTGTAGTAACTGTCGATGTCGGTCTTAAATACAACCAGCTGAGATGCTTCCTCCGGCGAGGTGTCGAGGTCCTGCAAGTGCCGTGGGACTACGACTTCCCTCAGCTTGCCGGTAAGGACTACGATGGTCTCTTCATCTCCAACGGTCCTGGTGACCCAGCCAAGATGGAGGCCACCGTAAAGCACATCAAGGCCGCCATGGATGAGGCACGGACACCCATCTTCGGTATCTGTCTTGGTCACCAACTGCTCGCAAGAGCATCGGGCGCCGAGACGCTCAAGATGAAGTTCGGTAACCGTGGTCACAACATTCCCTGTACAAGCATGATCACTGGAAAGTGCCACATCACATCGCAGAACCACGGTTTCGCAGTGGACTCCAAGACTCTGCCCAATGGCTGGGAGGAGCTCTTCGTCAACGCCAACGACGGCAGTAACGAGGGTATCCGCCACGTTCGCCGACCATACTTCAGTGTGCAATTCCATCCTGAGCATACACCCGGTCCCCGCGATACCGAGTACCTCTTCGATGTGTTCATCAGCACCATCCAGAAGTCGATTGCCTCTTCAGAGACCATGACCCAGCCTGTGGAGTTCCCTGGCGGCACACTTGAGGAGAACAAGAAGTTGACACCCCGTGTCGAGGTTAAGAAGGTCCTTGTCCTTGGTAGTGGTGGTCTCAGCATTGGACAGGCTGGAGAGTTCGATTACTCCGGAAGTCAGTGTATCAAGGCTTTGAAGGAAGAGGGCATCTACACCATCCTCATCAATCCTAACATCGCCACAATTCAGACATCGAAGGGCCTTGCCGACAAGGTCTACTTCCTCCCAGTCAACGCCGACTTTGTTCGCAAGGTTATTCAGAAGGAGCGCCCCGACGGTATCTATGTCACCTTCGGTGGTCAGACTGCCCTTCAAGTCGGTATCCAGCTCAAGGATGAGTTCGAGGGTCTCGGCGTCAAGGTTCTGGGAACACCCATCGATACCATTATCACAACCGAGGACCGAGAGCTGTTCGCTCGTGCCATGGACTCCATTGGCGAGAAGTGCGCCAAGTCCGCGTCTGCCAACAGTACCGAGGAGGCCATGCGTGTCGTTAAGGACATCGGCTTTCCTGTCATCGTCCGCGCTGCCTATGCTCTTGGTGGACTCGGCAGTGGTTTCGCCGACAACGACCAGGAGCTGCTTGACCTGTGCAACAAGGCATTTGCCGCCAGTCCCCAGGTCCTTATCGAGCGCAGTATGAAGGGATGGAAAGAGATCGAGTACGAAGTCGTCCGCGATTGCCGCGACAACTGTATCACCGTCTGTAACATGGAGAACTTCGACCCCCTCGGTATCCACACTGGAGACTCCATTGTCGTTGCTCCATCCCAAACCCTGTCTGACGAAGACTACAACATGCTCCGTACCACGGCTGTCAACGTCATCCGTCATCTTGGTGTTGTCGGAGAGTGCAACATTCAGTATGCGTTGAACCCATTCTCCAAGGAGTACTGCATCATTGAAGTCAACGCTCGTCTGTCGCGTTCGTCTGCCCTTGCCTCGAAGGCTACCGGGTACCCTCTCGCTTTCGTCGCTGCCAAACTTGGTCTTAACATTCCCTTGAACGAGGTCCAGAACTCGGTCACACGCTCGACTTGCGCCTGCTTTGAGCCCTCGCTCGACTACGTCGTCGTCAAGATTCCTCGTTGGGACTTGAAGAAGTTCACTCGTGTCTCCACACTCCTCGGCTCCTCTATGAAGAGTGTTGGTGAGGTCATGAGTATTGGCCGAACCTTCGAAGAAGCCATTCAGAAGGCCATCCGCGAGGTTGACCCAAGCAACATGGGTTTCAACGAGACTGCCGCCCTTATGGAGATTGACCAGGAGCTTCAGACGCCCTCTGACCAGCGTCTGTTTGCCATCGCCAACGCGATGAAGTCTGGTTACACCGTCGACAAGATTTGGGAATTGACCAACATCGACAAGTGGTTCCTCAGCCGTCTCAAGTCCCTCAGTAACTTCGAGATTTCCATGTCGAACTACAACACCTCGAGCATCACCCTGCCGCTGCTCAAGAAGGCTAAGGAGCTTGGTTTCTCCGATCGCCAGCTGGCCAAGTTCTGGGGCTCGAACGAGCTTGCTGTCCGTCGCGTACGTGTTGATCACGGTATCTTTCCGGTTGTCAAGCAGATTGATACCGTTGCTGCTGAGTTCCCCGCTCACACGAACTATCTATACCTCACGTACAACGGTACTGAGCACGACATCTCGTTCAATGACAAGGGTGTGATGGTCCTTGGTTCGGGTGTGTACCGTATCGGTTCCTCGGTCGAGTTCGATTGGTGCTCCGTTCGCGCCATCCGTACTCTACGCGAAAATGGGTTCAAGACCGTTATGATCAACTACGTAAGTCATTGTAGCCACCAAAGGTACTCATCAGCTTGCTAACGATTCCCCGATAGAACCCGGAGACTGTCTCCACCGATTACGATGAGGCCGACCGTTTGTACTTTGAGAACATCTCCCTCGAGACTGTCCTTGATATCTATACCCTGGAGAACTCTAGCGGTGTGGTCATTGTAAGTATGATCTTTAAGTAGTGATACACATGCTAACGACTTCACAGAGCATGGGAGGCCAAACGCCTAACAACATCGCTCTGCCTCTCCACCGTATGAACGTTAAGATTCTCGGTACTTCTCCTGAGATGATTGATACCGCAGAGAACCGTTACAAGTTCTCTCGTATGCTTGACCGCATCAATGTCGACCAGCCTGCATGGAAGGAGCTTACCAGCATCGAGGAGGCCAGAGAGTTCTGCGATCGTGTTTCATACCCCGTGCTCGTGCGTCCTTCGTACGTTCTGTCCGGCGCCGCGATGAACACTGTCTACTCTGAACATGACTTGGCCAATTACCTCAACCAGGCTGCCGATGTGTCTAAGGAGCACCCGGTCGTCATTACCAAGTACATTGAGAACGCCAAGGAGATTGAGATGGACGCTGTGGCACGTAATGGTACCATGATTGGCCACTTCATCTCAGAGCACGTTGAGAATGCCGGTGTCCACTCCGGTGACGCTACCCTTGTTCTCCCTCCTCAGGATCTGTCCCCGGAGACCATTCGTCAGATCGAAGACGCTACTCGAAAGATTGGCTCGGCTTTGAACATCACTGGCCCATACAACATCCAGTTCATTGCGAAGGACGACGAGATCAAGGTCATTGAGTGCAATGTCCGCGCTTCTCGATCCACACCCTTTGTGTCGAAGGTTATGGGCGTTGATCTCATCGAGATGGCGACCAAGGCTATGGCTGGCCTGCCACTGACCGAGTACCCCGCCACCAATATCCCTAAGAACTACGTCGGTGTCAAGGTTCCTCAGTTTTCATTCTCTCGTCTCTCTGGTGCCGACCCTGTTCTTGGTGTAGAAATGGCATCTACTGGTGAGGTTGCCTGCTTTGGTCGCGATAAGTACGAGGCCTACATCAAGGGCCTTATCGCCACTGGCTTCAGACTGCCCAACAAGAACATCTTGTTCTCCATCGGTTCGTTCAAGGACAAGCTTGAGATGCTGCCTTCCATCCAGAATCTTTACAAGATGGGCTACAACCTGTTTGCTACCGCTGGTACTGCGGATTATATTCAAGAACACGGTCTCCCGGTCAAGTTCTTGGAGGTCCTGCCGCCTGGCGAGCACGATGAACAGAAGTCGGAGTACTCTTTGACACATGCTTTGGCAAACAACTTGATCGATCTGTACATCAACTTGCCCTCGAGCAACCGCTTCCGACGACCCGCCAACTACATGTCCAGGGGTTACCGCACTCGTCGTATGGCTGTCGACTACCAGACTCCTCTCGTGACAAACGTCAAGAACGCGAAGATTCTGATCGAGGCTATTGCCCGTCACTACGATCTCGCCATTAGTTCAGTCGACTTCCAGGAGTTTGTGCCTGAGGCTGGAGCTCACGATGATTCCTACGGACAGCTGTCGAAGAGCAACTCGCTGTCCCTGCCTCAGTTACTCGCCAAGTCCCCTTTCAAGCGCAAGCACATTACGTCTGTCAAGCAGTTCAGCCGAGCCGACCTTCACTTGCTTTTCACCATTGCTCAGGAGATGCGCCTTGGTGCTCAGAAGCAAGGTTGTCTCGACATCCTCAAGGGCCGCGTCCTGTGCACCATGTTCTTCGAGCCCTCGACACGAACATCTGCATCATTTGATGCAGCCATGAAGCGTCTTGGTGGTGAGGTCGTCATTGTCAACGAGTCAGTCTCTTCTACCAAGAAGGGCGAATCTATCGGCGATACCATCCGCACTCTGGGATGCTACGGTGATGCCATCGTTCTCCGTCACCCCGACGAGGAGTCGATCGACATCGCTGCTAAGTTCTCCGGTGTGCCCGTCATCAACGCTGGCAACGGTAGCCGTGAGCACCCTACTCAGGCACTCCTTGACATCTTCACCATCCGTGAGGAGCTTGGATCTGTTAACGGTCTCACCATCACCTTCGTCGGTGACCTCAAGTACGGCCGCACAGTCCACTCGCTCTGCGAGCTGCTGTCTCACTACGGCTGCACTGTCAACCTGGTGTCGCCCGAGTCCCTCAGCATGCCCAGCTCTGTTCGTGAGGCCCTCAAGTCTCGTGGTCAGCTGAAGACGATCTCCAACGAGCTTACACCTGAGATCATCGCCTCCTCTGACGTCCTGTACTGCACTCGTGTGCAGAAGGAGCGCTTCCCAGATGTTGCTAGCTACGAGCGGGTCAAGGACTCGTTCGTCATCGACAACAAGGTACTCAAGCAGGCGAAGACCAACATGATTGTCATGCATCCACTGCCAAGGAACAACGAGATCCATGAAGAGGTGGACTTTGACCCCAGGGCGGCATACTTCAGACAGGTGAGTATCCTGACCACGGCAATCAACAGCATTACTGACAATTTCACAGATGAGATACGGGTTGTACACTCGCATGGCACTGCTTGCTATGGTCATGGCCCCGTAAGCGTGTATAGAATTGCGTACCATTTACGTGCTCACGAGCATCCTGTACTTGTTTTCGATTTCCGGCGTTTCACGAAAAGCACAAAACCTACAAGGCGTTCATTTCGTTCCACTTTCTAGTAGAAGCATCAACTAGACTTCAAGCATTAGATAGGCGTTCAACCACCGTGTGGTCACGGTGTCGTTTCACGATCATGGGTACATGTATGATGTAAATTTTTCAAATCACGGTATGGGGGAAGCTATTTCATTTTTATTTCAGCGTACTTTGGCGTTTTTACTGGTTAGTGGGGGGGCTATTTCATTTTTTCGGCGGCGAATTTGGGTAACATCGGGGGATCATCGGCGCTAAGGCAACACTACATGGACTACGAAGCGTTCGGACGACCATCAACATAGGAACTTGGGAATATGGGAAACGGAACAAACAACAACTGGCACGAAACGGTTCTATAGGGCGAGTACGATCATCCACACTCCGACGACTATTGACTTGAGCCTACGGCAATCGTACTCTCCGAGTCAGTCGCCTGTTAAAAGACTGCAAGCTTCTGGCGTGAAGGCGGCCTACTTCCTCTTGAGCGATATTTTCAGTAGATTGGCAGAACATAGACGTTTTGCGATGGCTGGCTTCGCTGTCGCTTATCACAGAGTGTTTCTATGTTCTGCCCGCTTACTGTAAGATGTGTTCAGGAGGAACGTCGCTTGGATGGAAGTAGGCCATCTGGAGGCCGGAAGCTTGTGGTTTTCGGACAGATGACTGGCGAAGAAGGTACCAGCGATCGAGGCAAGGTCATGGCTGAGGAAGCATGCATCGGGAACGAGACAGAATATGGATAGGTCATGGTAAGACTGGTACTGAATGCACTGGACGCCGCGCCCTGTTGTACACAATGAATGAAGACACGCTTTGCTTGTGAGTGGGCTTTCCGCCCGTACCATTACGCCTCCGATCATGATTGCCGCTGTGTAATGTGACAATATCCAGGTCTTGCTCTGGGCTCGAGCGTTCTTCAAGGTATTACCCAGCCCTCAATGGCGCAAACACCTTCCCCAAGCTGCAGTCCGTTAGCACCCATCTCTCGTCCCAAAGTCAGGGAACTTACCAGGCAAACCACATCCAAACCCAACAAACAGGTAGATCAAAAATACCACAACCAAGCACAACAACACCATCAACTTGACATTCTTCCACCACATCCTCCTCTTCAACGTCCGGCTCCTAACCCTGAAATCCCGCGCATTATCCCCCAACCGCCCCGTCTTATCCACCAGAACCGACATGTGCTCTCCCCGCTCAAGCACGCGCTCAATGTTCTCCGTCATAATTTCCCTTACTCCCTCAATCTCCCGCTGCGCAGTCCTCAGCGCATCAGCCTGCCCCGCCTGTGTAGCTCCTTGCTCCACCATCAACTTCTTCAGCGTCACGTTGAAACTCGCGCACCCGTACGGGGGGAGGTCGGCAAAGTTCGTCTCCCCCGCATCGAATTGATCGAAGAATTTCTTCTCGAGGTTCGTCAGGAAACCGAAGGGGATCCGCTGTCCGAGATCGCGCTCCGCGATTACGAGGAATGTCAACCCGCCGGCGCTGCGCGCGGTGCTGGGAAAGTCGCTGGGGGATTTGGTGACGACGTGGATAAAGAACTTGGATTGGTCGATTGTCTTGTGCGCGCTGGTGGTGTGGGTGAGGCGCGGGAGGACGAGGGAGACGAGGGAGCTGGCGTTCGAGGACGCGGAGGCGGTGTGTTCGGAGAGGACGGTTGTGTTGTGGGCTATGCATGCACTGGGAGTGTTAGCTGGGTGGTGCAAGGTAGAAGCGACGGGGGGGTTGTACTAGAGTAGAGGCGTGGAGGAGGAGGAGGACGCCATCTTGTGCGTCTCGTGGCTGTGGAGGGGGTAGGAGATGTTCAGGCGGCGCGGGGAGGTGTCGGACGGCGTGAAGGGTGATGTTGTGGCTGCTGTAGATGATGTTGGAGGCAGAAAGCTGGGGATGCAGTGCCGGGCAAGGCGCGTCATCATGCTTGACGCTAGTGTTGGAACCGAGGTTGCGATTGGTTCGCGTTGTAAGGCTGAACGTTGAATTTCTGGAGCTTCAGAAGAGACTCGGACGGAGCAACTACGAAAAGAAATATTGATGCAAGCAAGGTCAATAGAAGATAGGGGACCTGCGAGAAACTTTGTGATCCAGTGCACGAAGATTTTCGCTCACGACAAGCTTCCTTCACCTCGACACCACTCTGCGCAAGCACAACCCCTCCGAAACCGATCGCAGCACTGAAAAGGAAGCCACGATGGTGCGCGTCAAGTTCCGCTACCTTGTGGTCAATTTCCTCTATCCTGAGCCTTCCTCGAAGTCGCGCACTGATCTCCCCGACCTCGTGCAGATCCACTCTCCCACACCAGATGCTTTCAACGCTGGCGCATTGGTGCGTCTGATACGCGACGCAGTGGAAGACCTGTATGGTGACTACGGCAGTGGCATGGTCTCGAGTAGTTTGAAAGGTACAGAAGGCGTTTTGAGAGCTCATACGCAGCCAACACTGACTCACAGCGCAGTCAATTACTACTCACCCTCCACCTCTACAGCGATAATTCGTTGCCCGCGCGACCACTACGAGATGGTGTGGGCGGCCCTCACATACGTCACCAGACTCCCGAAGGTCGATGTCCCAGTCGTGTGCAGGGTTCTTAGAGTCAGCGGCACAATAAGGAAAGCAGAAGAGGAGGTCATTCGTAGAAGTCAGAACATTGTCAAGAGAGCAAAAGCTTGGGAGGGCAGAGGAGCCGACCCCATGCTCAGCAGTGTTGAGAAGAATGTGGAGAAAGAGAGGAAGCGGGAGGATGTGCTGGCGGCGGTTGACCAGGGCGAAGAGAGCGAGGAGATGAGCGAGTGAGAAGCCTGTCCGCCCCCCCCCCCCCCTGCGATATTCCATTCTGAGACCGCTCGAAACGAGACGAATCGAGAGGCAACATGGCGTCGCATATTCAGCACCAAGCTTCCGAAGTTAGAAAGGCCTATCTGCAGGTATCCGTGGACGCATTTATTTGTCCTCGACGTTCGAACACCCCAATCTCCCGGCATCCTTCTTCCACTTGGACCTCTCACTCGTCACTTCATCTACGCTACAATAAGGTCTTTTCTCAAAGCTCATCTCGAAATCGCCCTAGGGCTTCCGGGCTACGACAGCTCCGCTGTATCGATGCTTACAAGCCCTTCACCGCGATGACAAACCCTGACCAGGGGACACAGACGTCTCTAGATCGGCTGCGCGTCAGCACTTTCAGTCAGCTACACAGCTGCCGCCCCGACCATTTTTGTACATACCAGAAGAACTTCTTCTCTAGGTCTTCGCCCATCTCGCTCCCACTAACGGACAACCGATCTACGATGTCACCAAATTCCATGATTTGGTGTCCCACTCCCCAGTGTCGCGCAAATCCCACCGTGTCGTCGAACCACCCCTGTACCGGACTGTGGCTATCACTGTAGGGCGGTGCGCAGAGATCTTGAATGTGCCAATCTTGCAGAACATGACGTTCCTAGATCTTTCCAGGTATTGCGAATATGAGGTACGGGACCTCTTCTTCGATCCTCTTACATATTCACGCAATCTGTGGTCTACCATTCGCCGGACTGCAAACCTTGCAGATAACAGGTCGTTACAAAAATATCACTTTGGCCGGGATGTGGATTGTCTTTTCACTCCCGCATCACAAGAATTTGGTCATGGGAAATATGGGGATCAGATACTCTAATTACGACGATACCGAAGACCTTCCTCGTTGGTCCTTGGCTCCATCTTCTGGTCTACGGGAGCTCTACATACGTAAATTGTTCCTCGGGAAATCATCGGCAGATAGTCACGCCCAGCGAATGGACCGTTGCATTTGCAATGTATGCCCTAGCCTACACTCACTTCACATCACCACCACAACGGGCGGTCACTCGCGCGAGCTTCTGGACACATGTCATGGCTATTTCGGTGCCATAGCATGACTATCTGTCTTTGACGAGACACCATCAACCGAGGTCAAGAACCATGCGAGAACCCGACGTGGATGAAAACATGATGTCCATGCACAGCATGCGAGCATCAACCGTTATTGAGCATCTGGTGCTGGACGCCTCGGATCTACTCGATGTTGTTGACATGGGGGAGTTTAGTCATGGCAAACACCCTGGCGCAGGCTATCTGCAACTCATGTCTGAGGAAGACGGACCGACGACGTTATACGCATGGCTTGACATGACCTTGCCGCGTACATTACAGTCTCTGGGTCTAAGGGTCAGCAAGGAAACAGGTATACATTGGTGTTTTGTGCAACCCTAGCCGAACTCGCCGGCACGATGTAGGATAGGCTTCCGGTCTTGCAGCAACTCGACATTCGCTGGCAGCGGGGTGGACTCATGCAGCATGTCAGTCCGATACGTGCCACTGGGCATAATTCCCTATAGAAAGTATTCCGTGATAGGGGGGTTGTTGTCACTGAGCATCGATTCCAGTAAGCTTACACGATGCTTGGAACCGGTAGTTCTCCGGAACTTCATCGTTGCACCTTACTACTGCACTCGGACCTACTACGATGCCGTTCATAGGTATGCCTTCTAACACGAGGACGAGCACGTTCTCCTGGGGAGTTTACAAGGCGGTGTTCTCGGTGGGTACATTACGTAGCATCAGGTATCTTCAGATCATCAATATGAAGAACCACGCTACTTCCAATTCCAAAAGAAACTGAGGGCAGGCTGCTGTCGATCCTGTGTACCTGACAATTTCTTTTCTTCGTCCAAGCCCTGCGGCTGAATTAAGCTCCTCAAATCCTTTTCTGCCGGCGGGACAAGCCTGGAGAAGAGGTCTTGGCACATGTAGTGGAGCGGAAGGATGAATCTGGGGTGCATGCCGCTATTCAGAATTGCCGAGATCGTCTGCGCACTCGTCATTGCAATACCCGGGCTGTAGCGCAGGAAGCGCCCACTGTCGAAATGCGCCACCTCCGAGAGCGTTACTGCATGGCTTGGTCAAAAGTGTAGGTGTCCTCATGGTGTTTGTTCTGGCGCTGGAGAGCAGTTCTAAATGTGGCGCAAACGCAGGTGCCACCACCCTTTCATCTGCCGCTCGGCTAGCGCATAAACTGACAGCCGCAACTCTAACTCGACTTCTGCTCTCCTCCGCTCCACATTACTCAAGTATACCGAGGTCACCGACATGCGCGTTGTCACCCATCGCTCTCGCCACGCTTCCATCATGAGGCTCAGCCTTGAATGCCATATGGCTTGCACCCCAGATTACCACGAGGTCTTTAGCCGTTGAAGGAGCCGCGTGCCTAACACACACAAAAGCAGATTGAGGAAGAGCTGGCTGAAGATTGGTTGCGGGTGTGCACTTCGGAAGGATGCCCCGCATCGGCGAGATTGAACGTCAATCTTTAATTGTTTGCACGGGCTTGGGCCGGGAACGCGTTTCAGACAACGCACCAACTAGAACGCAAGCAGGGCGACAATTCATAAGCATTTCAAGACGCTCGCTACTGTGATTGGCAGTACGGAGAAATATTGTTTGGTGAAGGCACCAAACCAGCCAAGCAGAGCAGATTAAAGCTTCACGTTTTCGGCCGTTCATCCCATCTTGGCTACAATCAGATAGACAACCCTCGTACTCTACGACCATGCGCTCATCACCCCTGTGAGCCAGACCCGGCTTTCCAGAACAAGTCCCTACTCGCGATCCACATTGACGAAATGTATAAGAGCATCTTGACTCGCCCTTCCAGCAATTCTTCGCTACGGTCATTCGCTCTCTCAACTACACTTCCATTCTACCAACGACTTCCATAACACGACATTCAAAATGGTCTCTTTCACATCCATCTTCACCGCCGCTGTTGCGGCTTCCGGCGCTCTGGCTGCTCCGGTCACCGATCTTGCTACACGCTCGCTGGGTGCATTGACTGCACGTGCCGGAACTCCCTCTTCCCAGGGAACCCACAACGGCTGCTTCTACAGCTGGTGGACTGATGGCGGCGCTCAGGCTACCTACACCAACGGCGCTGGTGGAAGCTACAGCGTGAGCTGGAGCACCGGTGGTAACCTTGTTGGAGGAAAGGGCTGGAACCCTGGTGCCGCACGGTACGAATTGCTCCCCCTCTCCCATAATCAGGGACAAGAACTGACATGTTTTTTAGCACCATCACCTACTCCGGAACCTACAACCCATCCGGCAACTCCTACCTCGCTGTCTACGGCTGGACCCGCAACCCGCTGATCGAATACTACGTCGTCGAGAACTTCGGCACCTACGACCCCTCCTCGCAGGCTACCATCAAGGGCTCCGTCACTGCCGACGGCTCCTCCTACAAGATCGCCCAGACCCAGCGCACCAACCAGCCCTCCATCGACGGCACCCAGACCTTCCAGCAGTACTGGTCTGTGCGTGCCAACAAGCGCAGCAGCGGTTCTGTCAACATGAAGACCCACTTCGATGCTTGGGCTGCTAATGGAATGAATTTGGGTACGCACAACTACCAGATTGTTGCTACTGAGGGGTACTTCTCGAGCGGTAATGCGCAGATCACTGTCAACTGCGCTTAAGCGGTTGTAGTGCTTGGGTAAGGGTACTTGGCTGCAGACCTGGCCTACGCTCAAAGACAAGAAAGGAAACGAAGAACGTTGGATTGGTTTCTGTTGTATGTACTTGTTTGTGCCAGCTTGCTGGCCACGTCAAATGGCAAACGCTGATCAGTGCAACCACATTGTCCCCATGCAATCCTCGCACATTACTGACACCCACTCCCCTCTTTAGTTTCAGTGTATGCCCGCGATTCATCTCTCAGTATGTGTATAGTCCATATAACGAAGTCCTCGTCCTGCAAGCACAGCACGAACGGCGCGGTCATTCCTTGCCCAGCAGTCGCGAAGGCAAATATCCACTACCGCTGCGCCAGTCCACTTCACATATACAGTAGCAAAGAGGGTCTATGTGGGCCGTGTATTGAGGCGCTGATACAGAGACTGAAGGTACTGAGAAGGCAACGAGGTGAGAATGACGATGAAGAAGAAAACGAGGTCCGATAGGGGTAGGTCACTGGATTGGTCAAGGAGTCCAACATCAAAGGAAATACTTTCGAATACCGTAGTGCAAACTGTTCTAGGGCATAGGCTTCGTTAAATGGACAAATGAGTTATGAGAATTACAGAGTGACGTGAGCGCTGGTTCTCGAACGTTCCTGCTCGTCCATGGGCACCTTGTGACTACAGCTTGTGAAGACATAAACATTGTGACACTGATGTTATGGAGATATATACATAGTAGCAGTGCTGCGGTCTCTGCTGAAGACTGCGCGTACAATGATTGTATACGTATCATGTGTTTCCGCAACGGTATTGGGTACTCCTGTCCTGGTGGCCATGTGCTGCTCGATCCTGTAGTGCCTTTCACGTTGTGTAGTCAGGCTCAGCACCATCCCATTCAGCGACAATGTAGCGACGTGCTTAATAAGGTCACGAAGAGCGAGGAGTGGTGCATCGACTGCTGGATGCGTGAGGAGCAGGTCAAAAAGGCGGCTGTAGAGCATATAGATGGTAAAGGCAAGCCCAATGACTATGGACCTGGTAGTGGGTAGTGGATAGATCCTACAGCGAGAGAAACACAATATAAAAACGTGATTCTAGAACGCTTAGATTCTATCACCTAAGTTAGAGTTCAAGGCTACTCTTACCTTCACCGCAAGTATATCTACTACTGACCGCAGCAGCCGACTTCACATAACCCCCTTCTCCTCAAAATACCAATTCAACACCAGAAACCAGTTCGCAAAGATCGAACAATAACAGTCTTACAATGTATGCAAGATGGCAGGACCAATAGCAGACATATCGCAAGCAAGCAACTCGTCGAGCGTGCAAGTATACCTAAAGTCACAAGCTACAGTTTCCCGCAGCTGATAGCTACGATCGCCGAAGCACCTAGATTCAACAAAGACTTCCTTTACTTGGTGATGTGTAAAGGCAAACATGTCTCCAACTCTTCCGAGCGCTATTTGTGCCTTACGACAGATGAGAAGCATGCCCCTCGCTTTGCAGTGTTGCTTGAGCGCCTTCAGGTAGCCAGGAGGCAGTTCGAGCATACCGCCGCTAAACAAGATGGGCTCCACGATGACTGCGGCAAGTGACCCGCACAATTGCTTATTCAGAAGATCAAAACCATAGTTTAGCTCAGTCTTCCAATCATGCAAGCCGTCTGCTTTCCTGAAGATCGAACGGTACGAGTTTGGTGTGGGTAGCGTAAGGTTGCCAATCATGTTGGGTCCGTAGCCAGAGCGTCCAGTGTGGCATTGTGTACCAATTGATGCACCGGCCATGCCATTCTATGCAGCCGCCACTCCAACTATCTCCAACTTCCCGGTGTAGAACCTGGCTAGGTGAATAGCAGCCTCGTTACTTCCGCCGCCAGTGCTGAGGAAGAAGGCCTTGTCGAAACCTGCAGGCCCAGCTCCTGTCAACTGCTTGGCAAGCCTGATGACCGGCGGACTAATCATGCCGCTGAAGAGGTGATTGAGGTGTTGCGTGTGGTCGTTGACAACCTTCATGGCTTCTGTCCGTGCCCAATTAGCGTTGACATTTGACCCTGTTCCGTTAGTTTTCACATGCGAGGTTTCAAAGACGTACAGTACAAACCGATGTCAAGTCGATCATCCTGTGTCTGCTCTGCGGCTCCATGTAGATGCCATCTGTGGAAGCGGGCAGATGGGCCTCTCATACACTACTCGGGCGTGCGTACGGTGGGGATAAGTAAGGTTGCCGACGGGAAAGCGAGATCTAAGATACTTTCTGGTACATTATTGTGGAAGGGTTGAGATGAGTGAGTTGATTGACCTTAAGAGCTATGGCGGGGATCGATCGAGACTATATAGTAGAAGGGAATAGCAGTGAAAGGGTGGGGAAGCAATCCGAACTAACAGAATGGGCTGGACAATCAGTGCAGCGGACCGCTGGCAAACAATTATGGCTCCAGACCCTGTCGAAACGAGTAGCTGCATATCCAACAATCTTTCGGGATGGAATAGAGCAATGAGGTTGGAGGAGAGCAGTTTTCGCAGTTACCCGTTAGCATAGACCGAATACAGTAATTTCCGATGAAGCGTGGCAGATCCCGTCAACGATAACGCGAAGTTCTCCGTGATAACGACTTTCCCGCTTGCCACACTGTAGACTTCGGCTGCTTATTGCCTACGGTGAACGTTGTTCAGTACGACGTACAACTTGAACAGTGACAGCTAGCGAGCCAAACGTGGCTTCCTTTCTCGAGTTGTTGGTGACGTCATGGCCGATGGCGTATCAACGCCGTTCACTATCCGACCGTGCGTCGCCGTCCCATCGATACGCGACTGCGATTGAATACTTGCATTCAGAGCGCGGAAAGACACGTTTTACCTTCTTACGATACTGTAGCAGCTACTGACGACCCTGAAGCTATCGCTCACACAAGTATCCTGCTTGCAGTTTTTGCCGCAACAGGAAGACAAGATGCGACTTCGATGTGCCCAGCGCGCCATGTCGGCTGTGTCGCGAAAGAAAGCGAACGTGTGATTTTGGAGGAAAAGGGATCATATCAGGTATGTCCCTCTCAAGTCAGGCTACCCGGAATTTGACCTTGCTAACAACAATGAGATCAAGATACCAGCGCGCAAAGCTTCAACGTCGAAGATGTCGTGTCTCCATCTAACAGGGTGTCTAGGCCTAATCAATGAGCACGCCCTGTGGATGGGTCGCCTGTAGAGTGGTCATTGTCAGCGTCACAGCGGGCCAATACGGCGACTCTATCTGGTTTCCCTTCAGTTACAGGGACATCACCGACTAAATCCTCATTAAGGATGAATCCACACATGGCCGAAGACATCACAGTATTGCAGCAATACCTGACCTCAAATACGACTGCACGGCGAGCACCATCTAAGCTCTACAGTACCATATCAACTGGCCCTGGAGGTGGTCCAGTCGTCTACCTGACGGTCCCGAAGAGACGCAGGGGTCTGAGAAACGCCATGGACTCGGGTAGAGCGCAGAGGGAGGTCATTGAGAATGTCCTTGGCCCATTTGCTTCTGAGGTACGAAAGGTCTACTTCGAACACCTACATCCGTCTTTTCCAGTGTTGGACGAAAAGACATTCTCAGATATGTGGCATGAAGACAGCGATCGTATTTCATCCACAATCGTTTGTGATCTGTACGCTTCCGCTTTACGGGTCTGGAGCCGGTCAGCCGTACTCTACAACCAGCCAAGGCCTGATCCTCACTTCATTTGGAATCAAGCGGTCACTGCCCTCCAGGATGACTTCATGGCCCCAACCATATCAACTGTTCACGCAGCCGTTCTAGATCTGCTAGGACGTCCTGTCATTGGAGTTACAGGCAACATTGTCAATGCTGGCAGGATCGTTACTCTCGCCCAGAGCCTAGGTCTGCACCGGGACCCTTCATCATGGAAAATCACAAGCCACGAGAAGAGCGTGCGGATCAACCTTTGGTGGGGTGTTCTCATCCACGACTATTGGTCCAGCATCGGTCACGGCATACCGCCCGCTATTAATCCTCAATACTATGATGTACCTGTCCCTACCTTTGGCAATACAGCAGGCTCAGACGATCAAGCTCAAGCCAACATGCGGGACAATTCAACGTTTGTGCAGTTGTGTAAACTGAGCCAGATTCTTGGCGACATCCTTCCACTTGTATACTCGCTTCGAGAGGCCCACGGCGAGATCAAGCGGCGACTTCGAAAGACTGAGTGCGCTCTAGACGATTGGGTACTTGCGCTTCCCGAATACCTCTAGCCTAGTTCTACGACACCATGCGCTGTCAACGGGTGTAACAACCTTTGGTTTGCTTGTTTGTCCCTGAAGGTCCTTGTATGCCGATTATCTTTCAAAGCAGTTTTGGAAGAAGCCAGCAAATCATTCGAAGCCCGCCAATATCATCTTGCTATGCTCAGAGATGCTGCTTCAGAGGTGGTGGACTCCGTCGTATCTCTCACCGAGGCTCAGCTGCAGGAATTCTGGATGCCATACACCTCCTACCTGCTGGTCACATCAGCCACCATTCTACTCAGGTGTACGATCAAAAGCAATGATCTCGTCACCAAGAAAACATGTGTGGCGAAGCTAGTGGCGTTTCGAGATCGCCTACACTGCAGTGGGGCCTTGCAGACTTCTGCCTTGAGAGGTGTAATGAGCCTATTCAGAAGGTTGCAGATGCTATTGGTATGCGCTCACTTCACCCCTCAGCAGTGACACCGTTCGATGAAGCGACTGTGTCGCCCTCTAGGGAATCTGATTTGAGGCCCAATGACTCAGTATTCATGAGTGATCTGTTTCTCCCAATAGACTCACTCGATTACCCCTGGGAAACATTGTGGGATGGCATCGAAGGGCCATGGTCTATACAGCTATAAGCATCGTTACACCCTTATGACATGATATACTGAACCGCGTCGCGAGCTAATGTTTGATAGCTACGTCTAGCTCTCCTTGCAAGTCGGAGGCTAGTCCTCGTGATACAACTCTTCTGGTGGCGGAACACCATATCAGTCAAGTCCGAGCTTATCTTCTGGATCCGGGTCCGGCATTTGGTACCGATGGAGTTGCCTGCCATGTGCAGACCTTCGATCCCGATACTGCAAGCGATCTTGCCCTCCTGATAAACTCTCTTGGCACCTTCCGCGCACTTGATCATCTCGAACAAAATGGGGTAGCTCTGGGCCATACGCGTCATGTCGATCTGTTCGATTTCGTCGCGTGCCATGTCAGAGTATTCGGGTGTGCTGAAGCTCTCCGCGCTTCGAAAACATGAAACACATATCGACTAGGACTGTGCGCCGGCTGCACCTTCTCGTAGACGAAGTATATCAGTCATACCACTTTGGACACCAGAGCACAGGTCCAATTTGGGACTATCGTGCACTTGGCCGTGGAATACGCGCATGGTTGTTGGGGAAGGCCATTGTGTGTATCGAAGAGCAGCGTTGATTCTAGTACACGTCTGACATTCTCATCAATAGGAAGAAGTTGGTACAGGTGGCAACACGATTCCTGCTGAGAGACGGCATCTATTCTGCTGCTGCAACGCTCTCTGGTCGCCAAGTTCATGTCCGTGACAGTCATCATCTTGGGCATCATCCTTATGTGCCATGCTGCCGCCAACGACTTCGCTGGTTTAGCAGCTGCACGGATGTTCCTGGGAATGTTTGAAGCTTTGAAGCGTCTATAGATCCTGGAACTATGGTCATCTTCTTCATGTGGTACAAGTGCGGCGAACAAGCTTTCCGAACGGGCATCTAGGTCGGCAGTGCTGGCGTCGACTATGTTTTGGCTGGCATTGCAAGCTTTGGAATTGGACATATTGGTGGTTCACTGTCGTCTTGGCGGTATATGTTTCTGATATGAGGTGCTGTTACGGCATTGTGGGATCAGTATTCTATTCTACCACGGTATCACAACTTTAACATGATCCGGGCGTCGTCATCCTTTTAGTATTGCCCGACAACCCATTACAAGCGAAGTTCCTTAGCGATGATGAGCGAGGAGGAGTCATATTCCGCATCCGAGACAACGAGACCGGTATCGAAAATAAGAAGTTCAAGAAGGCACAGTTCGTCGAAGCACTGCTGGGTCTGAAGACATGGCTGCTATTTATCTTTGCAGTCGCCTCGAACGCACCGAATGGAGGCTTGACCACAGTCCTAGGAACTATCATCCGCGGCATGGCTTCTTTACCCTCCAGCCCACGTTTATCCAGATGCCGTCAGGTGGTGTGCAAATTGCAGTGTATTGTGGGGCCTGCTACTTCGCTTCCAGGTTTCCGAACGCAAGACTGTTGGTCATGCTGATATGCTTGGTCTCCTTCCTTGCTGGGACTATTGGTACTTGGTTAACCCCGCAGAGCATCCCGTCTGGCCGACTGGTATGCCTCTAGATCTCATTCTCATACACAACCACCTGGACGCTCTCGATGTCTGTGGCCACGGTCAATACAGCTGGGCACACTAAGAAGGTCACCACAGATGTCATCCTCCTGATAGGATACTGCCTCGGCAATTTCATTGGACCATTCTTCTTCATCGCTGACCAGGCGCCGAGGTACGATTTGGTCGTTGGCATGATATCCTTTTGCATTGGTGTGCAGATGCTATCGATAAGTGGTATTTGGGTACTGTTGGGTCGCAGAAACAAAAGTCGGGCTTCGGTCCAAGCGAGAGGTCCTGGAGGGGTACGAGAACGGATTCTGGGACATAACCGAACTTGAGAACATCCATTTCAGAAACGCTTACGGAACTATGGTGCGGCAAGGCAGAATTCTGGTGAGGCGATGTTGCCGTTGCGAATATCTTTTCACAATGTGTGTGAGCGGCACTATGCCAGATCGAACGCTCTCTACCAAAACCCTCACTGGGGTATTCAGCACGCATAGCGAGCAAATTTGAAGCCTTGCTATTCTCCTTTCGAAAATCCGTACCTCAGAATTCAAAGTCCTACTCTTTGCATCTCCATTCTCCAGCCCTCAGCGCACGTTGTATTCGATTGCGAACCCATCAAAATGTGCAAACTCACCATCCTCCACTACACGCAGTGCAACTGCAATGCCCGAGACGGAAACGTTGGAGATGGATTCATCGTTACGAAAGATTGGCACGATCGACTGCTTCTCGACTGTGACGCCGTTCCCTTCGAGCGTTGTACGCAAGCCAAATATTTCGCGCTCGGTCCTAGCCAGTCAAATACCACGGAATTCTCGCGGTGTCATAACGTCCAAATTAGGACGATTCGATTCGAAGGAGAAGTCTGTTATCGATGCTTAATGTTTCGGAGAAGTGAGGAGAAAGCGGAGAGGATTCGAGCGCTGGTCGGAGAGCACAAATCCTTTACAGCTCGATATAGAGCAACAAGACAGTCGGCAGCCAAAGATGCCGGTTCGACCAGAAACATGTGGCAATCCATCAGGGAGTCACCGCAGTTTGATAGGAGGACTGAGAGGCAGAAATTCGTCGGCACGAAAGAAAACCTTCGTTCAACAAAATTCAGGTCGGTCAAAAGAATGGTCGCAGATTGGGAAGATCGTTTGGAAAAGCAGATTGCATGCCGAGAATTGGCGAAGGAAAATATTGCCGAGAAAAAAGCTGAAAGGGCTTCCAGCAAGGAAACAAAGCAGGAAAAGGCGAGGAGACAGGCCAGAATAGCTTCACTTCAATATTGTCTTGCTCAAGCCAACAAGCGCGTGGCTTTTCCGGTGGCAGAAGAGGATGAGCCACCACCAGAATATGAAGAGATGGAGCAAAATCCGTGTGTTCGAGAGGCATCACCTCGAAGGCTGCGGATAGCGAGACCTGCACGGAGAAGTCCTTCAGGGACTGGCCCAATGCTCGATGTGATGGTCGCAGCGGAGACCGTGCAGAGCGTGCACGAATCAAGTTCAGCTCAGAGTATTTCCACTTCACCAGATATCTCCTCTCCAGATGTCACCACTGCGCAATCATCGGGCATTCCAAGCGCGAACAGTGTCGTGGTCAAATACCACACCATTGGCGGCGGCACGGCTGTCAAGACCAAATCCCTGACGAAGGATGTGTTGGTTGATGCGGCATCGCCTCCAGCTGTCAGATCCGCTTCACTTCGAGGCATTACTGCCTTGAGTGCTGAGGCTCCTGAGTTTAGGCCATTTCCACGGCCACCACCGACTGAGCCTCGAGTTATGAGAGCTCCCACAGCACCTCGAGCTATGAGGGAAGGTAGCTTGGGACGGGCATCATGGCAGCCCCGTCATCAATTTGTGATGCACCGCGGGTACCCGAGAGTCCGTGGATGGCGGGGATGAGCGCTCGATATCTTGTCGGCTATCATGCTCTTTCGGTTCGACGTTAAGGTCGCTAATCTCGCAACGTCGCGATTTTGTCCTTTCTCGTTCATGGTCTCTTGTCGATGTCTTGGATACCTCCCGGCCTTAATCTGGAATTCTCCGTTTTCGAATATGGGATTGACGATTTTTCCATACTGGACTTTGTACTGGTATATCGACTGCCTCCGAGCTGCCTTATGGAATAGAGAATCGTAAGAGACGGCAGATCGATGGCTTAAACCTGCGCAAGGCTGACCATATGTGCGCGAAAGACGAGCGGCGTGCACGCCATCAGATGGCTACCCAATCAGGTCATTCCGCCCCCAACATCGATACCGTGAGACATGTGCTAGGTGGGTGAGCATGCTAGCGGCCTGTCCGTGTTTGATGAGGGCGCTAAATCTTAAGGTCTTAGCCTCTGTACGCAGGCAGTATGAGGGCTACATGTGGGTATCTTTCTTTAATCTGATTTTCCTCTCACTGACGTGTGCACAAGGTATTATGAAAAGCACCCATAACACAGCGCGTCACACTCTCGCGCTCGCGCTCGCCGTACAACAACACACCCTCACTGCAACCAAGCGCAAGCAGCGTTTGCCGATGAGCTTGTTCGAGAGCTTCTTCCACCATTGTTCGAACTCCACTCCTCGGCGGCTTGACTCAGCGGCAGGCACCTCTCACAGCAGAGGGGGTGCCTATCATTCACCTGTTGGCCCGGAATGGTGATACAGGGCTTAACCTCTCTTTTCTCAGCATGCAGTCATCAGAAAATCTACTTTAAACCTACATTCAGACCTTGGTTAGGCCACGGCAGTTGACAGTTGCGGCTCTAAGACTTCAATTTCCGACACAATCTAAACCCAGAGACCTCACTCGTTGACTGTGCGGCAAGCAGGAAAGTCTACGTGAAACTCACTCGACCCGGAAGATCGTCGTACATACTGCTGCGGGGGTCATCTAGGGATCTCAAGTGATTGGGGTTTAGATTGCCCGCATGGTTTTGATTAGGCTGAACTCGATCTTCGGGCCTGTACGAAGCAAGTATCGCCAACCTCGACATTGGACATCAGCGAAGTCGAACGAGATTTTCCTTCAGCCCCACGATGATCTTTGCATACACAGCTATTGAAAAATGCTTTTGAGTGAGCATCGTGCTCATTCTCTTACTGACAAATGAATTTGCACTTGATGGAAGCGACAGGCACTTGTACCATTACCGAGCAGACTCCGGCCCTCAATATATCAGGCGCAACAGCCATCCGAAACCTCGGAACAATTACACTCTGTGAAGATTTCAGGGCACAGCTGTTAAGCTTCAAGCATTGCACGTCCTGCGGCCAGAGGCATCTCGTCCCGGCTGCGCCGGAAGCTTGCCAAATCTTACGCAGGACGACAACTCAACTCCAGTGTCAGGAGGCACAACAGAACGCAGACGAGCTGCTGTCCATATTGTTGTCCACTTCCCCGTTACAGGATATGAGAGTTCTTCATGGGATATCTCCATGTGACAAAGTCTTAGGACTGCATACCAATGCAGATCTTGCGTGGGAGCTGAACATCGAGAAGTTTCATGCTATACTGGCCAAGCGATTCAAGTCAACATGGCTTTTCAGTTACGCGCCACCGCTACGAAGGATCCACGAGTCTCATGACCTATCGCAAATATTACCTTCCGTAAACGGTCCGGAAGAACTCGATGGAAGCTTTTTCAGTTTCGTGTACCTGACTGAACCAGCCTATAGCCGTATGCTTGGTTACGAAACGACTAGAGGGACCAGGATCTTCCCTGCCTTGATGCCGGTTGGCTGTAAAAGGTTCCAACGAGAGTCTAATACTGGAGAACTGCTTGAAACAATCAGTGACCGAGCCATCAGAAGTCAGACAAAACGCACAAATTGTGCTCAAACTCCCGCGAGCACATTATACGGCTTTGATCAGCCTCTTCGCCTCTTCTGATAGCATCTGTCTGCAACGGAAGCCAAACAAGCGTTCAAGCAGAAGGCTTCACCAATCAAGACCATCACAACAAGCACCCAACCGTGGCGAAGCCGTTGAAGGCTCCACTATCAAGTTATACGCTACCTGCTTTCGGTAACGATCCCGCAGCGTCTTGTCCGTCATACCCCAGATTACCCCATAATGAATTGGACTTCATCTATACACAATTACTCTGGCACTTCAACTCCTGTCAGCTTTCCCGGCGGCCCCGTAGGCGCCCCTGGTGGCTGCTTTTGTGTAGTCCATCATGAAGATCTTGGCGCGTCGCAATATCGGATGGTCAGTAGACTACTTTGTGCTCGCCACGGTCTCTATATAAGGGGTCGATACCGTTACCGGAAACTGACCATCATCTCACACAGGCTCTTCTCGATCAACAGACAAGATGTACAGGTCTCTCGCTCTCACTTCGCTCACATTCCTGAGCGCCGTCCGCGCTCAGCAGGTCGGCACGTCTCAGACTGAGACTCACCCCAAGATCAACTGGAAAACCTGCACTGGCACTGGTGGTAACAGCTGTACCGCAAAGTCTGCTCCCGTTGTGCTCGACTCCAACTGGCGTTGGTCCCACAACATCGATGGATTCACCAACTGCTTCGACGGCAACTCCTGGAACACCTCCCTCTGCCCCGACGGTGACACCTGCGCTAAGAACTGCGCCATTGATGGTGCCGACTACTCTGGTAAGTGCTGATTTCTCCAAAAATCGAGTAGGACCACACCTAACTTCTTCAAGGTACTTACGGTATCACCACCTCCAGCGATGCCTTGACCCTGAAGTTCGTCACCAAGGGCCAGTTCTCCACCAACGTCGGATCCCGTACTTACCTCATGGAGACCGATACCAAGTACCAGATTTTCAACCTCATCAACAAGGAGTTTACCTTCGACGTTGACGTTTCTAACCTTCCTTGCGGTCTGAACGGTGCTCTCTACTTCGTTGAAATGGCCTCCGACGGTGGCCTCAACAAGGGCAACAACAAGGCTGGTGCCAAGTACGGAACTGGTAAGTCTTACAACTTGCATACTTGGGAAATTTCTGACATATCGTAGGATACTGCGACTCTCAGTGCCCCCACGACATCAAGTGGATCAACGGCAAGGCCAACAGCGCCGGGTGGGTCTCCTCCCCCAACGACCCCAATGCCGGCTCCGGAACCACCGGCGCCTGCTGCGCCGAGATGGACATCTGGGAGGCCAACAGCGTCTCGACTGCGTACACTCCCCACCCCTGCAAGGGCACCGGTCTAGTCGCCTGCACAGGCACCGATTGTGGCGATGGCGACGACCGCTACAAGGGCATCTGCGACAAAGACGGATGCGACTTCAACAGCTACCGCATGGGCGTGAAGGACTTCTACGGCCCCGGCGCGACCCTCGACACCAAGGCCAAGATGACCGTTGTCACGCAGTTCATCGGCTCGGGCACCAGCCTCAGCGAGATTAAGAGGTTCTACATCCAGAACGGAAAGGTGTACAAGAACTCGCAGTCCGCCATCTCCGGCGTCACTGGTAACTCCATCACCGACTCGTTCTGCAAGGCCCAGAAGAGCGCTTTCGGCGACACCAGCTCCTTCGCCAACCTTGGCGGACTCAACGCCATGGCTGCTTCGCTTGCTCGCGGCCACGTTCTTGTCATGTCGCTCTGGGACGACCACGCGGTTAACATGCTGTGGCTCGACTCTTCCTACCCCACTACTGCTGACCCCAGCAAGCCTGGTATCGCCCGTGGTACTTGCCCGACTACCTCTGGCGCGCCCACTGATGTTGAGGCCAACAGCCCCAACTCCAGCGTTGTCTTCAGCAACATCAAGTTCGGTCCCATTGGATCTACTTTCGACCAGGCTGCCGCCGTCTAAGCGATCTCGTCTTCGTACGCGTTACAGCCTGAGACATGTTGATGATGTTTCCATTCAGATTGTATAGACTCGCACTTTTGGCACGAAAGAGGTGGAATGAAGAACGGTGTATATAAACCATTCGCTACACGAAAGAATAAAACTGGTGTTTAAGAACTTTCGCTCCGCTCATAATTCCCGCTTCCCAGGACTTCTTTTGCCTTGCTCATGATGGTCAATTGCAACCCTTGTCCTGAGTTCTCGATGAAAGCAAATATTAATAGCAAGGGGTATCACGCACCGCGCTCGATACTGACCGCTTTGTCGTCTTGCCGCCAAAGGTGGGGATCTTCCTCGCCCGCCTCTCCGTATCTTACGCTCCACTATGAACTCCTTCACAGCCGGTCCTGTGGGGTGCGAAATATCCACTCGCCGCCCTCGCAGCCGCCGCCGCTGCCGCTTGTTCATTCTCCTTCTTCCTCCTTTCCTCTCTAACAACGATATCATACCGCGTCCCCACCCTCTGCTTATCAGTAGCGTACACGCGACCCTCCAGGTTTGTTTTCCTCCCCGCCTTCTTCACGAATGTACCCGCGTGATTCACCCTGCCGGTTTCGGTTTGAGGAATGGGGCGACCCATCGCTGCATCTCCTCCCGTGACATACGGGTTCCCATTCACCTCCCCCGGGTGCCAACTCTTCGGCTCCCACTGCGTCGGGTCCCCGGCTTCTGGGTAGGGGTTGAAGCTTGCACCGCTCGCGGCTTGGTAGCTCTGCAGTGGCTGCTGGCGACCATCAGGGATCCCTACGAGCTGCGCATTTGGCGGCTGCGGATTTCCATGACCTGTAGGACTAATGCTCTGCCCGCTTCTTGCAGCGTAGGAGTCGAACTGCTGCGGCGGCACAGGGCGGCCCGTTACTGGATCTCGGCCTGCGAGTAGACGCGCTTCGCCTAGGTAGTCTCGCGAGCCGAGGGGGATTGCTGAGCGCGGCTGGAGACGTGTGGACAATGTTAAACTTGTAGGATGCATACTGTGATCTGAGAAATCTTCTGGTGGCTGTGGGTATGTTGGGTAGGGCGATGTTGAAGAAGAGTTCGGGCTGCCTATAGATGTGTGGCCGGGGTGGTAGGGGTTCACGTAGGGGTTCGAGAGTTTTTTGCCGTAGATAAGTTTCTTGAAGAAAGACGGCATTGTGCATGTGCTGGGTGAGTGTGAGGAGGAAGTTGGCGAGAGAGTTGAGGCTGGGTGTGTAGTTGTGCCTCTCGTATTCGTATCGCGCACAGTGTGTGGCTTTGAACGTTGCGAATTGTAGAGACAGTCGTGCTGGTGTTTGGGCACATGTAGCCCCTAATTGGTGTCCTCTTGCTCTTGAACCGCGTTTTGTGTATTTGTGGAGATTCCCAAGCTAGCTCTTGTATGGGACTTTGCAAGCAACGCGATGTGAATATTTACAGGAGGAAAAGAACTTGCCTGGTGTGACTATGGGAAATTATGACTTTTGGTATCTCGCCGTAAGGCTGTTGCAGCCTTGCACTAACCCAATCCATGCATCCATGTTATTGAGGCGTCCCACGCTAGTGCAGATTAGTAAGTTTCGACAAGCTCGTGATTGGCATCCTTAGCGTATCTTTAGAGAAGCTTGAAAGTCGTGCCAGAGGGCTAAAGTGTAACTGTTCGATATTGCCAGAACCTGCTGTCTATGCTACGCCATGCTCAAACCTGGAAACCGCATGGGTATCCTATACAACGCCATGCCATGCTGATGCAAAACAAGTAAATCAACATCGAGCCAAACGCATCCACTACAGAGTCGTCAACGCCCCTAGTGTTTCGACGAGAAGAAGTGGTGCTTCTTTTTCTTCTTATCCTTGTCCTTCTCTTCTCTGCCATATTTCCCACTACTTGAAGGTGGCGCAGGGCTTTGCGCTGGCGGTCTTTGGGCGTTCAGGTTCATCTGACCCATCGCTGCAGTTGGTGGCTGCGGCGCACCTGGTCGTGGCCCACTGGCTCGTGGCCCTGAAGGCAGGCCCTGTGGCATAGGCTTTGAGCTCGCTGGTGGAGCTGCTGGCTTCGGCGGTTCCGGCTTCTCGAACAGATGCTTGGGTGCTGTCGGTTGCGGCCCGTCGACGGGTAGTCGAAGTCGATCACGGCGTTGGCTGAGGTCGCCGACTTGGCGCAGGAAGAGTTGTGGCTTCATCATGTGGGATGTGACGAGGAAGACATCCCTCGACGTCTTCTCGGAGACGTCGTAGCAGGCTCGCGACTCGGAGTAGGTTGCGCCGCCGGCCATGAACACTATGACACGCTGTCGTGGCTCCACGCTTGCCAGTCGCGATTTCGCCCAGGTAGGTTTTGCCGAGCGAAGAGATGAGGCTTGCGCGCTTTCGTGCGTGTTCATGTCTTCAGGCGCCGCCTTCGTGAACGGAAAGATATCCTGAGGTAGCGATCCTCGGACATGCGCCTCAAGCATATCCTGCAGCGCCGGCGTGAATCTTGACAAGCCATACTCTTCTGCGTTCGGCGGTGGCACGGCGTTGCGGGGAAAGAGAGGTGGTGGAGCGTCGCGCTTCTCCTTCAGTTGCCTCGCTACTCGCGCTCCAAGGAGGTCGAGGTTGCGAACGACTTCCATGTCTGGAGGAGGTAGCTGGGCGTGGAAAATAAGCTTCTGCAGGTCTGCTGGCAGTACGCCGTCTCGGAACAGGACGTAGAGGGCGATCAGGCGCAGTCGATCGGCTGGTGTTACTGCCTCGTCGTCTAATGTCCGCACGACCTGATCGGCCATGTTCTTGGCCTTGCGGTAGTCTTCATCCAGTCCAGTAGCTAGGCACTGCTCAACGGACGCCAGATCTGGTAGCTTGTGTTTTTGGAAAATGTCCATGCACTTCTCCGCCATGCCTAGATGCAGCGTGTACGACTCTTTCATCTCTTGGAATTGCGGCAAGCCAGCGATCATATCTTTGATCGCATTCAACCCGTTCATGCCTGCTGCGTTCTGTGCGTCCTGGTTCGTGAAGTTCGGGTTGTCCGCAATGAACTTTTGGAAGTCGCTAATAAGCTTACCCAATGTATCCTTCATGTGGCGATGACGGTTCTCAACCCAGATCTTGTCCTTGTCGCTGATCTCCATCTCTTTCTCTTCCGCGCCAGGATCATCCTCATTCACCAGAGCCCGGTAGGTAATCTTGTCTGTGTCGTTGATGGGTAACAGGTCCAGTGCCATAGCTTGGTACGTGAACTCGTGCAAGAACGGAGCGTACAGGTCCATGGATCGATCTGTGATGTAGAGAGCGCCACGTGGGCGGTTCGATTGCGGAGGGAAGTCCTGGTTGAATTGAGCGTACATGTCCAGCTTGTCCTGTACGAAGCGGGCGAGGTGTGAGCAGAGGACGCTAGCCTCGTGTGTGGGAGCCCGTGGTCGGTAGTATCGAATGATGGGATACTCGCCCAGCGCGACGCAAACACCAATGATCTGCCGACAAAAGTCAGCACAAGCACGTACTGTTGACGCATATGCCTACCTTTTCGGCCATCTCCTCCATGTGCCGCACAACCAGGTTGTTGCACTCTGGGTGAAAGAGCGTTGGGAAACTCCAGGGGTCCCTGAAAGTGACAAGATGCGATTCCTGGGGGTGGTAGTCGAGGTGCACCGTCCTGAACGCCCTGATTTGCTCGCGTGCCATCTGCGAACGATCGATGCGCTCTTTCAGCGACGGTGGGAGCAATGTCGTCCACACCAGAAAGAGACCACGATATCGCCGTACGTCGAGCTCGGCCATGACGCAGTCGACGATGTGTGGCTTGGGCGTGAGGATGTAAATGGCGTCCATGTCGCGCTGTGTTTCGCGGCGCTCCTCGAGACGCTCGATGTTGGTGATGTTGGAGTTGAGGATGTCATCTTCCTTGACGACGTTGTCTATGAGCTTCTTCGAGTCTTCGTCGACAATGAGGACCTTCCACTGAGAGCCGCATTAGCAATGGACCAGCCCAGGGGATTGGGTATGCGCACGTCGCCGCGGGTCATCTGGCGGATGGTGTTGAGGATCACTGCACTACGTGTCAGCTGGGGGCTTGGGCAGTATGCGCGCAGTATACGGGGACATACGCTCTCGCTGGACATCGATCATGGACACCATCTTCGCGGGGCACGGCTACCAGCGCCGGGAAGATGCAGAGGAGTCTCGAAGGTGCCAGGCGCTGCAGAGTCGCAGCAAGGCGCTCAATGTGTTGCGAGTGTCTTCTGGCAAGAAAGGGCGGCGGACTGCATGCGCGACGTTGACAGGTGTGGGGCTCGTCGCAGCTTGACGGTGTCGCAGGCGTCGCAGGCAGAGCACCAGGGCACCAGAGCGCCAGAGCGCCAGAGCACCCATGTCGGCGGCGGCGAGCGGCGAGCGGCCGGAGATGGACTGTCTCGGGCTTGGCTCAACTTTTTGTGCATTGACGTCGTCGACTTGGGTGCGCCAACAGCGCCATTGCAGGAACATCATACGGTTTATAGAGGCAGTCCGACTGGGGCAGGATTTTCCCCTCAATGTCTGCATTGCCTGCGCGGCGCAGCTCGTTGTGTCTCTTCTGCGCATTCGCTGCTCGACCGTCGCAACCGCAACGCCTCCTCCCCCGGATCCAGGTCGCGTACAGAGGCACTTCCTCGAAAAGCAAAAGTGGCAACAACAGCCGGGTTCAGAGTGCGAGACCAGCCAAGTCTGCATCCTTCAACCCTCTGAACTCAGGCAGGAGAGGTGTGCCTGCACGGCCTCCAGCCGATACGCTTCGTACCACTGTCGACGACAAGCTCTCGAAACTGCGCTCGGAATTCACCGAACCCGCGTTCCTCGACAGTCTACAGCTTGATCAGGATCAGTTCGGCAAAGAATGGCACCGCTTCGAGAACTCGATCAATGCGTGGGTGAAGCAGGCCAGTAGCGAGCTGATCGACCTGGTCCACCAAGCATCGAGAGGAAAGGCCACACTCGAGACACGGCTGCGTTACCTCTTCTATGCGCAGACATGCGGTGGACGCTTCACAAATGCTGAATTGGAAAACCAAAAAGAGGTGGCAGACCTGCGCTATCCTGCCGAATGGTATCCCGCCACACGCGAGGTTCCTCGAGTCGTCCACATGCACGTCGGTCCCACCAACTCTGGCAAGACCTACCACGCTCTACAACGCCTCGAAGCTGCCAAGTCTGGTATATACCTCGGTCCCCTACGACTACTCGCACACGAAGTCTTCACACGCCTGAACGCAAAGGGCAAGTCATGCGCCCTCGTTACTGGCGAGGAGCAGCGCATGCCAGAAGGAGACGCTCCTCCCATGTACAGCTGCACTGTCGAAATGGCACCTCTCAACACCAAGTTCGACGTCGCCGTCATTGACGAGATCCAGATGATCAACCACCCAGAGCGAGGATGGGCATGGACACAAGCCTTCCTCGGCCTGCAGGCACGGGAGATTCATCTTTGCGGTGAGGCAAGGACCGTCAACATCATGCGCGAACTGTGCGCGCTTGTCGGTGACGAGGTGCACGTCCACGAATACGAACGTCTGACCCCTCTCCAAGTGCAACCACGTAGCTTGTACGGCAAGTTGAACAAGCTGGAGAAGGGCGATTGCGTAGTCGCCTTCACCGTCGTGGGCATCCACGCTCTGCGACGCGAAATCGAGAAGCAGACCGGCAAGAAATGTGCCATTGTCTACGGCAGTCTGCCGCCAGAAACGAGGGCGCAGCAGGCAAGGTTATTCAATGACCCGGACAATGAGTACGACTACCTCGTCGCTAGTGACGCTATCGGCATGGGTTTGAACTTGTAAGTCATCCAAAGTGCTACCCGCTTGGACATGACTAATATCGTCAAGGGCCATCAAGCGTGTCATCTTCGAGTCCACCATGAAAAGCGATGGTGTCAAATACGTGCCTCTGCAGGTCTCCGAGATCAAGCAAATTGCCGGTCGTGCTGGTCGCTACAAGACCGCTGCAGACGCAGTGAGCGACAACACACCCAGTGCGAATGGGGAGACGAAGGTGGCGAAGAAAGAAAAGACCGTGGGATGGTGCACGACCCTCGATCAAATTGATCTTGACGTTCTGAAAGAGGGCATGAGTCGCGAACCCGACCCTATCAAGACCGCTGGACTGTTCCCTCCCTCGCTCATCGTTGAGCGCTTCGCCAACTACTTCCCACCCGGTACGCCCTTCAGCTACATCCTCCTTCGTCTCCACGAGATCTCCGAGATCCACCCACGTTTCCATCTTTGCGGTCTGAAGGAACAGCTCGCCATCGCCGACGCGATTCATACGATCAAGGGCCTGAGTATTCAGGATCGCATCATGATCACCTCCGCGCCTTGCAACATGCGCGACAAGGCGGAAAAGATCTTTTTGCGCACCCTCGCCGAATGCATTGCAGAGGGGAAATCCGGGAACCTTCTCGAACTCCCGAACCTGCCTCTCAATGTCATGGACGAGCCTGCCCGAGGCGATCGAAAGTACCTCTACTCGCTGGAACAGCTGCACAAGATGGTTGTTTTGTATCTCTGGCTCAGCTACCGCTTCCCCAACGTCTTCACCACGCGCTCTCTCGCGGTGTACACTAAGAAGCTGCTCGAAGACCAAATTGAGAGCACCCTTACCGAGTTCTCGCACACAGAGCTCAGACTCAAGCAGAAGGAGAAGCGAGAGCGCGATAGGCTGAAGAGGTCGAAGGAGGCCCAGGAGGCTGTAGCGGAGCTGCGAGGAAAGATGCCTGCCCCACCTGGTATGCCCGAGGAAGCCAAGGATATCCTCAACGATAAGAACGCTTTCGCGGAAGCGTCTCCAGCGACAGACGACGTCGATGAGTACCCAGAGGAGCCTGTCGACGAGTCTGAGAAGGCCGATGAGCTTGACACCATACTGGGAGATGCCGAGGTCAAAGAACGTCGTTCAGCAAACCTGTAGATCGCTCCACCGGGGTTCCCTGTACCTCGTACTGCATTTTGAGATTATTTCTGGAGTATTTCTGGAGTATTTCTGGAGTATTTGCTGGCGCATTCAAAAGAGCTTGGGTATACCATTAGACTTGTACAACACTGTTAAAAGTGAACAACCACTGTTTATATAACGACGATAAAGCAAACACTCGAATCAATCGGTCGACCACTGCAAACTACCACCTGCTCATGTCCTGAATGCTCAAGTTCCTTTTGAGGCTCAGGTTTTCGTCCGAGAGCAACAGTGACGTCTGGGGGGCGGCGATGTTCAAGCATCAAGGCTCACTTTTAGCGCCCAGCCTCGCGAGATGAAATGAGGGCTTGGCCCCTGCTCGGAAGCGCCGGACAGAATTGCATCCCCGAATTACGCTCTGGACCAAACATCCCTCCTCGCGCCCTTGAACACCCTCTGCAGTTTTACCAGAGCATCAGCTACCTTCTTCCTATACGAGTCGCGCAGCTTCTTCTTCGTCTTCTTCGTCTTCTTCGTCTTCTTCGTCTTCTTCGTCTTCTTCGTCGCCGCGCACCCTAACCGCCATGATGGCGCCTTCCCACATCCTCGAGATCCCGCGCCCACGGGTATGTCATTGCCCGTCTTTCAGGCACCGCACCAGCCATGAGCATAGAGGATACTGACATGCGCTACAGACGTTCCTCCAGAAGATGTCTCTGCGCACGGGCGCCGAAATCATCACCTACCTCCAAGTCATCAACAAGGTCTCCGGTCTGTACGGTCTCCTGGCGATCATCACCGGCGCATCCATCGACGGCTTCCAGCTGTCTATGTACATTTACTCGACCCTCGCGCTCTTCGCCACATGCTTCCTCTACAGGCACATCCGGTCACAGAGCCCCTTCGAGACCGTACTGCTTGCGCACCTCTACGCCCTCGACTCCGTTGTCAACGCGTTGTACACAGCCTTCTTTGGCATTGCCTGGTTCTACACACTCGCCGCACACCCCGACGAGGAGTCATCCATTCCCGGCCAACACGGTATCTCCGACAACGCTGGCTTCACGAGCCCCAAGCACAACGTCTCTGAGGTCAACGTCATCGCCTCGCCCACCGGAGGCGTCACAGGAGGCCAGAGCGCCGTCGCTGCAGGCGTGCCTCAAAATAGTGCACCAGGCGTCGGTGCCGGCCTTGGAAATGCTGTCTTCCAGAGCAGCAGCATCATGAGCATCTCTCTCATCTCCGGTTTCTGGGCCCTGCGCATCTACTTCGTCTTCATCATGTTGGCTTTCGCGCGTCAATGTCTGCGTCAATACATCGCCGCCCACGCCGCCTCTGCTGGGTGGTATAGCTCGAACAACATGCAGACCACCGCCACCGACCTCGCCGAGAACCCTTTCCTTGAGGGCAAGGAGCAGGGTGACGGCTGGAAGGGCAAGCTCGGTCGCGTCATGCTCAGCGGTGCACCCAAGTACTGGCTTGGTGCTGACGGCGAGAACGAGTGGCAGCACTCTGTTGGCGGCAAGTTCAGGAAGAACACACAGCTCGAGCAGCCCGTCGGCTTCAGCGAGCGTGAAAGGAGACGCAGGAGTGGTACCGGACCGCCAGTGCCGCAGCTCGCCAACCTGCAGATTGTACGATAGACTCGTATCTACAGAATGAGCTGATTCGGGGAGTGTACAGACGTAAGAAATGTTTGGCGATGAATGACGACCAAACACCTGTTAATGACGACTTAATATCTCGGTCCCGGTGTGGACCGACAGCAGGCGTACATGAGTGTTATACCTATCAGGAAGATCTTGGGATGGAAAGGGGCGCGCTGTCCTATATACGGGAGAAACCATCTCTGTCTTTATTTCTCATTCCTATTTCACAGCGAGCATAGCGTTCGGCAGTTTTTTTTTTTTTTTTTTTTTTTACGCCATCACACGTAAATCATATCCTTGGACGTTTTCTACTTCCCATCGTCATTTCTTTATCTTCCCTGCGCATTGGTCGCATTCTCGATACGATGCCAACAATCAGCAGCTCTGCCGAGCGCGCCGACCCCCGCTTGGTTTAGCGCGTGTGGATCATGTGAATGTTTCAGAGCACAGCCCATCCCTGACCGTTGTGTGCCGTTGCATCTCACCGCCGCCATCGCTGACACGGCCGCATGCCTGGTCCTAGGAGCACTAATTTCACTAGCCACGTGTGACTGTACTCGTGGCGTTGTCATCTGTCAAGGCCCTGAACTTGCCCGACATGATACAAGACGTCGTTGGCGCCGTTGGGCACGGTGACTCGGTTGGTTGATATTGCACTTCAAACTTGGTCTTAAATTCACCAAATCTCAAGTTTGACGACGACAGACCGGAACCTCACGTTTGATAAAATACTTAACTTTTCATATCATGGGATGTTTGACGCCATCACCATAAGTCACTTCAGATAATCACGTCTTCGCCAGTGTCATCTTACATCTTCTTCACTTACACCATCAACAAGCCCAACTACGAGATCCTGAAGAACAGGGAAGATCAAACTCAAAGAAAGAGCCAGGGAACAACCACCCAACATGGGATTCTTCCACTTCCACCGCCCAACCAGTTCCTCTTCCTCCAGCTCAGCCTCATCTGCACTCTCCTTTGCATCAAGCCACACCACACCGCGAACCAGCACCGACTCAGCAAGCGACTACATGACCGCCACCCTAAAGCATCACCTCACCACACCAAGAGCACCGCTTCTGAACCTCCCATTCGAGATCCTCCAGCACATCGCGTCCTATCTCGATGATGCCTCTGCAGCGAAATTCAGCCTGAGCAGCCGCCAAATTTGTTATGCTGTTGGCACAAACCGCCTCTCGAGCTATATCGCCTCGTCTGCAAGCCGGTTCGATGCACGTGATCGGCTGGAGGAAACTATCGAGCGAGCACTTCCCGGATCCTGGCACTGCGCGTGGTGCGACAAGTTTCATGTATGGTCTGCGCATGACGGTCCCGCAGCTATTTCTCAGATGCAACAGAGTCCGTGTGCGAAGTATAATAGTTACTTGGCTGACAGGATGGGCTATACACTTTGTTACCACCACATACGCCTCGCACTTGTTCGGCACAAGTACGGTCCAGCGCATGGTCTGGAGATTGGTGCGTTTGAGTGGAGGGGGAGTGGGAGTGTAAGCCTGTTCCGGACGCCAGTACATACGACAATAGCGCATCAGGCTGAGATTCGGGATGGAAGGTTTTTGCTGCATACGAACTACTCGATTCTCCTGCCGACCTGGGCCGCCTCACACAAGAACCTCATCGGGCACCTCTGGCCGCTGCTCCCACCCCTCCTGACCCAGCACAGGGCAAGCGAGTACGGACACACAGGCGTCATGGCCGCGCTCGACAATGTGGTCCGTCGCGGGTGGCGAGTCCTAGGGGCACAGTCCTGCTCCGATTGCCAGACCGACTGGAGCGTGACGGCATTCCCTATCCCTCGAAGCGTTGCAGGCGAATTCGTACGTCTGAACATCCAGACATGGCGCGATCTAGGCACAGGAAAAACCCCGTTCGACACTGCTTGGAGAGCGCATGGGCCGTATATTCATGGGACGGAGGAGAGTTGTGTGCGGGAAGAAGTGCGGAGGGAGAGGGGGAGTATCAGGGAGGCATTCGAGGGATCACATTCTGGAAAGGGGGAAGGTCGAGACGAAGGAGTGGAAAGGGGAAGCGATGAGTGGGAGAAGCTCGCCTACTCGTGGCAGCTTGATAAGAGGAGAGGAGAAGAGAAGGACCAGGAGAAGGAGTGGAGGGCGATTTGGCGGTATGTTGAGTGCAGGGCAGGTGTGCAGGCTGAGAAAGCATGAATTTGACTGCGGAGATAAGGAGCTCTGAGGATGAACGTCCGATCGTAATTCGACTTGTGAAGCGAAAGGAAGAGAGGCGTGTCTTTCGATAGGTGAATATGGCCTCGCACTAATTGGTAGGACTGGTAGCAAGCGCGTGCGCACTGGTTAAATCTTGTATGCGTTGAATGTTTTTGAGCCTAGATGCTGGCCTTTGGCGGAAAGGCCTTTACAATCTGGGCGTTTCTATCAAATTGTTTTTACCGCCTCAACTTTAGAATAACAGGATACAACGCAGTTCTGTAGAATTTAGAATTTGTTATCGAACATAAGAGTTTATTTCAACAGCAAGGCACGTCAGTCAGGCATCTTAACCACTCAGAAGGTCAGGAATTTGGGTTTCGCGATAAAATAATGCCAGGGATGGTGCTTCACTTATGAAAACGAGAGAGACATGGATCTGCTTTGGATAGCCTCCTCGACCCCGCGAGAATGTGTGCTGCAGATGTTTTAATGAAATGTCGCTCAGGTGGTGTGAACTCACAACAGCGATGGCGTCACAATTAGCCTGTTTACCAGTCCTCGTGCTCGCACCACCTCTGTGCATCGATCTCACAAAGCTGACCTGATGCAACAGAGGCACATCAGATCAATCAACTGTCACTGCGGTCAGCCTCAGCTATGCTAACTGGGCCAAGGTTGAAGGCCTAGCCCAAAGGCGCAGGAGTCTGCCACAATCTGATCGACAACGTATGCGACAAGTCTTCAGGAGTGTTCCTCTAGGTTACTTTAGTAACCAAATCTCTCCCGGAAGGACTTACCGATGGCGAGAATGCCACCAAATTGCAAGAACGCCTTAACACTCTACCGGAGGTCCTCGAAAAGTTGTTCTGGAAGATTCTGCGGGACCTCGACAATCGGAATATCCCTCGTGCCTGTCAGATTTCCAAGCTCCACAAGTGTTCTCAACCTACGCTGACGATTCTGGACATGTCATTTGCCCACACTCTCGATGGAGACCCCGGTTATGCCTTGAAAGCGCCGTTCGGATTGTGGGATGAGACAGAAAAACGCAAGAGCAGATCTGATGCGTCGTCGAATGACTGCATCCTGCAAAGGCTTGGTCGAAGCTAGTGGAGCCGAGACGGCACACCTATGGCGCGCCAATGTTAGCTATCTGCATCGGACAGTGAAAGACTTTCTGGCACCAAGAGATATCTGGTCAGAGGTCTGCCGCGCAGCCGGTCCTGACTTCAACCACCATGCAGGATTGTTCAACGCTCAGCTTATGCGTCTCGAGGTCTCGAAGCACAGCAATTTTAAGTCGGAGGATACATGGGAGGTAATTCTGTCGGCAATCTCATATGCAACCCAAGCTGAGGTTGATGGATCAAGGCATCAGATTGAGATGCTCGATGACCTCGATCCCGCTACTGATAAAATCATGGGAGCTTCATTTTCCAGAGGTTCCACCGCGGCCAAGTCGCATGATTCGGACGACTACTGGATGTTGTGGCGGTACAAAGGAACAAGTTCACCTTCATTCCTGGAGCTTGCCGTCCGACTCCAGCTTCCCGGCTATGTCACCGCATGTCTGGAGGCTATGCCAAAGTCTCAGTCAAAGTTTGAACCTTTTCAACTATATCACCCCGCTGTAACGCGTTACGAGATCAGCGAAGTTGGTTCAGTAGAACTCTCAGACGATCTTCTTCATCATTCCATAGACTGCAAGACGGTCCGGCTTCTCCTCAGATATGCGGATCCAAAATTTGCATCACCGGACGGAACAACAGCCGGGTCACAGCTCTTAAAGATGCCAAATTTCGATGAAGTGGCAGACATCGCCATGGACTTTCCCGACGCTGGGGCAGATCCTAAGCATGTGTCTTTCGAAGATCCAGAGTTCGTATCGCGTCTGCCAGAAGCATTCAAGGCGCAATTCAAGCGGAAGAAAAGAGTCAGCAGGTGAACACGCTACTTCGCATTGGCTCGCTATGGTAAACATCAGTGGTTTCGTGATCCAGCCCTGAGGCTAGATACTCTGAACGGCGATGCTGGGAGGACATTACACAAGTCGAGGCTGGAGTTTCCGGAGATTATCGTGCCGGAGATTGTTGTGCCCTCAATATTGCGACAGTCACAGAGTGACCGTAATACTAGATAGAATTACACATGTCACCTACCTAACCCATATCAAACATTGTCACTCCACAACGCAATTTTCTTGATGCACTCACTCATCCTTCTTTTCAAAAAGCTTTTGGTTTCTACAAGGATTTTGCCTAAAAATAACCCCCTCAGTTGCTCAAGCCCATGACGCTTCTACATGCGTTGACAACTCAGGCCCAAGTCCTCTCCAAACGTTGCCTTTACTCGAGAAGTTGATCGATTTCTTCAAGGGTCCTGCCGCAGGATTCTAGGAGCAACACGATTGCCCAAGCTCCAGCCCACGAGCACCAGAAGGCAAAGATGTAGTTGCCGAACCGTAAATGTCTCATCACGGGTGGAGGCGTAACACCGAAGATGAAGTTACACGGCCAGTTGACCGACGTGGCGAGTGCAACCCCTTTCGAACGCGAAGCGTTGGGGTAGACTTCTGGCAGGAGCGCCCATCGAGCGGCGGGTACGAGACACCATAAACGAGGATGAACAGGAAGAGCTGGACGATGCTCTGAAGGAAGATGAGGTTATCGCACTCTATGCCAAAATCAACCGCCTTCTGTGTCTCCACGCCTGCCCTAGATGAAAGCTTGCGAATCGTCCAACCCCTGTCGTTCACTCTCACGCGGCGACTTCATTGCCGGCAAAACGCCAGTCAGGATATCCGCATGCGTCGTTCATCATGACCCAATACTGTTCGAAAACCATGGAGTCTACTGGCCCCAACTTTGGCTTAGCGAGGCGGGTAAGAAGCTACAGTCGGCCTTCATCCCGTTCAGTACAGATGCGAGAGGCTGCATTGGCCGCAATATCATCTATCTAGAACAGACTGTGCTCATAGCGTCCTCGGTGTGGCGGTATGAGTGTGCGCTGCCGTCTCGGATTGGGAGCCTACGAGGCGGGAAACTACGACGCTGAGTCCTGAACATATGCTCTTTGAAATTGTAGAAAAGAGCAACGAGTGATACTTAGACATGTTGGCTTGACACAGATGCATTCATTCTGGGGTCAAGAATTTGCTGGGATGGAAAGACACACAATCCATTATATTTCGTGGAGTTTCGATGATGCGTCATCTAACAAAGCACAATGGATTCAAATTGCCGCTTCAGCTCTACCCAGCGGCGGAGGTATATCCAACCGATGCTGTGCCTGAAGTGCAGCCCGCCTCTATTTCCCAGAACCATAATGTTGATGACAGGAGGCGTCATCAAAGGCACTCCGGTGCCATCTGGGTGAGGATACGCGACGTCAAATACGACCGAAGGGTCTTGTAGATCAGATATGCTTGACTGGATGAAACAGCATTCGTAGCTTGTTTGTGCCCCAACCGAGATAGCCATCACCTTGTAGGTCTCTGTATCGAACATGAGAGTCTTGTCTTGAGGCAGCGTCGGAGAGGGTCTACATATACCGACAAGCCTGCCGCTCGGATCCACAATATTGAATAGGTTTGCCGTTCCTCCGTTGCAACTTCTGTGACGAGGGTGCCACATGAGTCTCACAATGCTTGTTTGCGCCCAGGTGCCCAAATAAACGACTGGGATGAGGCTGCACGGACGATCAAACAGAAGATCGGTTGCTGGCATCGCTTTCCAATACTGCGAATAAGTTGCCCAGCGCTCGTATATGATCCCAGACAGCTCTCTGATAGGTTTCCCTTGAAACTCGCCGAGCAAGTCCGACATTTCATTGTTTCCTGAGCATCCGTGCGCGGTGGCCAACGCCATATAATAGGAGGGCTGAACACGATCAGGAGATGCAATATAGTTATACCACTGGGAGATTGGCTCGTCTGGATCGTCAGAGCTAAGAAGAACCGAGTCGCTCGAATCAACAATCTCAATCGAAACTCCAGGAGTAGTTGACAGCAAAACCCATTTGACCAGGGAACCAAGGAAGCTTGAAACCATGTTCAGCTTACCAGTATTGGATGACCAGGTCCAAGACGGGATGTAGAAATCCGCATGACGTTGTCGTAAAGAAGATTTTTTGCCTGGTATATGATGCCATAGGAGCGCTGCATCGAAATCCTTCAGTGGTAAGTTGTAAATACTTGATTTCATATGGTTGGATGGTGCATATAGTGCACAAAGTATGCCGGTGAACGCGTTGTAGATGTCTGAGGAGTATGTCAACGATAGGCTGTTGTAGTTTGCTGAGTGTTTTACATAAGCCTGGAAAGGTTCGAGCTGGCCAGGAGCCCTCAAGAGCTCCGCCCTGCTGAAGCGATTGGTGATAGGAATATTAGCGGCTGTCCATCCTCCATTATCTTCGTTCGGGGTGTCTATTTCTGACACAACACCTGCCCTGCACATCCAGAAGACTTGAGATGAGGTTATATATAACTTCCTCTCGCAAAGAAGCTTTTCTTGATAGGTCCAACCTCGGGTAGCCCATACCGAGGTTGTGACAGCGGACTCGAATGTAGGCAGGCAGGTGCGGATCTGGAGGTCGTTGAAGCGCTCAACAGCCGTAGGATAGTCTCGCAATTTCCCAATGCCCGGAAGTTCGTCATTCATGCCGTTGCCATGCGCAATGATGACGGTAAAAACCGCCCGTGCGAAGATGGCTGTCATACCTGCGATCTGCTCTTCCTTTTCTTCAAAGTTGTCTTGTACAATACGGAGACGATCCACCCATATATACCTTTCGCCTAGGCCAAAACACGCTTGTATAGCATCTTCAATAGTGATTGGCATCCTTGCAGCACAGAGTCCGCCTTTGGCCCTCAGTTCTCGAATGGTTGACATGCTGGCTTTGTGACCAGACTCGTCCGGATCTTTTCCCCAAGTGTAACTTAGAGCCACGTACCGGCAACGCTCAACTTCAGGCTGGATGACTCGGCGATGTAGAACGTCGACCAATTGGAAGCCCTTAGGCAGGGCCATTCTTGATGAATTCAGCGCTGCAGATGAGCACTGCGAGTGTTGGATCTCGCAGCGTCTGATCCAAGACCGAATTGTCTTCCAGTCTATCAAGCTTGAAAGAAAGATTTGTGACGATGGGGGCCGGGGCATCGCATTATGCAGATTCAATATGGAGATGTACGTTTTGAGTGCTGGCATACACCGGCTGAAATCCGGGGCTGAACCGATCAGAAACATCGTCCCGAAGGTGGAGGCCAGCTCGCCTGATACTATGTATAAAGAAAACTCGATCGCGGGTGGCGGTACATGTTCAGGACGAAAAGCTTGGATGAATGTGTGTGCTGACAGAAGCAAAAGCCGATGAAAGCTGCAATGCTCAGTTGTCTTGATTGTGTCAAACGTGCCAAAGCGAACAGTCAGCGAGAAGGGTGTCTGATCCTGCCGACAGCAGATAAGATGCTCCAGTCGCAGATGGTCGCATTGCGCACAAAGGGTACCGTTATTGTCCCCAAGCGAGCAGTTGGTACATTCCGCATGGAAGCAACGATGCAATCCTTGAAGTCTCAATGGAGGATACCGCGGGTCGTGGAACGCAGGATACGAGGTGAGGATTGTGACGCAGAATTGGCAGATGCGTGAGTGGCTATGAGCGAGATCTTGTGATTCCATTGTCGAATCCATCAGATGGAGAGTCCGTTCCGTCCTGTCAATGAGGTTGTACGGAGATCGGTAAAGGCCAGCAATGCATTGTGTTTGGATGGGTATGCTTTGAGTTGGCCATCAGCGCCAGCCGCACTTGCGAGGTGTGACAGGTCATAAAAGGCAAAGCCAAACCTTATGTACCACCATCCTCTACGAATAGCAACCACCTCGCTACACCGATGCAGGCAATTTCTTCAACATACTGCTGTAGTTTCGCACGCTCGCAAGACGCATTGACCGCAGAAGAGTTTGTAGGCTTCATATTCGTGAGAGATATAGCCGGCGCCATGACTGAAAGGAGCCCTTCTTTCCACCGCCAGAGCAGCCCGATTCAACCTCTCAACCGGGTTCTCATATCGGCTCCAACCACAATCAGGTGGTATCGCTGCAAATCGTGACTGACTATTCAGACATGAGAGGTGGTGGGTACGATGTCTGGAGGTGCAGGAGCGAGCGTGGATCGTATGCAGATGCTAAGGCGTTACGCGCCCCAAGACGCTCGTGACGAGCTTACACTACGGAATGCTCACGCGATGTCTAAATGCCGGTCTCCTGACTTGATTGCGCTTACTGTCAAAGTCATTGTTGTAAGAATGAGTGGTAGCCTATAAAGCTGCGGAAAGGAAAGAATAGTGACGTCTAGCGCTTTCCTTATCTTATCGCCCTCCCACAATTTCTCGAACTCCCCCACCACCAATAGACAGACACCATACAATGGCCTTTCGCAAGCGCAATATCGCGCTCTCACGCGCCCCAGCAGACGGTGAAGCGTCTCCTACAGCCCCCTTGCCATCTGTAGGTCCTCCAGCGCCTACACCCACCGGTGTACGCCCTTCACCCATAGATGGCCGCCACACTACCTCAACCGGCACGCCCTCGCTCGATGGCATTCTAGCAGGCCATGCCGGCTTGCCTTTAGGAAATTCGATTTTAATCGAAGAGAGTGGGACGACTGACTATGCAGGCGCACTACTGCGTTTCTACGCAGCAGAGGGCGTGGTACAGGGACACAAGGTGCATGTAGTAGGCATGGGTGAGGTATGGGGTCGCGAGCTGCCAGGGATATCAGAGGATAGGGGAGACGGGAAGAGGAGAGAAAGCAAGGAGCGGGCGGAGAAGATGAAGATCGCCTGGCGGTATGAGGGGTTGGGACAGTTTGAGAGTGCGAGAGGTGCGTGTTGTGTATCTAGTCCAATGCAATGCTATAGACTGGATTGTCTGACTGTGAGTGACAGGTCCACAGAAAGTGCAGGCTCAAGGCGAAAATGCGGAGGAGATGGTTTTTTGTCATACATTCGACCTCGCGAAAAGGCTCACGCTGCCTGTGGGGACGGCTATGAACTATATCACGATACCGCGAACGGCGCCCATGTCTACGTCGCCGTTCATGTCGATACTGCAGAACGTACAGCAGCAGCTCGCTTCGACGCCTACGCATACGATACACCGTCTCGTCATACCATCCCTCCTTTCGCCAGCACTCTATCCTCCCACGTCTTCGCATCCGAACTCCATACTCCAATTCCTGCACGCTCTCCGTGCATTACTGCGGCAATATCCAACACGATTCACAGCCATCCTCACCCTACCGCTATCGCTATACCCTCGCTCCTCAGGCCTCGTGCGCTGGATGGAGATCCTCTCCGACAGTGTTCTCGAGTTGTCACCCTTCCCATACTCGCATGCGCAGATGCTCGCGCAGTCTGCTGGCACAACGAAAGACGAAGAGAAGCCACAGGGAATGTTCGCCGTACACAAGCTCCCTGTATATCATGAAAAGGGCGGTGGTGGTGGAGCGGAGGATCTGGGCGAGGACATGGCGTTCACACTGAGCCGGCGGAAGTTCGTAATCGCGAAATTCAGTCTACCACCGCTGGAAGGAGACACCGAGGCGCAGGAAGCTGCTGTACGTGAAGCGGCTGGTGGTAGTGCAATGCCGAAGAAGGCAGATCTCGAGTTTTAGATCGTTGTCGATGCTCAAAGTTCGTGAGGGAGGTCATCGTCTGAGCTGTCCTCACCCATCATATCTTCCATCTCGATCTGCTCCCAACCTGCGCTGCCAGCGCCCGAGCCGAGGCCTCGTGCGTAGCCGCGCCCATATGAGCCGTGTCGAGGATTGATGGACATGCCAGAAATTCGTGCGCGGAAGCCGTCGCCCATACAAGATGACAGCGCAAGGAATACGAGGAAGAAGATGAATGGGATGAAGAGTAGGAGTGACAATAGTACGAGGACGTTCATGATGCCGCGTGGGAATAATACGTCGTAGTTGTAACAGACAAACACGAAGGTGGAGCGAAAGCATGTGGCCAACGCTGGACCCTTGTTTTCGTCGTCATCGCTCGGGAGCTAAAAGCCGAACCCCTATGGACGACATCTCAACTTTTGTAGAGCAACACTCAACAACACATACACACATTGACAATGACAATGACACAATTACTCCAACTACCGCTGAGCGCATTGCTCTTGCTCACATGCGCGCTCACCACCTCAGCGCATGGCGGCGATCATTCGCAGGTTGTAGTCGCGCCAGACGCAGACTGGGCGACTCGACACATGGCCGGTACAGCTTGCAAAGCCTTACACACCTCACAAACACTAACAAGATTGCAGAGGAACACCATATCTCTGGCTACGACGCCACAACTTTCTTCAACCTACACGACTACGACAGCACCGGCGTCTGGACCGCCCCAGACATCCGACGCACCTACGGCCTCTCCGACCCGTCCAGTGCTCATATCTCCGAAACTAAGAAGCAAATGGTAGTCCAAACAGTCCTCGACATGTTTGACACCGACAAAAACGGCGAGATCAGCCTCTCCGAATTCCAAACAAAAGACAGCCAAAACATCAAACTGCCCGACTTCGGCATGGGGCCTGGTCATCACGGCGATGACGAGTACGAGTATGAAATTCATCACTGGGAGAAGTATCACTCGGGTGATGATGTGAAGGAGGAGGATCTCACGCACCCAGAGGATATTGAGCATTTTAAGTTGCATGAGCAGAGGGAGCAACAGCAGGAAGAGTGGGAGAGGTTGGAGAAGGGGATTGTGGAGAAGAATATTCCGGCGAAGTATAGGCAGAACTAGAGGAAGAGCTATGAAGAGAATGGTGTTCCATAAGAGGGGGCGTTGCGATGTCTGGGCTGGTTCTGGACATGTACAGTATGGCGTAACGAAGCGGCGACGACGAGACGAATATACGAGATTGAACGAGCAGCGCATTGAAGCAGTCATCGAGGGGCCATTTACTACAATTGATCTTGCAGATCATCTTACACGGTCACCGGCAGCGCCGTGCAATTGGTTTCAAGAACAAAAAGCAGTTATTCTCGAGAGACACGAAAGAGAAAAGGGAGACCATTCCCACGGGTTGGCACTGCGCTTGGCAAGTGCTTCAAGATGCAAAAAACGATAAAAACATACAACAGCGGGTATTCGCTAGTGGTCACCCACCTAACTACTAATCCGCCGATACGTTGCTTAAATAGGGCTGAGCGAACGGGAAGCCTTGTTCTCAACGTTCTATGGTCGTATGTGGAAGAGACGGTTGACAATATGACTTCTATCACAGTAGTATTTGCGAAACGAGGATCAGTGTATTCATAAGATTCTCGCATCCAGACGACTCCTACACTCTCACATGCGGCAAGCACTGACACTCCTCCATCAGCCACACTGCCTAGCATACATAACATCGTCTCCAGGTACACTTTACCTCCGCCTCCTCATTGGCAACTGGATACACTATGTGATACTCAACCGAATCATACTTAAGTACTTCACGTCGAGCTTTTCTTGCGCTTAACTGCAACTTCCGGCTCTTGATCATCCCTTTGCGTGGTACCATGATTACATAGCAGGTGTGTATAGGATTCAGGTAAGAGTTGATCATTGTAAGGTCCATGCCCCAGAAGAGGATCATGGCACTGAGCTGATCTCGAGAACGACTAGGGACTTTCGTTTGAGACTTTGCGTGCCCTGAAATAAACCGCTGTCATAACCACGAGCACAGATAGCTACACGAGAGCATACACAATTCCGAGTCTGATGATTCGAGACCTTTTCGTAGTCCCCTACTCACCCGTCTCATAGTACTTCGCACCATTCACTCTTTTCTCACCCACCTGCGAACACAGACGCGGGGGCAAATGGCCGCGGTGTTCATAGCTCTTGGCTCGTATAAAAAGTCTTTATGCTCTCTCCTCACATTCGACTTCAGGAGTTGTAGAGAGCTTCTTGGTCTTGTGGTCATCGCACGACGGACAATCGCGATTGATCGTTTCGATATGTGCGAGCGCAACGACTACAACGTCGTCCTCAGTCATGGTGTCATCCGGAAGGAAGCATCCAAGCCAAGATCGCTCCTTAGGCGCAAGCAGTCCAAGTAAGGCAAACGACCTGTCCCTTGGATCTTTGTAGTTTGACTTGCGGTAGCTCAGGAGAAGCTCGCACACAGGTCATCTTACACCTCGTGTTACATTGCCAGGTCGATGCTCATTAGTGAATACTAAAAGCCACCATTTAAGGGCCTCTGCGAGGGCTGCAGCATGAACTGAAGCCTGCTGCGGTGAATGTGTGAAAGTGGTGACAAACACTGCGGTGCATAACAGTGGTACTGCTAGCGAATCAAAGTAGGGGCGGAGTATCAGCGGCGCCTTGTGCTCACTACCACTGTTCGACGACCTCGATGGTCTGCATAAGGAGCTCACGAGCTACCGCTGCACGTATCTTGCACTCTATCTAGAATTCCTGTTCGGCCAACTATGTTAGAATTGGACCGTTCGATCAGGAATCAGTTTGAACTCACGCCCGATCTTGATCACGGGCTTCACACCGCTATGACATGCTTTTACCATCCACTTGCACGGCGGTATTGTCCCAGCACTTCTTTTGCTTGTACATAGCATTTGTGATTCTGGTCGTGTTGCTTGTGAGGAACAGGATCGTGTTGTTCCCATCGTACGCTTGATTGCGATTTATTTACAATTGGGGATATATAATTCCTGCTATCCTTGTCAATCAGTCCCATATGCTTTGATCTTGAAGGCAGGGCTCACCTTTCTACGCTCCATATCGTACATACGCATCCGTTTCTTACGCGCTTCGCGCGCCCTTATCGCCTCCAGAATCGCGCAAGCCTATCATGGTCAGGCTTTGCAATGACTGGTCAGGTCGAGTTCTAGTGAAGTTCACCAACCAAACAAGCCTCCATCACCAGCTCCACCCTTGCGTCCACCTCTCCGCGCTTCTGTCAGTAACCACTCCCTCAAGAAGTCCTTGTTCTTCATCTCCTCCGGCCTCACCAGCCTCGTGTCAAACTGAGCTTCCTGCCTACTGAATGCTAGCAGCGTCGGCATGCTCGTAATCCGATACGTAATCGGCAGATCCCCAATCAATGTTGAATCCATCTCGACCTCAACAAAACCCAATCCGCCTTCGCTCTCTCCAACTCTCTCCTCCTCAATAAGCTCTTTGACGAGAGGCTTGACGGCTTGACATGTTTGGCACCAACTCGCACTCCAAAATGTGATGAGAGAGCGGTTGTCGGCGGCGTTGAGCAGGGTCAGGGTGTGCAGGTCTTGCGGTTGGCGGACATTGTCGAAGAGGCGGTTTGTATGCGAGCGGTTTGAAGCTGAGGGGAAGAGGGAGAATGTGCGCCACTGCGGAATGGAGAGATGAAAGGTGCGCGCGGTTTTAGGGAGTAGTTGTGCCATCCTTGGGTGTTGTTGGAGAGCAGATGGGAGGCTGGAGCTTGACGCTCGTAGTTCGAGATGGGAGACGCGACGGCGACGTCATCGCTTGCCGAGGCACTACCGAGGTGGGACACCGGATGAGCCGGGATGACCGGATGAGCCACCCCACCATCAAAACAATATCATTCACTCAACTTCAACATGCAATAACTCCACCACCATGGACCTGATTCAGGATGCAATTAAAGAAACCAAATTGTGCGCACCAGGTGCATCTTTTTCATACCGCGCACTTGCCCAGAAATACAGATGCAGCCGTGCTACGCTGCAGCGCAAGCACAAAGGAAAATGCAGAGCTATGTAGGGGCTGCTCAACAACACATGAATCTCCACCCACAACAAGAGCTGGAGCTTGTACAATACATACAAGGGTTATCAAACTATGGGCTTCCACCTACAAGGGCAATGATACTGTTGCAATTCGTGCCTGAAGCAAAGCTTGTAGACACTATTTGATTGGTTCTCAGGGATGAGTGGAGGTACAGGGAGTCTGTAGGGGTTGACAGTCACCTAAGCAAAGCTCGGGTGGTCAAGGGTAGACTATCTGGGCAGGTTGTAATAACCTTTGTAATAGTCAGGTAGTCATCTAGTCAAAGACCATGGCGACTGGTTGCAATGAGTAGTACAGAGTATACTGTCTGGCTCGAGAGCAAGTGAGTGTTGCGATTCGTGCCTTAAGCAAAGCTCGTAGACACTATTCGATTGGTTCTCGGGGATGAGCGGAGGTAGGGGTTTGACAGTCACCTAAGCAAGGCTCGGGTGGTCAGGGGTAGACTATCCGGGCGAGGCGGTAGTAGCCTTTGTAATAGTCGAGGTAATAGCCGTCTAGCCGGAGGCCGTGACGACTGGGGGCAATGAGTAGTACAGAGTATACTGTCTGGCTCGAGAGCGAGTGAGATTCTAATAACAAAGTTGATTGACGAGGTTGAACACGATGCCATAAGGGCAGCGTGTCTACTTGCTATATAATTGAGCAGAGGATTGCTCAGATCGCTCGGTACTGAGTATACTGATCGTACCGAGTATACTGCTCATGTCGAGTATACTGACCGTACCTAGTATACTGCTCGTGCCGAGTATACTGCTCGTACTGAGTATATTGCTTGTGCCGAGTATCGCCGACGCGGCCTCACTGCTCGGGTCGCTTGAGTTGCTCAACTGAGAGTGATAATCATACTGAGTATCGCCAACGCGGCCCACTGCTCGGGTCTATCGATACTACAGTTCCTCGGCTCCTCTCGTATCGTTGCGTAGTCCTGTTCGTTCAGTGTTGTTGCGGGTTGCCCTTTGATCGTAACACAAACATGTTGATATCCATCAGCTGTGGGTTTGACAGAAAGTCTTAGCTGGCCGCCTCAACGTGTTCTGGGTTTCTACCAACAACATGCCAGCCGTTGGACTCACAAAGACATTGCCCCGTCAGAAAATTGAGCAATTTATCTAACAGTGTGCCCTTGTTAGTTTTAACCCAATTTGATTCGTCTGGCCTTATTCTACTCGTTACAACAACGCTTCAGTTATTCTGCTACAGCTCCAACAACTCAACTTTGTCAGTTACAATTATTTCACACTCATTTCTTTGTAGGACCTGGGGTGTGTGTCGCAGTACAGTTAGATCAGTACAGTGAGGTTGAGTATAAACGAACCGATGTGATACTCCTTCAAACGAGTATAGCAACACAACGGTCTCATGGTCAAACCACCCTGTCACTCTACTTAAACACACAGCTCAGTTCAATTCAGCTTCAGTGAACCTCAATTCCATTGCCCGATACCTATCGTATTCAGAACCGTAACACTGTTGTTGATTGGACGGTTATAAGGGGTCTGAGCTTTAGAGATGCTACATGCCTGGCAACCCGAGGTCTGTTAACCTGGAATCGTACAAACCTACTTCCACGCCTCACCTGATTCATCAATAACCCTCTCCAAGTACATCAAAAAAGCACTACACCAAGCGAAAAGATATGATCCGTCAGATTATCCAATCAGCTCCTGGGAAGATTGCTATAAGCGTTGGCGTATGAACTTCCTCTAACCATTTCAGCTTCTTGGGTGTTGTTGCTCACTTTGTTGATGCCGATTACAACCGACAAGACCACCTTATTGCCTTCCGCAACCTCTCTGGTGATCACAGTGCTGCTGCACAGGTCTCAGTTATACTCAACATTATCCGAGAGTACAATCTTGAGTCAAAATTCAACTGTTTTGTGAGCGATAACACGTCCAATAACGACAAGAAACTCATCCAACACATCAACAAGCAGTCATCTATCGTTAACCTTGGTACTATGCACCGAATCCGCTGCGCAGGTCACATTATCACTGAGCAGTTTAAATACATTGGGAAGGATGGGGAAGTGGCTTCCATATGTCCTGAGGGATTTCAGTGCCATGCAAGAGGGAGTAAAAGAAAGAAAGGTAAAAACGAGTAGGAAAGAAGGTGCTTGTTGTACAGCCAGAGCCGCTGATACAGAATGCTTTAACAGAACTCAGTGAGTTTGGATCATTTGGCGGTTTTTGTGGAGTAATAAGTGCTACCGTGGGCAAACCTCAGTGTAGTACTTTGTAAGTTGGGTGTAGGCTTTAAAAGCCTCCGGGTCCCCAATTCGTACTGCTGTATATGCCAAGCCGTCGACTGGATGGTGGTCTACGGTAACACATGGTGTATAAGTGAAACCTGTACCTTCGTCTATCAATCGAAACAGAATTCAGATCTCTATCACCCGTACTAGTACGTGAATCCTCCCGACAATATCTGTACATCCCGGCGGTTTGCGGGGATCTGACTGCCGATCGTAAACGCACTTATTGGAACTGAGCTCAAATCTGATGCTGCAGTGTCACCTTCAAAGGATTGGTATGGCTTGAGACATCGTCCCAAGGTTACCGCATGATTCGGAAAGCCTCCTCCGTACATCACCAGCGGCCTGTGGGGATCCAAATTTCGCTTTCACCTAGTTTCCAAGGACAATGGGCAGGCACCGCATGTTGAAGGTGTGCTGCGGTAGCAGAGACAAGTGGTGTGCTCATCTTCGCTAGTTAGTCTGATTGCCTCACACCACCGATGGCTGTGTCAGGTGCCCTTGTGGGGAGGGGGTCGAGATCAAGGTTCTCTGCAGCTGTTGTTACTAGCGCAGGCATATCGTTTTACAGAGAGCGCAGGCGGCTGCCGCTACAAGAATAGTGCTAGCGAATTACCATTTGTACTACCCGAACGCGGGTCGGACCGTACCAGTACTGGTAACGATATCTCAGCTGAAATGACGGACTTGTTGAAAGTCAAGTCTGTAAAACAATATCACAGAACTGAGCTCATCCTCTTCCCTGTTTCACATGTGGGTTGCCCACAGCCGCATTTGTCCCGCTGGTGAGACAGGCTGGGTGTGCCCGACCAGGTCGTGGAAGCTGTATCATGTCGATCAATTGTATGTTGCCAACCAGACTGGGGATATGAAAAAGACGGTGTGAGCTTTCTTTTCTTCGAAGTAACGCAAGACCTGCTTAATGGGAAGCAAGAGTCAGCAAGTCGCACCAGGACTTGCGATGTGGAAAAGTCTGTGTGAGCTATCTTTTTTTCGAAGTGACGCAAGACCTACAGGCGCAAAACCGCAAGTAAGCGACAGCAAGCTGCGGCGTGACTGCTACCAGCTATCAGTTTATTTGGGGATAAATAGCTGCACGTTTCCTTCTCATCCTACTACAACATATCACACACCAGTCTTTGGCAGCCCTTCGAAGCCACCAAAGCATTCTTCTATTGAAAAGCATTTCCAAACCATCATTATGGTCTTGAAGATTGGCATCGAACAGATTCCTAGAAAGCTATGGGAATGGGTTGAATGGGACGAAAACTGGATTTCCGCGAATCACATCAACAATGGAGAGCCTGACCAAACACACAAGATTCCGAAGAGCAAGAAAAATTTCAACTACGGTTTCAACGACTTCGTAATGGTAGAGTGCACCCCAGAGCTGGCTTATCAAGTTACTGGAGTGTGGTCTCGCAACGCCGAATTGCCGCCTAAGCACCCTCGAGCCTGGATGCGCAGGTCAGATAATGAAAATAATGGGACAGAGGGCTTTTGGAAACACAGATCTGGCTATACGACCATGGCGTATGGTTGGGGCAAGCATTCCGACGTACTCGACAGTACCTGCACAACCAATCAGTACTGCGATATCGAGGGCCCTGAGCCAGATTACATGCACGATGAAGCATTTGTCAAACTGATTCCACTCCTCATACCCGGTGGGCTAGCCAAGAATGATACCTTTTGGATCGATCTGAACAAAGGTGTCCGAGCACTCTATTTCCCCGCTCGCTACCAATATAGCGACGACTACCCAGAAGATGCGGCGTATGCCAAGATCAGTTTTGTGGAAAACTCGGCACGCAATCTCATCGACGCCGAACCACTCATTTTCGGAAACACGCTGTCTAAAGCATGGTTTGATACGGCAATTGATTTGGTCGACATCAACCGGAAGACCGCTGAGACGATTGCGCTCGACAAGAAGCATCATGTTGGCGCCTACAGCTTCGATAGCACGATCATAATCAATGTTCCAGCATTTATAGAAGCCAGCTATTGGGTCTCGATCAATGACTCATCAAGAGCGAAACCTCACGACGCAATTTACCTGGCCAAGAGCGCGAGCATAAAGGCAACACGTCTTCCGGAGAGTGACAGCTGGGACAAATGGCGTTTGCCGCCGGAGTACTACCAATGGCGCCTGCATACAATGCCACTCATGCACTCATATTCCGGAGACATTGGACGACAAGACCAATTGAATTTGCAGGAAGCAGCGACATCGAAAGTGTCTGGGGAGATGGATCTTTTCTTGAATATCATCTTGTTTGCGGCATCTTTGGTTCCCTACGTGGGACCTCTAGTTTCAACTTTAGGCGGCCAAGTGCTTGAGAACATGAAGGATCTGAGGACGGACAGTAGTGACGAAGAAGCAAGTGCAGCGGGTATTAGTGCCGGGGTCTGGAACAGTCTCCCTGGTGAAGCGAAGGAAAAAGTAGTACAGAAGTTGGCTAAGACTGCGACAACCATGCTTAAGACTTTACATAGATAATGTTTATAGGGGTAATGTTGGAACCAATGATGTGGATTGACCACTGGAAGAGCGATTTCAGTGAACAGTTCCTCGACTACCTAGATCGTTACGACAGTGTGGAACCTAGGGACGTTACCCTGGTCTCTAGTGCTCACCAGCATTACGCCGACGCACTTACATCACAGGAGCAGGGTTGACATGCCATTTCTCCTACGATAGCAGACGCAGGCAAAGAGGTAAAACTGCTGCGCAGGCTAGCAAAGTCGGGCAATAGAAGCTCAAAGTTGTCTGCGAGATAAGGATAAAAGATTCTGTATAAATTATTTGTACTAAACTCTTTGACCACTCAGGAGTTCAAGGCGACTCCTGGCTCCGTGATCACTACCGCAGTCACTAAGGATCAGCTCAAAATATATTACAGAGGAGAAGATGATGGGAAAGTCCGATTGTTTGTTATTTCCAGCGCTATACCGTGTCCGTGCGCGTAATGCGCGGATTCGCGTAATGCGCCAAACCACCTTTTTGTACCCATACTTCACTGTACAATTACTCAACGCCACAATGACTATGAAATCTGCCTTTGAAGAGATAGACTCTATGATACCATGCAATAAGATCCCGTGGACAGCGCTGGCTAAAAAACATAAGGTTGTGCGCTCAACCCTGTCTCGAAAATATCGACACGAGACGCGATCGCGTGAAGAGAAGGCGATTGCACAACAAAAGCTCACTCCACA